TTATGATTATTCCATCATGATTCAGTGGATATATGTAAACTTGGATATACCAAATAAGCACTATTGGCATTCATAGTTTTGTTTTTATTCAAGGCAATTTCAGTAACTATGCTGATGAACACTTAGAAGAGTCAAGCTTTAAACAGAAACCTGGTTTTAATCTAAACAGTAGCAGAGGAGGGCATCCTGCTATAATGCAAGATATTCCATTACATAAACTGCAGGACATCAAATATTGGTTTGGCTCAGTTGCTGTCATTTCATCACTTTCCATACTGATTTTTTCAACAAAAACAAAACTAGAAAGTCTTAGAGTCCTCATCCAATTACATAATAATTAGTCCTATAAAATGAAAAATGCAAATAAGATCAACCAAACAATAGTTACAAAAACCAAGTTAATCCATTGAATCAAAACATGACACAATTGGTTTCTAAGCAATCCTGATTGGTGATCATTAATTATGTATGAGATAATCTCAAAGGTCTGAACTTAGTGACCTAGAACTGTCTCATTCCACACTGGGCAAAATAAGGATGTTTGCAAATGATGTTACCTGGTTTTTGTGCATGACTTTTGTTGAGACTAGTAAAATAAACTTTTTAATTTGTTTTAGGAGTCATATTTCCTTTTATTAGTAGACCTTCAGATCAACACTGCATTAAGCTTCTTATGCACAATAGAACAAATTCCTGTTCTAATTTTTATTACTTCAGCGAATTTTCAATTCCAAACTTTGGACAACTAGTAAAGTGTGGTACTGAACTGCTAATGGTATGGTATTGGAAGCTTAGTGGCTAATTGTGGCTCTTAAAGGGACACTCAATTTGAAAATTATATGTACTTACACGTTACAAATAGCAGCTAATGTTATTAAAACTGAAGGAATATTTTAAATATAATTTACATCTTTCCTTTAAAGGAAAGGGAAAATAGACTTGTAAGTTTCACTGAGGTTTATGCTCAGTATGTGGACATTTTTACTTTAAGGTTCTCACGACTAGACCATACTACAATGTCTGTATTGCAAATATTACATTTATTTTTCTCTTAAACTGCTTCCACTGCAATTTAAACAATCATGCAAATATTTATCAATTATTGCATAACTATGTCAACCATTTGTTCTTAATTGCCCCCTACTTCTCCCATCTCTCAGCTCCATACAAACAGCAACATATATTCAAGAAAATTTTGTATTGTATTATTGCTCCATAATGTAATCTCAGTGTTGCCATTACATTATACTATAATGGCACGTATGTTAAGTTTAATGTACATATTGAAAATACCTGTTAGAGACAGGGATTAACATTTTTATTAGTTATATCAAAATCCTGTGCACATGGTTAACTTTTATAAAGTAGGTTTCAGAGTAGCAGCCATGTTAGTCTGTATTTGCAAAAAGAAAAGGAGTACTTGTGGCATTCAGTCAATGCATCCGATGAAGTGAGCTGCAGCTCACAAAAGCTTATGCTCAAATAAATTTGTTAGTCTCTAAGGTGCCACAAGTACTCCTTTTCTTTTTATAAAGTAATAATTATCAACTACATGTTTTAGTCACATAGCTTTATCTCCAGTCCAGCCCATTTTCTACAGGAGGTTTCTCTGGTGATATTGGACACTGATTGACTACATACTAATATTGATAGGGAATTAACTTTGTTTAAAATCCTACATAGAAAAACTACACCCTCATATATCTCCTTACTAGGAGCTTTCTTGGTTTATAGGTGAGGGAGTTGGTGGTAGAGAATTCTCCACGGGTGCCCCTCTTCTAGACCTTTGAATTTTACTCAAGAACTCTTTTGAAACCTTCACGCCAAAGTACAAAGTCCATCTTTTTCTATTGTCATCTGGGGATGACTAAGGTTTGTGGGTGGAGGAGGTTCTTACAATATTGAAGGATTAAGTTAATGGAGATATAACAATTTACAACAACTGAGGAAGCGGGCCAGTAATTTTAATTTTCTAGCAGGGAACCTAGACCCTAACTCAGGAAAGCAACCCTAATCAGGATAGCACTGAAGGCCAAATTTAACTTTAAGCCCCTTGAAGCCAACACTACCTGCAACTTAAGTCCTATGGAACGGGCTGAAATAGCAGCTGCACTGGCAGCTGCTCATCAGCATCACTCCGTGGTCTAGGCTTATTATCTACATTTTATAGATGGGGAAACAGACACTGAAGTTGTGATTTCACAGAGCAACTCTGTGGCAGAACCAGGATTAAAATTGAGAAGTTCCTGGCTTCTTGGAAGTATACCTGAATGTAACACCTTGCTTTCCCCCCAATACCCCCAGTGGGTGGCATATGAACAAAAGCTTTACATGAATAAGACTCAAAAGATGTAGAATTGGTACTGGATTAAATTACAGTATTAGTGGTAGATATAAACAATTTAGCATGCTATATTCAACTGTTTAGGCACAGACAATCCAAGTAATGTAAATGTTCCATCAGAACATGCCTCAGGTGTATTGCTCCAGTTATAATAAAGAAAGTTGTTTTTATGTTGCTGTTGTAATGCAAGATACTAAGCAATCAGCAGCAATTAAGTCTAAGATACTGTATGTGTCCTATGAAGAGCAGACTAATATTGAAAGATGAGAATGGAGTATTTGCCTTAACTTGATAATATGAGATCCCTGATGTAAAGCAATGTGTATCATGAAACAAATGTGAAGTTAGTGGCCCTTCTGTGCTGTTAACACCTCATGAAACCAACAGCACTGTAACGGAGAAAAAGCTGATAACAATTATGCTAAAGAGACTTTGTGCAACACCACTGGTATGATATGAATGGAAAGCATCCCATTGTTAACATTCACTAATTGAAAGCTGACCACCAGAGCTGTTGCTATTATTATGTAACTAGTCCTGTGTTGTAAATTGCTTTGTCAGTCTTCTCTTGTGAGAAAAAAATTCCATTATGAGAGACAGTAACCTTATTTAGGTGTTTTGTCAGATAATAGAGTGAGGCTTGTAGGCATTAACCTGACTGGCTTAGTGTGATTTATTGCTGTTGTAAACTTTGTTTCCAGTATTAAGGTAGACAATAGCTTCAAATTACCTGGAACAGGTTAAACTGTGGAACAGATCTTGTATGTTGGGAGGGAGAGAAATTACTCCGGCATCTCTAGTACCATCTTCGCTATCCAAATCAGGGAGGTATCCAAATTCTTGCATTCTCTGAGTCTACCCCCATTGTAGATACTTTTCTGCTAGTGTGTGAATTCGCCATGCTTTTGGGATTTGTTGGCTTTCCTTAATTAACCCTTTTATTTGAAAGTTTTGTTTGTTTTAATACCTTTTGTTTGCTGCCTTATTGTATATCAATGTATTATAGATCTAGAATTTTGGAGTATTAAGAATTTCATGTTAATGAATATTTAGATCTTAATTTAATTATATCAATACAGTATATATCTCTTTAGATTACTTTTCATTTACTGCATTCTGATTAGTTGGGTTTGATGAAAGTCTCTCAGTGATATTTTTTAACATGGTTACAACTTTCAAATTCAGTTCTCAAAATAAAGTATGAATTACTAACTTTGATAACCTCTCTCCATACTGAAGTAATCTTTCCAGATTAATGACAGGATTCAGAGTAGCAGCCATGTTAGTCTGTATCCGCAAAAAGAAAAGGCACCTTAGAGACAAATGCATCCGATGAAGTGAGCTGTAGCTCACGAAAGCTTATGCTCAAATAAATTTGTCTCTAAGCTGCCACAAGTACTCCTTTTCTTTTTCCATATTAAAACAGTCTTTTTTTAACAGTGAGGTCAAATAACTTTCCATTTTGTATGGAACCCATAAAGATTACAGATAATTCATCAATGAAGGTACATATCGGAGTATATTAAGGAAAACTATCTACACTGAGTTAAGGAGGTCTTTTATCTTATTTGTGGCAATTATCAGGGATTTTTGTTTAGTCTCTTGCGCCTTCACACAAATCACAACTGAATGCTCTTAGTCAATATTTGGAGATGTAGTTCATTCCCAATGTACCTACCACAGACTCCTTGCAAATGCCAGGCACTATAAAACACACACTTCAGGAATAAAAAAAAGCACGCAAATAAACATTGACCTTCCATTCTGCAGACCAACCGATAGCATGGATACAACTTCAAGCAATAAAGACAATTGTTTTCTCTTTGCCCATGAAACTACTCGGAAAACAAGACTGGTAAATTTCTGAATCAGATGGGTTTCCAAATAGATTCCAAAACATCTAGCAAGACTCAACTTCAGTGAATTCTCCATTAATGTAAATGTAAAACAGCCACCTGCTATTCCATCTTTCCTATTCACTATATCTGTGAAGTCGGCACTTCCCAGCACTGAAAGAAAGTCCTTCCTCTAGAAATGTTAGTGCAGCTTACCAAGAATCAACCACTCTCCGGTAATAGAAAGAAACAAGGGTTCAAAATTCAACCTTTATCTCTTTCAAGAATATACTAATTTGAAAATAATGTATCTGGGAAGGTTAAATTTTGTCTATTCATATAGTTATTTAATTAGCAAAGGAAATAAGATACAGAGAACATTTAATTACAAACAGAACTATATTGCGACTGGAGAAGACAGTGGAATTTCTCCATTTTTCTCCAGTTCTCTCACTTTTTGCTATTTACAGCTGACCTGTATTACTGACAACATGCTGTATTCAGAGGTTTTAAGAAACTAATTCCATATGAAGTGAGCATCATAGACAGTAAAGAGGACAAACATTTTGAGCCAAATGCTCAGCTGGTGTAAATTGCTGTGACAAATACATCCATGTTCACCACCTGGGGATACAGCCCTCTGAGTATCTATCTCCCTGCACAATGGAGTAACTGAGGGATTAATCCTACAAACACAAGTTGGACATATGAGTAACTTTACTTAAGTTAGTTGTCTCATGGAGTAGGACACAAGAGGCTGGCTCGCTAGTGTTTTTCTTCTGTGTCTTCTAAGACTTTGACAAAAGCAAACAATGAGGAACTATCATTCTTTGGGATTTATTGTGTTCATACTAATCCAATAATGAAAACAGAAATGCGATGAATTTAAATAAAGTACTGCATCTGGTTTTGTTTTTGCTTTCTAAAAAAAACAAAAAAACAAAACCCAGCTAAGTAATTAAAGAATTTAAGGAAACTAGCACTTTTTCCTCCTCCTTGCATTGTCCTAACAAGGCCTGTTTGTGCCCAATACACTCCTGTTGCAGTTACTTTCCACATAAAATAAACATATCTTAGTTTTATCTCTTTCCATTGTACTATGGCTGCAATGAACAAAAACTATTTGCTCCGAGTCACTAAAGCGTACAGCCTAATTTTTCAGAGGTGCAGCACACACTCAGCTCCCACTGAATTCAAGAAGAGCTTCAGTGCTTAATCTCATCTGAAAATCAGATAGTTTATTTTAACGAACATAGTACTTTAAAAATAAGAGACCAATACAACAAATCCTTACTTAAGCAAATTGTCTCATACGTCAGTGAAATTACTTGAGAGAGTAAATGTTTGCAGGATTGGTCCCTGAATCAGCAAAATGAATTTACCGAGTGGGGAGAAAAGCAGTTTTTGTCAATTGCAGCTTTTGTCCAATAAGAAGTCTTACCACCTAGTTTGGTTATTTTTCTTATTATAAGCAACATTCAATTTTAAGAACAGAAAAGAATATTGATTAAAGAGTGACAGTTTCAAGGCTTTGTAGATAAAAATGAAGTTGGAGGACTACTGCCATCATACAAATTGGATAGGATAATCACGGTCATCCATTAAGCTCATTGAAGTCAGATATGTTAAGGAATATGTCTTAAGGCATAACAGTTTTGACACTCACTTTTCAAAGATTCTACATGTGCTCGCAGAGTTTTTAATATAATTCAGCACACAACAAAGCCTTCAAAATTAGAATGCACGTTCTTGAATAACACCTTGAGAAATCTTCTGGCTACATATAGTAAATCATAACTCTCTGCTTTAAGGTCTACAGATATGTGCAGTTTAAAAAAATGGTTACAAAAAATGGAAAAGGCCAGTTAAAGGAATTGGTACTTTTATTGGACTAATGGATGAATCCCCAAACTCAGAAAATCAGTTTTCTTGTAGAGAGACAAGATGGGTGACCAAGTTGGACCTTACTGGACCAAGTTCTTGATGAGAGAGACAAGCTTTCAAGCTTAAACAGAGTGGTTTGTGACCGTGAGTGACAAACTCAGGGCAGACTGTCAAGAAGCAAGGCAGAGACCCCAAATTGGTTATGTGTTATAGATTTCAACAACCCAGTAACAAGTTGAATTCCTAAAGCACTATAATAGTTTTACCATGGAATCACAGGCAGTCGTCTCTGGCATTTCTATCTTGCCACTCAGGCAAGAAAGCTTGTAAGCTCGAAAGCTTCTCTCTCTGACCAACAGAAGTTGGTCCAATAAAAAATATTGCCTCACCCCACCTTGTTGCTCTAATATCCTGGAACCAACACACCTACGACACTGCATACAACAATGGAAGACATTGAATTCTGCCATCTGAAATGGAGTTTCCTTGTATACTGTTAGGCCCCAGTTCACGAAAGCACCTCTATTCAGCAAAGCACTTAAGCATCAGCTGACATCCCATTGAAAGCAATGAGACTTCACCATATACTAACAGTTAAGTATGTTAATGTGTTGCTCAACACAGATGACTGTAGATTTCCTGAATCAGGGCCATGTGAAGTAAATTAAAGGTTTTACTTTGTTGATGGGACTATATACATTGACTTTGGGTTGATTCAATATCAAATGTCAGGATGCTTGGTTTTCATATATCATCTGATAAAAATCTTTACCACTACAAACTTTGTGGAAAATGTTTCACAGTATTATTGGATAAGAGAATGAATAAACAAGGAAACAATATATCTAATCTCAAATGGGTTTGATCCTGAGAAGTGCTGAATTTTCTCATGAGATACTGGAGGCACTCAGTACTTCACAATACTGTATCATTAATTTGCCCAGTTAATATTTATAATTTATAATTAATTTGCCCGGTTAATATTACCAGCTTAACTATGTTACATCCAAATGGTTTTGTCAGGACAAAACCATTTGGATGTAACATAGTTAAGCTGGTAATATTAACTGGGCAAATATTTGCTAAATTTACATTAAAAGATGAGAAAACATAAAGTTGATAACAATGACATTTTAAACTGCTTTTCAGTTTAATTGATTTAGCTAAAATACAAATGCCACACATTGTTACTGTTCTCTAAGTTTTTCATTTGTAAATAGCTAGCACATACGTCTCATAAAAACAAGTATAATTTAGTACAATTTTTTAAAATTTCAGCTCCATATTGTTAATATTGAAAAACTATTTCATTCCAGTAAAATACCTAAGCTAAATTTGCTGTAACAGCAGTAGCATTTTTGCATAATTGTGTACTTTAGATGATTTTTTACTTCTACCTTTAAAATATCTGAAGCTTTATTAAACAAAACAAAAAAATTCAGTCATTTTTTTCATGTATTCCTGCTGATTTTTCTGAAATCAGTAACCACACAGGACCAAATCCTCAGCTGGTATAAACTGGTGTAGCTCCATTGTCTTCAAGTAAATTATTCAGATTTACATCAGCTCAGGATCTAGTGTATCATAGTTTGTTATCTGCAAAAATATCTTACATGTTTCTGAAAATATTTATTAAAATATATGGAAAACTTTTTTTACAAAAAGTGCAATTATAATATGAGGCATGTTATAATGAAGTATTTACAGTTTATTCTAATGAAAATCATGATCATCTTTCAAAACTAGATGCAAATATCAAAGTACAAATGTTACATTATCATTGCTTAATAATGTAAATTATGAAGTTCCAATAATTCTTCATGTTCTACTGTGGTAGAATAATGGTGAACTAGCTGGCTTCTTCCTATTCCAGAAGGTTAGAGGTTAAAGTGTTTTTCACCATTATAAACTGAGATTCTCTGTGGGATCTTTTCAGCTTTGCACGGCGATTCTGGAACCAGATCTATAATTGAAATAAAATGCACATTTCTTAGAAATGGGTAATTTTTCCTTTTAAAAGCAACATCGTATGCAGGCCAGGTTTGAAGTTAATAAAGAATATCAGTACAACCATACAGTAAAATAATTTGTGAAATTCTGATCTTTTGGAAGCTGAAGCAGCTTGGAAGTTTCAAAGCTACAGATGAAGGTATATGGTGAGCTGTAATAATTTTAATAAATAATAATGTAAGGCAGAGAAAATTATAGACAAAGGACTCATTGCATTTCCTAGCTGAATTGAAAAGTAAGGACCTGCTTTGTTCCCACTGAAGTTAACTGCAAAACTTTCATAGACTTCAATGGAACAGGACTGGACCCCTAGGGCTTGATCCAGGAAGATGCTGAGCATCCTGAACTTCCGGAGGAGTCAGTGGAAGTTCAGGATGCTCAATAACTCCCAGAAGTGCTTAAACCCTTGCAGTATAAGTCAGTAGGGCCTGATCCTACTTTTATGAAAAAGCCTCCAACTGACTTCAATGGAAGTTGATCAAACCTTTAATGAACATTAAGGGCCTGATCCAAAGTCCAAAGAAGTCAGTGGGAGCCTTTCTATTGACTTTGATGTGTTTTCGATCAGGCCTTAAAATCCCTGTGTGTACTGAGCTTTGAACCAAATGAGACGGAGTCTCAAATGTGACTTTAAAACAGTTTTGTCCTGTCTAAATTGGCTAGCCAAACCCTGCCTGAAATGTATGTATCCATTTGCTTAACTATATTTATTTAGTTTTCAAACATGGTTCCAAACCCATTGTAGAAAAGGTTTTCAAACCTGGGATCAGAGAACGAAATCCTGGCCCCACTGAAGTCAATGAAAAAATTCCCATAGACTTCAATGGGACCTGGATTTAAATCTGAGAGTTCGGTAGGGGGAAAGCTTTGTGATGGTCAAGGAGGATGACACTGAAGTATTACAGAGATGAATGTCATATCAGTGCCAGAGAGAAGGGGAGACTGAGAGGAAAGAGAAATTTCACTGGTTTCTCCACTACAAATTACTGTCAATATAGTAGCTATCTAATAATGCATTAATTACTAAGGATCATTAAGAATAAATGCAACTTTCAGATGGTTATCCGATCCACCCACTTACATCATTGCTGAGCAGACATCATGTGATCACAGAATATATATTTAAATTAAGTTACCTGGATCCTGTCTTCATCTAAATCTAGTTTGTGAGCTAGTTCTTCTCTAACGTCAATGCCAGGATAGGAGTTCACTCTAAAAACATTTTCCAGCACGTCAATCTGAGGAGAATAAGCAAACAATTTAAAATGTTACATTGTAGGAAAAAGAGAAAAAGTGAGTCAGTTCAAGTAAAAGACTTTCCCAACAATTTTTTGGGCCAGACTCCAATCTCATTTATACCAGTATAAATCAAATGAAACTAGTGAAATTACTCTTGGTTAACACCAGTCCTTAACCACATATGTACATCTCTGCCTCTTTATGCAGTAAGTATACAACATTTTATCAACTAATTATTACAGGCTTCCTATTGTTGAATGCATTTTACTCAACAAATGAATATAGCAAAACATACATTACTTAATTTATAAATAGGTAACTGAATCCCTACCTGGTTTCTAGTGAAAGCAGTTCTTGGTCTCCTACCCCTGTACCAGCTCAGTTCCCTTTTGTAAGATAGCCTTTCAGTGGCTGAAAAATATTTTTCACATTTCAAAACTCTTTCGTCCAGTATCGGGTAACTGTTAACATGAAATAATGGCCCTTCGCAGGAAATAACAGGGGTCTGCAGACACTGATTAGTGTCTTCTCCTAAAAACATAAAAATATAGAATTTAAATTCATAGATCTGTATTTGCCAATTTTTGAATGAGACAGTTATATTAAAATGCAAGCCTGTAACAAAATAAGTGATAATCTAATGTTTTAAGTATAAGTCTAATCGTACTGAGGTGCTTATGGAAACATATCCTTGATAATACATAAAACTTAACATAGGGTAAAAAGTTAAGACAATACACAACTAAAGCTGACAACATACCTAAATTGTTGCATGTATCCATCCATGGTCTGTGAGGTTTCGCAGCTGGAATGCCATCTTTTTTCTGTTCTAATCCCAAAATGCTTTCAATGGAAAATGAGCAATGCGTGGTTTTAGTTTCCACAAAACTGGATACTTTCTGAAGATTTTGAGACACTGCTGTATCAGAAGCACATAATGATGTATTTGCCATTCTTTCACCTTCAGTCTATGCACAACATGAATTGTACTTGCATTTTCTTGCAGGTCCTCCTTATAGCTGTGTTGGCAAGGGGGTTGGATTTGCAACGTCATTAATTAAAATCTTTTATTAGAAAGTTTTAGCATGTCAATGAAGACTCTCCCACCAAGAGGCACGAGGAGTTAATTGTTTATTTGTTTGCAAGTAATTAGCAACTAATGGCGACACTAGGGGGGCCACCAAGAGGGACAAAAAGTGTTATCTCTCCTAACCAGAACATCGACTTAACTTTCTCAAAAGAAGCTATGCACAAATATAGTACTTCCCTTTTATTTGAAATCATTAATGTATAAAATCAGTTTTTAAAAAAACTTTATAGTCTAATGGACTCCACTTACCTAAACATAGCAGCATGATAGGAAACCAGTCAAGTAATAAGTAATCTCATTTAAGTGAATTTTCTTCCAAGGAAATTTTAAAAATAATCTCTTAATGCTATTAGGGTAATCCTGATGAAAATGCCTCTGTTTTTTCATATGCATATGTAATGGTGAACGTGGTCAATAAAACAACAATAGTGTTTGGCACAAGGCACACTGCAGTGGGTTGGCAATGTTGTCAAAGCTCAGTGTAATTGCCTTCCAAGTGCCTGGATTAGTTAACAGGAACAGTTGCACCAAGTATTTAAATAAATAACTCACGCATTCACTTGCTTCATTTTTCTATTAAAATAATCTTGGTGCAGCTTTCTCAAAAGACAGCAATGTGAAAGTCTCAAAGCATTCTTTAAAACATTTGTATAAAACATTTTAAAAGGAATAGAATCACTGTATTTTAATTTCTTGATTAAAATCAGAACACTTTTTTCTACCAGCCTTTCATCGTAATCTCGTGTATTTGTTTTAAATCAATGGGTGTTTACTTCAGTCACCAGTGCTAATATTTAAAATAATCAAAAATAGAGAATTGGAGATGAGTTCAAGCATTTTTATAAAATTCACAGTTGTTTGAATCCAGAGTTGTGGTTTGGCCCATTATAAGGAAAGTGACATATATAAAATTCATATCTGGATGCAGGTTCAGGTCTCAAACACTATCAAAGCTCAGGGATATTTGGATCAAGGTTTTGGTTCTGGACCATCTCCCTTCATATTTCCCTGCTTTTTCTTATTCTAAAACTTTATTTGAAAAAAGCGGCAAAAATTAAACAGAATTTTAAATGTAAGGGTAGAAAAATTCAGAGTTTGCAACCTTTAATTCAAGTTCTGACCTCTGATGCACACCAACTGGAGCCGTGTGCATTCAAGGGCAGAATCAGGACTTCTTGTTGGCATTTATCCCTGCTCTGTCACCTTCCTGTATAAAAATATAGTTGGATATAAATCTAATAAATACCTACCATATGGAAACATGCAACCATTATTCTGATACAGTTAAGGACACCATGAAATTCTGGGAAATTAAAGATCTATATGATACACCTGTCATTTCAAGCATATCTGAAAAGATCATTCATGAACTGTATATTCATCCTATTGCTCTTGGCAATGTTAATACTGTAAGACAGCAGCTATTGAAGCATGGTGCTCCCTACACCATGATAAGGTATTGCTTCAGTACTAACTTAAGGTATTGAGTTCCAACTTACTGAACCATGATTTCCAACACCGTTGACCACATGATCTATTAAATGAAGGTCTTGCCTATCCAAGGAGTGACCCATCCAGACCTTGCTAACCTTGAGAGATGAGATAGGAGCTGATGAGACAGCACAAGGAAGCATACACAAAGTATCTATATCAATTCACAAAAACATGTGCTGAAGGTTTAATAAAAATTAAAAAATTAAAATAAAGATGAGAGACAACTCATCTATGCTAATTTACAGTGTACCTATTACACTAGATTATGAAGAACATAAATCTTTGAAGAATAAATGTATTCAGGATGGACTTTTATTTATACCACGATACATGCCCTTGTGAGCACACAGCTCAATTTTGAGCACTTATGTTGGATTTAAGTTAGGCATAGGCCTTATATTGGCCCTCTACCAGGGGTGACTTTTATCCTTGCTGAATAAAATGGCTTGAGTATCCAGAGAGCTGTGAAACAGTAATGCTACACGGAGAACATTTTTCATAATTTTGTAAGTATAGTTCAAAGAGTTTACTCAGTATTGCCAAGCCGAGAGTTCAAAAATCATTTCAGACCTCAAAAGACCACGAGAATGACTTAAAAATTATGCAGTTTTTAAAATAAGTAAATGTTGGGTTCTTCTCATTTGCCTTTTGGTTTCTGATCTCTAGAGTTCATGTTTTCAAGCTTTTTTCCATAATCATAAGGGCTAGAAGCTTGTTTTTTTTTTAAAAGAAAGCTGAGATTTTCATATAATCTCATGCCTGGGAACTGAAGCATTAGGAAAATCACCAAATATGAGATTTGGGATAAAAATCTCTGGAGTTCACAATACTGCCCACTAATGCAGAAGGCACTGTTATTCTTTTTAAAATATAACAACATAAAAAATGTAATGGGAGGCTCAGTATATCAATCTGACCAAAAATTATATACTGCTGCACGCATGGAGAATTATGGGTCAGATTTTTTCCAAGTGTAGAAAACCATTAATGACTATAATACAAATAATGGCTGGCCTTCAAACATAGCTCATTATTTATACCTATAGCAGGTTAAAAAAAATATGGACAAGGACCTATAAGAAAGTAAATATCTCATTTACAATGCTGGCTTGATGGGATCATCTTAGAAACATGAATTGTAAGAAGTTCAAAATATGGTAACTGGCTTTATATAAATAAATTATGTAATGAAATCTTATTTCTCTTTAAAGGGCTACTAAAGAACTTTCCAGAAAGATAAGTGTCAGTAGTGATGAGGAACATTTAATTATATGCTTCTTACCACCTCAAAACCAACTGCTAAAAGGTCTATGTAGTTTACTCCTCAGGGAATTCTGCGCCAAAAAATTAAAAATTCTGTGCATAATATTTTAAAATTCTGCATATTTTATTTGTCAAAGTAACACAATATAATTACACCATTTTTAATTATTTGCTGACAAGTATTTTGAAATAAATTGTAAAAATAATTGGAAATGGTGTGATTATATTGTTATTGTGTTACTGTATTAATTTTACAAATAAAATATGCAGGACTTTGCAGAATTTAAATTTTTTTAATTGTTTGCTGCAGAATTCCCTCAAGAGTACCAAGGTTCTGTATGGTGCAAACTGGGTGCGGACAGCTCAGTGGGGGGTTCTGGGTGCAGGTGGACTGGGAGTCCGCAAGGGAGTCCATGTGAAGGTGGTTAGGACTCGGGGGGAGGGGGGCTTGATGGGTAAGGGATCAGGGTGTGGCTGGTTGGGGCTCAGTGGGGGGGTGTCAGGGTGTGTGTCTCCCAATACAGTGGGTTTGGTCAGCAAGATGTGGTTTCGGGGGGGGGGGGTCTCCTGATGCGGAAGAGGGCTTGGGGGAAGGGGTCACTGTACTGGGAGCAGCTACCCCTGTCAGTGCAACCCCTGTAAATTTGGAGCCCCCTGCACCTGAACCTCCCACCCCACTGAGCTTCACCCTCCCCCTGCAGCGATGCAGAGCTTCCTACAACCATGGGAAGTTTCTAGGGATTGAATGCCCTCAACTCCCAGTATGATGTACTCCACAACTTGCAGGACTGGGTTCATAATGGCCTTGCCAGGTAAGAAAGAAGATGTGGTAGCTCCCAGGAGTATTTTCAGAAAGGAGGCCAGCATTCAGCCATTGAGTCTTAGTTGAACTCAGGTTTCAGAGGAACAGCCGTGTTAGTCTGTATTCGCAAAAAGAAAAGGAGTACTTGTGGCACCTTAGAGACTAACCAATTTATTTGAGCATGAGCTTTCGTGAGCTACAGCTCACTTCATCAGATGCATACCGTGGAAACTGCAGCAGACTTTATATACACACAGAGAATATGAAACAATACCTCCTCCCACCCCACTGTCCTGCTGGTAATAGCCCATCTAAAGTGATCAACAGGTGGGCCATTTCCAGCACAAATCCAGGTTTTCTCACCCTCCACCCCCCCACACAGATTCACTCTCCTGCTGGTGCTAGCGGGAGAGTGAATCTGTGTGGGGGGGTGGAGGGTGAGAAAACCTGGATTTGTGCTGGAAATGGCCCACCTGTTGATCACTTTAGATGGGCTATTACCAGCAGGACAGTGGGGTGGGAGGAGGTATTGTTTCATATTCTCTGTGTGTATATAAAGTCTGCTGCAGTTTCCACGGTATGCATCTGATGAAGTGAGCTGTAGCTCACGAAAGCTCATGCTCAAATAAATTGGTTAGTCTCTAAGGTGCCACAAGTACTCCTTTTCTTTTTGCGAATACAGACTAACACGGCTGTTCCTCTGAAACCTGAAACTAAAGTAATACTGCCATCTAGGGTTCATAGATTCCCATTCAACAAATTACTTTCTAAAGATACATGCATAATATTGCCTTCTAAAAACTGCAAAAATACAAATAACATTACTAAAAGATTTTTAAAATTATTATTTTTTATTATAAGGGATCCATTTCAAACAACTAAGTCCCCTTATGTTGCAGGGTATAATAAAAAAAGAACCCATCTTGAAGTCAATTGGCATTTTACTGCTCTCTTCAACAGAAGCAAGACTGTCCCCTTTTTTCACGTGCCTGTTGAGATCATTCTGCATGCCAAGTCAAATTTCTACATTTTAATGTCAAATCTGTTGTGGTTTTGTTGTAGCACACTTTCATCTCTTCAGTGCTAATTTAAGATGTATTATTTTCAGTTCATGGCAACTAAAAGAAAATAAGTGTTGTCTGTTGCCATCTAAAGAGGTGTATAGATGGGAGAAACAACAGAAACTCCACTTCCTAAATCCCACATACTACTATCTATGATTTTGCTAAGGGAACATGTCCTCAATCTTACACATTGTACAAAATATACAAACTGCCGCCAGTAAAAAAAAATCCCCATGATTTGACAGCTGTACTAAATGGTCACTAGTTGACAGATTTCAAAAAAGAAAAGCTATTCATGACATTTATAGACTGTGAATTAGTGTATGGCATATCCATAAAATTTGAATTTGGAGAACCAGACAGATAAGAATGTTACTGCAAATCTTAATCCTCACAACATCCTTGTGAGATAGGCAAGATTAGTCACAAATTACAGATAGGGAAAGAGAGGAAAAGAGGTTAAGTGACATGCCTCAGGCCACACAGTGAGTCAGTGGCTAAACTGGAAATTAAACCAGTTGAACTGAGTTCTTACTTCTAGTTTCCTCCCCCAACCACTAAACAATTTAATGTCTACATCTCATCTAATTTTTTTAGAGTATGGAATCTTATATAAATAATGATAAACACATTTTTATCGCAATGAAAATACCGTACATTAGTTAATCATTTGCTCCACTAACAGACTTATCACACTTTCTAACCTAGCTTTTGCACCGCACTCACTGGAGTTTATTTAACAATGTAAATTCTCCTACCCTTCTTTTCTTGCCTGACATATACTGTCTCTCTTTCTCTTGAGAAGGAGAAGCAGTTCCCTTTCTTTTCTTTTTACCCCCTAATAATAACCAATTTACTCAAACGTTACTGGTTTTCCATCAAATGTTCTTGTGGTCTTTTTTTCCCCCATCAATGACAACAAGTAATTTCTTTTTTAAAAACTATTATTTTACAACTTCAAATGTATTTTATCTCCTTGTTTTTTTCTGTCACTAGCCTTTCAAATGTCTGAATTTATATTTTTGCTGTATTTCATTTCACACACATTGTTTCCTGTGTTTTGAATGCAATTGAAATTAAAATGTTTAGCAATTAGGGTATGAATATCATATACCTCTCAGATATCCATTTTAACATCTACAGGAACCACACACATACATCTCAAGGTCAAGATGTTCTAGTCACAAAGCTATAAAAAGAGGCTTTGAAGAATGATTGTGTGTGTACGCTCGCACGCAGGGGGGGAACAGGACAGCATATTTTATCTAAGGCCAATGTGTCTTTCTAGTAAACAACTGGGGTTAGCTACAAGCACGTTTCAAAAGGGTTTTCTAATTCTGTCGTGCTACACGAAGCAGAACATGGCTTTAAAACCCTGTCCAAACAGAGTTAAAAGGAATTATTACAAACTTTGACATTCAAAAATATGTTAACTCCCCTAGCAGGATGCAAATAGGGTTTCTGAAGACAATTGTAACATGTTTCAGAGTAGCAGCTGTGTTAGTCTGTATCCACAAAAGGAACAGGAACATCCGATGAAGTGAGCTGTAGCTCAGGAAAGCTCATGCTCAAATAAATTGGTTAGTCTGTAAGGTGCCACAAGTACTCCTTTTCTTTTTAGGAATATCTGTGGCACCTTAGAGACTAACACGTTTGTTTGAGCATAAGCTATGCTGGGGAGTCAGTGTGTTCAACACGTGTTAAACAGAAGAGGTAGCGTGGAAGGGGGTGGGGATAACGAATTCCTCACAGGACGACTATCACAGCGTGCTGACAGTTTAAGAAAGGATCAGAACCATGTGAAATTCTAAATGCCAGAGCAGGAGAAAAGCTCAACCACCATCCAGCACCTTAAGGGGGAAAGTGAAGTCCCAACGCGCGTCTCTCCCTCAGAAACATCTAAGACCTGCTCTGCGCAGCTTTTGTACCTGTAAACCCACGCTGGTTAGAGGTGTGCTTATACACTGGGGCGCGGACTCGCAGGCACACCGCGCGGGGCGATGAGGAGGCCGCTCCCTTGCGGGAAGGGGTCACCCCGGGCAAGGGCGGAGCTGTATTGACGAGACCTCGCTAGGAGCCTGCGCGCGCCGCCGGGACCTGGGCCTGGTTCCCGCTGCGCTGGGCCGGGAGACCGCCGGCAGACGCAGCTGCCTCAACCACTCCCAGCCCGGGAGAGGGCAAACGGCGGCGGCAACTGAGTCACGCCAGACGTCACTCGACGCCCTCTCTCCGAGGTCAGCCCCGCCTCACGCGCTTAGAGTGACGCCTCCGTTGAGCAATGAGAAGGCGGCGGCGGCGGCGGCGGGGGCCGGATTTCCGGGGCGGGGCAGGGGGCAGGGGGCAGGGTTGTGGCTGTGCTGACGAAGGGGGAGGGGTCCAGTGTTGGCTGCACGGGAGGGCTTGTGGGCGCGTCGGCCCGTAGGGACCCAGCCACCGCCATGCCCGGGATTGACAAGCTGCCCATTGAGGAGACGTTGGAGGACAGCCCCCAGGTGAGAGGAGAGGGGCCCCGTCGGGTCGGGCCCTGGGGTCCTGCGCGGGGACAAGGCTGCCGCAGCTTGGAGCCAGGGCCCAGGGGCTCTGCGCCCGGGTGGCAGCCCCAGGCAGTGGCCCGCGGGCGCTGTAGCTCGAGGGGATGTCGAGAGGCGGGTTAGGTGGCTGGGTGCGGTGAAGGGGCAGGCAGCCGAGGCTGAGGTGTCCGGGGCGAGCCCCCAGGGCCCTGTGGACCGACCCCTGGCATGGGGTACAGGAGCGCCCCGCAGGGTCCGCTTGTAGTTTCAGGCTTGCTCTTGCTGGGGGCGGGTGTCTCTGATGCTGTGAGCCGCAGCAGTGTCAAGCCGTAAATAGACTCCGAGCTTCCCCCGCAACTTTACCGTAGTGTAAATGTGTGTAAGCTGGGGGGAAGGGAGGAAGTCACTCAGTGTGGGTCAGTTTTTCCCCCCCTCACGTCATCCCCACCTTGCATGTGTGCTCCGAGTAGTGATTAGTTAGATGATATTAAAGGCCGCGCTGTTAGTTAAACAGCACTGCAGCTGTGTGATGCTTAATGTGAGTGTCTCCTGTTCCCAGGAGATTCAAAATAAAATGGCCTGTATTTTAAGATTAAATATTCCTCGTTCACATTGTCAGTTTGAGAAAAGTTTTTTTTAATCTGAATCCTGTGGTTATGTTTTAGCCAAAACTTTTACATTGAAGACCAAAAAATTAGGATAGTTTGGTTTCATGAAGTGTTTCTGAAAGCTGTTCCCAGACTGGCAATATATGCTATTGATTTACAGCTTTTTAATTACTTTCTAATTTCTTCACTCAGTATTTGCTGTTTAGTTAATCACTCACTGCTTGATATTAAGAAGGCAGGATATCCATAAATGCTGCCAGCTGTCACTAGAGTTAACCAGATAGTGTTTTGTAATCTGCCTCTTGACATTGTGAATAATATAACACTAATGTATAATATATCATGTTAAGTGAACATTGCTCTCATTACACTGTCAGCTGGCAAATATCATCCGATAGAACAATGTTGACTGACACTATTTGATATATTAGTAAAAAGAAAAGGAGTATTTGTGGCACCTTAGAGCCTGACAAATTTATTTGAGCATAAACTTTCGTGAGCTACAGCTCACTTCATCAGATGCATGCAGTGGAAAATACTGTATTTTCTTTTTGCGGAACAGACTAACACAGCTGCCACTCTGATGTATTAGTGTAACTGAGGATGATTTGTAATTTAACAGTGTGCACATATTGCTATTTCTGAGCTTAAGACTCACCACCTTGCTTTTAGGATTCAGATTAAAATCCTAAATTATGTAGTGCTACTTATGTAAAATGAAAATTTTTATTAAACACGACTAATATTTTAAAACACATAACTAAAATAAAATGGTATAGGGACTTTTTAAAATGTGAAGGGAAAAACCATAAAGGATTTGACTACCCTACATTTTGAAATAATCATACCATATTACTGCATATTAGCAGTATTGATCTAGGAATAAGTGCAGAAGAAGGGAGTGGGCTAGAAAGCAGAGAAGTTTCCAGAGGAACTTTGACCCCTAGATCATCGCTTAAGATTTAAAATGTTGTTACTAATGGGAGCTGTGGAAGGAAAAATAAACTCCAAGAACAATCCTGTGTTTAATATTCTAAATACTGAAATAAAGAATTTTAATCAAAGTGCTTCAAATATTTTTAGAATGGTATGCATAATTAGTCAAATGAATTTAGTATTTATTACTTTATATACTGCTTTCTGTCCAAAGATACAAAAATGCACTAATAATATTTTACAGAATCTATTTGGATCAGTTCACCCACCACTGGAATATAGCTGGTTTCAGAGTAACAGCCATGTTAGTCTGTATTTGCAAAAAGAAAAGGAGTACTTGTGGCACCTTAGAGACTAACCAATTTATTTGAGTATGAGCTTTGAGCTGTAGCTCACGAAAGCTCATGCTCAAATAAATTGGTTAGTCTCTGAAATATAGCTGACTACTGAATATTTTAGGGTGAAAAGAAAAAAATACCTTATTCACTTGAAATTGTAGAGGAATTCAGGTAGGCAAAATATAATTACCTGTTTGGGATTTGTCCAGGAAGCTAGGCCTTAAGCCACTGCTCTTGCGAAAAGCCCCACATGTTGTTTAATGACCAAGTGTTCAAGCTCTGAGGTTTAAGTCTTCTCTGAAAGACTGACCCTTCAAAAGATTACTACCTCTGATCCTAAAAAGAATTAATATTGACCTGTTCCGTCACTTTGAAGCTTTTTCTTTCATATACCAGTTTTTTTTAAACCGAGTTTAACAAATGAATCTCTGCTCTCCACACAGAGTATTCAGAGCCAGAGATTCTTTACTCAGGATATCAAATGCAAGATAATTTAGCATCCAGAGTAAACAGTTTTTGCCCCCTTCTGTTAAATATACTTTTTCACTAGTCTTGAGGAAACAAAGTTGCTGTTGGAAATACTCACTGTATGCAAGGATGGCTTGTTAATTTATAGACACCAATTCAAAATACAGTTAATTTGTTTTAATCCCTTTACAGTCTTTCAGATCTGTTGATTCTCAAGAAAGTCCTTCAGTGGAGGTTTTGTGGCAGGCTTTAGCTAGTCTAGTCTATTTTGAGTTAGATAGAGATCATTACTCGCTATTGAGCCTGCACTTTTTACCTGCTAGATTTGCCTAATGCTTTCATATGGCACAGGTCTTAATTTTTTGATTTTTTTAAGGGTAAAGTTGTGTCTACTTAAAACATAATTAGTTTGGGTAGAAAATGCTGGCTGAACCAAAACCTATTAGAGACCAAGTAATTTTATTCCCTACATTCTTCCATGCTCTGTCCTGAATCCTACTTCTGACCATCGCTAAGTAAATAAAAACTACTATGGTCTCATTTTACAGTCTGGTTCCATTATTTCAGAAGTACACGACCACAAAGTGGAACAGTTTGTTTTACTGGATCTCATTCTTCAGAGGGATAGGGGAGAGGGAGTAAGACCCAAAGTGTAATGTACATAGACCATGAATTCTCAGTCAGAATGTCACGACCATTCCATGTCTTTATGACTAGGTGCATCCTGAAACTTTTCTGGTGTAACGTAGATCATGGTATGGAAGAGGTTGAGGACTACTGACCTAGACAGTTGTGCAGTGCTGGAGTTAGGCAGGGAAATGCCTTCTTGAGCCATATGTGAGCGCAGTTTACAAATCTGAAGCATAAGATTTGTTTGCCCTAACTTTAGCTTGTAGTACTGCAAATTCTATTAAGTCTTAAAGCTATCAATGTTTTTTAATGCGGAAAAAGCTACCTTTTGTCTCTGGAATGTCAGAAACTTTAAACACTTGGTGTTGGCTTTAGACTATCCTAAAAGGAAGATCGAGATAAGATTATCAAAAAGCACAATCAATTCTTTTTGCAGTTTAGCAAAACTGTGTTACATGTAATATTTAAAGTTCAATTAGTCATATCCATTAGTTCATTACTGCAAGAGCCTGTTGTGCTATAGGATAGCCAAAAACCATGGTGATAGACTACAAAAGGACTTCTACATTAGCAGTAGTATTTTAAGACCTGTACAATGAAATTAAAAAAAAAATTTAGCATCCTGTAAATCACGCTCACTAGACAGAGTGGTTTTATTTTTTTGATACCAGATAATGTTGATTACTGTTTACTGTATTCTGGTAGCTTCTACAATGTGGTAAGCACATTCTACATATACAGAAAGACAAAGTTTTTGTCCCAGAGAGCAATATCAATTATTTTGCTGGAATCTTAAGTTTAAGCCAAGCTCCCTATCCAAAGTAACTGAGCTTCAGCTTTTTAGACTAAGCAACAGGCCTGTGTTTTATCATACACTGTTACTGAGTGGATATGTTCAGGGTAACAAACATCACAAATAGAAATCCAATTAATGAATGTAATGTTTAACTTTAAATATACATCAGTGCAACTTAGTTGATACATATATTTTCACTTCCTTGAATATTTGAACCCTGCACCACAGGGTTTTAGATTGCAGTAACAGTCTTCATGTTAATAGGAAATACCACTAAATGTAGGGGTATTATTTTATTTCAAAATAATGGTAAATTCTGTCGTCGTCCCCCCCAAAATTAGTATTTCCTTTCCTTTTAAAACTGTCAGGTACTACTGTTAGTATTCTGTTTTGAGGGTAATGAGTCTGCCATTCTGCACTTAGGGTTTCTGTCTTACGGTTTCCCTTGTCTCCATTAGAAAACATTAAAGGTTTCATAAGTATAAGGCTGTCGGGGTACAGCAGGTTAACTTGATAACTTCGGATTTTACACATCCTCTGCTTATTCGAAAAGTTAGAAACAGGATAAATTATGAAAAAAGTTACACACTATGAATGATGCTCTTCTAATCAGGCTTGTAGTTCTACTATGCAGACAGCCAAGTGGATGTTTCAGGTTAAATAAAAGAATGATGTGGAAGCTATTTCCTTATTTCTTAGTCATTTGGGGTATGTTCTTATCAAAGGATTTGGATATCTGACAATAGCATTTCTGTAACAAACATACATACTGTAGTTTCTTTGCACATCTCCATAATAAATTTTAGGATAATTTCTTCCATTGTAGAATGAGAGTGTACACGCTTCTGTATTGTGAGCTAGATTATATTAAAGTAGTTAAGCCAAAAACCTACACTCTAGAAATGGAGTATGTAATAGAAGTGTAAGCAGTTCACTGCTAGGTTCAAGAATGTTTGTGTAAATAGGGCATTTTACTGATCTTCTCAAGTATCACTGAATTGCCTTGTTAGCAAAAGTCTGATAAGGAGAAACACAGAAAAAAAATTCTGCTTTGCAAGAAACCATTGTTGCTGAGGCTTGTTCCTCAGCTCTCAATTTAAGTGAGCTTCACAAACGTTTTCTGTCTGCTAAGGAGATGTTCCAGAACGTATTCTGGTGTATAAAGATTATTCAGCTGTGCAGTTGCCCTTTAAGATGCAACAGAATTATACTCTGTAATTTAAACTTTCATCAGTAATTAAGTAGATTCAGAGGTTCAGTTGGATTTTACCTGAAGACTTTCCCCAAACTATAGTAACCTTGTGCAGTCACTGCTGGTAAAATCAAGGGGTGGTTAGAATGTGGAAGGCATTGCTTGTGTATTGCAATATCTAGGCATTTGAAAGCATGACTTACTGTAAAGTCATCTTATGTCCATGAAGAAGGTCTGATACAGCCCCAAATGGAGTCAAACTCAATTCTTTGCTCTTCCCCCATGTGGGATTTTGGCCTTTTGGAATAAATAGGCCTGAAGCTAGTGGACATACCACTATCTACCTTTTGCTGGAGGAAATTCATTGCCACTCCAGTGCAAACAAGTTATCAGCTGTCTCATTCTCTTGTAATTTAAGCATTTGCTGTAGGTGTTATTTTCAGCTGTTTATGATGGGCCTGTTAGTTTTGATTATGATAACATGCTTTTGGTGCCTGTGGAATGTATTTATTTTAAAATTATTTTAGAAAAAGATGTAGCAAAGCTTAATATACATGGGCATAATGGGATTTTAATATGGCATACCTTCCCAGATGTGGAGACATGGTCTTTCACAGTTTTCCTTTTGGCAACCCAGTGATTTGGTGTCTATTAGAGTTTAGCTTTCCAGCCACACCTGTGAGTCCTTCCGGTCTCAGGGATCAACAAAAACAGCTTTTCTTTACTACCCCAGTCCAGGCTCGCCATGCCTTCTTGCTGCCTCTCACCAGATCCTCAGGTGCAATAGACCTTCTCCCTTTCTGGCAAGATAGGCTGTCCATTCTGGTGGTAATGCTACTGAAAAGCTTAGGGCACGTATGCACCATTTGCTCCAGGTGGTGCGCTCAGGTTCTCTCTCTACTTGGGGTTTTGGTCTAGGGATTCCTTAGTAAGCAGTGACTGACCACAGCTCCAATCCATTGTCACTTCATAGAATGCTTGTTTCACTTCCCTAGACCACTTTCTACCTAAAGTCTACTTCTCTCCCTTTAGTTTTTTTTTTTTTTCCCATTGGCCTGTCCTCAGGCCTATCCCACATCTTGGGCGTGCTGTGGAGCGCCCAACCTATTGTCTCTCTCTCACCCAGGTTTCTGTAGGTCTTTCTCTCTTGGACCTAGATTTGGGAGAGCCTGCCCCCAAATTCTTCCTGATAGAGTTCAGGCTTATTATATTCTGTGGCCCTGCACCTCACATAACTGTCATCTGACTCTAGAGTCTCAGTCCTGTCATCTGGGAGATGGGCTACGCAGGCACATATGAGACTGAGCCCAGTTCCCTTAAAAGGGACTGCTCACTCTGACATATCTACTTCTATCAAGTGAAAAACATATAAAGACACTTAAAGTAATTTGAAACTTTTGTAAACTTTAGAAAAATGAGCGTCTAAATTATGACTAAGAAACATGTTTTCTTAAACCCTATTTTTACTAGTTTTGAAGTCTTTCTGCTCTCACTTGGAAAAGGAAATCTGTTTTACTGTCTAATTCATTAAATCACATTTAATGTCTTTGAAATACCATGACATTCTTTGCTAAGTTGATTTTTAAAAGAGTAACACAAATTCATTGTGTGTTCTATTTTTGACAGACACGTTCTTTGCTGGGTGTATTTGAAGAAGATGCTGCAGCAATTTCCAGTTACATCAACCAGTTGTATCAAGCCATGCGCCGAATTTACGATGCACAGGTTAAAATTGAAGCTGTTCCTCTACGCATTTAGAAAGCTTATAAAAAACATTAACTACTTATTTGAACATGGGTAAACCGTATTTTTTAAACTATAGGTTAAAAATCAGAGATGAAAACTGGAAAATGCCATGTTTGCCAAGGTCTGCTGGTTTTGAAACAAGATTTGTCAGTTGGAAGAGTTGTGTTCTCTTTGTACTTCACACCTTTTAGATGTGTGAATGATTTTTTTCTGAACAATTGCCATTGTGGCTGTAGTATTAGTTTATAAATACATTTGGACAGTTTCTTGTTGTAGTCACTTAATCTTGTTAACATTAGTTCCTGTAGCTTGTATTTTGCCTTATTTTGTTTCCATCTTCACTTGAATATGGTGGTGGTGCGTTTGTGTGTGTGGGGGGGGGGAAGGGGGGTTCTTTTCATGACCTACCTGTTTGTTATCTGCATGTTGCTTCACTTTTGTTACCTTCCTTTTTTTGCTGTTTATTTCTGCACTGTCTGCTGTATGAAACTGCTTATGCAGCGCTTTCCTGAGTCCCTGTCTACACAGTTATTTTAAGAAGTTTGTAACCAGTTAATGGAATGGTTTGTTCTAACAGTTTTCATCCCCACATGTAGTTAATACTCAGTAACCAAGGTGGCTAATGTGAACTAAATATTGTGTTGTCTGCAAATTGCAAGACAATTGCAAATTTGAATGCAAGTCCCAATTTTCATGGGTCTGATAACTCTACAGTGTGCATGATATGTATTGTTGCATTGACTTTCAGAAATACTCTGCATCTGCCACTCCAATTAATTAATTTCAGTGGGAGTTGTGGGTCTCAGCTCCTCTGAAAAATCTGGCTGTGTGTTTCGAGATGATTCCCATTTTAAACTTTTGTTCCGTATTTCTATGTTTCCTCTTTATAAATGTGATGCTCACGGTATATATTCGTTGGAAAGAAAATAGGATTAAACTGTTTCCCTTTTTTTAAAAAAAAAACAGAATGAATTAAGTGCAGCAACTCATCTAACTTCAAAACTTCTAAAGGAGTATGAGAAGCAGGTACAGTATAAATCAGTTTCCCTTCGAAATAGTTCAGAATACATGCTTTTGTACATTAAAAAAGGTGCAATTCTTTTTCTTCCCGCACAGCAAAGTGCAAAACTCCACAGGTCTGATCCAGACAAAATGAACCATTGCAGCTGCTGGATCACAAGAAATTCACCAGCTACAGGGGTTGCTTTCTATTCTGTGTTGAAGATACCCAATCCATAGAACCTGCAGAATGCTAAACTAGACTTGCTGTGATTTTTTCACAGGGAAGCATCTTTAGGCTCAGCTCAGGTCCACAACCATGAATAATACTAGGAAAGGGAACTTCTTTGGCTGACCATCAATCATCTAGGGACATTTTAAAGGGACTGTAGCCCAAAAGCAGTGAGCCTTGCTAGATGGCAGCTTTAATTCTAGTAGTCATAAGAAGAGATTGTGTAGCCTGAAGATGTACCATGCTCCAGCAACCCAACAAGCAAGGAGGAATGGAGCCTGTACCCAGCCACAAAAATCTCCAGTGATTGGGAGGAGAAATCCCCACCCCCAAATTAGCAGATTTTATAAATCATGAAGCCCATAATTTGCTTCCCCACTGAAAGAAGAGTTATATTTCACATGCACAGTAGTGCCAGTAAGGGAAATGTGAGGAAATTTGTTATTTTTGAATGGTCTCTGTGGGCAGCCACCCTACCTTGGGGCTGCAGCTCATGGGGTGAGGCAGGCTACTGGAGCCTAGGCCTTCGTACTCTACCAGCTTCCAACCCAGGGCCTTGGCAGGCTGGTTTGGCTTTGCTTACCTCATGGTGCCTTGCATCAGTATCAAGTCAGGAAGTGACCGAAGGAAACTATCTTCCTGTGCATCCTATCCAGCCACCATCTGTTCTTGCAGAGCACCACCTTCTAGCCCTGGTCACAGTCTCCAAGTGCTGTGGTTCCTCAGTTCCCAGGCTTGGTTTTGGCACAGCTTAAGTCTTTCCCTGGAGCTCTCAGGGCACACCCTTCCCTCTGGCCCACCAGCCTCTGGCTGCCTTTTAAACCCCGCCTCGAAACCAAGCACGCTCCACAGGGGTGGAGAGGCGGGGCTTCCTTAGCCCAGAGTTTCTCCTTAACCCCTTCCCGTCCAATGAGGGGTTTATACACCCTGTCATAGTACAGTAAATCAGAAGTAGTCAGCCCTTACACTCTTTCCTTCCATCTTCTGTGGAATGCAGCAGTGGGAAGTTCATTTATATGAACTTTATTCTTTTTCCTCCATTTTTTCCTCACCCCTGTTTGAGATTCCAAGTTGTTGCATAATTTACTGGTGTGAAGCTGGGAATTTTAGTTTCAAACCTTCCCCTAGATGGAGCCAGCATCATAACTTTCACAGCTTGTTCTTGTCAAGTCAGTTATAATGTTTAATCAAGTCCCTAGGTGTTCCAGAATCACTAAGAAAGGGATAGATAATAAGACAGAAAATATCGTATTGCCTCTATATAAATCCATGGTATGCCCATATCTTGAATACAGTATGCAGATGTGGTTGCCCCATCTCAAAAAAATACATATTGGAATTGGAAAAGATACAGAAAATGATTAGGGTATGGGACAGCTTCATATGCGGAGAGATTAATAAGACTGGGACTTTTCAGCTTGGAAAAGAGACGACTAAGGGGAATATGATTGAGGTCTATAAAATGACGGGTGTGAAGAAAGTATTATTTATTCCTTTTCATAATACAATAACTAGGGGTCACCAAATGAAATTAATGGGCAGCAGGTTTAAAACAAACAAAGTATTTCTTCACACAATGCACAGTCAACCTGTGTAACTCTTTGCCAGAGGATATTGTGAAGGCCAAGACTATAACAGGGTTCAAAAAAGAACTAGATGAATTCATGAAAGATAGGTCCATCAATGGCTATTAGCCAAGATGGGCAGGGATGGTGTCCCTAGCCTCTGATTGCCAGGTCTGGGTGTTGGTGGTAGGGGATGGATAACTTGGTAACTGCCTGTTCTGTTCATTCTCTCTGGGGCACCTGGCCTTGGCTGCTGTCAGAAGACAGGATACTGGGCTAGAGAGACCTTTGATGTCATAAGACCGTCCTTATGGTTTCCCACTACTGCTCTGTAATAGTAGTATAAGTCATGACAGTATTACTATTTGTTGATTATACAGATTAGTCTTTTGAAAATGTGACATTTGTAGAGGTTTTTTGTTTGCAATGTTAATTTAAATTAGTTTGTTTTTCTTATTAAGAGACTAAATGTGGAATTTTACATTTCAAATCCACATTTTAAAGTCCATAAATATGAATGCTACTAACAATGTCCTTGTTTAATTAAAATTGCAGCAAGAAATTATCTTTAAGTCCTATTTTAATTTATTTTTAAAGTAGCTGTAATGTCTGTGTGGAATTTTTTTCAATATGACTATTTAAAAGCCAACAAATTTGGAATTATAAAAAATCACTAATTAGAAATGTAGTGAATTTTGGTTATTTTGCTTTCTTATCACCAATGGCTTTGTTAGAAAATCAAAACTCTCAAGGCAGTCCTTAAAATTAGGGAGACAAGGTGGATGAGGTAATATCTTGTATTGGACCAACTTCTGGTGGTGAGAGAGACAGACTTCCGAGCCACACAATGCTCTGCTCTTCTTCAGGTCTGGGATGGGAACTCCCAACATCACAGCAAAATAAAATCAAAATGCAAGGTGGAGCATTTTGCAGTGATCCTGGGCATTCCCTTCCCAGATGTGAAAAAGAGCTCTGTGTGGCTCGAAAGCTTCTCTCTCTCACCAACAGAAGTTGGTCCAATACAAGATATTACCTCACCGACCTTGTCTCCCTAATATCCTGGGACCAACATAGCTACAACTACACTGTATACTTAAAATTAAGATCAGTTAATTTTGCAGTATCTTGTTATAAGGAAACAGTAGCTCTGTACCACAGTAGTTTTTATTGCAACATAGCTAAGGTTAAGACTCACAGATATTTTTAGTAAAAGTCAAGGACAGGTTGTGGGCAATAAACAAAAATTCCTGGAAGCCTCCAACCTGTCTCTGACTTTTATTAAAAAATACCCTGACATGGGAGGGACAACAAACAGAGCACTCCCAGGGCTTGCAGCTGCTCCAGCCTTGCTGCTGCTCCTGCAGCAGGTGCTGAGCCCAGCTGCTGCAGCCCCACAGAGGGCTGACCCAACCCTGGCTGCTGCTCCAGCAGGCCGCCCTGCCCCAGAAGAAGTCAGAGATCCCGGGACGTCACAGAACATGTGACCTCTGGGACAGAATGGTATCCTGAAACATAGTGTAACCAAGCAACTCATGCTTCTATGAATTTTGTCATGATAATTACAGTAAATATAAATTCCATGCCTGCAAGTTTTGGTATGCTCAATAATAAGCTGTCTGGCATAATTTGTAATTAACATTGTTTAATTACATGCTTATCAGATAAGTATCTAAAATGTGTACTAAATTTTCCCATTTTAATAATTGTAGCATATCTGCTCAGTGCTTTGCATTAAATATAACTAAAACAAAATCTCTATCAAAAAGCCTGCTATCTTCAAAGTTGCTTTTCCTCAATAAAACCTGAAAATAATAGTGTTGACACAAGGACATAATGACTTTCAATATTGAATATAATGAGATACACTTTAGAGATGGCATGGGAATGATATCCTGACTTGCTAGATCCTGCCGGTATGTGAATTTCCTCATTTCAATTAGGTTTTAGTTACAGCTTTGATGGTCTTTCAATGGATATAAGGTATAAATCTCTCAGTCTTGCAGTCTTTACTGAGGCAAAACTCATTAAGTGTGTATATATAATTGCTAAGAATTAAGTATCAGAATTCAATAGAATTGAGCCCTGTATTTTATTTTTTGGTTTACTTTTCTATTACGATGGAAGGCTAGGTTGTTTGTTCTTAGACTTTCTGATAGTTTAGAAAATTGCTGACACCACTGTGAAGAAGAGAAATGCTTAAAATGCACCACAAAACAACCTAAAACAAAATTAACATGTTAAAACTTGAGGATTCACATGCATTTTCTAATCAAAGATAATAAAGGGTGAAAATAGTATTGCCAACCTCATATATTCAAAAATGGTGAGGGAGGGAGGGAATCACCCTACCAAAAAAACATGATTAGTTTAAAGTATGACATTTTCAGCAATAAATTTGGGATTTTTTATTTGCATTCTGGATTTTGAACCTTCAGGATCCTACTTTCAAGCTTCTCTCCATAATCATGAAGGCTAGAAGTTTTGCTCTACTTAAGACATTTTTTTTAATCACATGATTGAGAGGTCTGGGGGTTTAAGGAAAACACCAAATCTAAAATTGAGAGAGTTGACAAAACTGGAATAATAATGTCATTATCCAGAGAAGTCAAGCTTGAATCTTTCCCAATACTAGAACTAATCTGACAGATTTTTAAAAGAGGTAACTATTTATGTAGTTGTCATAAATATTCTTTGTTAACATGAAAGTAATAAGCTACTCTGCAAAATGTCCTACGAGTAATTACAGTTACTGACTCTAAACATGGGTATTTTAAGTTCCTATATTTTTCCTTTCAAAATAATTAAACAACCAGTATGTTGTTAGGTTACAGCTTTCTTCTGTCATCCACAAGGATGTGTCAACATTTTCTTTTTTATTTTTATAGCGTTTTCCATTAGGGGGCGATGATGAAGTTATGAGCTCTACCCTACAACAGTTTTCAAAAGTGATAGATGAGGCAAGTGTTGAATGTGTTTGGCTTACCTTTAACCTTTTCTTAGTCATGTATAGATTTCTCAACTGACTATCATTCTTGGCTTTGTGTTAGAATGAGCATTCAGAAATAGCTTTTATTTATTTATTCATGATGGTAACACTTTAATTACTTGCCCTTGACACAGTATAAAATTGTGTGGCCTGAAGATAGAGAATCAATTCAGTGAAGTAAGATTACATTGTTTCTAAACAATGTACTTTTTATGTCCTGTAACTTTATGTAGGCATCTGCCATAAAAATTGTTACACTACAGAACTAGAAGGTAGCGGATTTATAGTATAAGTATTAATTGTAGACATAAATTGATTCTCCTTTCTTCAATATCTGTTCACACCAAAGTGAATAAACTCTTTAAATCAAGGGAAATTTCAAATATACACTATAATTTATAATTAATGTTGAGGTAGCACCCCAAAACTGCAGTTAAAATAGGGGACCCATTGTACTAGACATTTGAAGATGCCATTTTTGGTCAAACCAGTGCAGACCAATTTAAGACCTGATGAAGCAAGTGAATGTAAAAACATAATAGGAAGGAAATTGGAAGGGATAGGGAAGAAAAGGGTAACAGTAATTTTCCACACTTAATATGAGGTTTCTGCATTGATAGTTCCATAACTTACTTCTCTATATTTAAAAAGCTTTTATCAGGAACTCTTATTGGCTCTCTATCCAGCCATGATCATTTTGCTATTTTATGTGGGCATCACAACAACAATGGATCTTGAGGAGGGATTTGAAGGAGGACAAGGCAATTGAGACGTTATACATTCATTTGGCGAAGATGCTCCATGAAGAGTAGCATGGCAGTAACTGTAATGGTGCTTGAGGGGTTAAGTGACAATCAAGGTTGGCATAGTTGTCATGATGGAAAAGTGGCTTGATAAGGTAGAAGAGCAGAAAGTAGGTAAGGTCATAATTGTGAGGTATTAAAGGTGTGAACAAGAAGCTTCACTTGGATGCAGTGTAAATGGCAGACAGTGGAGGGATTCAAAGAGGGACGATATGGTGAGACTCACAGGGACATGCCTTGATTGGACTAGAGAAGGGTGATATAGGTTACAGCATTAAATGTTGGAGATGATGAGATGTTGAGGAGAATTTTAGCTATGTGGACAAAGAGAAAATGTTTTTGAAGAAGAAGCCATGGAATTTGGACATGGCCTGGGTGTTAGGGCCAAAAAAGGGAGGAGTCAAAGGTTACCCACCCCAAAGATTATAGGCCAGGGCTGTAGAGAAGATGGTGGTGTCATCAACATTGACAGAAAATGGGGGGGATGGGAAGGACTTGGGAGGGATAAGTAAGGAATTCTCTTTTAGCCACATTAAGTTTACATTGATGAAGAGTCAGAGAGGTTGTGATGTGGGATTGGATGATGGAAGACAGATCAAAATTTGAGAGGTAGATTTGGGAGTCATTAGCATAAAGATAGATAAAGATTAGATTTAGATAAAGATTCAGTTGCTATCAGATAACCGAGAGAGTGAAAATATATAAAGGGAGAAGAAGAATGGGCCAAGAACAGAGCTCTGTAGAACTCCCACAGAAAGTTGTTAATGAGATAAGTACATGCTGAAGAAGTCAGGGAGAAGGGAGAACCATGAGAGGATAGAGTCCTGAAAACTTCAGCTGGATAGGAATTTTTCTGATGAATCAGGGTGTAACCCAAGGTGCCCAGGGCATCCCACACTGGAAATGCCAACGACAGGGAAGGCTGCAAAAAAGAGATATGATTTCCCCAAAACTGGTCGTTAACACTGTAGTTAGATTCATCAACCAGTCACAAACTCTGCTCTTGATCCACTGCACTCGTTTATCAAGAAGCTGAAAGAAAAGAAATCACATAACCCCCTTTATTGCATTCCACTCTCTGGCTCTGAATCAGCAAATAGATCCAGTAAAGTGAGAAGTTACTTAAATCTCTGTTTACTCTACAAAATGTTCTTCTGATCCCCAAAGGGCCAGCCGCACTACCAGATCAATACTAGTTTGGATCTTACCCAAAATACCATGCTGCCAGCCAATCCTTTAGCATCTAAAAATGGTTTATTAGAAAAGAAAAGAATGAGAAGAGAGTTGTTAAATGATCAAAGCAATCAGATACACACACATGACTTCAGAGTCCATATATCAGGTCCTTAGCAGCATTGGTGAGTTTGCTTGCTTGTAAAATCCCTCTGCAACACATCCAAAACTTGGATGGGTTTATCAGTCCTTTGTTCAAAGCTTCCGTTTGTAGAGAAGTTACTCCAGAGGTGAGAAGCAGGGTTAAAGATAAAATGGAGATGATGCAGTTGCCTTTTTATCTCCTTTGCCATGTGGCTTGTACATCCTTTGCCCCAAACACAAGCTCACAGCACATGGGCATGGAAAACCAGTGTTGCCAACTCCACATAGCAGGAAGTCACCAGACAAACCCTGAAAAGTCACTAGCTGTAGCTGTTTAAGCACTCAAAAGGAGTTAAAAATGTCACTGAACAAAATTTCCAGAGAATTCAACAGAGAATTTCATATATATATACACACGCAAGTGTAGTCACGAAATCATTCACAAGCAGCTCACTAGTGTTAATAAAATCCATTCCATGCTCTTTGTAGTATATTCTGTTGCACAGCAGAAGCAACTACAAAAATACACGGTCATCATCAGGAGGGTGCCTCTGCTCATTAGGAAGGAAACTGTAGCCGTCTGCTCACTGGGAGGTGCACTCTGTACGCTGCAGCCCAGGTTGGCTGGGGTTGGTTAATTTCAGCTGAGCTTCCCTTTCTTGCCAGCCTGGATTTGAGCTGACAGGTTAGTGAAAGGGAAAGTCCAGAACCAGAGAGAAGAGGACATTCACCTGACCTGAGCTTGGCACAGGGAGCCAAGAAAACAGATTTAAAAACAAAAATCTGCTAGCCGGCCCCTTTCCCCTGCTTCGAGGTTTCATTTCTGAAAACAGCTGGGCAGCTAACCCGAGGCCAAGCCAGGGCAAGGAGTAAAGGGGAACTGAAATCAAGCCAGCTCTACCTTTGATCCTGTAGTAAGAGCTTCATTCAGGGAGGCACAGTGCCCCCCCACCCCATTGGGGCACATGGGCCTGTCTCATCTCACCTCACCTTCCCGGCTCTCCTCGCTGGCTCAACTGCCTTCCCCCACCCTGCCCACTTCATTAGCCATCTTTCCCTGCATCACAGGGTGTGCTACCTACTGTGGAGCAGTGAGAAAGAACACATCTGGGTAAAAACAAGCCCTGGTTAATGTGCTGCTCTCTCCAAAATGCACCTGGCTTTAGCAAAGTATTTAATTAGCTGCCACAAACTTCTTTTCCTCGCCTGCAGATTATAGTGATCTCAGCCCAAGAAACAGTGGAATGTGATTCCTTCTGAGGACGTGGTCAATTGAGATGTAACTACATTGACTTGGTATGCAACAGAATGTAGTAAGAAGAGCATGGAATGGATTCTATTAACATTATTGAGCTGCTTGTGAATGATTTTGTGACTATAGATATTGGTACCTTCTTTCTCTGAATGTCACTGTTATTGGCAGTGAAAGTCACTAGATTTGTCACTGGTCACTTTGACGTTTATTTTCTCACGAGGGAAACCAAAAAGTCACTAAATTTGGTGACAAAGTCCTAAGTTGGCAACATTGGGAAAAGCTCTTGGAGTCCTCTGTCCACAGGCATGTCCCTTCAGGTCCTGCTGTCTCATAGGCTTAGTCCCTGGCTTCTCTCAATGGGTTCATTGTACAGCTGATTGCCTTTGATAGGCCATAGAGCAGGCTGGATAATGCTGATGCCAATCTGTCTGGGTATCACCCAGATACACAGCACAAGTTTGAGTTATCAAGTATACCACACGTTTATATGTATGTTTGAGTTATGAACAAGCTTATCCTATTTAGCAAATCATAACTTTTCCACTGTTATCTTACATGGCATATCTTGTGTAAGATTCATTGCAATTTTGTAATACTGGTATCGATAATATTATAAATGGTCACCTATATTCCATACAGCATCTCACATGGTTTTGTTGGAAAATGCAGATTCATCGGACCCAAAATGTTTTGCAGAAACGTGTGGTTCAGTCCTCCAATGAACAAGAGGCAAGGTTATGATAAAACCAAGCCTAACTGCCTCACAGTTTGCCTGAAAGGCCGCTGGGGAATCTGGGCTTCCAGGGTCTGGGGCTGCCCAAATAGGCAGGCTGCCCTGGGGCTGGAGACCCCAGAGTCCATGGCTCTGGGCAGCCTTGACATGCAGCTAGTCCCAGGGTTTCTAGGGTTTCTGCTATAGAGATGGAAGCACCAGTTTCCGAAACCCTCAGGTCAGCTACAGCTCTGGCTGCCAGGGCATCTAAGCTTCTGGCTCCCTCTCAGTCCGCTGCTGACCAGGAGCTCACAGATCCTGCCAGCAGCCTCAGGGATGGAGCTTCCAATGTCAATTTTGTTTGTTTGCTTAGTTCTATTCCTAAACAAAAACTAGACATTTCTAAATTTCCCCTGGAACAGAAATTGTGATTTTTTTTTTTTCAATCAGCTCTGTTGAAAACCAAGAGAGGACAAGTTTTCAAGAAAGGTATAATTATCAGCTAAAAAGCTATATGCTTATTCAGTTTCCATACATAATTAAGTCTTTTCCATACTGATCTATTTTATTATAACACAAATCTGCAGGATCTCAGTGTGCTTTGGCATTCCTCCACATAGATACAAAGACTATATTTTTTAATATCTATCTACAGTGTGTAAACTTAAGTTCTCCTAAAGGTGACCTACAAAAGTTGAATAAAAAAATCCTTCCGTTACTGCAACATGTACTTCATGCTGTTAGCTGCAAGGCTGAGGGGGACTCAGTTACTTTTTAACATACATTTAAAATTAAAACTCTGTATTGAATGTCCTTTTTAGCTTGAAGTAGTTTGCAAACATGGCTGAAGCTCGGGAGAGATATTTTAATGACTTGCTTGTCATCTGTAAGTGAAATTTATACCAAAGCAACTTTGTTCATGGAGGCTATTAAAGCCAAGCGGAACTGCAGTTAGTAATATTTTCCAAAAACTACTTACATAGCTGACTATTTGCTCTTTTGTTTTTTTCCCCTTACAGCTCAGTTCTTGTCATGCAGTACTTTCAACTCAACTAGCTGATGCCATGATGTTTCCCATTACTCAGTTTAAAGAAAGGGATCTGAAAGGTAGAGTAGTCAAACTGGTTCATATAGTAGTTTTTATCCATAGCTCTTGCTCTCCTAATTACAGGCTACATCACTTAATTTACACTGGAATATACTCCAGCTGTCTCAAACTTGTATATTTTTAATGTAAATCATTGACATTAGAACTGCTAAACAGATATTTTAAAAAACTTTGTCCATGTTTAAAGGAATTAACCCTATGTCATGTCAACAAACACGGTAATTTCTTTCTGCAAATAAACAGTTCTGTTCAAGATCTAATTTTTGCAATAGCCTTTCACATAGGTGATCCCAGTAAAAATCAGGTTTCAGTTAAAAGATATAAATAATTTGTAGGTTGTAGCCTATTTCCCAAGGATGTTTGTCCACATCCAATGCCACCAAATAAACTTGTAATGACTGGCAGTCTCTATTCGGAGTAGATCAACAGTATAATAGGTCTGGATTTCTAAGGTGGTTTGCCTGACACTGCTGGTAAAATAGTTGGCTTTAGCAAATGCTTACAGTTTGTGAGCACTTTATTTTATATTAAACAAAATAAGATGCACTTCTTTAATAATGTGAAGTGGGTAATGATGGTAGATTTTATTTGCATACTAAATTTACTAGACTATTGAATACTGGTTTCAAGTATGTAAAATACGATGAAATTTTTAAAAAATAACTAATTAAAATTCCTAACGTAAGACATTCCATACTGATAATGTGGACACTATACTGAAGGAAAAACAATGGCTCTGTCATAATCCGGATAACTCTTTGTGGATTTCAGAAAAGATTATTTTCCTTTTCTGTAGGTGCGATGCCAGGTTGCAGAAGTGATTATGGAACAAAGTAGACAATGTTATTTTTCAGAACAAGGAAGCAATGGTATTTTTCCAGTCAAGTCTAAAATTACTTTTCATAGCCCTCAAGGGTGGCCATTAACTATGTAGTGGTTATTGAAAATGGTTCCTGATGCCATACTCGCAGCTGAAAATTTGCTCATTACAAAAGTGCAAAACCTGCAACTGAGATTGTATTTAACATCTAATGAGACCATGCTCCTCCTTTATATATTCTACAAACTCTTCCCGTTTACGTCAGTTACCTAGCTGTGGAAGTGCTTGACGTTCTCATGGACCCAGAGATAGAGGCCACTTTTCTTCAATCTTTTAAAAAGAAAACTAAAACACTATCAAATATTCACATTATAATAATGTTATATTTTCTTCTGATATTGGTCTCTTATTCAAATATAATATTCTTTGCAGAGATATTGACTTTAAAAGAAGTTTTCCAAATTGCCAGCAATGGTAAGTACACCTTAAAAGTTTAATTTTCCTGTGAATGTTTGTATGACAGAATATAACATCAGGAGGTAGGGTGGGGATTTAAAAGGGATTTTCAAAGAACATAACTTTCCTAGCTTTCTTTGAAAATCCCAGTCTCGAGTCTCAAAGGTTTACGGAAAACTGGAGTCATAAAATTAGTTTGTTTGGTGGCAAGGTGAGCCTCCATAGCCCTGCCCTGATACTGCTCACCCTGCCTCAGTCCCCTCCACCACCCACTTCCCAGGAAACTCACAGATAGTAATCTCTCTTAGCACCACATGGCAAGGTATTAGTAACAAACTTAGACAATAGTTCTGAATGCTACATAAACAAAAGAATCTTCTGCTTCTCCTGGGCCCAGGTCTCATTTCTTTTCTGCTCTCCTACAAAGTACTGACTTTCAGGGCTTTTTTTTCCTCTGGGAGTCTCCTATTTTCCAGGGCCAGGCACAGGAGCAGCTTCCCTCCTGTAACCCTCAATCCTTCTTCAACCTATTAACCTGGGGATTACCCTTCTCCAGGGCTTACCAGAAGAGCCAACTGCCCTTCTACAGCTTTCTACTCTAACTGAGCTCTCTTGCCCTTTGTAGTCATTCAATGACCCCTTCCTAGCTAGGTCTAATAATTGAGCAGAGCTATCTGATTCCTAGATGGGAGAGTAGCTGTTCTGTCACAGGCAAAGCTGGGCCTGACTCCCTTTAAGGGGCCAGTCAGCCTGTGACAACTTACTTACAATACCTTAATGAAAACATAACTGAAAATTAATGCAGTTACTACTAACTGATGGAAACAAAACACTAAATATAGTAAAATTAGAATGACAGCGTATTGTTGTTTAGGTCTTAGTTGGTTTATGAATTTCTGTGCTCTATGAAATAGGGATTTGCTTAATTAATGGAAGTTTAGTTCCCTAAAATTGCTATTTCATATTTATTTTTTCTGTGTTGGGTGCGGTAATGTTGGTTTAAAAATGTAGTTGGTGTTTGTTGGAGAGGGGAGAATGCACTATTTAGTCAGGTTTCAGAGTAACAGCCGTGTTAGTTTGTATTCGCAAAAAGAAAAGGAGTACTTGTGGCATCTTAGAGACTAACCAATTTCTTTAATGTTAACCCTTTTCGTATATGCTAATAAAGGGGACAAGCTTTAGATGGAATCTATTTTCTTTTACAGAATAGAATATGCAAATAATTTTATTAATAAAAGTGCTTCTCCATTTCAGAAACTGTCACTTGACCACTTTGAAGAATAATAGGTATTTAGGGAAAGTTTTCCTGACAGTTCCTGTTTCTAATTTTTGTGAAGATACTTGCATAGCTGTTTAGAATTTGTCTCCAGTTTAGGTTGCTAGAGTAGTAGAATGATAGTCAAGAGAACAAAAATTCTTCTTCAAGAGATGTCCTTGTGAGTGCTCCACTCCAAGTGTTGGTGCGTCCCTGCGCCTTAGCTCAGAGATTTTTACAGCAGTACTCATACCGGTCATGCAAGCACAGAGCCTGCCTCCCTGCTCTGCGTGTACCTTAATAGTGCGCGTGCACGACTGGTCTCCTGAGTTCTTTCTCTACCGTCCCCGTCCGGTGCTCAGCAGACTCATTAGAGAATTTCTTCTCTTCCTTGTTCAACTTGTTTTCCCTCTTAGTTTAGCTTACCAGTAATAGTTAAGTACCCTTTCCCTTCTCTTCTCTTTATATAAAAAAAAAAAAAAATTTGTTCCTGTCAGTGCAGCCGCTTCTGACATGCATGGCTCTCCAGGTTTTAAGTGCTGCTCTAACTGTAATGATGCCGTCCCTCTTTCAGATGGCCATTCTAAATGTATTAAATGTTTGGGGGAGTCCCACATCCCCCAAAAATGTGCCCACTGCAGCAAGTTGAAATCCACGGCACACAAAGACAGGGAGCTGCGGCTAAAACTGCTCCTGCTGCAAAAATCTCTCGGACCAGTCTCAGATCCGGGCTCTGACTCTGCTGTACACTGCAGCCCCCCCCTACTTCAAAGAGCCCAAAAAAACCCCTAAAAATAAAAAAAGCTGCGGCGGTCACACTAACCTCCCGGTGCCGAGGCTTCAGGCTTTCAGTTGCCGGCCTCTCACATGGCACTGTTCAGCACCACAATGGAAGCAGTGCCGATGTATACGAGCCTGCCTGACCCGCCACAGGCTCCTCTCGCTCTCCCGGCACCGTCAGCCTTTGAGTTAGCTGGCAGTGACAGAACAGAGGAATCCCACCTCACAACAAATTCCTCTCACTCAGCCCTCCCCTCACAGAGGCACTGTGGCACTGCAGTTCACACACACAAGGGGACTCCTGGTGTCACCTAACTTGCAGTCACCCCTACTTAACACCTACTTCTCTCTAGACCCTCAGGCAAGGTCCACACAGCTTTCCTCCAGTGATGAGGAATCTGGGTTGCGGGGGAGAATTTTCACCTTATCAGATCTCCTGTCCACAGACCCCACTCAAGAGAGGTCATAGAAAAGCTGCCTCGTCCTACTCCGAGGGTCCTGCCCCATGGTGTGTGAACCCCTGGATGGCACCACCCATGCCCTTCCCACCACAGTGGCAATATTGGGCTCCTTATACTCAGGACCACGCTCATTATACCAGTGTAGCCAGGTGTGAGACCAGTTCTGCCTGATGAAGCATTGCTTCCTCCCTCCTTCTCTGACGTCTTCGGACAACTTCTCAAAATTTCAAGACCTGTTTAAAAAAGTTGCCAATGAGCTACGAATTAACCTGGAGGAAGTTCCTGAACAGCAGCATGAGCTAACTGACATCCTGCTGCCCTCGTCTTCTTCTAGAATTGCATTACCTATCAATGCTGCCCTTTTAGAATCTGCCACAGCCATTTGGCAAACCCCAGTTGCAAGCCTACCTACCTGTAAGAGAGTAGACCGAAAGTACTTTATTCCTTCCCGCTCCATCCCTTTCCGACAAGGACAGTAAGCGATTAGATCTGCTTGGACGTAAGGTATACACTTCTTCCACGTTGCAGTTTTGCATTGCTAATTATACAGCTGGTCTAGCAAAGTACGACCACAAAAATTACAATAAATTCATGGACTTTATTGATCACATTCCAGAAGAAAAGAAACAACAATTTACAGCCATAGTTTCCGAGGGACAAATCATCTCCCGCACTACTCTTCAAGCTGCCCTTGATGTGGCCAATACTGCAACACGGTCCACTGCCGCAGCAGTCATGTTGCACTGAGGGTCGTGGCTCTCCTACTCTTCCTTTCCCAGGGAAGTCCAGAGTACCATTGAGGATCTCCCCTTCGACGGTGACAAACTATTCGCCTCCATCACAAATGACGTACTCCACTCCGTGAAGGACTCCAGGGCAACTCTCCGGTCTCTAGGAATTCAAACCCCTATGTCAGGGTTCCCTTCCCCCTCTGAACTCTAGGGTACAGATGTCGGGCCCTGCATGAAAGACCCCCTAAGCTTATTTCTACCAGCTTAGGTTAAAAACTCCCCAAGGCACAAATTCTCCCTTGTACCTTGGATTAGGTAACTGCCACCACCAAGTGATTTAGACACACTCAGGGAAAGGACCACTTGGAGTTCCTACTCCCCCCAATATCTCCCAAGTCCCCATACCCCCTTTCCTGGGGAGGCTTGAGAATAAACAAGATGAGCACAGACCAACCTTGGATTTTTTTTTTTTTTTTTTTAGGACACTAAAAAAAAACCCAATCAGATTCTAAAACAGAACTTTATAATAAAAAAAAAAGGTAAAAGAAGCACCTCTGTAAAATTAGAATGGAAGATAATCTTACAGGGCAATCAGATTCAAAACACAGAGAATTTTCCTCTGGGCCAAACTTTAAAGTTACAGAAAGAAAACCAGGAATACACCTTCCTCTCAGCACAGAGAAAATCACAAGCCAAAACAAAAATAATCGAATGCATTCCCTTGCTAGTACTTACTAATTCTAATGGAGTTGGATTGCTTGCTTCCTTGATCTGTGTCTGGCAAGCTCACAGAACAGACAGACCAAAACCTTCTTCCCCCCCCCCCCCCCCCCCCCCCGATTTGAAAGTATCTTGCCCCCTTATTGGTCCTTTTGGTCAAGTGCCAGCCAGGTTACCTGAGCTTCTTAATCCTTTACAGGTAAAAGGATTTTGTGCCTCGGCCAGGAGGGATTTTATAGTACTGTATACAGGAAGGTTTGTTAACCTTCCCTTTATATTTGACACCTATGACCAGAATAGATACCAGCCTTACCAGCGACCACACTACCCCACATACACCCAGCAATTCCATAGATCTCACAAGCAACAGCAGCGCCAGAGATCCAGGTACCAACGCAACCGTCCCAACTTCTCGACAGCATCTCAACCCCCTCCAACCAATAAGCAAATTTGAAGCCTTGGTCGAGGGTATAGAAAACAATATTCCCACTTCAGCGCTTACACCGCCTGCCCCTATTTTTGGTCACCGCCTACGCCCATTCTCCGATCAATGGAGCAATATTACCATCGACAAGTAGGCTTTAGAGGTTGTCACAGTTGGCTGTTCTATCCCTTTCCTCTCCCCACCTCCCATCCACCCACCCTCCCCGTCCCTCTTCAGGGACCCCTCTCACAAGCAACTGCTCCTCCAAGAATTACAACATCTCCTTCAATTGGGGGCAGTGGAAATCGTGCCTGAACAACACAGAGGGAAATGTTTCTACTCCCATTTCTTCTTAACAGTAGAAAAAAGAAAAAAAAAAAAAGGGGGGGGGGGAGATGGCTACCGATCCTCAACCTCAGGCAGCTAAACTAATTTATCAAAAAGCAAAAGTTCAGAATGGTTACCCTCAACACCACAATCCCAGCCCTGGAGCAAGGCGATGGTTTTCAGCCCTCAACCTACAGGACGCTTATTTTCATGTGACTATTCACCCAGCCCATAGATGTTTTCTTGGTTTTACCCTCGGTTCTACACATTTTCAATACAGAGTGTTGCCCTTCGTCCTATATACTGCCCCCCCCCCCAGTTTTCTCCAAACTCCTAACCAGAGTTATGGCCCCCCTCAGGAAACGAGGTTATAATATTTCCTTACCTCAACGATTGTCTCCTCAAAGCCTCAGTGTTCGACGAAGCTCTTTGATCCATGCAGCTTACTGTCGCTTGCTTCCTTTCCCTTGGCCTGCAAATAAACAAAAACAAATCCACCTTATTTCCTACCCAACAAATGGAATTCATAGGAGTGCACATGGATTCCCAAACGGGAAAAGCATCTCTCCCACTGAGTCGTTTCAACACCATAAAACTTGTGGTTACAGAACTTCGCAACAGTCCCCAGGTCACTGCACAAGACTGCCTGCAACTATTAGGCCACATGGCCTTGTGTACTTTCGTGGTAAAAAATGCACGCCTATACATGAGGTGCTTCCAAGCTTGGTTGGCCACGGTTTACAGACCGAAAGTACACACTCTAAACAAGCCTCTATCCATACCCTTCAGAGTCAAAGACTCCCTCCGATGGTGGACAGTTCCCTTTAACCTCTGCTCAGGAGTCCCTTTTCTCCAGGACTCCCCATCACTCATAATGACTACCGATGCATCCCTCAAGGGATGGGGAGTGCACATTTCCCACCACGCAGCCCAGGGGCTGTGGTCTTCCACCGAAGTCTCCATACACATAAACGTCCTAGAACTGCGAGCCATACGCAATGCCTGCCGTCACTTCCTCCTATTTATTCAGAACGAACATATTCGGATAATGACAGACAACATCGCTTGCATGTTCTATGTCAACAGGCAGGAAGGGGCTCGATCTAACTCACTTTGTACAGGAGCCATGAAGCTCTGGAATTGGTGCCTCACGAACAACATCGGGATATCAGCTGCCTATCTTCCCAGGGCCCTGAATACCGCTGCGGACGAACTAAGCAGACGTTTTCCCTGGGATCACGAATAGGAGATAAACAACAGGATCATACGCAATATATTTAGCGTTTGGGGCTATCCAACCCTGGACCTCTTCACGACTGCGAAGAACAAGAAATGTCCCAAATTTTGCTCCAGAGTGGGATTGGGTAAATGTTCCCTAGAAGATGCATTCCTGATCTCATGGGGCCCAACACTTAATGTGTGCTTTTCCCCCAAGACTGGCTCTCCACAGAGTTCTGACAAAGTTACCAACAGATCGTGCCACGGTAATTCTGATTGCCCCGTCACGGCCCAGACAACCATGGTTTCCGTTCCTCACCATAATGTTAATTCGCCCACCGATTTCATTGCCCCTCACTTCGAACCTCCTATTGCAGCAACACGGCCAATTTCTTTGCCCCCCAACCTGTCTATGCTTCGCCTCAAAGCTTGGTTCCTACATGGTTCTCCCAAAATGAACTAGCATGCTCTGAGCAGGTTCAAAGAGTGCTCCTACATAGCAGAACACAATCTATTCGCATCACCTATCTCCGAAAGTGGAAGCGATTCTCACAGTGGTGCTCAGCTAAACAACTTCTTCCTACTTCTGCACCTCTTCTGCCCATACTTGACTACCTATTAGACCTTGAGCAATCTGGCCTTTCTTTCAGCTCCATCAAGGTCCATTTAGCTGCTATTACAACTTTTCATGACAAGATCGAAGATACCTCTGTTTTTGCTCATCCAATCACCAAGCGTTTTCTCAAAGGGCTCCAATCCCTATACCCGGACATTAAATCTCCTACCCTTCCATGGGACATTCACTTAGTATTATCCTGCTTAACTAAACAACCATTTGAGCCCCTAGCCACTTGCTCCCTCTTACACCTCTCTATGCAAACAGGATTCTTAGTGGCAATCGCCTCCGCCAGACGTGCAGGAGAAATAGCAGCTCTCATGGCGGACCCACCGTAAACACTATTTTTTAAGGACCAGGTTACCCTCCGACTACACCCTAAATTTCTTCCAAAGATGCATTCGTCATTCCACATCAATGAGCCGATACACCTACCAACCTTCTTTCCTAAACCACATGCAAACTCTCTTGAATCCACAATGCATACATTAGATGTACACAGGGCTTTGTCCTTTTATTTGGATAGAACCAAGCCCTTTAAAAACTCTTCTAGACTCTTTGTCTCCATTGCAGAGTGCCCCAAAGAGACACCTATTTCTATCCAGAGACTTTCAAACTGGATTTCTGACTGTATCCGACTGTGCTATCAAATAAAGAAAGTTACGCCTCCAGCCAGCATCAGAACTCCCTCCAGTTGATCTGTGGCTACCTCCGTGGCTTTTCTACGCAAAGTTCCTCTGGCTGACATCTGTAAAGCAGCCATTTAGACTTCTGAACACACATTTGTTAAGCATTATGCCCTTACTCAAGGCCCTCTCTCTGATACACGATTAGGCAGAGCTGTATTATCTACTGCATTCCTACCAAATCCAAAGTCCCTACATCCTTGAGAGACACTGGTTTTAAGTCACCTGGAGTGGAACACCCACAGGGACATCTCTCTCTCGAAGAGGAGGTTACTCACCCTGTGCAGTAACTGACGTTCTTAGAGATGAGTGTCCCTGTGGGTGCTCCACTACCCACCCTCCTCCCCTCTACTTTGGAGTTGGGGTAGCCTCCGTTGTAGATAAGGAACTGAGGAGACTGGTCGCGCACGCACACTATTAAGGTACACTCAGAGCGGGGAGGTAGGCTCTGCGCGTGTGTGACTGGTACGAATATGGCTGTAAAAATCTCCAAGCAAAGGCGCAGGGATGCACCAACACCTGGAGTGGAGCACCCACATGGACACGCATCTCGAAGAATGTCAGTTACTGCACAGGGTGAGTAACCTCCTCTTATTCATGAGATTTCATTTTTTAAAAGTTTGAGGTTTTAATTTTGGAGAGCTTTGTGTTCCAAGTGTCAGTGAAAGAAACCATTAAAAATCTAAGTGGTTTTATTTTGTTTCATTGAATTTAAATATTGTCCATTACTGTATCTTTTCTATGTTTATATATTTGCTTAATTTATTAAATGACTATAAGATATTAAATATTTTATTATTTAGATCATGATACTGCTATTAACAGATACAGTCGGCTGTCAAAAAGAAGAGAGAATGAAAAGGTTTGTGAGACGTACTTTTAAGCAGCCTCTTTAGAGGAGGTAAACCAAAATATTATAGAATAGACATAATCTCCAATGATAGCAAATAATATGCAACAGAGTACACTTTACTTAAAGTCTGATAGTTCAGGTTCTAATAGTCGAGACAACTTTGTACAGCAGACAAAAGCTGCTTTTGCATTGTAAGAGTGGCATGTAATATTTTTAAAATGCTGTGAGTCTAAGGATGCAATATTATATTCAGGTACATTTGGTTAAAGAGAGAACTCAGTGCTGGAAAAACAAAATGCAGGGTTTGGTTACCATGGATTCCTCCTCCATAATCTTTGGAAAAGGAGTCATGGGGCAAAAAGTGCCATTTCTGATATATGGTGGATTTTTTTTTAATAGTAATGTTTCAGTGCTGGTTGTAAATAAACCTGTACAGAAAGGATATGCAAAACGAGTCACAAACTTTGTGACTTTTTTTTTTTCTCTTTAGGTCAAGTATGAAGTTACAGAAGATGTGTATACTTCCAAGAAGAAACAGCATCAGACCATGATGCATTATTTCTGTGCATTAAATACTCTTCAGTACAAGAAGAAAATAGCCATGCTGGAACCCTTGCTAGGATATATGCAAGCTCAGGTGAATATGTCAAACACTGAAAGTTGTAGCTTTAAAATAAGGTTGGAGAGTACCTTTCACAGCATTGCTGGTAGGAACTTTCTCACGGCATTGTTGGTGACTGTTGAGTAAATCTTTGGCACTGACAAGTATGCAGAGAAGCTAAGAATTGAATGACTATAGCAATGGTATGGCCTTCTCACCTCCAGAAGAAGGGTTTCTGCAGTTCAGTATTGAAGCACATTCTGAGGGAATGATATGGGGAAGCTTGTACTTTTACTCTCCTTTGGCAGCTGTTCTGAAGAAGACTTAGGGCTTGTCTACACTGCACTGCAGTGAAGACTATGCGGGGGTGTAGATCTCACTGAAGTCTTGTGATCTAAGTATCCCATGTGAACACCGCTGGTGTGAACTGAAAGGTACTGAATTTGTGTTAACGGAGTCCTGTTTGAAAGAGGACTATGTTCATGCAAACTAGGTACCTTTTTGTTCAAGCCAGCAGCGTCCATGTGAGGCAGTTAGGATTGCAACAGTTTGGTGCACTCTGCAACTGATGCCCCCCATAGTTCTCACTGTGGCACAATGTAGACCTAGCCCTAGAGTCAATCATTGCAGTCTCATCACTGCTGGAATGCTGGAGGCACTGGAATGGTGTTCACAATCATTCTGGCTCAGTTTAGTAGCTAACTTAAGATAATGGTTAACAATTCAAATTTCTTTTTACATATATGTTCAGAGAGAATATGACAAATCACTTTCTGCCTCTGTCACTAAGTTTTAAAAAGAAACTGTAGCCCACAGGCTTGCCTTTACTATAGTCACTGCCTTGCCTTCATTATACTTAGCTGTTTTCATTATATTCAGCTGTAGCACAAGAAACCTACTGTATCCTGTAAGACATTAGCTGAAGCCTAAGCTAGCACAAGTGTGGTTAAGTAGGCCATAACTCTTGGCATAGATCAACGATTACCTTTTTTGATTTTAGGAACAAAGAGCTTGCTCACTAGTAGGAGGTAGAATGTTCCAGTAAGTGCTACCACAAGAAACATGGAAGTAGTAACCACAAATGGTAGTTACACCTATAGAAGAAGGACACCTCAACATTAGTAGGATGAGGAAATACAAAAAAGGAAAATGGCAAAAACCCCTATTGAATAATGCATTAGATTTAGTGGCCTCAGCATAACACAGAAGTTGCATCCCAGCCTGTGGGGCTAAGAGAGAGATGTAGCCCTTGAAAGGGGCCAGAATGATGGCCACTGGTAATGAGGAGGAAAGTGATGGTGATGAGGAAGATAATGACTAACATTTCAGATTTTCCTGCAAGGGGTGATCTGAGTATATGGACATGCAGATGTACTTCTGTAGTGTCTCTGTCTACCTCACTGAGTTAGTGTTTGTGATTTTTTGCTAAATGTATTAATAAACTACTTGGAAATATAGAGGCGTTCCTATAGTGTGAGTGTTGCAATTGTGCACTTTGGGGTTCCCAACTATATAGTAATTTTAATAACACTGGGCCTGATCTTGGGGCAAGAACCTGTCAACCCTCAAAGTGATAACTGGAATTCTTAGATTATGTATTAATTATATTGATTACCAATGGATCAGGCTACAGAACTTGAGTCATCATTCATTTTCTTTGCTATGTGAGTATATTTGGTGAAACTCTGACCTCATTGAAATCAATAGCAAATCTCCCATAGATGTCACTGGAGCCAGGAATACACCAATCTCCTACTTTGTTTTTATGCAGAACTACCCATAAGAATAGTTTAAGTGTCTTTTAAAGTGAAGTCGCAATGAAAATTATTTTTGCTCAAACAGATCAAAATTTTGTAGTAAAAAACAAGCTAATATAGAGACCTTGTGAGAACATGTCATTACCAGAGAACTTAGCCTCCTCTTCTTTCCCTTCATAAAAGGATTATTTTACCCCCATATTGTGATTGAAATGTTTCCATGTTCTTCTTCAGTATGAGTACTACTGCTTCTCGTCTACAGCTCCAGCATAGAAGTAGGAACTAAATTTGAATATCTTCTGCTGTAAAGCCGAACAATACAGCTGCATTCTGTTTACATCTTATCTGAGCGGTGTTGTGAGGCGTGAAGGATATGTTCCAAAATCTTTAGATTTAGCAGGACGGATAGACCAACAATCACAATGATTTTAGAGTTCCTACTATTGGATCTATTACTAGGGTTTTAAAAGAACAGAAATAGATGGGTTTTGTTTGGTTTGTTAAGTGAAAGGTTTTTCTCTCTCTTTTAAGATAAGTTTCTTTAAAATGGGTTCAGAAAATCTTACTGAGCAACTGGAAGAATTTTTAACCAATATTGGCACAAGTGTACAGAAGTAAGTTTTTGTTCTTATTTGTTTAATTGTATCCTTAATGCCTAATTTTGCCTTCACTAATTTTCTTTTTTGAGTCTGCCTACTGCTACATCATCTCTGTTAATAACGCATTGTATTTTATGCTATTTTAGTGTTCGCAGGGAAATGGATTCTGAGGTAGAAACCATGCAGCAGACCATAGAGGACTTGGAAGTAGCCAGTGATCCATTATATTTACCTGATCCTGACACAACAAAATTTCCTGTCCATAGAAATCTAACACGGAAAGCTGGCTATCTGAATGCAAGGAAGTAAGCTACCTACTATTATTTTAAAAAGTCAGAAGAATTTTACTCATTTTAAAAAAAGGCACGTTGGATAAGGAAGTGATGTTTATAAAAACAGCTATATTGGACTGTACCTAAACATTTAATTGGTCAAATTGAACTAGCCACAGTGAAGCTTGATATGCTTCCTTTCTTTGTATTCTCCTCACGATAGATTGAGTTGTGGATTATTTAGCATTAATTTTTGGATTTTAGTAATTGGCCCACCTATTAATACTTTGCATTATTCATTCAGTGATCTTAAAGGAAAAGTAAGTGTTGTTAATGCCATAAGACAGAGACACTGAAACAGAGAGATCAGGTGACTTCCTCATAGTCACAAGAACCTAGCAGTCAGGAACAGAGACAGACCTTCTGATTTTCACCTAGTGGTTAGAGAAATTATGCTCTTTTGTTAATAAAACTTAATCCCCTGGATATTTGTGCCTACAAAAGAAATATGGAGATATATGTATTTATTCATTATTAATTGGGTTGTAATCTCTGAAAAAGCCAGTATTTGAAGGATTAATATTTTATTATGTTGCTCATTTTCTATGTAAAATACAACTTTAGGATAAAAAGTTTGGGTTACAGTAGAATAAGAGTTTGTACTTCTGAAATATAAGGAAAACACGTTATGCATTATACTAAACAGACTTTTGTGAACATGCATGGCAATTTAAAGGAGTGCTCTTTGGCCCACTAGAGGGAGACATTATTCCACATACGTAAAGACAACCTATTGGTTTTACAGTTGGTTAAAAACGAATGAAAGCTATAAAGTTTAGTGCGTGTGTTCCCAGTTTATACCATGTTCTGCATACATGGAGAACTTCATAAAAATCAGTCTAATGTTAGAACAACAACCTAAAGGGAAAAGTACTTTCCTGACCTTGAACTATGAATTATTTAAATAGTTCAACTTTTGTAGCTAATGTTGAAGTGAGAAGATCTGTACAAAACCAAAGATGAAGTTCTAGTGTTGGGTATTCTCAGTGCAATACCCCAATTTATTTATCATGAAATTCCTCTTATATAGATCTGCAGAGGCTGTATGCTGTGGTCCATAGCTCCTGCAGTCTCTTCCTGTGAATCAAATAAATACTTGGGGTGGAAAGTGATGGATCTTTAGTTGGCTATGTTGATATTAATACTTGACATCTAAATTAAGTCTTCTCAGTGGATTAAAACAAAATGCATTGTTTTTGTTAAAGAACTCTTGATCCTACCACCAAAGGGGAAAGGAAAAAAGAAGACCCTTTGATTTTTGTGACCCATAAAGCAACGCTCTAACCACCACTGGTTAAAACACAATTGGTTTAACCTTTACTTCTAATTACGTTTCTTATAGCTGTAACAGTTGGCTAGCATATTACTTTTACATGGTTCATCATATAACTAGGATATTTAAACCAGTTTAGCTTAAAGTAAAAGGGTACAAATGGTGAAAAAACCAACTATGTTGTGTAAATTAATCTAGGACTTAATGAAAATCTATTGGGTTTTATTTTCTTAAAAAGACTTGGAGGTCTTGTTTTTCTGATTTTCTTTTGTATTTTTCTAATTTAGAGGTCTGACTTAAATATGCAATCCACTAAATCAGTGTCTCCCTTCTTGTTTTAGTAAGACTGGGCTGGTGTCTTCCAGTTGGGACAGACAGTTTTACTTTACTCAGGGTGGAAACCTAATGAGTCAGGCAAGAGGTGACGTAGCTGGAGGACTTGTCATGGACATAGACAACTGTTCTGTGATGGCTGTGGACTGTGAGGACAGAAGATACTGCTTTCAGATAACATCTTTTGATGGCAAAAAGTTAGTATTCATTCTTATGATAGTGTTATCAGTAAATGACGCTATATTCATTAACTAACTGGAAAAAAAAGACAAATTTCAATTTTGGCTGGTGAAAATTTGAACAGGGGTTTTTGTTTTGTTGTTTAAAACTCTGCCTTTTTTTCCTTCACCATATCCTAAACAGCCACATGGAGCTGCTGATAACAGGTTGGAATAATCAAAGCCCACAACAGTTCCATAACCATAAATGGTTATATTGCATGTTGAACAAGCTGTAATCTATATTCATTTAAACTGTGTGAACGTCACTTTTTATTTGGATAATTCCAAAACATTTGCACTGAAATCTGAATATGTATTAAGTGAGACTCAGAGTGCTAGCATGTGGGATAGCTTTCCATTTGTTGTTGGAGCAATGCTTCTGGGATTTAACCCTCAAATTTACTTTATTAACAAGATGTTTATTAGTATAAATACAGTATACCACAGTAAATACATTTATTATTATTACTTAGGTTTGTCCAGTTCTAAATAACTGAGATGTCAAACAGATAAAATTCAGTGTAATTCTTGCAATTTTTGCTGAGCGATAGTCCCGTTCAAACATTTAACATTCACTACAAACCCCAGAATCCTTCCATACAGCTTTAAGTGTAACCTCTTACTTCTGATGTCCATAGACTAGACTTTCAGGCATGAAATGCAGTCCTGGACTCGTAGAAAATGAGCTGTTGATTTATGTATGATATCTGTTAACTAAGTATGTACCCAAGCTTGAAGATACTTTTAAATAAGATTTGAACACAGCCTTAGCTGTTTGTATTGCAATTTCATTCTAAAGATCACATAACTCTCTTGAGCTATTTAACCATAACTTATAACAAAAATCCATTATACAGGTAGATGGTGTATTGTATTAGAAATGTAAATATTCTGCTATAAATTGGTGTTTTGAGATAATCAAGTATAAGTACTCTTGCATTCCCTACCATTGCAACCTAACATTCAGCCTTAGAACCATCCGGTGTTTATAGCATGTTGTTAGGGCTGAATTCCCATTGCCATTTGAACACAAAAAGATCTTGATTGTGCTATAGCACACTCTGATCGCCTATGAGACCACTTACAAAATTATTATACATATTTATAATAGCCTAATTTTTTTAACAAATGTGCATAATAACTTGCCTTGATGTTTTTCTGTTGATATTTTCTAAAAAACTGTTAGTCTTATACGCATGGATGTGAAAGTGATCTGAATAATGACTTTATATACATAGAAAATATGAAGCGCTTTTCAAAATCCTTCATAAAAAGTTTTTTAAAACAATGTTTTTGTATCTCTATCAACAAAATCATCCATAGCTTGGGTATCTTTGATTCTTACCCTTCCCAGCAATTTTAAAACTGAGGTGGTTATACCAAAATAAGTATTGCTTTTTCATGAGAAGCTCCAAATTTAGCAGGGTGCAGCACAGCTTCTTATGTTTTCTTCTAGAAAGGAAGATTCAATATTCAGTTCTTTACTTTGTGCAGTAAGATCTAGATCCTGGAGAAAAAAGGTTGGCGCCATCTACATTAACACTTTTTTCTTCTGTTTGGACACTTGCAAAGCCCTGTCATTGTTTTGGGTATGAGATAGTGAGCTGACTAGTGCTTGTGGGGCATAGGCGGTGGGGCTGTTTCATTGCTGTGTAGACTTTTGGATTCCACCTGGAACCCAAGCTCTGGGACCCTCACCTCACAGGGTCCTAGCGCCCAGGATCCAACCTGACCCTCTACACAGCAATGAAACAGCCCCGAGTCAGCTGATACAGGCCAGTCACTGTATCTAGTTTCTGTGTAAACATACCCATGGATGTGAAACTGTCTAGCCTGTTTCAGCCTACCTGACTGTTCAGTTGCTATGTGCGCACAGCTAGCACCTTTGCCTGATTTTTGCATAGAAATAAGATTGCATCTTCAGTTAAATCTAGCTTCCATTTAGTATGCATGCATAGCTCCCAGTGTTGTTAGTACAAGTTACATTCATATATCAAGGGGAAAATTTTCCTCAAGACACAAAGTTACTGAAAGGATCTTTCACTTTCAAATAATTGAGCCTGAGAATTTTTTTTATTCTCTCTTCTTTCAGATCTTCAATCTTACAGGCAGACAGTAAAAAAGATTATGAAGAGGTAAGCTTACAGCAAGTGTGTGGTTGTTCAGATGCTTTTTCTGATAATTCATTACACATAAGAAATATTCCTTAGGTTATCAAAGTGAATAGTGACCTGAAGATTTCTTCTACCCATACTGACATGTCAAGAAGGTGTCCCTTTATTTCTACCCTGGAAAAAAAAATCTGTGCCAGCAAAAGTGACTGTCAGTGGGGACCTATAGGTTTAACTTGGAGGAAAAATTGCCAGTATAGTCATTGGCAATAAGGGAAACAAACACTGCACACCTTTTTGGGGGCAGTAGCGGGGGTGTATACTTGAGTCAGCCAGCTATAGAAAGCAAAAGAAAGCCCAAAATGAAATATCCTGAGTGCCATGTTGCAAAACAAGAGGAAAACCACATCCAAACTTTGTTTAAAAAGCATTCTGTCAAAAGATCATAGAATTAATGTTGTAAAAATCATGCTGTCTTAGTGGCATTGCTATAGTTATTTTTGATGGTAGCTTTAGAACCGAGTTAAGAAGCAAGCACAGGATCATCCATCCTTGGCAAGAAGCTCAGAGGCTGAGTATAGAAAGGCATTTAATGCTTTCAGTATCTGTTAGGAAGACTGCGTGTCTCACTGCCCACTGCTGGGTGATCAAAGAAACAAATACGTTTCAAACAAAAACTAAATGTTTGTTTGCTTTCTGGTTGCGTTCCACACTCATTCTTGTGTAAGGGTTGAGGTCCCTAGATCCACCTTGCAGCAAGAATGCACCTATCCTGGTGCCACTGATCACTCTTTCAATGAAAAACCACTCTTGTTGAGAGTGATTTATTTACATACAAGCGTCAGACCGACCCAGTTATAGTCGAAGGTCACAATGTAAAGGTTCTTAGCTGACTCTTCTCATCTGCTCTCTGCCCAGACTCTTCTCACATCTAGTGCAGCTCACACTATAGGTGGAAGACAACCAGATTTTGCCAATGTCCCCATCCTGGGATTAAACAGTCGTGCCATATACTTCGTGTCCATCCCTCCTGGGCTTCTCTCTTTAAGTCCAATCAGGGCTTTCCCCAGTGTCCCTGAACCTCCACCAACCCCTCCCAGCTCTGTCAGAATCTACACTGAGGTAATTCCCGAGCCCTTCTTTTCTCAGGCTTTTCAGCAGCACTTGTTTCCTTCCTTATCAGGGGACTTTCAGCCCTCCCCAGGAAACTTCCAACAGCTTGCTCCTGTCTTTTTCTTCATCTGGGGAATTTGGCAGACCTCACTGGTTGCCCCTGCCTGAACTTTCTTACTCTAGGTAGCTCCCCCGCTCTAGCCTAGAGAGGGCCTGCAGAGAATGTCTTTCCTCCCTGCAGCTTCCTCCCACTACTCTGAATTCCTTTGTGAGAAGCTCTGAGTCACTCCCCAATTATGACTGATAGATAATTGATTTGCCCTCAAGTGGAACGAGGTGAGCTAAATAGCCTCTACTCCAGGGGTTCTCAAACTGGGGGTTGGGACCCCTCAGGGGGTTGCAAGGTGTGATAAATGACTTGCGGGGTGGGGAGCTCCCTTTGATGAACAGGCAGCTAGCTATAAAATCAGCTGTTCTCTGCTTGCTTTACCTGTAAAGGGTTAAAAGCCCCCAGGTAAAGAAAAGGAAGTGGGCACCTGTCCAAAAGAGCCAATGGAAAGGCTAGAACTTTTTAAAATGTGAAAAAAACTTTCCCTTTGTCTGTTGTTCTCCGGAGACATGGAACAGCAATGCTATAAGCAGGAATTCTGTGTAAAGTTTGAACCAGATATGAAAACCATCAGATCATACCTAGAACTACAACCCAAATATGTAAGTAAATTAGGAATGTTTAGGAAGAGGCGATTTGGTTTATTTCTTTATTTTGGCTTTTGGATCTGTGCTAACCCCAGATGCTTTTGTTTGCTTGTAACCTTTAAGCTAACCCCCCAAGAAAGCTATTTTGGGTGCTTAATTTTTGGAATTGCTCTTTTAAAATCTAGCAAAAGCCTAAGTTCCAGATGTAGTTTCTTCCTTTTTGTTTTTAATAAAATTTACCTTTTTTAAGAACAGGATTGGATTTTTGGTGTCCTCAGAGGTTTGTGTATATGCTGTTTGATTTGCTGGTGGCAACAGCTAATTTCCTTTTTCTTTCTCGGCTCTTCCCCAGGGAGTGGGGTGGGGTGAAGTGAAAGGGTTTGAGGGTACCCCACAGGGAGGAATTCCCAAGTGCTCCTTCCTGGGTCCAAGGGTTTTTCCTTTTTGCATTTGGGTGGTGGCAGCGTTTACCAAGCCAAGGTCAGAGAAAAGCTGTAACCTTGGGAGTTTAATACAAGCCTGGAGTGGCCAGTGTTAATATTTAGAATGCTTGCAGGCCCCCACCTTCTGCACTCGGAGTGACAGAGTGGGGATTCAGCCGTGACATGAGGGTATTACATGGGGGTTCGCGAGCTGTCAGTCTCCACCCCAAACCCCACTTTGCCTCCAGCATTTATAATGGTGTTAAATATATTTAAAAGTGTTTTTAATTTATAAGGGGGTCATACTCAGAGGCTTCCTAAGTGAAAGGGGTCACCAGTACAAAAGTTTGAGAACTACTGCTCTACTCGGAGGCAGCTAATGAGTCTCAGAGGACTGGTCCCATTCCCTCTTGAAGGGACCAGACACCCTGTGACACTTTCAAACAACTCTTCTTTCAAAATGGAGGGTAAATCTAGCATGCACTGTAGTTGCCTATGCAAGTGGATATCAGCTGGAAAATTGGTCAGTGTTTATACTCAGTGCCAACATCTTCAGGTGTTGTCAAGTATAAACGCAGAGAGAATGAAGACAAAGAGTAGAAGTTCACATAATCTTTTCCCTAAACATTTCAATGTAGAGGGGGGCTTTTAAAACGTGAAAATAGAAATAGTTTAGTAGTGGTTTACTACATTCTTAAAATGTAATCGTTATGAGCTAACAAAGGAGGTACTCCATGATACAATTTAGACTTCATTTGGGCATCGTTCTCCCTCTAGAGCTGAAGACTGAAAAGGATCTGTTAGCAAACTGCTCAGATAAAGCCTATTGACCAGACACATTTCACTAAACTCTTGAATCTATGTAGGGTTTTCCAGAAACTCTGTGGAGCAAATCTGTTAAACACCTTTAAATATTTGCTAAATAAAAATATTTATTACCTTGCTTTCATTTTTAATATAGACTTTCTTGCATCAAGAATAAAAACTTAACATTTGTAAGCTTTTAGATTTCTACAATGCAAGTATGAGCAGGCAGTTAAAGAGGGATATAAGCAAAATCATGCTGCTCTGTGTTGTTGCTGAATATACAGTGCAATCAGGGCCCCATGCACTTTTACAAGGACCCCTAAATTCCTGTGATAGTTTTCTCACCTGGATATACCCTTCATTCCCATCATCCCTTCCCCAGCCCCCCACCCCCACCCGCACAACTATGAAACATAGCTGAAAATACTCACTTGTAAAACCATTCAGTTATTTTTGACAGTGATTGTTTCTGAGGATGGGTTTTTCGCTAAGATGCCCAATTGATCCAGCTCTGATCCCTGGGCCTCAGCTCCCATCACATTGTCCAGAAGGCAATCTCATAACCTCCTTTTCTCATGCGTGCATGAGAATGTGGGGGAGCTTGTAGCCAGCTTCACCAGCTCACCTCCCAAACTCTTTGGGCCTCTGTTGCTGCACTGTTCTCCAAGTAGAACAGCTGGCTAGCCTATAAACTCCTGGCTACAAGCTGAATTCTAGCTTGGGCTCCAAACAAGAGGCAGCTGCAAGAAGTTTCAGTAAGGCAGGGAGATAGAAAACAAAATATTGGGTGCTGGCTGCAATATTCTGGAGGTAAATTCTGCTGTACGGTGTGACTTTCACGGCGGGAACGTGGTGGTAAGAAAAATCAGCTAAAATATTTAAACAGGTTTTTAAAACTACAATATACTTACTAATGTTTCTTTTTTTTCTTTCTCTTTTAGTGGATATGTACAATAAACAACATCTCTAAACAGATATACCTAAGTGAAAACCCTGAGGTAACTTTGATCATTTGTTTTATAATATCCAAAACTAACCCAAAGGAATACATTTAAATTTAGATGTGTATTCATTTTAAGAGATCTGCTCGACCTAATTTTATAGTATGAAATTAATTTGAATGTGTCTTACATCTCAGACTAGAAATTTTTCATGGCAGGAAATGTAACTTTGTTTTGTAAAGCAGTGCGTGTATTGGCAGCACTATAAACTTTTATAAGCAAGTAATATACATTTCTTCCACCTGAATGCTGAAAAGAGGGCACGTTAAAAACTAACATTACTGAAAACATAAATAACATTCTAAAAATTGGTTTTCATGAACTTGTGTCTGTATTTTGCTTACCACAAATCATTGTGGTGAGCAGTGGAAAACTTCACTTGCTAATTGAGCTGACCGTCAAATAATCCTATGAATAGGGCCCTACCAAATTCACAGCCATGAAAAACGCATCCCGGACTGTGAAATCTGTATATTATAGGGTAAAAGCACACAAGAGACCAGATTTCACAGGGGAGACCAGCATTTCTCAAATTGGGGGTGCTGACCCAAAAGGGAGTTGCAGAGGGGTCACAATGTTGTTTCAGGGGGGTCGCAGTATTGCTGCCCTTATTTCTGAGCTGCCTTCAGAGCTGGGCTCCCAGCCAGCAGCCGCGGTTCTCCAGCTGTTCTGCAGCATCGCCATCAGCAGCAGTGCAGAAATAAGGGTAGCAGTACCACAGCCCCACCTACAATAACCATGCGACCCCACGACAACTCCTTTCATGGGTCAGGACCCCTAAGATTACAACAGCGTGACATTTCAGATTTAAATAGCTGAAATCCATGAAATTTATGATTTTTAAAATCCTATGACCATGAAATTGACCAAAATGGACTGTGAATTTGGTAGGGCCTTATCTATGACAAAATTAACTTAGTAACAGTTTGTGTAGGAAGGAGGCCATGCATGGAGCTAATCAAAGTGGTCTTGATCATTCAGTAGGTGGCAAAATATAACTCCGGTTATTCAGAGGTCTTGGAGGACACCCAAAATGTTAGTAAATTAGGGTAATTGGTTGAATAAATGCTCAGACTTCTTACTTGCAACTGCTAAGTCATTCTCACAGGTGATGTTCCTGCTTTCTGCTAATCCTGTGGGGTATGAATATAAATCAAATAAGATACTCTTCTGCCTCAGGCCTTTGGCAGGTGCAGTGTTATGAAGTACCAGAATGGTAACCTTCCATTGATCATATTCTAGAGTTGAGAACTAGTGGAAGCATAATATACAGGCATTATATCAAATTGTACATGAATCCACTATGGAACCATGAAATATAAGCTCCTCATTAAGTACTGGAAACTTGACAAGTGTAGATCTGCCAGTTCAATAACAAACAAAACAAAAACGTTGCTTGTGATACCAGTTTTCAATTTTTGGACTAATAATGAGTTTGTGGATAATAGCAAAGCTATTTGTGTGACAATGTGTAAATTAACTAAACTGTAAATAGGAAACTAAAGGTTTTTGTTGTCCCTACTATGCAGTCACTAACATCAATGAAACAAATGTGAGTTACATACATGTATATTTTGATGAATACAGAGTTGGGGCCATATATCATCCTGGTATTAATAGGTGTTGCCACTGATAGGAACATGGGGTTCCAGCATAGATTTAATTTATAGTTTCTCCTATTGCATGTAAAATTTAAACTGAACATTCTAAATTGAATTTGAAGAGAATGTTTTCAGTTACCTTTTTTCTTTTAATTACGTAGGAAATTGCTGCACGTGTAAATCAATCAGCTCTGGAGGCTGTCACCCCCTCTCCATCCTTCCAACAGAGACATGAGAGCATGCGGCCAACAATGTACATTACGGAACAGTTGGTCATTTTAAGAGCACATTTCTAATGGGTGTCTGGTGAAGGCTTCTAAAATAACATGATTTGCAGAAGAGGTTTCAGTTGTCTACAGTGACTTTTAAAACCTTTAACAGGATAAAAACAAGTTCTTGAACAATGTAGCAAATGCATTTTTGATAAATATTTTAATGTTCTATGATGTACATTAAGAAATAAATGATGCAGCACTGTATGCAGTTTTGGTACTTTACCATTTAAGCCATGTGACTAATTTGTTGGCTTTTGACAATCTTGATTCAATTTTCTCAATATTTCTAACAATTAGCATCAGACTTCTAGCTGTAGGATATTTCACATTCTAGTATGTGAATGCTGTATCAGTGATGAGAGAAAGTAGTAAATGATTGAAATTGAATCTAGACTGCATTTCTTTATACTTTGTAATGATAGTATTGTTTCTCTTAAGTTTCTTCTAATATTTGTCTTGTTTTATTTTTCCCAAGTTTCATAATATTATATTTGTGTCCACCGTGGAGTTTCATTTGTTATCTATAAGCTTACATCGCTCTTTGTTTTGTTTTAGACAATCTCGGCCTCCAACAGCTCGTACTAATAGCTCTGGGTCTTTGGGATCTGAATCAGCAGCTTTATCAGCACTTTCCTTGGATTCCCTTGTTGCCCCTGACACACCGATACAATTTGACATAATTTCTCCAGTTAGTGAAGATCAGCCTGGTCAGGCAAAAGCCTCAGGGCAATCGGGCAGGTAGGAGAAGCAATGGAAGAAAAATCCTTGTATTTGTCTGTTTTACAATTACAGAAACAAAAGTAAGGAAAGTGAATCCAGCCAGTAACTCCATCATGTGTATTTTCTTTGCTTTGACGTTTTTTGTGACAAGTATGCAGAGAGCAGGCCTGCAAAACAGTATATTTTTCACGCATAATTGTGAAACTGCCAAGTATTTACTGTAAATTCAAGATGTAGTTTTTCAGTTTTGCAGCAGCTTTTCTCACCCTGTTTAACAGCTTATGCTTCATAATCATTTGGTTTTAAAAAGTATATTTTCCTTTCCTATTGCTTGCTCGCTCAGCACCTTGGGTATTTCCTCTTGGAAACTCAAGAGAAATTTGGTAGCCCTGCCTCCAGGTGGTGATGGCATACTGATGACACTCTTCCTAAACTAAAAGGTGAGTGAAAATGATCTAGGCTTCTAGAGCAATCGTAAACAGACAGGTTGAGAATTGCCTTACAGTTCTCCCAAAATATAAAACAACTTCTTTCTTCTGCTTGTTTTTGTTTGTTTTATTTTCCCATTCAAAATAAGATGCCTGATAAGATACCGTGCATTGCCTTTACAGAACTGTTTGTACAGAATTCAAGTTAATTAATCTTTGTTGTTGATAGTAGATCCCATTCATCTGAGGGAAACTGAAAACTATTTTGTGACTTAAGTCTTTTTTGACTTAAGTCTTGTGACTTACGGGTGTCATCTTACAAAAAATATTTGATTTGTGAGTTTGACCCCCATGTTGGAGTGTCTATTACCAAAGAGAAGAAACTTAAGAGTTCACACAGAAGAAAATCGTGTGATGTACAGTATTCAACTCAACTCATTTTTCCTTTTTGTTAGAAGAATAATGAGACTATTAAACAGTGCATCAAATTAAGTACAACATATTGATTAAAATAGGTTGATAAGAACTGAACTGGATTCTAGGCAATGAAAAGCATATAATAGCATCCCCAAAAACTCATGTCAACAAAGATATTTTTTCTATCATATATATTCATGATTTTGTCTCAGGTGGGAAAGATTATATAGAGATGCAGTCAATATTTCCCTAAAAAGATTTTTAAAAAACCACTACTCCATTTGTATAGATTGGAAACATGCTATACTTGTCTTAGTACCATTATCACAATACTTTTTTAAAAATCGTCACTGTGTTTCAGGTACAAATATGAAGTACATCTGTTAGGTGATTTTGCATTTGATTAGACCACACAAAGCTTAGAATTTATTCTCTCCATACTGTTCTGATTCTGAGGGACTGCAAATGTCTGAGCACCAACAAAATCTGGTTGTGGGAATTTTCCTAGGTATATTTGAACAGATGAACAATCTTTTTTGGGACTCGCCATTCTTCTGTACATTTTTTGCCATGCAAACTTTAGTTCAGAGTTTAATTATTTAGTTCAATGATTATCCAAAGTTCACACACTACTTTTGATTAGTTTAAGTTAACATTTCATTATTAATTTAAAGATTAACAATCCCATCTCATAGGCCACACAAATAAAGAAGACGGACTTATTCTGTATTACATATCAAGGCAGATGTTGGATTTATTCTAAAAATGAATTTTAGGACCATATCAGACATTTGGAAAAAGTGACATCTTCACTTTTTTCCTGGTAAAAGCTGATATGAAATTTAACTCTTATTATCAGCTGTCCTCATTGAGAGTTTTCAGCAATGCCAGTTAGCCAAGAAAATATCTTTCCTTTCTCCTTGAGAGCTTCAGCTAGTTCCCCAGCTCGAAATTTTCTTTTTACATTACTTTCCTTCTCTTGAAAAATGCAGACTGGAAGCCTAGAGTATTTTCACTTTATTATAATTGAGAGTAATTATGTCTCTTCTGAGAGTCAGATATAGCCACATTTCTCTTGACCCTCTAGGAGTAAAACCCCAGGGATGTTTTCAGAGAGCTGCATTTGAGACAACACCAGTGACTTCCCTGTAGCAAGTAATTCAGCAGCTTGAAAAAGTGGGGAAAGGTGTGCTGTTTTCAATTAATCTCTTAGAGGACTAGCTTTTGGCTGCGCTTCCTGAAGCTGTTCAATGAGACTTGAAATAAAACTCTGTCTTTTCAAAAATTAACAAGATTAAGTGATTCATTGGGGTTGTATTTATGTGCAGACGACAAACTCAAATTGCATTCCTACCACAACAGTGGGACAGATAGCACCTGATATTTCCTCCCCACTCCCCAGATCCTGCGCTCTCCACTCAAATGCAGCAGCTTGTGTCTTAAACCCACATCTAGTAAGTCTGTCCTTGTGACTCATAGGTGGGCTATCTATTTTGATCCCAATCGGTGAAATTACTATGTTGCTTTATTTGATGTAGAATGAGTCTAGGTTATATGTCAATGGCTCTTGCACTCTGACTCCTGGTTTAATGTTTTAATTTTTTAATAGACGTACAAACCCATTTGGTGAATCTGGAGGCAAAAAATCTGAGACAGAAGGTAAAACAGGATTTCATTTAAGTACAAAATATTCTTGATTGAGATACTCTTCAAAACTAATTTGCTTTTTATAGAAGCTATAAAATTAAGACTTGTATGCTAGTATTCAGTTAAAGCATACTTGAGTGTTTTCTTCATCTACAGCAGATGTGTCTAAAATAACTAGCTCAGCACCCATTGCTGGACTGGTGGATTGCATTAGCACATACTGCATCAGATGAGTCAGGTGAGACTACAGTCTGGAAGTCTAACTAGTTGAGTCTTTCATGTTCACTAAACCTAAGTGAAAAACTTAGTAGACAGATGTGTATCTTGCTGTTTCAGTAACTGCATCTGTCATTCATAAACAAATATTGGAAGTATAATTTTGAGTTAGAGTGTGGGTTGGGATTTTGTTTATAATATTTTACTAACTTAGAAATCCTCCTTCTGTGATTAGTCATGGAAACAGTAATGTTTAAATAGGAAAACCCAGAAATGGTTTGGTACTGCTTATTGAATACTCTTATCTTCTTAGATTCCATTCTTCACCAGTTATTTATTGTAAGATTCCTTGGCTCCATGGAGGTTAAATCTGATGAAAGTCCAGATGTTGTTTATGAAACAATGCGCCAAATACTAGCAGCCCGGGCTATCCATAATATTTTCAGGATGACAGAATCACATTTATTAGTCACTTGTGACTGTTTAAAGTAAGTATCCTTCCTAAATTTTGCTGAAGTTGACTTTTACAAATATATTTTCAAATGATCCTTTCAATTTAGAAAATTTACTGTGTGATTTGTTTGTTTAATTAACATTTTAGGTTAATAGATCCACAGACGCAAGTTACAAGGCTCAGGGTAAGTAATTTAAGTGCTAATGTTAAAGCAACCAATTCATTTTTTCTGATTTTTATGTCTAATTTTGTTTGAATACAATTTTCATTCTCTTAAATATCAACGATACTGTGTAATGAGATTTCTAAACGATTTCCCACAAAACTTAAGTTATCAGTTTACTGAATTATGTATTAAAATGGCTAAGTGAAAGACTGTTTTCGGTGATGAATTAATTTGATTAAGTAAACATTTCAAACAGTGCCTTTTTCATTATTTGAAATGGCAAGAGCATAATAAAATTGGCAAGATAGGTTTTTGTAGTGAGTAGTAAGTACAAAGTCAGACGTTAACATTAAGGGTGGGATGTCAGTTACACGAGTCAGGAAATTCGAAAGGCGATGGCTCTAATGCATTATTAAATTGGCCATGTTGCATGTCTTGTATGTGACATGTCTTATGGTCAACTTATTTTTATCTCTAAAAATTAATAATACAGAGTAATGTCTTGCATTCTAAAAGAAATCAATGGAATACTTGACACAATATATTCAGTATGGCCACGTTAACCTTCAGTAACAACCTTAACTTTTTTATTTTTGATTTGTTTGCTTAATTTTTTTAGTCTGTATTGCATGAACAATAATGCTTTAAATTTGATCGCTGGGTCTTTTTTAGAGAGCTGAAGAGAAGTAATTGTGTTAAGTGTCTTAAGGACTCCTTAATAAATGAAGCATGTAAAACTTCTCAATGCTAAAAGCAGCTGTGCATTCATGAACTCTCAGGCCTAAAGTGCAGAGCTGTCTTAAGGCTGTAAGCTGTTAAATGTGAACTAAGGCAATTCATCATGTGCCCAGGGCTCTAAACTGTTTTAGTATGAGGGCTCCAAAAAAAAAAACCTAAATAAAAAAAAATTATGGTGTAACTGTTTTAACTTTGAGCTGTCATAATTTTAAAACTAATTTAAACTATTTTCTTCAATCTTGGGTTGTTTTCCATTTTTTGTGAAGTTTTGAAAAGAACCCAAGTTTGAAATTTCTATCTTCAGCCTTTTTTTAATTATGGGAGTGCAAAAATGTCAACTGAACATAATACAAAAAGTGTGTGTGTGTGTGTGTGTGTGTGCATGCACAACTCAAAATTCATGAATGTATTCAGGTCACTGTTTTCAAAAACAGTCCATCCTTCGACTGAGACCACATATTGAAAATTTAGTCCCAGAAGGAATTTGTATGAGAGAGCTGAGTATCTGAAAAAGTGTGTGCGTGCACATGCCTAGAAAAGAAACAGGAACTCAGACTTCACTGTAACATTTGTTGTATGCAAATGCTATACTACTCTCTGCACAATGTATGTTTTTGAAAGATCTGCATGTGTTTGGTCACTGAATGTTTTTGATAACCTGTTTCAGTTTGCTACAATGCCAAAAGCATTATCCAGCAATTTGATCAGGTATAATGAAATTCTTTCTGCTGATCATGTCCATTTATTTTGTTGTTTTAGTAAGCTACAGTATATCGATATCTGGTATTCAAAGATGTATAGACCAAACTTTAAATTCCCATTATTTCATCCTTTTTTTGGCAGTTTCCTTTGCCAAGTGTAGTCTTGTATGCTACACACCAGGAGAATAAACGCCTTTTTGGATTTGTGCTTCGGTCCTCAGGAGGGAGAGTTGAGGGCCATACAACATCTGTCTGTTATATATTTGAATCAAACAATGAAGGGGAAAAGGTATTACAGTACTATGTTACTTACACTTTTATCTTGTTTCAAATTTGATGTGGATTTCAAGGTCTTAGCTCTCATTCAAGTTGTATGAAGAAATTTTTAGAAGTTTGTGTTTTGTTTTGTTTTTGTTTTTTTTTTGGTATGTTAGGCGGTCAGTCCAAGGATCTGAAAGTGCTTTAATACTCAGTCTATTTGAAGTTGTGGAAATTTTTCTTAATTTTAAAGGAATATTTATTTTCCATACTTTCTGAATATTCAGTTTGTTTCTATTTAGATTTGCGACTCTGTTGGACTGGCAAAACAGATTGCTTTTCATGCAGAATTGGTAAGATTCTTAAGTAGGGAAAAGGGGTGGGGGTGTGTGTGTGTGTGCGTGCGTGCGTGCAAAATGCAGTATGTGAAGTATGTAGATAATAGCACTGTGTCTGGCAGCAATCTGCAGATTAAGAATTTCTAAAGAGTCTATTGCATAGTATCTAGGTGATATTTAAACTTGTCAAGAAGTGATAAAGATTTAATAGGTTTCATACTAAGACTGATTGGAAAAGGGTATTGCAGATAAAGTTTTTGTTCATTTCAGCAGAGATAAGTCTTTTAAGGTAAGAATAATGGTATACATACTTAGTTATATCAATGTTTGATTTAACGATCTTAAGGAAACTCCTACAAGGTGGTAGTGTTTTATATATCCCAATTTACAAAGATTAGCCTTATTTATATCTTTACTTCTTTAGGATCGTAGAGCATCTGAAAAACAAAAAGAAATAGACAAAGTAAAGGAGAAACAACAGAAAGAACTCAGTAAACAAAAGCAAATTGAAAAGGTATGTCTCATGATTACTTATAGTACTAATATTTTCTTATTCATTAACCTTCATGCTGTCTTTCATAGCTCTTTACCCCAGACTACATTACATTCGTTAGTAGAAAAAACACGGTGGGCTTGATTTTGCCTGGAAACTCTGTCAATTTGATTTTTTTTTATTTGCTAAATGTAGTAAATTTTGGATTTTGGGATCTTAGTATGTTTTAACTATGGAAACATTTTAGGATTAAATCTGAACAATTTTATTTCTGCTTCACTTCCTGAATCTAAACTTTACTAAAGGTTAAACTTTTTAAAAAATTTCCATGTGGTTGGCAGCGTCCTTATAATCAAGCTCTTTGTGGATAATGATGGTGTGTCAGTCTGTAGGCTAAAGGCCTCATGTTTTCAGTGCTGTTAGTCAGCTTTGCAAATTCATGCCTCCCTCTAAGCATTGAGCATACCTTGCTACCACAGCAGTGGACCCCTTGATCTGATGCTGTAAATAAGCTTTAATATTTTAAATTTTAGTCTAGATCCTGACTGAAGCAACCTGAGAAAACATGCATGTAAGATACAGCAGATGATGTATTCGAACTCATCTTCGATAGAAACCGCTTTTAAAAGTTTAGCGTTTTGAAAAATGATTGACTTTTACTTGCAACTGGGGGCAGACTCAAACTGTAACTCTAAAAATATTGTTAACCTAATCCACCTCCTCTCCTCCCCTGTTACTATTGCATTGTTTTATTGACTTTAAAAAAAATTAACAAACAATAAAACTCCAAAACCAAATAGTCTATTATGAAATTTTATACATCAGAGATCATAAATGTCATATTGTATTTCAAAGTTTGTGTTCTTCTGCAATACTGCTTGTCCGTGTAGAATTGAGTTTGCTGGGAATAGGAATACATTACTTAGAATAAAATGTTTTCTTATTAGTTGTTCACATAGAGCTAGCTGCTGCCCAGGTAGATAAAACTGATGATTAAAAATAATTTTTAATTTAAATCTAGATTAATTAAAAACACGTATTAAAATTGTATTTTAAATCACGATTGCCTATGTTAAGGCCTATTAAAATAATTTTTTTAAAGAAAATTAAGCAGTATATGTTTGCTGCAAGATTTTTCTTTTTAAAAAGTCAAACCACTTAACTGGTGGAAGTCATATAGATCCAGTGTTTGACAGCAGTCACCTCTTCTGCAGGTGCAAAGAATATTTTCTGCATCTCAGTTTATTCAACCAGTTCAGTTCAATTACTGGTTCATTCAAAGTTCAGAAACCAGTGGGAGTTGAAAAAGAGGAAAACAAACTTTTCTGCTTTAGGTCTATGAATAAAAACTGGATGTGAGAGAATGAAGTCTACTAGTTCTAAAATCTTGAAGGACGCTCTGGTCACCATCAGTTCAGTTCACTCACTAAAGATAATACTTCAATAAATCAGTTAATTTTAAATGCAAAATGTTTTGATGAACTTTTTTTATGTATCCAATATAGTTAAGGTAGTTTTATTTAGTTAATTTTAAAAAAATTAAATACTGTTTCTGTGCATTTAATTGAATTTGAATTTCCATCCACATAGAATGTGATACATCACAAGTAAAAAAAATTAATATTCATCTAGTAAATCAGAAATGCATCATTCACTATTTTCTAAAATAATAAATATACAAATTAAGAATCTGAATAAAGGTAAATTTAAGGTACATAATTGCTTAAATAAATGTTTGTAGATATACTGTATCCTCTTGATTAGCAAAACTAAGCGCCAAATTTAGCATAAAAACTGAATTTAGTTGCAAATTAACACTTTGTAATGGTTACTGCTACCAAACGACACATCAACCTCTTTTAGGGAAATAACTAAAAAGTACAAATGCAAGACAAGATTAAAATTGATTATTTAAATCAAGATTTGTTTTCTGCTTTAAATCGTGATTTAAATCCATCTGCACTGGTCACTGAAGTTATTGTTCTTGGTTTCCCATAGAATCTTTTAAATTCCTCTCTACAAGTTGCCACTGCATAGCTCTAAATAAGATAATTTCCACTCTTGCAGAGCGGCATTGGAATTCCTTTTCACTATGGAAAGTTCTGAAGTGAATATTTTTTCCCCTTCTCTTCCTTCCTCCCTGCCTCCCATATTAGGACTTGGAGGAGCAGAGCCGATTGATAGCTGCTTCCAGTAGACCCAGTCAGAGCAGTGGAGAGGGACAATTTGTACTCCTTAGCAGTAGCCAGTCAGAAGACAGTGATTTGGGAGAAGATGGGAAGAAGAAAAGAGAGTCCGAAGCATGAGGTTACTGATCTTGTTAAAACTGGAATCTTTGGACGTATTTGTGGTGAAATGGCACAAATTACACAAGAAGAGAGAATGGAAGTGGAGGGTCTGCTTATTATATAGAACACTTAACAATATGCTGACCAGATTATACTTTGTTGTTTTTTCTTTTAAACATTCATTAACTAACTCTGCCTTTTAATGTAAATATATACCTTCCATGTGTCAGAAAGAGGCATGGTGACTTGCCATGTTTGCTACAGAATTACATCTTCGACTTCTCTTAAATATGGAAACTTTTTTTCACTTACCTGGTTATGCAGCTGACTGTTGTGAAACAAAAATTCATCTTCTGATTGGGCTTCAACAGTACACTGAAATATTGTTCTTTAAATTGCTGTACACAGAACAAAAGTGGGCTTTGAACTGAAACAGTGCTAAGCTGTATCTAAATACTGTTGCAGAGAATTTTCTGGGTTTATAAAAAAAAATTAATCCTCAATAACACCAGATAAATGTGCAATAGTTTTAGATAGATGAGAGAGAGAGATTATAATTTTTGTTTTATGTTGAATTGGATGGTACTGTCTCTGTTTCCTTTTTAATATAACTTAGGACACTTTATTGGATGGTAAAAAAGATTTTACTCCATTTAACCTAGATAAGACTTAGAGGGATGTATTTGCTTCTTGGTACATGGGGAATTGTGTTATAAACACTTTCACTTCAAGATGAGAATACAGTGTGTATACCCCTGAAAATAAAAGTACCACATTCTCAGTTCTCTGTCATAGGACTGTAGTAACTGTCCAGTACTTGGGGTTTACTTTAGAATAAAAAGTATGTTAACATTGTGAAAATGTTGGATTGAACCAGCTGTTTAGAAGATCTTCAAATACCCACATGCCTTGGAACCAGTTCACTAAATTTACGAGAAAGAGGTTGGGGGGGGAGGGGTTTGGGTCATTGCATGTAAATGTATTTTTCAAAAAATATTTAATAGCGATAGGGTGCAAGCATACAAATCATACTTCCTATCTAAACTGCTTGAAGCATCTTTCACAGGTGTCTGCTTACAGCTCTTAAGCCTGATCTCCGTACTACTGCATGATGTACATAACTTATTTTGTACTATATCAAATGTGCTTTGACCTTTTCATCCTGAATAGGAAACCAGTTAATGTAAGAGAATTTATTTATTTTTGCACTGATTACTGTATATAGTGAAGTCCAATGAACAGAAGATACATTTATGTATCAGTGTCAGGGAAAATCTAGTGTAGTACAGTAATGCAAGGAAATGTACTAAACATGAAAATACAGCTGTACTTCTGGGTCGGTTTCAACTTATGTATATTTTCCAGTTTATATAAGGCTTTCTACTTGTTCTAAATGTCATTTCTTATTCATTATACAAGTTATTGTATACAGCCATTCCCATGAACAGCTATCCTCCAATCTAGAAGACTGCCCATTTGTTCCTGCCAACTTGAAGATCCGAAGGGAGCATATGCAGATTTTTCTCCCTGTTCCCGATCCTAGGCTTATAAAAGGATGGTTGGCACCAGGAATTTTGGACTTTCTATCTCTGCAATTTGCACTGGCTGCTTACATTTCTGACTAACTTTTCTCACTTATATTTCTTCCACCAGCATCGCCTTCTTGCAGACCAGGTGACCGTCTACTTCACACTTATTGTATCTTGCAATCTGCCTCCTCTACCTGTTTAAAATCCAGCTAAAAATTTCCAAAAACCCACAGAAAGAGTATGAAATCATGTCTTTTCAGTTTCTAGTTTATTAAGTGATCTAGTTATCTCCCTGTGCAGGATTGCTTAGTGGGTTGGCCAGTTTAAGCGTAACACCCACCACACTTCATGTGGGAGACAGTATCAACTTGAAGTTTTCTTGATATTCAATTTAAAATTTTCCTTAAGCTTTATTGCATTATTCTCATTGAAGGGATATTTCAGAGAATTGGGATTGTTTGCTCCCTTTGCTGTTGGGACTTTCATACCAATCAAAGGGCTTATCTGAACACTACATAGAACTAGTATAGCTTGTTACATGGCTATTCTGCCTGTATCCTTTTGCTGGGGTAATTTCAACCCTCCTGACATGGTATTGTAGGGGGGATGCACAAATTGTGTTCAGAAGGCTGTGTTATAACCTAGATAAATATCTTTGAATTACAGATTGACCTTCTTTTAGTTTAGATTTTGACTAAAGCTAGAAACAAATTATTTGCCAAAAAGGAACCGTTGTTGGACTCCCATCTATTTGAAGATTTTGTAATACAGGATTCCCATTAACTGACTGCACTAATCCTTAAACTTGCCTGCAACCTGGCAAATGGCCACAATTTACCAGTTTGGCCAGGATAGGGTTCCCATTGGTCTTTAGATGACAAATAGCATTGAATTGGTATCTTGATTCTCAAAATTGTAGTGCAAACATCCAGTCACAGCTGGAAACAAAACTAAGCCTCTCAAATTTAGATCCTACAGAAGGACTATAATAGATCTCAGGTACCTTACCTGATGTGATTGTCAATGAAATGAGATGGCACCCTGGACCTAGAAAGAAATATACATCATAATCTTTATATCCTTTTTGGAAGCCTACAGAACTCAGATGTATCCAGATTAGGTCAAGGCGGCAGCAGCACCTGGAAAATATGCTGTACCAGGAAATACGGGACCCAACCTGGAGGAGACTAGGGAGCAGGCCCATGCCCCCAAACCCTTCTGTCCATTCTTCAGCATGCCATGTTTACAGGACAGGAGAGATCCTGGTGTGATGCCAGCAAGTAGCAAGCAAAATAGGGTGGGTCTTGCTCCATTCAAGGGTTTTGAATTTTCCCAGCTCCCAGCAACTTTAAATCCTCTATCCTGCCTGACTCATGATCTACCAGAGGGGCCATTAAAAGCCTTGGAAATTAGCCATTTAATTTTTGATTATCAGCTTTGTTTAATTCATTCTCAACCTTTCTGTAAATTAAACAAGACACTTCAGTCATGATAGTCAAAGCCTAATCTTTTTCTACATATTTCACAAAAAACATTTTAGGGGAATGTTTTTTAAGAGTTTCCAAAAACATTTTGGGATTATTTTTCCTTATCCCTTAGATTTAAAGCCAGCTGGCTTAGTTATCCTGAGTCTAGCTGTTCAGGGCTCACAGGGAGCCATAGATATTTAGACTATTTCATCTCTTGTTAAATTACCCTAGCATAAATATTAGACTTACTTAAACTTGGAAAGGCTCTACAAGGAATAAGAGGTGTGTGTGTGTGTGTGTGTGTAAAATTTATTATGGTATGTAGGTCTTTAAGATGTGACCTGATATATTATTGTATCTCTTCCATTTGTTTCTTAGTTTCTGCATTTAATGTCATGTTAGATCAGAGGTGGGCAAAGTGCGGGCCACATCCGGCCCACGGGACCCTCCTACCCGGCCCCTGAGCTCCTGGTCCGGGAGGCTCACCCCCGACCCCTCCCCTGCTGTCCCCCCCTTCCCCGCAGCCTCAGTGCGCCGCACTGCTGGTGCAATGCTCTGGGCTGCCAAGCAACGCAGTTGCAGAGCCGCAGCCTGACCCGGTGCTCTGGGTGGCATGGCTGTAGCATCACCAGCCATTGGCACTTCAGGCAGCGTGGTAAGGGAGCGGGGGAGGGAGGGGGGTTGGATAGAGGGCAGGGGAGTTGGGGGTGGTGGTCAGGAGGCGGGGGTGTGGATAGGGGGCAGGGAACAAGGGGGTTGAATGGGGGCAGGGGTCCCGGGGGGGGGCAGTCAGGAAGGAGAGGGAAGGTTGGATGGGGCAGTCAGGGGCAGGGGTTCCAGGGGCGGTCAGGGGATGTGGGGGGCTGGATGGGGCAGGAGTCCTGGGGGGCTGTTGGGGGTGAGAAGCGGGGGGAGGGGGGGTCAGATAGGAGGCAGGGACCAGGCCATGCCTGGCTGTTTGGGGAGAGACAGCCTCCCCTAAGCGGCCCTCCATACAATTTTGGAAACCAGATGTGGCCCTTAGGCCAAAAAGTTTGCCCGCCTCTGTGATAGATAGATAAATCGTTTGAGCCTGATAGTTGAGGAGCAAGAAGCATCTCTTTTTCTAGCACCTTAGAATGATTCTTTCAGCTACTAAAAAGAAGCTGCAAACCCATTTCTTGATGTTAGAAGTATCTTAAGAAAGGAATTGAATAAAGTGGCTGATGCCCAGGAAAAGGGAGGTGAATGAGAAGAGAGGTCCTTATACTTGGTAGAACAGTTGCATTGCCTACAGGGGATTAAAAACAGATGTGAGGCGATCCAGAGAGAGCACTGAAGGAAGTGGAGGTAGCACGAGTAGAGTGCATGCTGAAGGAGATTAGGGGGCTAAAGTGAAGAGGTGGAGGTGAGGTCAGGAATACTTAGTTTGCAGTGCTTGAGAGATGGGGTGCCTGGATCTGTGACCTAGAACTACTTCAAAGCTGAGAGGGGTTTGCCCCAGTTACCCCTGGTAGAACTACCCAACCCTCTCCTATATGGGGCATGTACTGGTAATTTTTTACAAGACCCTGTATCCCCTGCCCTCATAGCAACTAGGAGTGACCATTTTTTCCTCTGAATTATGAGTTCTCATTGCACTGAGCCACGACAGGGCACTAGTCTCATTTAAGGTATATCTACTCAGCAAAAGCTATTCAGGGCCTAGCCTACTTGACTTAGTTTGAATCTAGCTAGCGTGAGTACAGTAGCAGTGAAAACAGCGTGCCATGCGTGAGCAAGCAGAGTATATACACAAGGTCTATGCTGGGTTTGTACTACTTTCACTGAACCCTCATTGTGCTGTCTTCATTACTACTGTTATCCACGCTATCGGGATTCAAGCTAGTTCAGGTAGACTAGCCTGTGCACAGCTTTGTAGAGGTACCCCTACTTTGGCAGTGAGTAAGCAGGTAGGGCTAGTGAGCCTTCTGACATGTAGTCTGGAAGGGATCACTGCTAAGGGAGATGGAAGTATGAAGAACTAGGCCAATTACTAGTAGACAGGAGTTGAAGGATAGATCAGCTCTGTGGTATAAAGCAGATTAATAAGGTACCATCCCGCTCTCATGAAGGGTAGTATTACCTTTGACCTTTATTGTTACATAGCCTATGTCAAAGTAGCTGTTTGGCCATGTAGAGTGGATTTTACCGAGAAGAACTTGTGTGAATGTGTGTTTCCATATGTAATTGCTTCTTTCAAACCGGGTTTTCAGGTTAGCTTCTGGGGGCTGTAGGAGGTGATTTTTCCATATATAACAGACTTTGGAACCATATTTTGTGTAAAATTTGTAAGTCAATCATTAGGGGAAAGTGTTTTTGCCAAGATTTTTTTTTTATTTTTAATAAATGCCAATGTTTGAGTGGAGTGCAGAGACTCTAATAAGTAGTATGTTTTTTTTTTTTTTAAACATATAAGCTCCATGTTCTTAAATTAGCTAATTTGGCATGGCTTTTCCTACATTAATGTTTGGCTATGGTTGGTAGATTGCTATCAAAGTGCATGTTGGAATAAGATTGAAATATTGATTAGAAACTCTTCATTCGGTTTTCACTTCTAGTTAAATACTCTGCCTGCCCATCTTTCTGCTACTGGGTGAATTATATTATCTATAGCACCTGAAGTCATGGTCCTACAGCAGGTGAAACCAGTATGTCTGGCCTTTTAAAAGCTCAGTTACGTAGAAATAAGAGTTTAAAAACGCCATTTAACACACATACATTGTGGCAACAGTGTTGGTTAGAATTAATCATCTTTTTATTGCTAAATTGTATCCTCATAGTTATCACCACTTAACTAAAAAATAATTGGTTAGTATGCTTGTTGCATGGTGTAGATTTTAATTTTATTCAGGTGAATATCCAGTTTTATTCATCTAAGAGGTAAATGTGACAGACAACAGTAAATCATCCTGATGATCACGTGTTTCAGGGTAACCTTGGTATTGTTACATACATTCTTCATGTATGTAAGGATGGGTGTTTATGGTTATGTAATGCACTGTGTTATACTGTGTGTATATCCCCATCATAGTCATGAAAAGTTTTTCTTTTGACACTGCCATTCTAATCAAGTTTAAAAGGTCCACGCATTTTTGTCCCCTCAGGAACTGAACACAGTCAGTTAAGATAAACTCATGTAGTCTATTACATTGTTTCTGAGGTCTGGAAGAGAAAATCAGATGAAACATTGTCAGTAATCATGAGGCTGGCACTGACTCCATGTTTTAACAATAGGCATTAGCTGATTTATTCCTCTTCTGAAATCTAGTTGATTGTGCTCAATTACATGAGTGTAAATTCAGAGTAATTCTAGAGATAATTATTCAGTGAACTTACTCTAGATATGCTTGCATATAAATAAGCAGGACTTGGCCCTATGTGTATGTTTAGTGTTTATAAATTAGAATTGACATTTGCACAGAATTTAAGAAGAAGGTAGGGTTGTTTAATTCGTGATTAATAATCTCATCTGAAACATTAAACAAAATGTCTCTCCTGACCTGCTGGTAGTCTATTTTTCACTTTTGCATAATTTGAAGATAGATTTACAGCGTTTGTTTGTTTGTTTCACTGATTCCACATCTCACAGTACGCACTGTATTCCAGCACTCCCCCCTGGGAAAAAAACCCTTAAGCATTTGTTATAAGTGAGAATAATAAATCTGTAATCTTTCTTTAATCACAACTCCTACAAGTGAATTCCTTTTCAATTCACACACAAACAAAAAGACAGTCATTGCCTGCGTCTTACTCAGCTTTTTTAAGACAGAACTTTTTCATATATTCAGTGAATTCAGGAAAGACACATTGTCCATTGTAATAATTGACCTTTCTTACTTTGTCCTTCCTACCTTGCTCTTTTTCACAAAATCTCTGTTTACTAGAACTCCCAAAGTTTCTTTACAGGCAGTAAGGTAATTTTCTTGTGCTTACAGTGATGTCTAATTGGGCATGAAAATATTGTCACTATGCCATTGTGCCTGCATTGGTGTTTCATAATGTTTATATGCAAACCTGGGATTTAGTAAAATATAGTCAGGTGATTTTATAATGTAGTGGATTGGTCAAAATCTTACCATAAGATACTAGATTGGTCCTGTTCTAGTGATGTATAAGTAATTTTTCAATGTTTAAGAGTCTTATAAAAATTTCCCTGAATATTTGTAGTAAAGCAATCATCTCAAATGGGTGTGCCTAGTATCAATTTGATAGTTGGTTTAAACTCAGAAATATAGATATTAAATGTGTTAGCTAGGGCTTCAGTTAATTTGAGTTCACTAATAAAAGGTTCAAAGTTTGCTTTGTACAATAATCTTTATTTGAATTAGACTTACTTTAAAAAAATTTAGACTCTTTTTCTAATGCTTGCTTCCAAAAAAAAAATCACATTACTAATATGGCTTTGTTTTTTCCCCACTAAATATACAATTAGCTAAAGCCTGATGTTGTCAAAATGTATTTTGATTCTGTCAGTAATTCAGGAATGTTACCCAGCTATATTCAATGAAACTTTATTTAATCAAAATGGAGGGGGATTTATTTTTGCAACTATCAAAGTCTGAACAGTCAAAGAAAACATCCTTGTTACATTAGCTGGTGTTAATTCACATCTTGTTTGTTTTGTCACATGCATGCATAGTACTTTCTAAAGAACTGTGGTTATGTTAATGAACAGAATTGATGGGTACAGAAGTTATACCAGCACAACCTGATTGGTTCAGACCCATTAATACAGATACTAATGCATATTTCCTACCTGCTTATTAGTTTTGTTCAGTACTTGAGTAGGCACCCTGTAAGAAGTAATGAGTCATAACATACTAGTCCAATCTGTATTTTATAAAGTTTATAGATTTTTGAGGGGGAAATAGACTTTTGAATTATGTAACTTAAGTGATACAGATGCATGTATAAATAAAAATCTGTACTTACCTGAACATAAACTTGATTATGAAAAAATAAATACTATTAATGCCTGTCATGTTTATTGAACTGCTCATTTTTATATATCTGTTTCTTCTGCAGTATTTTGTACACCTGAAACTGTTCCTAGCTTGGAGAAATTTAAGGGTTTGTAAATGTTTAGCTATGTACTGTACTGTATTAGAGTACTAATACATAGTATATACAAAGCATTATTCAGTGCATAGTGGCATTACCTTACAAGACAACAGTATCCAATAATGTGCCCTTTTGAAATGTTCAAGTCCCACCAGGGAAAGGGTCTCCATTTTATCACCCACAGGGCCTAATCATAATTCATTTTACATTTCCAAGTTCTGCATTAACATTGCATTGGATGGTACTCAAATGCCACACGTGATACAAAGTAAATTCAACCAATACTCTTTAAACTTGTCCCCCAAATATGGCAATAGGTGGGAAATTGAGGGAGCTGGGCCAAAATATACTCCAAACATCTGTGGACATCCTTATAAATAACTTTTCAGAAGAAAAAATAAGATTGCTCTAGATCATATTATATGAAGACCAGCACTTAATTACTATGGTAACAAGACATTTAAATACCAAGAATGAGATGTGGAACTACCCTATCTAGCAGGAAAGCAGACATCTAATAAAAAAACCCACTAATGTTTCACTACTGACTGATGTTCTGTTCATAAAAAGAATTCCATGGCCATTAACCCCATTTCACTGTTTAAAACTGGGGATTGGCTAATTGGATGAAATAACAAACCTTGAAAAGTCAAAACCTTGTCAAACAACTTCATCTTCCGTCCAGCTCTTCTTGCTTGGGAGTGAGGGGAGAAGAAAGCCTCTGCCTCTCGCTGGTTCTAGTCAGAAATTGAAATACCACCATGTAGGTTGTTAGGACAGTACTTTGCTCCAACCAGAAGCAGAATGTAGAAGTATAACAAGAGTTGCAGCCCAAAGAAGTTGGGAGAAGAATTTGAACTCCTAGTTACAACCTGACCCACCTGTCTTGAAGGACACTTCCCATTCTATATGTTGTTTGAAAATGCTGACCTAAGCGTTGATGCTAGATAACTTTAAAATTATATTGCCATTACCTGTAATTGCTTCTGTTAAGTTCTGGATGCTTTTTCTGCTAAGAGGGCTACTAATACTTTCTAATACTAATACTTATTCTGTACTATACTTTTTTATTTTTATCCAGAAAAATTTTCACCAAAGTGACTTGTTGGTTTTTAGAAGCTAAAATCCCAGTAGAGAAAAAGAATTGCACACAATATAGTCTTTGTCCACTTGCATCCTCTCTCAAAAATATAGGACTATGATTCTATGCAGTTGGGTTAGTGGGTTCCTAGCAAGTTTCCTTGTCCGTAAAGATCATATTCTTTGTACAGTATATATTCTTTCAACCGATTGGGCAGTGGAAGGAATGTCATGAAGACAGGACAACGCAGATGCAAATGACCCATGCATTTCCGAATCTTCAGACGACAAAGATGTTTCAAAGAACGTGGATTTGCTATTAAAAGAAAAGAGAGAATGTCTTTTACCAATCAAACAACAAGAAACAACATACTCAATTTTGCATGATAGCCCCAAGCAACATTTGAGAAACTTTAGTCAGATTTTGATACCGTAACACTTGTTGCATAGTATATTAATTCTGAACACACACTGAAATCACAGGTGCTCCCTTGAAGTAAGCTTCTACCCAACATGCATGGGGGTATCAGGATCTGGCCTTTTGTAAGTGATCACCAAGCAGTAACATTTTGCAAGTGTAATCAACTGAGGCATTAGCCTAGTTTTTGTGAATCTAAGCTTGAAACATAAATTAATTGAAGAAAAAGTTTGGCAGAGGGTAATTTAGGCCTAAAGCATGAGTTGTCTATTGCCTCAGTAAGGCATGGAGGTGGGAGAGCAATAAAAAGACTACAAGGAGTGGTTAGTATGTGTTAACTTTTCCCTATTACACAGTAGTCATCCTTGCCCATTTATTTTTTTAACTGCACTTGCAGCTACTAGGGGAAAAAAATGACCAGGCCAGACACGCTAACAGCATTATGTGACTAGAGTAAAATAATCTAATCTGAAAGAAACAGCCAGTTTACTGAATTACTTTATATAAAGACCTGAATTTATTGCAACAGCGATAGTATAGGAAAAAACTTTTAGTCCTGAGCAACATAAAGTATAAGTATATGTTTCTGTGGACTCCCTGTGCATGCATTTAAGTTACAGTAGGTATATTCTACTGCTGCTTTGTAATTAGGGAACTCCCAAACCACCCAAAATGATACACATTCTTACTGATGTGACTTAGTAATATTTTTATTACAAACTCCTCTAAGGCCGACTGTATTTGGAAATTTTACTTAAGGCTGAAGTTTAATTGATTTTTGTTATAAGGATAGGCAGGACAAGACAACACTGGCTCAGATTCTCCAAGGTAAGTCAGTGCCTACCTCCCATTGAATCAATAAAAGTTAGACACCTAAATACCTTTGAGGATCTGGTCCAATGATGCCAAAATAATATAGAAAATAAACAAGCCAAAAAGTAGTGTCATCTAGCATTTTGGATGTTTCAAAACTCTAAACACCGGACACTTACTCAAAATGGAATTGATTTCTGGCCATAGTGTCTGTTCCTCCAGAACTGCTTTCAGCTTACAGCAGATGCTAACATGATCAACATAATCTAGCATCACTCGCACTACTTTCCCAGCTATGTGCTTCAGCCACGATAGAGTTATCACTTCACAGAACTGAGAGAGAAAAAAACAGCATATTTAAGAGTATAGCATTCAACATTTCTGTGACTCATTTCCCCTTTTCAAATTCCTCTGCAGGACATAAATTCCCAAAGAAAAGCCAGGAGTGAGTGAGTGCTGAATCACTCAGAGGTTGGCTTGGGTATAATAAGCTTCAAACAGAATGTGAAAAACTGATGGCTAGTCAGTTTAAGTTTTTACAAAAAGAAAAGGAGTACTTGTGGCACCTTAGAGACTAACCAATTTATTTGAGCATAAGTTTTCAGTCTCAACTAGTTTAAAGCCAGCGTGAAAGTTACATGGAAGCGAAGGTTCAACCAGCGGGTTTAAAATGTGCATGTCAGTGCATGTGTTTGTTACAACAGAATAAGGAAAAGGGTTTAGAACAACTGCACATGTGGTAACTGTGCCCCCACACTTGTAGGTGTGAGATGTTACATTTGTATTATACTGAAAAATGTAAAGAGGAGCTGTGAAGCTAGAAAAAATGTTTTTGTTTTAGTCCTTTACAATTCAAAAAGATTGCATCAAGTGTGTGTATTTTTAACCAGTATTTGAATAGCAAAAACTGCCAGTTCACGGTTTGTTCTGTTTGTTAGAGGCCGCCTTTGGCATGATCGTTGCAAGGCCTGAATTGTAATGTCAGATACAGCAGTTGCCTCTGCTGCAGTTCTTCCTCCCTCCTAAATCGTACCATGTTTGGACGCAGGAGCAGGGGCTACAGCTTTGTGGCATTCCATGGCAAGTGAGATCATGGTTTTCGCTGAAGTCTTCCAGCAAAGAAAGCCCTAATACTTCTAATGTAAAACAACTAGAAATAAGTAGTAAAGGGCAGAGAGAAAACGTGTACAGTAACTGGAATTCTTCTAGCTGTATGGTCCTTAACTGTATTCCACCCTGGGTGTGCGTGCGCACCGCGTGCCTGAAACCAAAAGATTCTTGCCAGAAGTGCCTGTTGCTCCATTCCTGTGTCCCTCTCCTCTTTGTGCTTTGAAATGAGGGCATTTGGAGTGGTGCGGACCGATTGCCTCTCCAGTTGCCTTTTGACTATGAGTGGCCCTAACATAAGGATCTACAGCAGAGGGGAAGGAGGCCAGGTAGTGGAATACACTGTGACGAAGTTCCTCCTCTACCTTGGTGGGTCCTGCGCTTATTGGCAGATTTTGCTTGCCTCAGAGGTTCACAGCAGTCCTCAGTTTGGCCACTTTCATGGCTCAAATCTGCTGTTCACTCAGATAACCTCATCACTGACCAGCATGGGGAAAAAAAGAGTAAGAACAATCCCCGCAGTTTCTGCTGATCCACCATGTGGGTCAGGGACCAGCTCAGAGACCTTCACCTCTGGTAGAAGCTCCCGTGTTGAGTCAGGAGCTGGGAGGAACCCAGGCCCGCCCTCTACCCCGGGTTCCAGCCAAGGGCCCTGTGGACTGCAGCGGTCTAGAGTGCCTCCTGGAACAGCTGTGCGAAAGCTACAATTCCCTGGGCTACTTCCCCTTGGCCTCCTCCCAACACCTTCTTTGTCCTCACCACAGGACCTTCCTCCTGATGTCTGTTAATGCTTGTACTCCCCAGTCCTCCAGCAGCACATCCTCTCGCTCCCAGCTCTTTATGCACACCTCACTAACTGGAGTGAGAGCCTTTTAAAACCAGGTGTCCTGATTAGCTTTAATTAATTCTAGCAGCTTCCCAATTGGCTACAGGTGTCCTAATTAGCCTGCTTGCCTTAATTAGATCTAGAAAGTTCCTGAGTGTTCTGGAATAGTCCCTGGGATATGGGACCTGCTTAACCTGGAACTAATGTATCTACCTTTTGATCACTCTCTTGTAGCCATCTGGCCTGACCCTGTCACAACACATAAAGACTACACATCTTGAAGAACTCAAAGAACTGTGGGTAAATAATGTTTCTTTTTTCTCCAAGTGATGGTTCCTATGTCTATTCCAAAGTGTACACAGTCCCTATGCGTATACATAGTCCCTATGTGTATTCCACTATGGGTGACTCAAAAACAGTATTCATTGAGGAGGAGGATGCAAGGACCCTTGCTTACCACCAATTGGAGGACTGCCCTGTTGAAGGATCCATCAGCTGTAGCAGTTTGCATCATGGCTTAATGATCTCCTGAAGGAGTGAACAGAGTCCCATTTGTGAACAGAGTCTCACAGAATTCCAGGAGCTGGACTTCTCAAAGTAAGGTTACCAATACAGACTGGGCACTAGTCGAGAGAGCCATCACACCTTGTGAGGGAGGAATTGCAATTAACTTGTAACAAAACAGTATGTAGCCCAAAATCTATTTGGAAAGTCTGAGAAGAGATTGCTTCCCCTCTCATACATTCCATAAAGGATATACACAGCCTAGGTCAGTGTTTTTCAATGTTCAGGTCATGACCCAATACTGCAGTGGTTCCCAAACTAGGGGCACCCCTTGTTCAGGGAAAGCCCCTGGTGGGCCGAGCCGGTTTGTTTACCTGTCGTGTCCGCAGGTTCAGTCGATCGCGGCTCCTACTGGCCGCAGTTCACCGCTCCAGGGCAATGGAGGCTGTGGGAGGTGGCGGCCAGCATGTCCCTCAGCCTGCGCCGCTTCCCGCAGCCCCCATTGGCCGAGAACAACAAACCACAGCCACTGGGAGCTGCAATTGGCTGAACCTGCGGATGTGGCAGTCAAACAAACCGGCCTGGCCCACCGTGGGCTTTCCCTGAACAAGCAGCATCCTTAGTTTGGGAACCACTGCAATACTGGGTTGTGGCATGTAAGGCACTGGGTGGCCTTGCTTAGCACCCAGGGACCCTAGCAGCTCTGGTCAGCACCCCTGACCAGGACGTTAAGAGTGCCGTCAGCAGTGCTGCCCAGCTAAGGCAGCTAGTGCCTACCTGTTCCGACACCACACTGCGCCCCAGAAGCAGCCAGCAGTGGGTACAGCTTCTAGGCAGGGGGGCCACAGGGCTCCGTGTGCTGCCTCCCCCTGCCCCTGAGAACTGGCTCTACACTCCCATTGCCCAGGAACCAATGGGGGGGGGGGGGATGATGTCTGCGGGCAAGAGCCGCACGGAGCTGCTTACACACCTCCACCTAGGAGCTGGACCTGCTGCTGGCCGCATCCAGGGCGCAGCGTGGTCCGCGGTGCCAGGACAGGCGGGAACCCTGCCTCTGCACCCCTGCCTCTGCACCCCGGCTGCGCTGCTGACCGGGAGCCACCGGAGGTAAGTCTGCACCCCAAGCCCCTGCCCCAGTCCTGAGACCCCCCCAAACCCAGAGCCCCTCCTTCACCCCAAATGCCTCATCCCTGGCCCCAGCCCAGACCCCCTCCTGTGCCCCAGCCCAGAGATCCCCACAAACCCAGAGCCCCTCCTGCACCCCAAACCCCTTATCCCCAGCCCAGAGCCCTGACCCCCTCTCACACCCCAACCCCCTACCCAGAGCCCCCTCCCACACCCTAAACCCCTAATTCCCAGCTCCACCCCGCAGCCATCACCCCCTCTGCCCCAGCTCCATTGGGTTGTGGACATCAACAATTTCTTCAACTGGGTCCCCAGGAAAAAAGTTTGAAAACCACTGGCCTAGGTGATCTCCTAAAGGATTTAGTCCTTTGCAGGTAGAATGCCAAAGCTTGATGGACGTCCAGAGAATCAAGTTTTCCCTGGTGGCATTTGCCTAGGGGATGAAAACGAACAAGTGAGCAAGCTGCTTTAGATGGAATTCCGAGATTACTTTGGGGGTGAATTTTGGGCATAATCTCAGGGAAACTTTGTCCCTCTGGCAGATTGCATAAGGCAGATCAGCAATAAGGGCCCCCCACCCCCCGTTTACCCTCTGAGGAGATGACAACCAGAAAGGCAATCTGCATTGATAGGTGGACTAAGGAGCATGAAGGTGAATGTTCAAACAGAGCCTTTTTTAATGCTGATAGGGCTACATTTAGGACTACCATATCGAGGTAGTTTCATTCTTGGAAGACAGGTTCTGACGATCTTTTAGAACGCATACTGTAACAGGATGGGGGAAAGGTGAGCTGACAGCTGCTAAATGCACCTGCAGGGAGTGAAGTTTTCAAGGAGAGAAGGTAGTCCAAAATGGCAGGGATTATCATCTGATAATTCTCTGGGGTTATCAGGTGGCGTTGGCACCAGATTGAAAATATTTCCCACTTTGCTATGCAGCACTTCCCTGTGGAATCCTAAGGATGGACTGTACTGCCTCCAAACATGCCTTTTCTAGGTTTGTCATCCATTCAAATGTCAGGCTGTTAGGTGGAGGGATGTTGGCTTGGGATGTTTGAGCTTGTCTCTGTCCTGGGTCAAGAGGTCCAGGAAGAGTGGGATACAGATGGACATGCTGACATCTGGAGAATGCTGGCAAGCCAGAATTGTCTTGGCCACTTGGGAGAAAGCATATTACCAATGCTCCCTCTTGCTTGATATTCCTCAGAACTCAAGGTAAGAAGGGAATGGATGGGAAGGCGTATGTCAGTGGGCCCAAACATTGAACTAGAAATGTGTCCCCTCTGGAGCAGTAGGTCAGACATTTCCTGTTTTTCTCAGATGCAAAGAGGTTAAGAAACCCCACTGCTGAAATACGTTCTGGGCTACCAACTCATGTAGCTCCCATTCGTGATCCCTAGAGAAATGTCTGCTGGGACTGTCTGCTAACATGCTATATACCTCTGGGAGATGCACTGCTGAGATGGTGATATGGTGGCAGATACACCTGTTCTACAGATTGACTGTTTCTGTGCAAAGAGCAGTGGACCTTGCTCCCCCTTGTTGAGGTAGTACTCTGTTGTCAGGTGTGATTTGGATATGCAAGGTCTGAATGAAGGGTAGGAAATAGCGGCAGGCTTCATGAACTGACTGTAACCATGAGGTAGGTATGCTCTGGCACTGATAAAGTCCAGGGTCACCCCAATAAAGTCTATAGCCTGCGAAGTGGGAATTAAAATGGATGTTTCTATTTTTACTTGAAGTCCCAATTACTGTAGGAGACTGAGTAGAGATATGGTTGCCATCTGTACCATTTGATGAGAGTAACCATTCATTGAGGAAGGGGAACACTGATGAGTCCTGGCGGCAGAGGCAGGCTGCCACTACCAATAGCCTCTTTGTGAATACCCCTGGCACTGTTGTGAGGCCAAGAGCACACTGTATTGGTAGCAGTCCGCGCCCATGGTGAATCTCAGGAATCTCCTGTGCACAAGGCAACGTCTATGTGGAAATAAGCATCTTTTAAATCAAGATGTGTGAATTAAATCAAGCCAATTGCCTTTGTTCAGTGCGGGAACTATGGAGGCAGCATAAATATCCTGAACCTCATGGGAGAGATTAAAATGTTCAACTGTTTGAGATCCAGAATGGGTCTCAAGCCTCCTCTCCTCTTGGGAATGATTTTGAATAAAATTATTTCCCACTGTGCTGGAGAGGAGCTGGTTCTATGGGCCTTATTATGTCCCAGTTTGCAGATCGTCCTGTTGAGTGGGTCTCTGTTTCAAGCATGTCCTGGACCAATGGTGTAGGGACCTCCCTTGTCAGGATCGGTTCCAATAGAATCAGGGATTCTGGGTCCATGTAGATACACTGCCCCTGTGGACATTGCTATCTATCCCCTGAAGCAAGAGAGTGGACAGAGCTTCTTTCTTTCCATGGCACCAGTGGTATCAGTCTCATTGCAGTCTTTGGTTCTGGCATCTCCTTTTCACGGTGCATCAGTAGCATCAGTCTACAAGGTGTCCACTGTTGTTTTTCCCTAGTCAGTACCAGGGATGGTCCTGCTCCTACAGTTAGCATCTGTTTTGGGGTGTTTTTTTCCCTTCAGAGCCCGGGGAATGATACTGTGCTTGTGAGCTCCTCAGACTTCCATACTGAGGCACAGAATCTCACCCAACTTGGAGGGTGTCAGAGGCCTTCTTATTTCTCAGCAAGTGTTTACTACTCTCTTCATGTCCCTCTTTGGAAGAGTCCTTTAATTTACTATCAGTCCCAAAGCCAGAGACCACCATACTTAGAGGGCACTTCTTGGTTCCTCTGCCCAATGTACAGGGGGGTCTGATAGGCCAGGATCAGACTGGGGCCTCATAGCATGATCCATTACGAATCTTCAAAGAATATACTCAAGAGCTTGATAGGTTTGGCTATGAAAGGATCAGCAAACGCTGTACTTCAAAGGGATGTGGGCTTCCCTGAGGAAGTAGAGACACTTGAGGTGGTCATCACTGACTGGAAAGGCCTGAGAGCAAGATGCACACTTTTTGAATCTTGGGATCCTGGGCATACTATGGAGGAAGAAGTGGTTTGAATAGGGAGAGGACCCCCTAAGCCCTGAACTGGTAAGGGCTTGTCTACACAGAGACATTCAGGAAAGATCATCTGAATTAACTAAAGGTGTGAATTACAAGTGGACTAAATTGCATTAAACCCCTATATAGACACTCCCATTGAGAATTCTAGTGGCCTTAATTCGTTTTAGGTTAATTCACTTCCAAAATGAATTTGGGACTTGTTTACATGAACAATTTGTTAATGACAAACGGGGGTCTGAATCCACCCTGCACTAGTTTGCTGCAGACTAAGAGTATGTCTTCACTACCAACATTAAAGCATGTAGTCGTGGCTCCAGTGCTGTTAACCTCCCCCTGCCCTCCAAGAGCTCTCTCCCAGCACTGGTGCACTTTCTACTCTGCCACTTTACAGCACTGAAACTTGCATCGCTCAGGGGTGTGTTTTTTCACATCCCGGACCAAGAAAGTTTCAGCGTTGTAAAGTAGCCGTGTAGAGAAGGCCTAGCTGTTCATGTGGACCTTGCTGATGTGCATTAACAGTCCATCAGTTCACTTTGATCTAGGCCTCTATGAAATGGACTAGATCAAAGCAAGCTAACAAACTGTTAATGAGCATCAGCAGAGTCTACATGGACAGTTAGCCTGCAGCAGGCTAGTATGGGGTAGAGTCACACCTCAGTTTCCCACAAACTAAATGTTCATTGTAAAAAAAAAACAAAAACAAAGCTAAAATGAAATAAGGCCACTTTAATTCTGAATGCGAATCTCCACACAGGCGGTTAGTGCAGTTTAATTAACCCACTTTTAATTCATACCTTTAGTTCATTCAGATTAATTTTTGAAGTGTCCTCATGTAGACAAGCCCTAAAACTACACTAAGTATAAAAACTATTTATCTAATACCTATTTAGAGATAATTACAAATAGAAGCAGAAGAGTGCTAACTAATGCTACAGCTAGCAAGAGAGTTCTGCCCCAGACCACAGGCTGCAGGAAGCAACTGGAAAGGCAGTCCATACACACCACCTCTGATGCCCTCATTTTGGGACATGAGGAGAAGAAGGGTGCAGGAACAGACAACACTGCAAGCTAGAATCCTCTGGTCTCAGGCACCTGGAGCGTGTGCACACCTCCAGTGGAATATACGCAGAGACCATCACTCAAAGAATAATATATTTTCTTTGCAATTCATGTTTAAAATAGACTTTTCTGCATATATTTGTTTTTAATCTGCATATTGGATCACCAGGTGTGAACTATATTCTTGTCTGCTCTTTACTATGAGTTCATGGATAAAAGCTGTTTTTAAGGTAGCCAGACTGGCATTCACATAATTCACATTGTCTGGACTTTGATCCTTTAAAACTATTTTATTGTAATAATTTGTTATCATAAACAAGGCTTCACATTCAAATTTACTACCACAACTTGTCTTCAGAACTCTGTCTACTACTTCCTTTATATATAAAGTCTATATAGTACTTTAATCCCAAACATGCTATATTAGCAAACTATATTTCATTATAACACATCAATAAAAAGTAAATTTATTTAATTTCTAGAAGAATAGTGGCAGCAAAACAGTGAAATAAAATTCCTAGGGAAGTACTTACCATGTTGTCTTTGATAACAGAAGGAGTCCATCCTTCAAAGGCATATGGGGAATGAATGTTGTCTCCATGAAAACAATCAAAGCAGCGGTACACATCATACCCATAATTCAGCAACATTCGTAACATGATTTCATCTTTTAGAGAATACTGCAGAGCTGAGGGGAAATGCGTCGTATTCACTCTGCAGAAGTAATTTACATTGGCCCCATGCCGAAGCAGTAGATTGATTAGCTCATAGTTGCCCATTCTCAAGGCTAGCTGGAGGCACTTAATGGGATCTTGATTTGGCAGGGCTCCAGCATCCAGAAGCAGCTGAGTTGAGCAAATATCCCCATTTGAGACAGCAAAATATAAAGCTGATTTCCTCTGATCATCATAGCCTTTGCAAACCCTCTCATGCAACATGAAATTGGCATCAAACCCAGATTTGAGGAGAAACTCAAGGCACTGAGGATGTGCTCCTGCTGCTGCTGAGTGAACTGGACTTATCCCACTCTCCTTAATGGCAGCATAATCAGTAACTGAAGCTAATTGCTTTAAAGCTCTGGAGAAAGAAAAAAGAAGGAATATATATCTATCTATTCTCTGGTACAAACCTTTGAGTTTCTCAGTGCTGCAGTCTTTGTTACATGCATCTTAGCTGGGTCACAGAATTGTGTTCTGCTTTGCTTACAGTGTTGTTCATTTACTACCAAACTAGTATCCTGACATACTACACATCTGCACTGGCCTTAACCTCTGACAATTACATGATAACCAGCTATGACTCCTACAGATTTCCAAATTACAGGACGAAGCATCAAATATTATGTCTTTCCCTCTTGTCTTTCAGGAACATTCCATTTCCCCATTTTTGATCTAATGGAATGACATCATGACCCCTTAGAGAAGAACTTCTCCATCCCATCAGTTTGGAGAAGTCTGTAGAGACCACTCTTCGGTAACCTACAGAAAGTGGGAGAGCCCCTCTTTTGTTGACCACAATGCAGCGTTACTAGTAGCTAAAAGCTGTGGTCTGGGACGTAAGACATCAAGTTCTATTCCTGACTTGGGCACTGAATAGTTGTATGACTGTAAGCAACCCAACCCTTCCAGTGCCTCTGTTTCCCAATCTGTAAAATGAAGGTGTAGCAGGGTGGTTACCCGCTCCTGCCCTGTGGGGCTTAAAAGCCAGCCCTGGGAGAGAGCCAGGGCTGAGGGCAAGAAAAGTTAGGCTGATTGGGGAAATGGCCGCAGCTGGGCGAAGCCCCAGTCAGGCTGCAGTCTGCCCCAGGGAGCGGGGCTAAGCGATGACTGGCAGTAGCCAGTGGTGAGCTGGAGCCGGTTCACGAGAACCAGTTGTTAAATTTAGAAGCCCTTTTAGAACCGGTTGTTCCGTGAGGGACAACCGGTTCTAAAAGGGCTTCTAAATTTAACTGGCCAAAAGTGGCGGCTTAGGCGCTGACTCCATGGGTGCTCCATCCCTGGAGCACCCAAGGGGAAAATTTGGTGGGTGCAGAGCACTCACCAGCAGCTCCTCGCCCCGCCCCTGGCCCCAGCTCACCTCCGCTCCGCCTCCTCCCCTGAACGCGCAGCCCCACTCTGCTTCTCCGTCCCCCTCAGGCTTCCCGCGAATCAGCTGTTCGTGCGGGAAGCTGGGGTGGGCTGAGAAGCAGGCAGCAGCTTCCCGCGCAGGCCCAGGGATGCGGAGGTAAGCTGGGGTGGGGGGCGCGAGGACAGCTGCCCGCGCAGCACAGGTAACTGGGGGGGTGGGCGCAGGGGAACCGCTCCCCACCCCAGCTCACCTCCGCCACCCTCGACCTGAGTGTGAAGCCGCCGCCTGCTTCTCAGCCCTCCCCGGCTTCCTGCCGAACAGTTGATTCGCGGGAAGTGGGGACGGGGGTTGGAGAAGCAGAGCAGGGCAGCGCATTCAGCGGAGGAGGCGGAGAGGAGGTGAGGTGATCTAGGGCCGGGCGCAGGGTGGGGAGCTGCCGGTGGGTGCTCTGCACCCACCAAATTTTCCCCGTGGGTGCTCCAGCCCCTGAGCACCCAGGGAGTCAGCACCTAATGTGCCACTTTTGATGTGATCAGTGGGGGAGCGGCCGCTCCTCCTGCTCCCCCACAGCTATGCTCCCCCGCCCGTAGGAGCCAGAGGGACCTGCCGGATGCTTCCTGGGAGCTTCCCCCAGTAAGCACCTCCGGGACTCCCCACCTTGCCCCCCGGCAGGTGCCTTTGGTTCTTAGGGGTGGGGTGGGCACCCACTACGGAGGCCCACGAGACCCTCCTGCCCGGTTCTGGGGGCAGTCAGGGGATGGGGAGGGGGGCGGATGGGGCCAGGGTCCTGGGCGGGGCGTCAAGGAATGTGGGGGGGTGGATGGGGCAGAGGTCCCAGGGGGCGGGGGTGGGCAACGACCCCCTCGTGGGGGGGAGGAGGGAACCCGTTGTTAAGATTTTGGCAGCTCATCACTGGCAGTAGCCAAGACTGAGGCGAGGTGGGGGTAGTGGGTGGGGATTCCCCAGGGAGGGGAGACCCTCAGGGATTGTTGGGGTTTACTGCCAGGGGGCAGCACCCCAGTGGGAGGAGGCACCGGGTCCTGGGAGGGACTGGGGCCGGTGGTAAGGCAGATCACCAGATGGCAGAGGGCACTCCAGAGGCTGACGAGCTAATTCCCAAGGACAACCAGCAGGAGGCGCCGCCAGGTGAGTCCGGCTCTATTACAGAAGGTGATCCTTATTCCACAGGTATGTGTGACAGTTTAATGTGTTTAAAGCACCAAGTGCAATTGTTTTTAAATCTGGTCCTCCTCTCTGCAGGTATATCAGGAGAGAATGTGGAACAGCTCTGGCCTAACTCACCTGACCATCCAGTTAGAGCACAATAAGGGAAAGTTATTTACCTTACAGTAACTGGAGTTGAGCTGTGAGTATTTGCTGTAGGTGCACCCAGGACCAGAAGTCCCTCAATAGCAGTGTCCACTGGTCCATGCCTGCACGGGCTCATGCTGCAAGCTGAGGGCGTAAGAGGCAGTAGGGTCCAACCACCTCTCCAGTTCCTAGTCTACCACGAGTTATCCAAAGCAGAAGGGAAGGAGGGTGAGTCGTGAATATCCATAGGGACCACACATCTCCAAGTACTCCAGTTACTACAAGGTAAGTTCCCCTCCTTTCTTCTATGAGTGCTGGTCCGTATGGGTATTCACTGTAGGAGACTCCCAAGCAATACTTGTTGAGGAGGTGGGTGCAAGGAAGAACTCTTGCCACAGATCACAGGATTGCTGGACTGAAGGAAGCATCCTCAGATGAGGCTTGAACATCAACAGGTCTGACCATTGCACTAGGAAGGCATCCCTTCTGGAACAGGACCCTTAAGCATCCTAAGAGCAATAAACTAGAGACTTTGGTTTCATGAGCTGCACAGAGGTCACAAGATGGGAATCATTAATGGTTAAAAATCCATTGGATCACTGACATCTTTGTGACATTGCCTGCTTAGGCTGTCTGCTAGGAAGTTCCTAAACCCCGGCAGGTGCACTGCAGAGAGGGAGGTTTGACGCTGGGTGAACCAGTTCCAGAGTTGCAGAGTGGTGTGGACCTTGCTTCCCCCATTTGTTTATTTATTAAACCATGGTCATGTTGTCTGACCTGAGCTGGATATGAGTGCAATGGTTGAAGTGCAGGAACTGCTTGCACACTGTGTGGAATGCTCAAAGCTTGAGAAGGGTAATGTGATGTGTGGCCTCTTGTGGAGTCCAGAGCCCTGAGCTATACATCCATTCAAGTTTGCTCCCCAGCCTAATAGGGATGCATCTATCATGATTAAACCTATGATTTTGTACGGACATTTTTAGTAAAAGTCATGGACAGGTCACAGGCAATTAACAAAAATTGACAGAAACCATGACCTGTCCATGAGTTTTACTAAAAATGTCCATGGCAAAACGGGAAGGTTGAGCTGCCCCGTGGCTGGGAGCTGGGACTGGGAAGCTCTGGGGGATTCCCCCTCAGGCGGGGGATCCATCCACCTGTGGGGACTGGAGAGCTGCTGGGGATGCCCTGCCACCCATGGGGACTGGGGAGCTCCGGGGGATTCCCCCGCTGGCAGCAGTAGCTGAGGAGCTGCCAGAGATCCCCCGCTGCCCATAGGGACTGGGAAGCTGCGGGGGATCCCACCACTCCAGGTGGCAGGGGTCCCGGCAGGACCCTGGCTGAAGTCATGGAGGTCGCGGAAGTCACGGATTCCATGACTTCTGCGACCTCTGTGACCAAATCGTAGCCTTAATCATGATTATCCTTATGGGTGGGCTGGGAGTAAAGGGAACCACCACACAAACATTGTCCCTCTTTTCCCAGTAGGTGAGAGATGCTCAGACAGTGAGAGGAAGTCTGATTCTTTTATCAAAGGAGTCCTTGTTTGGAACATATACCCTTGTAGCCAAGTCTGGAGACTGCATAGGTGAAACCCAGCAAAGGGAGTCACATAGACGGATGCCGTCATAGTCCTAGGAAACCAAGTATGATTGCACTGTCATCTGATGACTGAGGCAAAGCTGGATACTGAGGTCTCTAATCATGAGGAATCTGTCTTGTGGGAAGTAGGCTCTGGCTGCATGGAAGTCTAGCACTGCTCCAATAATTGTTCTAGTCATTGTGGATGTTTATGCGGACTTTTGTACGTTTACTTGAAGTTCTCAGGAGTGGCATAGGTCTAGCAGGGCAGAATTGCTTCTTGCACCTCCTTATATGGCCATTCCTTGAGGAGCCTGTCATTTAGACAGGTGAATATACGGTGGTGTTGCCAGCCTTAGTACGCTACCACTACCATCATGACCTTTGTAAAAAATCCTTTGCGTCGCTGAAAATCTAAAGGGCAGCACCTTGTACTGGATGTGCTTTGAGCCTACCATGGGACACAGGGATCTCCTGTGCACCACGTAGATATCTATATGGAAATAAAAGCCCTTTAAAGCAAGAGCCACAAACCAGTAGCTTTCATTCAGGGAGCGGATCATAGAAGCCAGGGTAATCACCCTGAATCTTGAGTGACAGATGAAGACATTCAATTGCCTGATGTCCAGAATGAGTCTGCAACTCCCCTTCTTTCTTGGGGTTAGGAAATACCCGAGTAAAAGCCCTTACCCTGGTGCTGAGGAGGTACCTAGGTGGATTAGGGAGTCCACTTCCTCCTGGAGAAGCCTATTATGAGAGAGGTCCCTGAAGAGGGACAGGAAGCAAGGTTTTGGAGAAGAGGTAGTCAGGAACTCAATGGTATAGCCTACTGAGATGTCTAAGACTAATTTCCCTGAAATTAGATGCTGCCACAACAGAAGTAAATGGGCTAGACCAGGAGCGGGCAAACTTTTTGGCCTGAGGGCCACATCAGGTTTCCAAAATTGTATGGAGGGCCGGTTAGGGGAGGCTGTGCCTCCCCAAACAACCAGGCATGGCCTGGCCCCCGCCCCCTATCCAAATCCCCCCGCCCCCTGCTTCTTGCCCCCTGACGGTTCCCCCGGGGACTCCAGCCCCATCCAACCCCACCCCTGTTCCCTGTCCCTGACTGCCCCTAGAATCCCTGCCCAACCCCTCCTCTCATTCCTGACTGCCCCCTGGGACCCCTGCCCCATCCAACCACGCTTTCTCCCTGTCCCCTGACTGCCCCCCCGCCACCCCATCCAACCCCCCTCTCCTTCTTGACTGCCCCCCCAGGACGCCTGCCCCCATTCAACCCCCCTGTTCCCTGCCCTCTGACTGCGCCACCCCCTATCCACACCCCTGCCCTCTGACCACCACCCCGAACTCCCCTGCCCTCTATCCAACCCCCGCTGCCCCCTTACCGTGCTGCCTGGAGCTCCAGTGGCTGGTGGAGCTACAGCTGTGCCGCCCAGAGCGCCAGGACAGGCAGCCGTGCCGCCCAGCTAAAGCCAGCCACGCCACCGCGCAGCACAGAGCACCGGGTCAGGCCATGGCTCTGCAGCTGCGCTGCCTGGCCACCCAGAGCATTGCGTTGGCGATGAAGTGAGCTGAGGCTGCAGGAGAGGGGGAACAGAAGGCGAGAGGCTGGGGGTGAGCCGGGCCAGGAGCTCAGGGCCTGGGCCGGGCTGGATGTGGCCCACAGGCCATAGTTCGCCCACCTCTGGGCTAGACAGTGACCAAAAGGGAGGAGAGAGTGGTTTTGCAAAGACTGGTTGATATCTCTCAATCATCCTTTCAAAATGAGTTCTTGATAGATGGCTGGGTCTGGAGACGGGACAGTGGTGGTGGAGCGCTCGCATGAGCAGGGACAGAGTAGCAGATCTCACACTTTGACAGGATGTAAGATTCCCCTAGGCAGTAGAGGCAACTCTCCTGCAGATTGCTAACTGGGAAGACAGGAGGCCAGACAAGGCCAGGCTTGAAGCCTGGGACCTTGGGCATAAGTGCCCCGAATACTGGGGGAATAAAAATGGTGGGGGTGGGAACCTGATCTCTGCTAACTAACTACAACTTAAGAATCTACGAACTAACAAGTAAAACTTAATACAACCATTTACAATATTTAGAGAGAATGGATTGATGAAGCTAGAAGGCTGTAGACATAAGAGGGCTCTGCTCCAGAGCGTGAGCAGTAGAAAAGGAACCGGAGTGGTGGTTGTTTCTGTGTCACCCCTGATGTCCTTAGTTCACAGCACAAAGTGGCACAGGTGCGGACCAAATGGACATTGATACTGAAGCATTTCCCATCGTGGTGCATGGAGCACATGTTCACCCCCCAGTGACTACGCATAGGGACCAGTATTCAAAGAAGAATAAGAATTTTTATGAAGGACGCAAGAGGAGATGTAAGCGGTTAAATGTTTCTCCCCAAATGAAGCAAGTGGAGAGCCTATCTGGACTGGCCTGATACATTCAGGCACTGAAGACTCATGAAGTTTTGTATAAACTTTAAATGTACATATTTTGCAGAACAGCATATTTATCATTATTCATTCTTACTTTTCAAATATTTATTTCATTTCAACTCACAGAAAGTGTCCTCTGTATGCAGCTCTATGGATAGGCAAGTGACCTGTGTGTTTTGGCACATTGGCATCAGCTCCATACTCTAGTAAAAGAGACAGTGAATCTGGATTTCCTCCTCCAACAGCTTCAAATAATATGGAAGCACAATCAGCTGCCTGCGAAAGGACATCAGCACCTAGGGGAAGAAGGAACAAGGGTTTTCACAGCAGCTACTGTAAATATCCAGTAACAACTAGTATCTCTAACTTCCCAATTGCTTTAGAACTGTGACTTCTACTCTTCATGAAACATAAATGTTAGAGCAATAGCCAGTGTTTTCTCTCACGATAAATCCTTTGAGGTAGCATCCTTAACTTCCTATGTGTTTGTACATTGCCTAGCGCAGTAAGGCCCCTGCTCTTTGTGCATTATTGTAATATAAATCTTCATAATAATGAAACACCATAATTAGAAGATTGCATTGAATGTTATTCTGTTACATGAGTAGTTGTTTTTTGGACTAAATACAGTGCAATTAATTCAGCAGAGAACAAACACATGTAAGGGTAAATTAAATATGTACAAAGCAACAGAATAGAGACCTGACAGGGAGTGAGATACATTTCATTACAACAGAAAGACATAGAGGCCATAAACTGAAAAAGGCTCACTTCCCAAATATATTATTTGAATATAGTACCTCTGCCAGGGGTTGAGGAACTTGGGGGAGGGGGAATTGTCACTACAATGGAAATATTGTGGGAGAGGGGGGGGCTTATGTATGCTTCCACCCTCCACTGTATCTTGTAAAAGTGAGAGTGGGACTGGGCTGGCACGGGGGTTGGGGGCAGTGGCAAGACCAAGATCCAGAGGAAGAGCTGGAGTGGCTGTTGCAGTGCAGGAAATCAGGCCTGCTGCTGGGGAGCAGGTAGGAACAGCTCTTCTTTCCTTGCCTTCCAGCCACTGCAGGTCCCAGCAGAGGCACCTGGCCCAGGGAAGGGACAGGGTCACATGTGCCAGGGTGGACTTGGAGACAGGGCACCAGCACATGGGCAGGGACAGAGAGGGTGTTCAGTGCACAGGGCACCAGCCACTGAAGAACTGCAAAGATGCCCTTCACAGTTTGGAACTGACCCCTCACCTCTCCACCCTCCTCACTGAGTCTCAGTAGCTCCCCTTGTTCCCCCTCCTACCCCTCCACCCCCTCATTCACAGAGAGCTTCTGCTGGCCTCTGCCCCCCACAACTCCCATGCCTCCGCAGATACACCCTGTGATAGTGTGTGCCCTGTCACATGCTGATGGAACCCATTTCAAGGCAGTTAGATTGTGGGGGACTGCATGCATCCCCTTCATTCCAGTATTACAGAACAAAGGGGGATAAAATCCTCCACCCCAAAGTGTCTCACTCGCTTCCAGAGATGGCTTGTCTACATGAGTAAATACTATTTTATTTAAGCATGATTGGAAATGCTTTCATTAGCTGACACAATGCTGACCACAACTTTGTGATTGGTGTATGCAAACACAAGTCATAGGCCAGCTAGTAATGGTTAAATCTCTATCATAGTGGTTCAGTTTAAATATTACAACATTTTCTCAAGTAGACAAGGCCAGAGACATGCTTTTACAGTGTAGATCTGTGGAAACAACATTATGAAGGAGAGACAAAAGTTACTGTCTTAAAAATAAAATCTTGATGTTTAAAGTGACAGAGTGGGTGAGATAATATCTTTTATTGGACCAATTTCTGCTGGTGAGAGAGACAAGCTTTTGAGCTTACACAGAACTCTTCTTCAGGTCTGGGAAATGTAGTCAGAGTGCTACAGCTAAATACACGTGGTACAGATTGTTTAGCACAAATATTGCAAGGGACCATTCAAAGTGAAGCAGCCCATTAAGATGACATTTACACTTTTTTCATGGCAAAGTTAATGGCAATCAAGAAGAAAAGAAAATGCAATTATCTTCTTTTTCCCCATCTTCAGTTTAATACAGTCTAGGCCACAGTACAGGATGAAGTGTTAGCTGAAGACTGTAAACTCATAATGAACATGGTCTCTGTAACTGTAAACAAAGGCCTGGTAGATTTAGCCTTCAGTTCTCTTTGGGAAGGAATATATTTAAAAAATTCCATTGTGTTGTGTTTATGCATTTATGTTGCTTGGTCACAAAACTCCTTTAGTTGGAGGTATCCCTTTAGTAACAAATGTTATATGTTCATGTCATATAATGATTAGTTTAATAGCATTCTAACCACAAAACTTTTGAAAGACTTAAGGGATCTGGGTAGAAATAATAATGATTTGAAAAGATAATGTAGTATGGATGTCTTAGAAGAATATTGAAATTTAGTCGATTATGTAATGACACCAACAATTCTTAACTGCTGTGCTTCTCCTGTATTTTGTAAGAGTTAAGTTCTTCAGGTGATTAAAGATGTACTGTAGTGAGCAAACCAAAACAGGATACTGTGCCGAAAGTCATTCCTATGTGCTAACGTGAATACCCTTGAACATACAAAGTGACCAGTGTAATTCATTCTAAAACACTCCACATAAAACCATCAATTTATATACTAGGTTGTATATATTAATACCTGTCCACTATGTTAGTAGTAAGAATGTCACAAGGCTTCCATTTCCACTCAAAACCTTATTTTGGTAAGGTAATATTGTACTGACAGGGGAGCTAGCAATTCTACTTTGCCACCGCCCAGACAATTATTCATGCCCTTAATGGGAGGGGGATTAATTTACTCACATTTTGAAATCATTAATTTTCTGCCAACACATATGGCTGTGCAATTTCAACCCCTTATCTAGTCTAAAGAATAAAAGAACTTTGTAGGATCTTTCTGACAACCACCAGTTATTAAACCAACATAATGAACTGTAAAAAAATTGTATATAAACTCTCACCTTTTCGCAGTAAAATTTCCATAATTTCTGTATGCCCAATCTGCGCAGCCAGTGCTAGGGGAGTGAGCCCATATGCACTGCGGGGATCAGGATCAGCTCCAGAACAAAGCAGAAGGTTCACCATATCTTTCCTGCCTAGTCTGGCTGCTTCATGTAAAGCTGTCCTCTTATTGACACACTGCAAGTTTACATTTGCTCCAAACCTTATCAGCAGGGAGGCAATTTCATATAAATCATGTTTAATTGCTGTAAAATAATAGGTGAAACATCAGCTCTTTAAAAATATTATTTAACAATATTCTATACACTATTGTTTCTGTGTGCAATTGCCCAGAAGAGCCTCTACTCTGCTTTCAGCTGTTCTATTTATACACAGAGATATCTAAGAAAGAGAATTAATAGATAGGGAATACTTCCCTCTATCTCTGTGATCTTCTATACCATTAAAAAGCAGAGTAGTGTCATACAGAGGAGGGAGGTTAGTGCCCCACAGTTGCTTGCAGCACTTTTACCAAATGATGCAGTATCTGATCTGTTACATTCTCTAAATACTAAAGGTTATACAGCGGAGAACGTGTAACCCAGGTGGCTGCATTAGAGAGGTGTACACCACCTCAGCCAAGGATGCAACTGTCTCTCTAGTGTAGTTGGCTTTGAAAGCAAGTTTCTCTGTCTATATGGCTTATCCACTTGGATTTGGATGTTACACAATGTTTTTTCTTCACTTTTCTCGTTCCTTGGCCCTTGTGCAGGAAAACAGCCACTCCAACAATGTGAATTTCTGAGCACACACAAGAAATTCATAGCACCCTTCTAAGGTTCAGACAGCAGGGCATAGGTGCTGGCAGTGCGGCAGCACCTCCTGTCTTGAAGTAGTTTCTATGATATACAGGATTTACAGTTTAGTTCAATGGCTCTTGGGACCACCACTAAACAAACTGTTCCAGCACCCCTTCAGCAGGGTCATTGCTTGTTCGTGGTAGCTAGGATCAAGTCAGAAGAAGGCAACATGAACCCTTTTTGAGGGGAGGACCTGTCTTGTCCCACCTAGACTGCTGAACCCTTGCCATGTAGAATGCCTTGGGAAGAGGAGGGTCATCTGGACCTCCTTGCTTTTGAGGGATCTTTGAGAAAGAAATTCTTAACTTTATGTTTTCCCTTTTTAAAATTTTATCTCTCACTCTCAACCCCTTTATGGGGGGTAAGAAGCAGTTGCAGGGTCTGCTTTACATGTGACAGCTTGGCAGCCTGGGCAATCCCCAACTGGAAATCCTGCAGAAGTTAGCTTTGTTGTGATTCTGCAAGGGACAGCTCATTGCACAAAGGAGCAAGAGTCCACAACATTTCATATGCTGGTGTGGACCTAGAAATTCCCATAGGACTTTGTAGCCTACTCCATTTTTTAAATTTTCTACTTAGCTGTCAAAGATATTGACTCTCCACCTATTGGAGACTGAAATAGCTGAGCTCTAGTAGCCAACAAGTCCCTGATATGCAGAAAATCACTTGACATCACCAAATAGCCCTGATGCTGGAAGAGAGGAAGTATCTATTGTTCATCACTAGAAGAAATGAGGTGGTTAATCTCCAAAGTTATGAGATACTTTCAGACCTCCAAAGGGGTAAATGGACTCTCTCACAATAAGTAACGCTTCATTTTCCAATCCTGGCCAGCCCCCAGAAGTGCAAAAGCAAGCACAAATGAGGGATTCTGAAAAAAAGTTAACTAAACTTTCTTTAAACTTGGGGGAAAAAAAAGGCATGGTTCACGTTTTGAGGGAAAGATTGTGCAAATTCTTATTTTATCTGAACTGATTCACCATTCCTAATATGTTGTTTAGTTATGGCTCATATACACTACAGTCATACCTGTCTGAGGAAACTTGTTTAATAGTATAGACAGGTCCTCAACTGAATTTCTGGTCTTTTGTGGATGTTAGTCCTTAGAATGGATTGGGATTTAGTTAAAGCATTGATACCAACTAGAAAGAAAAATAAATGACAAAGTATTCCTCTGTCTTTCTCTTGGCCAATGGAAATATATAAAATTCTGGAAACTGAAAGTTTTACAGACTTTACAGTCAACAACAAAAGACTGCAAGATACAAAACAAATTTTTCATGCAGTGAAAGACATGAATAAAATTTCCCCCCACCATAAAAATTATTTGATTTACCTATAACTAAAGAAGAATCTCCTTCTTCATTCTTAACATTAGGGTTGCAGCCACTGAGCAGGAGAAAGTGGACATTGTCTAAGAAGCATTTGTCTACTGCTACAAAGAGAGGAGTTTCCCCTTTCAGACTGGTCTGCTCCCACACAATGGGGTCTGAAGCTGAAAGATACCCAGGAGAACAGCACACATTGGCAATGGAACTAATCATCAAAACTGACTTAGTAAAACTTTCAAATGAGGAGCACAGAATACTCTTTACCTTTCAGAGTTATTTCTAGGACGTTCTTGTTTAATTGTGCTGCAGCTTCATGCAAAGGAAGCCAGCCTCGCTGATCAGCTTCCTTAAAAGCAAAACAGTGCCCCATCAACTTCAGCAAGACTGCTTCTTGGCCTGCAGTATATAGAATCAGAATCATATCACACTATTTAGCATAAAACAGAAAGTTCACGACAATTGAAATCTAGACTCCACTTACATCAAGGAATATTTTGAGTATCACCAACTCCATTACTACAGCCAGAACTGGCAACTTTGCTTCTCAAAACAATTTTCTATCTAAGGTTGAGTTAAATGAATGTAGAGCTAATGATAGTGATTTATTGGGCTCATTTTCTCTAGAGGAATCCTCCCAAAGCATTTCAGAAGTTGCATATATCAGAATTATATGCTTATAATCAATGCTTAATATGCCTCCTATGCTACAATAATACAAATAGTGAATAAATAGTATAAACATACAAATAAGAAATAAATAGTATAAACATTTGAAATTCAGCTGCCTCTGAAATAGAACATGACAGCTACTGAACAGCTCAAAGGAACTCTACACAAGAGTTTGCAACATGAAGTTAACACTTGTCCAACTGAAACTATATATGAATTTTCAGGTATGCAGAATAAAATTAAGCTAGAATTTGAGTAACACACAAAAGCTACTTTTACTACCTCTACTCTTGCTAAAAATGCCACAGAATCTTTAACTGATGATAAGTGGTCTGGTCTTCAATTCTACATCTCATCTGAAAGATGGAATCTCCAGTAGCATAGCGCCCAAAACATCATTCTGGGTATTCAGTTCTTAGAAAGTGAGGGGAAGAATGCAACCTACTCAGTCCTTAACAAAACTTCCTACACCCATCAAATTAGAATAGAGTGTTGATGATTTGTGTGTTTGTACTTAACTGCCCGTATTGCTGTGATTATCTTTCCATGTTCTTTGCTCATAACAAAATGGAATCTGCACAAACAGAACAAAATAATTATAATTTATATCAGTTAAGGGAAAAATATGCATGCTATTAAAGTAAAAATAAGTAAGTAAATGCTCTATCTGCTGTTTAATAACAGACCAGAATCATTTTGACTTGTTTTGTAAATAGTAGATATTCACATCATTTACTTATTTATTTTATTTGCTGTTTCCCAATTTGCATTAGTTACCTATTGTGACTCAATGAAACATATTCACTTTGAAAAGGAAGCTGAATTTCACATTCTCTTGATCACAGTTCCTAATCTTTGTAACAAAAATCCCACCGATGAAGGATAAGCATATAATTAGAACTCAGTTTAATATAGAAAAATAGTTTGTACTGCATGTTATAGCTGCATAGAACATGGGTATTTTTCTTTGCTATAGTCTGTACCAGTATAAACCATAACTCTTAGCACATATATAATAATTTTCAAAGAGTACAATATAAATACATTCTTCAATTTCAGTCTACATGGATTCACACCTCTTTCCCTCCCAAGAGTTATTTGGAAGTTCCAGGTTTGTACAAGAACAAAAATATAAGATTTGTGAACTTTAGTCACCCTTTTGATGAATGTGGTGTAAATGTGCACTGAAACCCCCAAACAAGTAAGTTTCAAGTGCTCTCAAATTTCACTTGGGAATATTTCAAACAGTTCACCTCTATTATGTGTACATATAAAAGGAGAGGCAGCTTATACATGCACCTCAGTAACATTAAGCAAGCAGGTTTCAGAGTAGCAGCCGTGTTAGTCTGTATTCGCAAAAAGAAAAGGAGTACTTGTGGCACCTTAGAGACTAACAAATTTATTTGAGCATAAGCTTTCGTGAGCTACAGCTCACTTCATCGGATGCATTCAGTGGAAAATACAGTGAGGAGATTTTTATGCACACAGAACATGAAAAAATGGGTGTCACCATACACACTGTAAGGAGAGTAATCACTTAAGATGAACTAATACCAGCAGGAGAGTGGGGGGGAGAAAATCTTTTGTAGCGATAATCAAGATGGGCCATTTCCAGCAGTTAACAAGAATGTCTGAGGAACGGTGGGGTGTGGGGGGAAATAAACATGGGGAAATAGTTTTACTTTGTGTAATGACCCAGCCACTTCCAGTCTCTATTCAAGCCTAAGTTAATTGTATCCAGTTTGCAAATTAATTCCAATTCAGCAGTCTCTCGTTGGAGTCTGTCGCCACTAGCCATCACCTTCAGCCCCCAACTAAAACCCCTCCAATGCATTGTCAAGGATCTACAACCTATCCTGAAGGATGACCCATCACTCTCACAGATCTTGGGAGACAGGCCAGTCCTTGCTTACAGACAGCCCCCCAACCTGAAGCAAATACTCACCAGCAACCACACACCACACAACAGAACCACTAACCCAGGAACCTATTCTTGCAACAAAGCCCGTTGCCAACTGTGTCCACATATCTATTCAGGGGACACCATCATAGGGCCTAATCGCGCCACACTATCAGAGGCTTGTTCACCTGCACATCTACCAATGTGATATATGCCATCAAGTGCCAGCAATGCCCCTCTGCCATGTACATTGGTCAAACTGGACAGTCTCCACATAAAAGAATAAATGGACACAAATCAGATGTCAAGAATTATAACATTCAAAAACCAGTCGGAGAACACTTCAATCTCTCTGGTCACTCGATTACAGACCTAAAAGTTGCAATATTACAACAAAAAGACTTCAAAAACAGACTCCAACGAGAAACTGCTGAATTGGAATTAATTTGCAAACTGGATACAATTCACTTAGGCTTGAATAGAGACTGGGAGTGGATAGGTCATTACACAAAGTAAAACTATTTCCCCATGTTTATTTCCCCCCAACCCCCACTGTTCCTCAGATGTTCTTGTTAACTGCTGGAAATGGCCCACCTTGATTATCACTACAAAAGGCACCCCCCCTCCCCCGCTCTCCTGCTGGTAATAGCTCACCTTAAGTGATCACTCTCCTTACAGTGTGTATGATAACACCCATTGTTTCATGTTCTGTGTGTATATAAATCTCCTCACTGTATTTTCCACTGAATGCATCCGATGAAGTAGGCTGTAGCTCACAAAAGCTTATGCTCAAATAAATTGGTTAGTCTCTAAGGTGCCACAAGTACTCCTTTTCATTAAGCAAGCAGTCTACAATGGCAAGCATTATGGTGCAGGGTTACATATAAAAATACTAACATAAATAGACTATTACATAGTAATAGCTTGTAACATAGCTCCCAGTTACACTGCCAGAATATATTCCACTGCAAAGTATTACCTATCACTCTCTGCAGTATCTGTAACTGTCTCACTTCTATGGATATGCTGCAAGCTTTGTTGAATAACATTCTGGGTGGGGATGTCATCATCAAAGTCTTCATCATTCACATATTTAGAATCAGACATTTTATATTTGTATAACTTGGATCACAAGCAACGAGGAAAAAAAAGTTCTGTATAGGAGGCAGTTTTTTAAATCTTCTGGTTAATTGTGGATTTCCAGAAACAGCAGAAGCCACAGAGGACTTAGGTACTGAAAGAAATATGAAGAATTGTTACAAATCAGAAACAATCCCCCGGCCAGTACTTTGATTTAAACACTGCAAAGACAGTCAACTGTTCTCTTCAGGGTAGGAAATATGTTCCAGTACATTGGTTTGTCATAGTTCTTTCCGCCCTCTTAGAGAGCAAACATGTAGAATAGCTAATGTTATGGCACCACCTACCAGAAAGCAAAAAAAGGAGAGGTTACTCACCAGATGCAGGAACTGGATTGCTTCAAGATGTGTCCCCCCTAAGGGTGCAGAACTTCAGGTGGACAGGCACATGCGCACCTGAAGTGGTGCACCCATAAGAACACTACTAAAAGAAGAACAAAAAACCCTAATTAATAATTGGTATAAATGGCCCCTCCCACTTCAGTCATGTTGCCTCTTCTCTTTCGTGGCACCATAATGATAGGTACTCTAGAGTACCTTTATAGGAGGAGAGGATGTACACTAAGTGTTTGCTATAATTTCCCAAACTCTTCTCACGTGATGCTTGGCAGTGGGGAAACAATTCGTAGATCACTGCTTTTGCTCAAGATTTGCTTCAAACGAGGAGCATTTAAACCAAGGAGCCATCATTAACTGTCAGAAAAGCACTGCAGCTCTGTGTAAGAGTTCATGTTTTAAGTCTTCCAGTGAAAACCACACCAAAGTATGTGCCTCAAACCTGCCAGAAATTCTGATCCATGTTATTGTGGGCATCCAAAAGACCAATTTGCAAAATAAAATAAAGCTGTCCTGAACAGCACTACATGTTTGTGAATCTCAATAGTTCTACAGGACCGACATAAACTTTTGATCTACTAATTCCAGATGAAAGCTGCAATCAACAATGCCTGCGCACAAACAACGGAGTAAACACAGAGCACCATATTAATTTGATCCACATAAGGATGTGGTGGAATGGGCTTAGTGGAAATCAATGTTTGCCAAATGGAAAGGGTTAAACTATGTACAGAAAATTATATTCAGCCTTTTAATACTGTATTACAGACAATGGAGAATAAAAATTAAAATAGCTAAGATTCTCCTTTTAAAACTTGACAACTGGTTTTGATTTTATGATTTCATGGAAATATACTCATTAATGACCAAAACAATGAAACCATTAAACAAGCAAGATAGAAGAAATAATGAAAGTTACAAATCAGTTCTAGCAGAGCTTTCATAATAAAATGTTTTGAAATTAAAAAACATGCAGCCACTGCAATGGCAACTGATGGCTGCAGAGAGAAAGGGATAAAAATGTATATCCAATTGCTGGTAGAGGTCCATTTTATGTGCGCACAACTTACTAATTGCTGCTTTGCACAATGAAGTACGTGCCATCATATTTATAAAATCAGTGTTAGTCTGTTAGGGCCAAATCCTATTGTCTGTTTTTACTCAGACAAATCTCTCATGATTGACTTCCAGGGAGAGTCTGCCTAAATAAGGACTTCAGAACTGGCTCCCATTTATCCACAAATAAGGCACAATGAGAGAATGTCAGTACAACCCTTGTAGAGTTTGGAAATGTTCTAGAAACATTTTAAAGTTGAGCAGAGGAATTCATAGCAAGCTTGAATCATTTAATTTGTTACCCAGTCCAATTTACATATATTATCCAATTTACATTTATATCTCCAACTTATATATGTACAGTAGCTAGATAAATATATTAGTAAAAAATGTAAACAAATAAATGTTTGTATTGCAGGCAAACTCAAAATTGATCAAAATACTATCAGTTATATACATACAATTCAAGTCTAATTATTGCTTTTGGGAAAATTTAAGAATACAAAATTTCACCATAAACTCAGAATAGAAAATAAAAGATTTTCTCTCACCTTTTTTAGCTTTTGAAAAGAACATAGAGGACCTCACGCTTTAAACAAGTGATTATTAAGTTGAATCTGATATTTTCATATATTGAAAAATGATCTCTGAAGAGTCCAGATCCATTAATAGCTCTCTATAAATATCTAATCATAAGATACTCTAGGACTTTCTCCACATTTCACACACGTGGGTTAGCTTGTGTCTGATGACATGATCTGATGAATTATACATCAGTAAAAGAAGAGATTAAAAGTCCAGACTTCTTGATATAATATTCCAGATGTAATTGTTTTAGTGAGAATTGATGCTTAAGGGAAGTAATATGTTCATTCTCTACATCTGATTTAAAGAAAAATCCCTGCTGTTTTCACATGCTTTATCAACACAGAGTACATTTAAAGGCCAGGATTCATTACTGGGAGCTTGCCTAAAGGAAATGTCAGAGTGCAGATCAAACTCAGGTTTTACATAAATCAATACAGTTAAATATAAACAAAGAAATAAAATAATACATAAACAAAAGGAATTTTATGTTTTTAAAAGAAGACAATATTATGACAGAAGTTGCTCAAAACATGTCAATATGTAATTACAATTTTCACATTCAGACAAAGAAAAGCACATACTCTTGTCTGTGTGTGTGGGTGTGCATGCATGAGAGAGAAAGAGTGTGAGTGTGTGTGTAAGGGGAGGAGAAAAGCCTGTATCTGATACTCCTCTAGCCCCAACACACAAGCATCAGGGAAAGGTGGGACATGGCACCTTGGGTGGGGGCAAAGTTAGGATAAGGTTGGACTTCCTCATTTCATGAGTCTTGAGTTGCCCCACTTTACAGCAACCTAAAGTAGTCTTTCCTCCCAAGCACAGAGCACCTTAGGGGCCAGAAATTAGCCAGTACTCAGGTGTTCAACTCTTAGGAACTTGTCAGTTTCCTAAGCCCTGGTCTACACTAGGACTTTAGGTCGAATTTAGCAGCGTTAAATCGATGTAAACCTGTACCCGTCCACATGATGAAGCCCTTTATTTTGACTTAAAGGGCTCTTGAAATTGATTTCCGTACTCCACCACTGACAAGTGGATTAGCGCTTAAATCAGCCTTGCCGGGTCGAATTTGGGGTACTGTGGACACAATTCGACGATATTGGCCTCCGGGAGTTATCCCAGAGTGCTCCATTGTGACTGCTCTGGACAGCACTCTCAACTCAGATGCACTGGCTAGGTAGACAGGAAAAGAACTGCGAACTTTTGAATCTCATTTCCTGTTTGGCCAGCGTGGCAAGCTGCAGGTGACCACGCAGAGCTCATCAGCAGAGGTGACCATGATGGAGTCCCAGAATCGCAAAAGAGCTCCAGCATGGACTGAACGGGACGTACGGGAACTGATCGCTGTATGGGGAGAGGAATCCGTGCTATCAGAATTCCGTTCCAGTTTTTGAAATGCCAAACCTTTGTCAAAATCTCCCAGGGCATGAAGGACAGAGGCCATAACAGGGATCCGAAGCAGTGCCACGTGAAACTTAAGGCGCTGAGGCAAGCCTACCAGAAAACCAGAGGGGCGAACGGCCGCTCCGGGTCAGAGCCCCAAACATGCTGCTTCTATGATGAGCTGCATGCCATTTTAGGGGGTTCAGCCACCACTACCCCAGCCATGTTGTTTGACTCCTTCAATGGAGATGGAGGCAACACGGAAGCAGGTTTTGGGAACGAAGAAGATGATGATGAGGTTGTAGATAGCTCACAGCAAGCAAGGGGAAAAACCGGTTTTCCCGACAGCCAGGAACTGTTTCTCACCCTGGACCTGGAGCCAGTACACCCCAAACCCACCCAAGACTGCCTCCTGGACCCGGCAGGCGGAGAAGGGACCTCCGGTGAGTGTACCTTTTAAAATACTATACATGGTTTAAAAGCAAGCATGTGAAAGGATTAATTTGCCCTGGCATTTGAGGCTCTCCTGGATGTACTCCCAAAACCTTTGCAAAAGGTTTCTGGGGAGGGCAGCCTTATTGCGTCCTTCATGGTAGGACACTTTACCACTCCAGGCCAGTAACACGTACTCAGGAATCATTGTACAACAAAACATTGCAGTGTATGTTTGCTGGCGTTCAAACAACATCCGTTCTTTATCTCTCTGTGTTATCCTCAGGAGAGTGAGATATCATTCATGGTCACCTGGTTGAAATAGGGTGCTTTTCTTCAGGGGACACTTGGAGGAGCCCGTTCCAGCTGGGCTGTTTGCCTGCGGCTAAACAGAAACGTTCCCCGCTGTTAGCCACGGGGAGGGGGGAGGGTTGAGGGGGTAGCCACACGGTGGGGGGGAGGCTAAATGCGACCTTGTAATGAAAGCACATGTGCTATGTATATAATGTTAACAGCAAGGTTTACCCTGAAAGAGTGTAGCCACTGTTTTATAAAATGTGTCTTTTTAAATACCGCTGTCCCTTTTTTTTTCTCCACCAGCTGCATGTGTTTCAATGATCACAGGATCTTCTCCTTCCCAGAGGCTAGTGAAGATTAGAAAGAAAAAAAAACGCACTCGCGATGAAATGTTCTCCGAGCTCATGCTGTCCTCCCACACTGACAGAGCACAGACGAATGCGTGGAGGCAAATAATGTCAGAGTGCAGGAAAGCACAAAATGACCGGGAGGAGAGGTGGCGGGCTGAAGAGAGTAAGTGGTGGGCTGAAGACAGGGCTGAAGCTCAAATGTGGCGGCAGCGTGATGAGAGGAGGCAGGATTCAATGCTGAGGCTGCTGGAGGATCAAACCAGTATGTTCCAGTGTATGGTTGAGCTGCAGCAAAGGCAGCTGGAGCACAGACTGCTACTACAGCCCCTGTGTAACCAACCGCCCTCCTCCCCAAGTTCCATAGCCTCCACACCCAGAAGCCCAAGAACGCGGTGGGGGGGCCTCCGGCCAACCAGCCACTCCGCCACAGAGGATTGCCTCAAAAAAAGAAGGCTGGCATTCAATGAATTTTAAAGTTGTAAACTTTTAGAGTGCTGTGTGGCATTTTCCTTCCCTCCTCCACCACCCCTCCTGGGCTACCTTGGTAGTCATCCCCCTATTTGTGTGATGAATGAATAAAGAATGCATGAACGTGAAGCAACAATGACTTTATTGCCTCTGCAAGCGGTGATGGAAGGGAGGAGGGGAGGGTGGTTAGCTTACAGGGAAGTAGAGTGAACCAAGGGGCGGGGGGTTTCATCAAGGAGAAACAAACAGAACTTTCACACCGTAGCCTGGCCAGTCATGAAACTGGTTTTCAAAGCTTCTCTGATGCGTACCGCGCCCTCCTGTGCTCTTCTAACCGCCCTGATGTCTGGCTGCGCGTAACCAGCAGCCAGGCAATTTGCCTCAACCTCCCACCCCGCCATAAACGTCTCCCCCTTACTCTCACAGATATTGTGGAGCACACAGCAAGCAGTAATAACAGTGGGAATATTGGTTTCGCTGAGGTCTAAGCGAGTCAGTAAACTGCGCCAGCGCGCCTTTAAACGTCCAAATGCACATTCTACCACCATTCTGCACTTGCTCAGCCTGTAGTTGAACAGCTCTTGACTACTGTCCAGGCTGCCTGTGTACGGCTTCATGAGCCATGGCATTAAGGGGTAGGCTGGGTCCTCAAGGATACATGTAGGCATTTCAACATCCCCAACAGTTATTTTCTGGTCTGGGAATAAAGTCCCTTCCTGCAGCTTTGGAAACAGACCAGAGTTCCTGAAGATGCGAGTGTGATGTACCTTTCCCGGCCATCCCACGTTGATGTTGGTGAAACGTCCCTTGTGATCCACCAGAGCTTGCAGCACTATTGAAATGTATCCCTTGCGGTTTATGTACTCACCGGCTTGGTGCTCCGGTGCCAAGATAGGGATATGGGTTCCGTCTATGGCCCCACCACAGTTAGGGAATCCCATTGCAGCAAAGCCATCCACTATGACCTGCACATTTCCCAGGGTCACTACCCTTGATATCAACAGATCTTTGATTGCGTGGGCTACTTGCATCACAACAGCCCCCACAGTAGATTTGCCCACTCCAAATTGATTCCCAACTGACCGGTAGCTGTCTGGTGTTGCAAGCTTCCACAGGGCTATCACCACTCGCTTCTCAACTATGAGGGCTGCTCTCATCTTGGTATTCATGCGCTTCAGGGCAGGGGAAAGCAAGTCACAAAGTTCCATGAAAGTACCCTTACACATGTGAAAGTTTCGCAGCCACTGGGAATCGTCCCAGACCTGCAACACTATGCGGTCCCACCAGTCTGTGCTTGTTTCCCGAGCCCAGAATCGGCGTTCCACAGCATGAACCTGCCCCATTAGCACCATGATGCATGCATTGGCAGGGCCCATGCTTTCAGAGAAATCTGTGTCCATGTCCTGATCACTCACGCGACCGCGCTGACGTCGCCTACTTGCCCGGTATCACTCTGCCAGGTTCTGGTGCTGCATATACTGCTGGATAATGCGTGTGGTGTTTAATGTGCTCCTAATTGCCAAAGTGAGCTGAGCGGCCTCCATGCTTGCCTTGGTATGGGGTCCGCACAGAAAAAAGGCGCAGAATGATTGTCTGCCATTGCTCTGATGGAGCGAGGGGCGACTGACGACATGGCTTAAAGGGTTGGCTTCAGGGAGCTAAAATCAACAAAGGGGGTGGCTTTACATCAAGGAGTATTTCAGGCAGGACTTCACGGAGGGTTCCAATAAGAAATGGAGCACCTGAGTTATTGTTCTTATTGGAACAAGGAGGTTAGTCTGGCCTCTGATTGATACGTGGCTAGATTTACCTCGCTGCACCTTCCCTGTGAGTGACTGCAGTGTGACCTAGAGGAATGAGTCCTCTAGACAGGGGAGGGGGGGAAGCAAATGGGTACAAACAAATCTGGTCTATTTCTTGTTTTGATCCACTCCATCTATATCTTTTACATCTTTGGCTGGCAGCAGACGGTGCAGAAGGACTGCATGCCATCCATATCTCATGGCTGCCCGGCAGAAGATGATGCAATAGGACTGCTAGCAATCCGTATCGCCTGCCTGCTCACCATAAGATGGTTCAATAGGACGGACTGCAGGACTAAAGAGAAAGACCTGGTCAAGTCACTCCAAATTTAGTCCTTGCGCCCATGTCTGCCCAGGCACTCCCGGCCGACGTGGCCAGGAGCACCTCGGACATGACGATGATGGCTACCAGTTGTATTGCACCGTCTGCTGCCAGAAGGCAATGGGTTGCTGCTACTGTGTAGCAATGCAGTACTGCATCTGCCAGCACCCAGGAGACATACGGTGACGATTACCTAAACAGGCTCCATGCTTGCCGTGGTATGGCGTCTGCACAGGTAACTCAGGAAAAAAGGCGCAAAACGATTGTCTGCCCTTGCTTTCACGGAGGGAGGGAGGGAACGGGGGCCTGACGATATGTACCCAGAACCACCCGCGACAATGTTTTAGCCCCATCAGGCATTGGGATCTCAACCCAGAATTCCAATGGGCAGCGGAGACTGCAGGAACTGTGGGATAGCTACCCAGAGTGCAACGCTCCGGAAGTCGACTCTAGCCTCGGTACTGTGGAAGCGCTCCGCCGAGTTAATTCACTTAATGCACTTAGAGCATTTTCTGTGGGGACACACACACTCGAATATATAAAACTGATTTCTAAAAAACCGACTTCTATAAATTCGACCTAATTTCGTAGTGTAAACATACCCTAAGGGTTAAATAGCTTTGTAGAGTTTTTAGACTCATACAAGGGAAATTTTAACATTGAATGGAAAAATGTATCTACTGAAACTATTTTAACCACTTGAACTGAATTTTTTGTGTTCCATTTTACCCCTCTTCTTGATTCTGCATAATAAGCAGATATGGGGCACACTAATTTCTGAGGTCCAAATTCACTCCTGCTGATCCTGCTGAGGGAGGAAAGATGGCTGTGTCTCAACTCCCCTCCAAATGGCATACTATAGCTGAACACACTGCACAGAAAAGGTTAAGTCTATTCTGTGGAATCTTTACCCTTCCTGGTTATTAGGGGAGGTGGGAACGGCTCTTTGGGAGAGAGGCTTTAGGAGTCCTGAGAAAAGAACTCTAGAAACAGCCAAGCCTAAAAGAAGGTTTGAGGTGATCTTTATCTTATTATAGTTTTCTTTTTAATAAAGCTAAATCCTAGAAAGAGATGTGGGTGGTGAATTTGGACTTTATGGGATATAACTGTGTTTGTAAGCAGGATGCAAAAGGAGGTAATGTTTTTATGGCAAGTTGTGGGGGTTTTGTTTGTTTGGGCTGTTTATTTTTCATGGAAACTATACAAAAGGAGCTGAGGAGTTTACAATATTAGAAGCAGTACAAGTAATGATGGATTGCTGGGAAGTATACAGGTGGGGCAGACAAAGGTGCCTCTTAAATTCAGTTTTATCACATGGGTAAACAATTTCTTCCACCACCACCTGTGTGACAGCACACAAATTAGAGACGGGTCCAAACCAAAACACCAGATCTGAACATCGAGACTTTGCACTCTTGTGGTTCAGGCCTACAGTGCTTGAATGCTGTCTGCTATAATACTTCCCAAATGGGAGTTCAGACAACTTTCATTTTTTTAATCAAGATATCATTTGTGGTATTTTAATAAGTGACAAAAGAGATCTGTATACTTACTCATGACACTATATTACAAAATAATAAAATGAACACTCCAGATCATTATATATTTTAAAAATAGTAATAACATCATACAATTATTAAATGCAACATTTCAAGATCAGGAAAAATTTAGTCTGACCCCTCCAAATATAAATATATCAAGATGTTTCTCTGATACAATGTGCTTCAATTCCTCAGTAAAGGAAGGAAAAGAAAGATATGTCTGATGAGGTTTGCCTCTGAGTTCTTCAGGGTTAGTCATCCAGCTGGCAGAGCAGAGCAACACCTCGCTTGATCCAGTGTTGGACTGGTTTATCAGTCTCTAGCAATAGCGCAATGACAAAATTAGTAGAATGTCCAGTAGTGGATAAGGTTCCCTTACGCTCACTTGTCTTGTAGAGTGGACAAATATAGGCACTAGATTTCTTTATGTCTGATTTTTTAGCTTCAAAAAGAACAAACAAAGCAATGAATTATATACTGTAGATGTACTAGATGAATAGAAATAATCTAATCTAATGTAAAAATCAAATATTCATTCTGATTTATTTTTAAAGCTAAATAAAAATTTGACAAATTATTTTCATCCAGCAAAACTTAAAAAGAAGTCACTCCTTGCTCTGATTTTCTTTTAAAAATTAATTTAGAGAATTTACATAGGCTAATAGACTAGAGGAAGTATGTTTGCTATTGTTTGCTTACAGGAATAGATGCCTTCCTGTACGACTTGCTTTTAAAATATTTCAAAGAGGTGTTCAAATCTAAACAGTTATATAAAAATCAAAGCATTTGACTAAAATACCATCAGGTTATAGTTTAGAGCATGTTAGTAAGTGCATGAGCTCTTCATCCGATGAAGTGAGCTGTAGCTCACGAAAGCTTATGCTCAAATAAATTTGTTAGTCTCTAAGGTGCCACAAGTACTCCTTTTCATATAAAATTGGGGCACCAGGACAACTTTGATTCAGCAGCTCGAGAATCTAATCATGATTCAAGTTGTTTGAGTTCCGAGGCTACAGCTCTGGAGGAACTGTAATGTGCCCAGACTGTTTACACATAACTCACACAAAGGTTTAAATCATGTTCTTTTGACGTCAGTCAGCTTCAATTAACAGATTCCTCCAATGTCAATAGAAGGGGTAAACGGACAGAATGGAATACTTTCTGAGGCTGACTTGCAGCTAGTTATAACTAAGTAGAAACTAAGCCACTGTGGAGAATCTTAAAAATATCTCCACTAGGAATGTTTGGAATAAATTGCTCCTGATCAAAGAAAGAAGGAACCAAATGACAGAAAACAATAGTAGAGGTCAGTCAGAAGAAAACATTATCAGTGTTTAGCCATCTATGGACAGTATTTCTGCAGCAGTTAATGAAACTTTGAGCAACATTAATTTTAACACATACGGGGTGAAATACTGGCCCCATTTAAATCAGTTGCAAATGTCCCACTGACTTTTATGGAGTCTGGATTTCAACAATCATGCTCTCTTTTGCCAAGTCTAGTTTATGCCTAAAAAATACATGAAGATCCAATCTGGAGGCAGTGAAATTTGCTTTATAAAAAACGTCTATCTGACTGGCTCCTCCTTTGTCCAATCCATGCTAAATAAACCTTTTTTTGGGGGGGGGGTCAGGAGGGGAAGAGGCCCAGATCAGATAAATTTCAGATAAAAAACTGGGTCAGCCAGTGAAAAGGCATAATGTTTGACAGGCAAGCCATTGATCATGTCAGATGAATGGAGACCTATGTGCATTTGGATTTTTTGGTGAGAGAGAAGGGCTGGTCTTTTTGCAATGTCAAAGAAGTACATTACTGCAATCTCTTGTTGCATTAGAATCCAAAGAAACATTGGTTCCAGACCACTTTACTTACTTGGTTTTATCCAAATGATTGGTATCGAGTCAAAGAGCAACTTGGGATGCTGTTCAGCTAATAGTCCCCTGGTGAGACAACAAAGAAACTATTAAAACATAATTTTATAAAAGGTATATTTTTAAAAGAGATATTTTTGTATTTTACTTTGTTTGTTGGGTAGGAAGGAAAAAAGGGAAGGGTTGGGATGAGAAAGGGGAATGGAGATGACAGGAAGAGCAAGAGAAAGAAATGTCAGGACAAATACAGAGAATGGAAGCAAACTGAAAAGATGTAACAAGGGAAGAAAGAGAAGAAGAGAGAAAAAAGATAAACAAGAGCGAGAATGAAATAAAAGAAGAGAGGAGGGGGATGCAGAACAGAGCTGGACTTCCCTATCTTTACCTTTTTCAAAGGGTCCAGTAAAATCATCAGATATCAAAAACATTTCTCTCATAATCCCACACAAGGGATAGGATTAGGCAATAACAAATAAAAAGCCATACTGTGCTCTGACCTTTGCTGTTTAAACTCTTGGAATAAAACATGCAGTTTTTCTTGCTGAACTACATTACCTTTAAAAGTGTCCATTAACTTGTAATAGTATAATGAAAATTTAAAACCCACTGTAGATTTTGATTTTGTACAGCCACTTTTATGTGCGTAAACAATTGTGCAAGCAGAAGTGGGTATGCAGCTGCTTTATCAGCACAAATTGAGGTGCTGGATGCTTGGGTGCCAAATTTGTGTACCCTGAGGGCAGGTCTATAGTAGAAGTGCTACACTGGTGCAGCTGCACTGCTGTAGCACGTCTGGTGAAGGCCCTCTGTGCCAATGGGAGAGTGCTCTCCCATCAGCATAATTACTCCACCTCTGTGAGAGGAGGAAGCTATGCTGGTGGGAGAGCGTTTCCCACCGACAGCACCAGTGTGGACAGCACTTAAGTCGCTGTAATTTGCTTTTCTCAGGGGGGTGTCTTTTTCACACCCCTGAGCAACATAAATTACATTGACTTAAGTGGTAGTGTAGGCCTGCCCTAATGTACATCAGGCATGCAAAACTGCAGACCAGTTGAAGTCGGCTGAAAACATGGTCCTATTTGCAATGTGCATTTTTCTGATTGTCTGGTAATTAGTTCCGACTACTCTGCATATCAGTTCAATTTTTTTTTTCAAAATGCACTGCTTCACTCCATTGGAAAAAAAAATTAGCTGAGATTTTCCATAGGCCCCTTTTAAAATATTCACTTTGAGGGCTGTTAGGGTCTGTACCCTTTCCCATCTATTTAGAAACCTTACAAAGTAACAAGTACCATATCTGAATGACTACATAAACAGTTAAACCATAGTGGGCCAAATCCTGCCCTTCTCTTGTGTGGGACCAAGATGTGAATTGGTGCTTATCTTCATCTAAGCTGCCTGTGTGCTAGGTGACTCACCCTGAGGATGGCCAGGTCAGCTGCAGCAAAGGGATAGGTGGGCTCCACCAGCTGCTCATAGACTGGGGACCCGATGTAAAAAATTCATTCTGTACTCACATAGTAAGTGCTGTAGGTTTGGAGAGGAAACACTATACTATTCACTTGCGAGATACATAGCCCCTGAAAACCTGTTTCAAAAAATCAAGTCCCTCTGAGGTGTCTCAAATTGGGCACCTGGAAACTGATGCAACAAGAATCTGAAAAGAATCACTAGTCACTTTTGAAAATCTTGGCCTTACTGCTTTGAATGGTTCTGTGACTCATGTAGAAGGGCAATTTCATGAAAGAAAACTGCATTTTTATTACAAGTAAGCACAGTGCAACATTCCCAATACTACAGTATCACAGATTCATTGTGTTTTTTCTTGTCAAGATCTTTTGGAGGAAGGAGAAGATTTTAAATTAAGAGTATATCATTGAAATGTTGAAATGATGTTAAAATATTTCAACAAGTCTAATATGAGCGCATAAGAAAGTTTTAGATTTATTTTAAAATTTTAATTACTGACTTGGTCCTGTCCCAGCGAGCTCCATCTAAAAATAATCCATGGATATAAACACCATCTTCTGGTGCAGTAGCAGATGTATCCTTAGGAATGACCTAAAAAGAAATACATGTTAATACTTGTTAATACATTTCCACAGTAGTTTTGTTTTAGAGCTATTAGCTCTACAAGCCAATCTTCAAGAGAGCAACCCCAAGTCAGGATAAAATAGTGAAGCCTCTTCGTTCAGTACAACTTTACATCATCAACTGTTAAGATGGCAGCTTTCTATGTGACTGTTAATTATCCTTTATCATCATACTTAGAACACTCAAGTTTATCAAGTGATTTGTTTTCCTAATTAGGTGATTAAGTGTAATGAGGAATATACTTTTAATAGCATTCCTTTACAGATATCAAGTGGAAAACAGCATGTACTACTATTCAACATGGTTGCAGATCTACAATGCCATTGCTAATCAAGGTCTCGATCCTGCAATAAGATATATGCAAGTGAACCCATCCAATCAGGCACAGGGTCCACCTGGTATATCTCATGGAAACATCAGGACTCATATTAGTAAAATATATTTTTATCACTTATCCATACCTGAAATTCGTATCCCAGCAGGTCAATGGGAATGGTGTACTTCCTGGCATAGTTCTGCATGGCTCCAGTTAAAAAAGCTTGAGTAAAATAGAATCCTGACAGCCAAAAAACACTGGGCTTTCCTAACTCATACCAGTCCTGGGAGGAGGAAGAGAGAGATACTTTCAACCATCTTTGCAAAAAGAAAAGGAGTACTTGTGGCACCTTAGAGACTAACCAATTTATTTGAGCATAAGCTTTCGTGAGCTACAGCTCACTTCATCGGATGCATACTGTGGAAAGTGTAGAAGATCTTTTTATATACACACAAAGCATGAAAAAATACCTCCTCCCACCCCACTCTCCTGCTGGTAATAGCTTATCTAAAGTGATCACTCTCCCTACAATGTGTATGATAATCAAGTTGGGCCATTGTAGCCAGCCCCCCCCCCCCCTCCTCAGACCAGCATTGCTGGAAACACAGGAGGAAGCAGGAACAGGGCACTTAACATATATTCCAGCACAGCCTTTGAAGCACAGGTGTGCTGCTACAATGTGCCTCTGGGAACAGATACGACGATTAAGCTCACAGCAGGCAGAGGCCCTGTGACAGACCTGGCTCTTAGCCCCTACTAAGTAGCGTGATGCACACACACCAACATCCTAGGTGGGAAAATATTTACCCTGATAAAAGAAATGTCCAGTAGTCGAAACTTATTGTTTCTCTCCCTTGCAAGTGTAAACTACTCTTGCAAAAGCTGGCGTCACCCCGACAGACCAGCCTCAATTTGGCATAAGAAAGGAGAAAGAGAATAAAGGAGTACAGAGGTATAAGTAGGGGACCTACAGCACCATGATTTTTGAGTGCTTTTCACTATCTATCTGCTGGTCAGATAAGTGACAGCCTCCCAAGGCTTCTGCAGCTAAGAGGGTCCCTACGCCTTGTCCCTTATTCGTCTTTCCGCGGAATTGAGTGACCGATCCTGGCTTGGCACCGCTGGAATCGAGAGATGCAAGGAGGGTAAGAAGCACCCACACCTGATCTCCTATCTTTAGTGTACATATATTTTGAAATAGAGCTCTATACTTTGTTTTCTTTCTTTGGGATTGTGGCTTCAGTTTTGTAACTTGTTTGTGTGTGTGTAACATCTCTACATTTAAATAAGTAGGCACTAGCAATTTTGTAACCACATGATTAGAATCTAGCTTAATAAATTTTGGTAACCATTTATGCATAAGCCTGACTTGTTTTCTCTGGTTTACTGTAAAGCAGCCATCACAATTAAAGAACCTCAGCCGTTTTGGCTCTAAAGCCTGGCCATTAGGTGAGAGTACTAAGAGCCTAGCGTTGAGTTGTGCCGCCTCCACGGGGCAAACTCTTGGGGCACCTGTCAGTCAATCCTGGCTGCCCGCTGCGAAGGAGCTCTGAGCTCTAGCAGTTAAAGTCACGGGTGTGGAGAGGCTCTTAGTGCTGCCATTGGGGCACCTGTCAGTCAGTATTGACTGCCCGCTGCGAAGGAGCTCTGAGCTCTAGCAGTTAAAGTCACGGGTGGTTAGGACCTTGGGGCATCCGTCAGCCTAGCCCGGGCTGCCCGCCGCGAAGGGACAGTGCGTCCTAGCGGTTAAAGTCACGGATGGTATAAACGGGCATAGCTGGCACCTCACCAAACATCCTTGGCCGTCGGCTAACAGCCATTTCCAACACAAATCCAGGTTTTCTCACCCCCACCCCCAAACCCACTCTCCTGCTGGTAATAGCTTATCTCTGACTGGTTTATGAATGTTATAATTCAACATTCTTAATATTCATAAACCAATTGGAGAACACTTCAATCTCTCTGCTCACGCGATTACAGACATGAAAGTTGCGATATTACAACAGAAAAACTTCAAATCCAGACTCCAGCGAGAAACTGTTGAATTGGAATTCATTTGCAAATTGGATACAATTAACTTAGGCTTGAATAGAGACTGGGAGTGGCTAAGTCATTATGCAAGGTAATCTATTTCCCCTTGTTTTTTCCTACCCCCCCCCACCCCAGACGTTCTTATTAAACCCTGGATTTGTGCTGGAAATGGCCCACCTTGATTATCATACACATTGTAAGGAGAGTGGTCACTTTAGATAAGCTATTACAGGCAGGAGAGTGGGTTTGTGGGGGGGAGAAGGGGTGTTAACGGCTGTTACTCTGAAACCTGTCAACCATCTTTGCTATTCAGTATAGGCCTAGGTAGTATTTGCAATTTTCCACAAAAAATTTAGCCATATTAGAATCATAGAATATCAGGGTTGGAAGGGACCTCAGGAGGTCATCTAGTCCAACCCCCGCTCAAAGCAGGACCAATCCCCAATTTTTGCCCCAGATCCCTAAATGGCCCCCTCAAGGATTGAACTCACAACCCTGGGTTTAGCAGGCCAACGCTCAAACCACTGAGCTATCCCTCCCCCTAAAAGTTTTTCCTAACATCCAACCTAAATGGCCCCCTCAGGTATTGAACTCACAACTCTGGGTTTAGCAGGCCAATGCTCAAACCACTGAGCTATCTTTCCCCACGATATTGATATTCAGCTGGACATTTGGTTTTGTAAAATGCAACCAGCACCACCACAAGGATGTCCCAGCACCTTCAAGAAATCAGCACCAGGAGAGCAGCTGACTCAAACCGAGCTCAGGCTGGGAAGGGAAAACATCCTAAAGAAATAGTTGAAACCCATCCATCTGCCTTCCATTCTTAACTGCTGCTAAGTTAACCCTGGACAAGTAGGTAGCGAGCTAAGGGACTTCTCCCCTTTCTTCCTCGGGTAACGGGCGGTATAGAAAACCCTGAGACTAGATAGACACAGGCTGTGTGTATACACACTTTTTCTGTTTGCAGTATAACTAGCCTGCCCTCCATCTCTCCTCATTAGGGGCTCCCTTCTGTTAGCAGAGATGCCTGTGTGTGTTTGGAAGATGATTACAGCTAGGTGACTAGAATCCAACCCCCGAACGCTCTTATAATCCAGTTAGCAATATGATCTACACAACCTTGTTTAGAAAGTCTAGATATAAAGAGTCAATTTTTACCAACCCATGTCCAAAACATCCTTTAATTTTAAATCAAACAGAATTATTAGTAACACAATCCCTCTTGCTTTACCTGCAAGAATTTCAGCCTCGCTAGAAAATCTAGGATATAGCTCCCCAAAGGTTTAAGACTTGGGTATGAACGGTTAGCCCAGTTCTCGGCAACTTTTCCAACAAGCAGACTGCTGCTCAGGGCCTCTAGCTCAGAATCCATAACGACCAGTCCTTTAATGGCCTTTTTCAGATTTATTAAGGTAATACGTATAGTTCGGAGTAAACTAGAATTAAAGAAAATATCACAGAACTATCACTAAAATACAACAGGTTTGACATGATTTGTCAGACATGAAATCACCATCTCAAGAAATAATATTACATTATTGTGATGACTATGAAAAAAGTACATAACCAGGTTTTCCTCATTCACAACTTGCCATATTTGCAAAATTACAGATTGTGCCCATACTGTTGCCATTTAATAGACCTTTTCTTCTGCTTATCTAAATGTCCATTGAGGCACCATCTTCAGTGGTTATAGCATGTGACTGTCAGGGGACCTGAGTTCTATTCCAAATACTGCCACTGACTTGCTCTGTGGCCTGGGACAAATCTGTTAATTTGTGACGCCTTTTCTCCATCCCATCTTCCTGGCTTCAAAGGGTTCTGTGAGGTTTAACTCGTTATTAAGGATAGGAGTCTGTCATGGAGGTCATAGATTCCGTGACTTTAATGGACCTCCATGACTTCTTTGGCTTCAGCCCGCCACAGTGGCAGGGCTGGAGCAGCTGTCAGCCCCCACCCAGGAGCTGTGGTAGGACTGGAGCAGTGTCGGTGGTCAGCATCCAGGTCCAGAGCAGCTTCCAGGGACCGGAGCAGCAGTCAGTCAGCCCTCGCCACAGGAGCAGCAGTCGGAGCAGTGGCTGGGGCTGGGTCAATCCCCAGGGCCAGAGCAGTGGCCACCACCACAGGATCAGCCACTGGGGCTGCAGCAGCTGCTGCCGCCGCAGGAGCCTGAGTAGCCCCCAGTGGGGCTCTTACTGTTAGTCCCCCCACAGGGTATTTTTAGTAGAAGTCAGGTTGCAGACTTCCATGAATTTTGGTTTATTGCCTGTGACCTGTCCATGACTTTTACTAAAAATATCCATGACAAACTCTTAACCTTACTGATTATGAACTGTACAGAGCCTGAAATGACTAGATGGAAGGTGATATAGAAATTCTAATTATTTTCAACTGGTTAAAAATAGTTGAGTCCAAACCAGAACCTAGATCCAAGCATCCCTGAATCCAAAGCCAGACTTTTCAGCTTGCCTCTGTCACTTTAATGAGCTAAGGCAAAATTCCTGATCTGGAATCCCCCAATCTTTGGGAAAATTCATGGGGAGATCCAATGCTCCAGTGCAAAGTCCACCTCTAGCTTAAAAAAAAATAGAACACTATGCAGTGAATATTCTTGGGGAAATAATGGTCCAATGGCAGCTGTGTAAGTTCATCTCTTTCTGTTTACGTAAAATAAAATATTTCTGTTAAAATAGTCGAAGACCTAATGGGGCATTTTGTTTTATGCATTACTTTGAATTTCATAGTCTCTAGCCTATACTGTCCTGGCAAGAAATTAAAACCACAACCCTAAAAATAATAGAATCACAGAAGTGTAGAACTGGAAGGGACCTCAATAGATCATCTAGTCCAGTCCCTTGCACTCAAGGCAGGACTACATAATAACTAGACCATTACTGATGGGTGTTTGTCTAACCTGTTCTAGAAAAAACCGCCAGAGATGGAGATTCTACAACCTCCCTAGGCAATGTGTTCCAGTGCTTAGCTGGAACAATGTACAATATGTGTATGGAGTAGATGGGGAGGCAGGTTTCAGATAACAGAAGAGAGGGAAAGGAGTATGTGAGAAATAAGGGGAGTTTGGAGAGTGAATTAAGGGATCTGATAGAATTATGGGAGTTCTTTATGAGAGAATTAAGGGATACAGGGGGAAAGATGAGCAGAGTGAGGTGGAAGGTCAAGAAGTAGAAAAATAATGGTGGCAGGAAGAAACAGGGAGCAGACAGAGACAAAATGGGAGAAAAAATAGGAATTTGGGCAAAGTGGGATGGAGACTGGGGACCCAAAGGAAAAAAAAAAGAGCAGAGGATTACAGTTGACAGCAAAAAGAGAGGAGGTGAGGGTATAGGAAGAAAGGGGGAATCAGGGAAGAGAGAAGGAAAGTGATGGGGCACAGATAGGAGCAGGTGAGAAAATAATAAAAAAGAGAGAAATAGTCAGAAAGGAGGAAAAAAGGAAATGATACAAGCACACGAAAAATGAGACCAAAAAGAAGAGGATGGATGGAATAAAGAAATGGAAGTGAAAAATAAAGCAATACAAGCACAACCCTGCAGATGACCCATTACCAAACTTTTCTTTGGACCTTCCCCCCATTACATACCTTATCCCCCAATTCATTTGCCATTTAGATATTTTTCCTTAAATCCAACCAATATTCTGTCTTGCCTAACAAAGGAAAAGTTCTGAGAATGCAGACACTACTGCAGGCAATTAGAACTGAAGCAAATAATAATAATAAAATAAAGGTCTTCAGAATAAAGAGTCTATAAAGAGACCACACTGGATGCCTGGCAGAAAAGTGATCTGCTGTGAATGGGTTGATTGAAAGTACATTTGAATTAAATTAATTAATTCCCTTACTTGTTAAACCTTTCCATTTCTTGCACCAACACAGTGTTCATACTTTCCTCATATCTCACAGGATACTTCTGTAGGGAAGCTTCAATGTCAAAATCATTTGGAAGCTGCAAATGTCAATATATTTGGACACATTTTGATAAGTGCACATTTTAATTTACAATGGTTTCAAAGCAATATTAAAAGCAAAGAGACCCAAAGTAACCACATAAGCTCCATGGTGAATGACTGATATTCAGTAAAACACCCTACTGAATATTGGTTGGTCAATAAAAATATCTTGAACATCATTGAAAATGTAAAAATAAATGTAAATGTTTTAATGATTGTGAAGTTCTTTACAATATTGAATTGACTTTTTCTCCAGGTTATTTGCTCTGATTTCTCTCCCTTCTACTCTTAGCTGCTCAGCGACACTTCCCCCACTTTAGATATGGCTGTGGCTCCCCACAGTCTGATAAGCGCTTCACTTTCACTTTGTGTTGGACAGCTTAATGCTTCCCACTGAGTTTTTCCCAATGCATAATGAAGCTTAGGAATCAGAGATGTAGCACAAGGATAGGGAGAGAAAGAGAGACCCATACTTCAAAGTCAATGTTTTATTTCTAAAAAATCACTATTCTATTCAGGTTATTATGCCATGCCCATCACCATGGTATCTGAGTACTTCCTAATAAACAAGGAGATTTAGGTTAATTGGACAGGGTTAACTTTCTATTCCACTCCCGTCCCTTGTGCATGAGATCTGTGAGAGTTTTTGTTTGTTTTCTGAGTAAGTTAATGTGTATTTTTCTTAAGGAAAAAATGATCTTATGTTTGGAATGGAACTTGTTATGATTTGCTGTAGTTCTTATGGAGAATGAGGAACATGGCACAGCATGGGGCTAGCCCCCAAAAGAGCCCTATCTCCTGCATACATGAGCTTTGCCCTTGCACAATTCCAGTATTTCTGAGGAGTGTAGGTGTCAAAGGTGGTCATGGTCCTTGAGGAAAAGTCTTTTAGGTATCCTGAGCCCAGGCCATTTAATGCTTTGAAAATAAGAACCAAGAACTCAAACTTAATGCAATGTTCTAGGGGAGTCAGTGGAGAGAGTAGAGCTGCAAGTTGCTCACTAACTATATTTGTTGCTGAGACAGTGTGTTGTTGCAACTGCATTGTTGCAATCCCAAAAGGAGGTGAAAAAGGCATTTCTGTGGTCACACTCTTTGTGGCCCAATCGTCTGTCCAGTTGCCCATTACCATTTTCTCAAGGAAGAACATTAAGCTGGCCAGGTAATGGTGGGAGTATTTGTTATTCTAATCAATTATTATGCTATTTGTCTTTCTACATTACCTTAATGAGAATATCATCAGCAATTTCATACAGAGTGCTGTCACCGCCTCCCGAGGAGACTCCCTGCGTGCTTCCTCCTTGTGTTAGTATCAGAGATTCAAAGAGGAGTTTTGTTTGCTGGAGATCCTTTGAAATATCCACATTTTCATGCAACCCAAACACCTCTGGCTGTTGACTAAATGGAAGATTCTATGGCAAAACATATTAAGTAAACAATATATTTAATTAGATAAATCAGTTCATTAAGGGCCTGATCTTAAGCTTATTGATGGAAAGATTCCATTAGCTTCAGGGGACATTGGATCAGGCCTAGAACCATGATCTCACCAATAGTGAATCCCTTGACAATGGCTTTCTAGTCTTTATACCAGGCCCTATTATCTATCTGTTCATCTCCTCATTAAGTTGTACAAATTCTGGAGTGCAACAAAGTCTAGGGTGTTTCAAATCACAAAGCACTTTAGATCACAACATACCTGCAAAGGAGCCAAGGAAAGCAAAGAGGATGGAGCAAGGAAAGCAAATGAAAAATGAAGCACACATAAAAACGTTATTTTTAAATGTCGAAAGGCTCAGACCCAGGAGGGTTGTCTGCTTAGTGTATCATGTTTGTAACCTCTCAAGGCTTTGCCACTAACCTTTGAAATTTTTGTTGATCTGTGAATCCTAAATAAACTACCAAGAAAAAATTACATGGGAAAAAAATCCCATGCATGACCAATGGTAAACTGTTTCCCTTTCTCATTTCCAGGTTATCCATCTTCTGCACAATTCATAATTCCAGAAACTTGTTGCTGGAAAACCAACTCCTGTCCTCAACGCAAGACAGCAAGATTTGAAGCACAGTTCTAAGGAGTAAATGCTCTAAATGAAATTACCACCTCATATTTCACCCAGATCAGTTTGTGGTTTGATGCTGTCTTATTTCACAGTCTAAGGAGAGTCTGGCGAGGTCAGTGCTTAGAAAGGAGACGTCTCAGAAAACACCTAGCACAGCAGAGAGTAACATTTGTGATTCAGTGTTATAGGATTCTTCTCCCTAGAACCGTACTGAAGCAATGCATGGACTTAGAGCTCACTAAACATCTTAAGGCACCTTTTGCAAAAGCAGGAGTGCTATCCCCAATGTTCTGCCAAATTCCAACTAAAAGTAATTACATTTGAGCTGCCTAAATTCCCTTGAGGTTTCAGTTAGATGTATTCTTTACTTCCTATTCAAAATTAATGGTGGACTGTTCTATAGCTTCTGTGCTCTACCCCAGAAGTGGCTGTATTTCAGTGATGTGAGGTACTAAGAGAATTATTATTTTGTAATACAATTTAAGATCCTTGGAGCAAAGGCATTATAAAAGAGCTAAACATTATTGTTTTAGATGTTCCAGCATTTTAATATTAGAAAATGAATTTGTTACATTCATGCAGAAGTAATTTTTTAACATTAATGGAATATCAAATTAAAAATGACACATCACTGAAAATATTTTATTTTTGCAACATTCACTAATGTAATTAGACCGAATATTATGTGAGCTTCCATTTTACAAAGAAACCAAGTTACCTTAATAAATTCAATGTAGTCCTCATAGGTGCCTTTTGGTGGTGCATAGTAGTTGCCACTGGGAGAAAAGGCGAAGCGTGGGTTTTCAATTATATCTGGATTATAAAAATCATCCAGCATAGTCATTAGTAAACGTCTGTCCCAATCATCTGTCACTCGTCCTCCATAGTTACATTCACCCGTAAGGTAAGATATAGCTTCAAATGGAACATGGTCATATTCATTTATGAATAGCTGAAACAACGAAAACAGATCTAAGACACTTCACCACCTTGAATCCCAATTAGGTTTGTAAATCAAATCCTATAGTTAATTAGAGACACAGTGTGATCTGCCTTTTATTATTAAATAGGAAAGGAGCAGAGATGGGCCCACAAACCCAACGGACCCTTCCATGGAGAGGCCTACAGAGCAATAGTGGAACACAGTGTGGAGAGAAGAGTATGCTCTAACTCGTACAGAGCTACAGTAAATGTTTTCCCCTAGTGCAGCAGCAAATTCAAACTCTGAAGTCTTCACTCAGGTAAAATTCCCATTTGAGGTTAATGGGAGTTTTTTTGAGTAAGAACTGGGCAGAGACCAAAAGATTTGTCCCAGAATTAACAAATCATCCAATCATTCTTACAGTATTTACAATTGTGCATATTCTGAAGCCTGATTTTTCTAGCAAAGGCATGTTTCTTTCTTTTACCAAGTCTCTTTGGATGCTCAGAGTATCTTGCTTTTAACCTTCAGAATGTTTGTCTCTTTCAGTGACTCATCATAGTTTTTTCCAGCAGCTCAAACTCAACATTTCTAATTCCCACCCTAAACTCTCTGGACTCTTGTCTAGATTGGTCAATTGGTAAAATTTTCTCAGGAGTCCTATAGAGCTAGTCAGATAGGACAGCCCTGGCCACTTGCTGTGTATCAAAATTTCCTTTGACTAAGAACTGTGAGCAGTTTGATGGTATCTACTAGTTTGATGGAATCTACTCAATAGTGAGACCTCCTTTGAAATATAGTTTTAACTCTGTTATACTGAGTTCCAAATGGCTCTGTGAATTTTTTTTTAGAAAATTTATCTAAATCTAATGAAGAATTTCTTATTTTTATAAATATAACATGGTCTATGTTATTTATCTTTGTCTCAATAGCAAAGAAACCTGAACTAAAGTTGTGGAAACCTGTTTATGATTGTGTGTTTGAGCATTTAACACAGCCATTTCTGTATTGTGGATGCAACAGTAAATAAAGACTTTACCTGCAGCTGTCTGATACTGATTCGCAAGTCTGATTCATTAAATCCATATGGGATATTCCAACCAAGAGGGCCAAACTTCTTTCTCTCCTGAACAAGAGCATGAAAAAAGCAAACTCCAAAGAGCAGTTTTTCCCATGTCTTTAAGAAAACAACAACAAAAAGTATTAACTGGCATGACTGCGTATGGTCTTTAATTTATGCAGACGGCTGAAACAACAAAAGCAGTTTGAAAAACATTTTATTAACATTTTAAATTCTCTGTTTTGGATAAAAGTGTTAGACTATGACTAGCATGAGGTTTTGGGTTTTTTTTTAAATGTTATTAGATAACAATATGGAGTTGACAGTTAATATGTTAAAGCCTATTCCTGCAATCCCTGACTAGTAGATATAATGTTTACACCCCTGAGTAGTAACACTGAAGCTATGGGACTACTTGGGGATGTGTGCACTACACTGAGTTAAGGGTTTGCAGGGCTGGACCATTATTTATTAACTAAGGAAATGAAGGTTACTTACCTGTAACAGGAGTTCTTCAAGATGGACTCTGCATACTCCCATCTGACTGGTGCAGCATGAATGGTAGAATTGTACCTAGCAGTGTTTGTTGGGGTGCTCACATGTCTCTCTTGCCCTTCTCCTCAGGGAACACAGAATGTTCCTGGGCAAGGTTATAAAAGGGGCATAGCACCACAGCCGCTTCAGTTCCTTCCTCTGCAACCCCAGGTCTTTTGATAAGTAGGACTCAGAGGCAAAGGGAAAGGTGGGCAGAGAGCATGAATATGCAGAGTCTATCTCAGAGAATTCTGGTTACACGTAAATAACCTTCATTTCTTCTTTGAGTGTCCTCTGCATATTCCTATTCATGGGATAGACTAACAAGCTGTAACTCAGACCCAGGATGGTTGGAACATGGAGTCCTAATTAAAAAAAAGACGGCAAAACTGCCTTGCCAAATTTTGCATCTGATCTAGATTCTAAGCCTAATGTCTGGTGCTTAGTAAAAGTGTGGACTGTACTCCATGTTGCTGCTCACCATATTTCTATTAAGGAATATGTCCAAAGAATTTGATAGCAGCTGCTTTTCATCTAGTAGAATGAGCTCTAATTCCTTCAGGAAGAGGGAGACTCATCATCTTATAAACATCCTCAATACATAATCTAATCTATTTTGAAAGAGTACGTACAGTGACCGATCTCCTTTTATTCCTTTTTTCATAAGTGATTAACAAATTGGGAGATAGATAGAACTAATCATTTTAGGCAAAGTAGAAAGCTAAAGCCCTTCTAACATCTAGTAGATGTTATCTAGCCTCCCCACCTTGAGTGTGAGATTTGGGAAAAAATACTGGTAACATTATAGATGCAGGTATATGAATATCTAACAGAACTTTTGGCAAGAATCTTGGGTATGTACAGAATATTATTTTATCTTTGTCATAAATATAAAGGGAAGGGTAAACCCCTTTGAAATCCCTCCTGGCCAGGGGAAAGCTCCTCTCACCTGTAAAGGGTTAAGAAGCTAAAGGTAACCTCGCTGGCACCTGACCAAAATGACCAATGAGGAGACAAGATACTTTCAAAAGCTGGGAGGAGGGAGAGAAACAAAGGGTCTGTGTGTCTGTCTGTATGCTGGTTTTCTGCCGGGGATAGACCAGGAATGGAGTCTTAGAACTTTTAGTAAGTAATCTAGCTAGGTATGTGTTAGATTATGATTTCTTTAAATGGCTGAGAAAAGAATTGTGCTGAACAGAATAACTATTTCTGTCTGTGTATCTTTTTTGTAACTTAAGTTTTTTGCCTAGAGGGATTCTCTATGTTTTGAATCTAATTACCCTGTAAGGTATCTACCATCCTGATTTTACAGAGGTGATTTCTTTACTTCTATTTACTTCTATTTCTATTAAAAGTCTTCTTGTAAGAAAACTGAATGCTTTTTCATTGTTCTCAGATCCAAGGGTTTGGGTCTGTGGTCACCTATGCAAATTGGTGAGGCTTTTTATCCAACATTTCCCAGGAAAGGGGGGGTGCAAGTGTTGGGAGGATTGTTCATTGTTCTTAAGATCCAAGGGTCTGGGTCTGTAGTCACCTAGGCAAATTGGTGAGGCTTTTTACCAAGCCTTGTCCAGGAAGTGGGGTGCAAGGTTTTGGGAAGTATTTTGAGGGGAAAGACGTTTCCAAACAGCTCTTCCCCAGTAACCAGTATTTGTTTGGTGGTGGTAGCGGCCAATCCAAGGACAAAGGGTGGAATATTTTGTACCTTGGGGAAGTTTTGACCTAAGCTGGTAAAGATAAGCTTAGGAGGTTTTTCATGCAGGTCCCCACATCTGTACTCTAGCGTTCAGAGTGGGGAAGGAACCTTGACAATCTTTATTAAAGACAGTAAATAGTGGGTGTGCCATCAGCGCTTGTAATTCACTTATGCACTTTGCTCAAGTGATAGGTATCAAGATGACTGTCTTAATGTATAAATAGGGTATTTTACAACTCCCCAGAGATTCAAACAGATGTTGCACTTAGTGTAAACACTAAATCCCAAGATGATATAGGCTCTTTAACTGGTGGAAATAGATTATTAAGACCTTTCAAGAATCTTTTGACTACACCACCAATAAAAACCAATTTACTATCCCCAGAGACATGGTATGCTGAGACTATTGAGAGATTAACTTTGACTAGGGTGACCAGATGTCCCGATTTTATAGGGACAGTCCCGATATTTGGCGCTTTTTCTTATATAGGTGCCAATTACCCCCAACCCCCGTCCCGATTTTTCACACTTCCTATCTGGTCACCCTAACTTTGACTGATGACAAAGAGAGATCCACTCTTTTAAGATATAATAAGTACTCCAATATATAAGTAATTAGAGCTGTATATGGATCTATATCATACATGGAAACCAACAATAAAAAGTCCTTAACTGATAGCAACATTCTGTCCTTCTACCAAAAGAACATTTGCTAACCTCCTATGCTCCTCAGGGAGAGTATTCATGAAAGACAACATTTTTCCTGACAAGATGGCATTGATATCTTGCGATTACATCTTAATGGTTCACTGTTCTCCTATCTGAAGTGGCTGAGGAAAACATCCAGTCTTTTCCCTTCCTTATCAGAGGGGATAAAATAGGCCTGAGCACGCTTTCATCTATGCAGTGCAGCCTCTACTATCAATGAATTAGGAGAACGGAGATATGAAACACAGCAAGACCCTCCTGGGAAAACAGGAAAAGGTCATCAGACTTTTTTAACATAAGCTGAGCTATTAGGGTCATTCCAAATTGCTTAAAACTGGTTGAGACAATCCTTCCAATAAAGGATTTGTCTAGTTGCTGCTTCTAAAATGTGAAGATTTCTCAACAGGAATCAAGGGAATCTCTAATGTCCTTGGAAGAACACCACATCATCTGAATGTGACGAAGGAGCAATCACTCCTACACTTCTGTAAGGAGAAGTAAAGTTCACAGAGTCTGGATGTGACTGTTGGATCTCTAGCAATTCTTCTTCCTCAGATAAAATGTGTCTTACAACTGTAGACGACCTATCAGGACTCTGATGTACCATCAAATCCATATCCTTTGGGTCTGATGCTTGAATGTCTTCAGTATCAAATTGGCAATTACTATATCTAGAAATACCCTGAAAAGGTACAGGAGAAGGCCAGTGAGACCACGTAAAGTCATTCCCAGCCAATGGGAGCTGTGGGAAGCGGCATGGCGAACCACAGCCACTGGGAGCTGCGGGCGGCCGTGCAAATGTAAACAAATGATCTGGCAGCCCGCCAGTGGTTTTCCCTGATGGGCCGCATGTGGCCTGTGAGCCACAGGTTGCCCACCACTGACGTAAACCAAGGTGAAGCCTGACAATCTGGTCAAAGTCCTATACTCTGATCTGGCTGAAAATATCTCTGCCCATACAGATCTGGGAGAAATGACTGAGTTTGCTTAAATTGACTGAGATTGATTTAAATTTCTTCTTTAGATCTGTTTTCCAATCTCAAGCCATTCTCAGTCCTCAGGGAAGTAGAGTTAATAACCTGCTAGGCTGAATAAAAGATAAATAGAAAAAACCCTTTTTCTCAAGACCCAGAAGGAGTCTTAGGTGGTGCAGGTATGGGAGAAATTCTAACTTCTTCAATCTGCCTTCTATTCTCTGAAGGATTATCTATTTATCCAGTATAACCTTCAGTTCCTATTCAATTGACACACATGGATTCATTACTGACCGAGAAGGAGACAGATCCGATTGATGAATCTGTGCTATAACCACCAACCATTGTGGTACCGTACTGGAACCAGACCGCAAATCCTCAGTAGTCAGATCCTTATTTTTAACCTTCATAACAGGTTCTTTCATCATCTCTCTCGAATCCGGCTCTTTTGGATCTGAAACAATCAGATCCAAAGAGCATCTTCTGGTTTTAGACAGAGAATCATCATTTGGGGAAGGTTCTTTAAATACCAATGGATCAGATGGATCTTTTCTCACAGATTGGTTCTTGATAAAAAGAGGCCAACACCAACAAGGATGGAGTCTTGTGCTCACTATTACCGCCTTGTCCTTTTCTTGTGGATTGCTCTAGAATCAGAGTTCAATCCCACGGTCTGTTGAGCAGTTTTGATCCTTGGGCGCTTCACACTTCTAGATTCCTTAGTGCACAGCACCAAAGACGAGTATTTAATTTTCTTTCTTCCAGACTTGCTTGGAGCCAATACAAGCTTCTAAGATTTGCTAGAGGCTTGCTCTCTCTTGGTTCCAGGCAATTTCGCTGACAGAGCTTCCTGGAGTAAGACAGTCTGAAGCCTGTTCTGTCTTTCATTCTGGGCTGATGTCATGATGGTTGAGAAGATCAAGTATTTTGAAGGTGAATGTTTTTCGACCAATTATGATAAACACCATGCATGTGTTTTGGCCACCAGAAACACAGCTAGGCATGAGACGTACCTCCTAAATCCTAGCTTTTTGGTCTTCAGCTGTGTCATCTTTTTTTCCCCCAGCACTGAAGAACTTATTTCTAAACTAAACCTAACACTAACAGACCAGCCTAACTATATCCAAATAATTATAAAATATATGGATCTGGTAAAATTCTGGAGCAGCTCTACCTTCGTTCAGCTGGTTGCAGTTGGAGGGAACTGAGGCCTCTGGACTGCCACACCCCTTTTATATCTTTGCCCTGGAACATTCCCATGCCTCAGAATGGTATGATGGCTGGGTTTGACCCCTACCTCCCTCTCTGCAACTTGTTTAGCAGGTGTGTCTCACTAATGGGCTAGTGGGACCCTGATGTTTGTTTTCTCAGGTTTTGCCTGGAAGGAACTTATTTCATTGTTTTCTTCAGTTTCCATTTACCTATTGTAGCTCTATAGGAAGGAAAGTTCTCTGCGCTAATAGTGCACACTGAGGACATATCTTATCACAAACCCATGTAAAGAGCTGGGAGGAGTGGCCTACAGGCTGAAATGAGCGGTATGGTGAAGCATGGCTCATTCATGCCCCATTCTCACAAGGATAGGACGGGTTGGGGATTTCATTTCAGAAGCATATTTCATCGGCAGAACCCAGTGGGGTTGCTCTCAGTCTGAGGAACCATAATTGCCATTAATGTAGGAATCAACCAAGTTTGGCTAATGTTATTGCAGTGTAACTAGTGTGGGGATTTCCATCTGACAAAATGTTCATTTAAGCTATAACCATGTGTGAAGTATTTTATTCACTAATCATTTAGTCTCTGTGTAAACGTTAGCTCATAACTTTAGGGAATGCTTTAGATTAGAACCTTCTGGACATAACAGTGAGTAAATAAATATTTCAAAAGTGTCGAAGAATGAGCAACTTACCTGCTCCTTTCCAGGGCACCCAGAGAAGAAGATGGAATCAGAAAGTGGATCTGAGAGATAAGACTGAAGTAGATTTAACCGGAGACCTGTAGGTGATTCATTTGTCATCTTTACTCCATTCTGCAGAATGGTTACGGGAAACTAGACAAAATAAATAGCAACACTGCAACAGGAGAGTATGGCGATGGCAAAAATAATAATAAAGTGAGATATTTCTATACAGAGATTATACAAGTATAAATATATTTGTATTTTTAAAATAATTTCTTGATGTTCAAAGTCCTATAAATTAAATATACATGGGCTAAATTCAGCCCTTGGATGCAGGTGTGCAACCTCTCATGGACAGCAATAAAAGCTGTGTGAATGTGTATCCACAGCCAAAATACAGTCACTTCTGTTCAGCAGACTTACATTCATGCTAAAAATGTTTAAAAGCCTGCTCTGTATTTTTATATTTTCTAATATCATTAAAAAGAACAACTGTCCTTTGTTGATGAAATTATGTATCCTCTCACATTACTCTTCCCTTTGTATGCTCCCTCTCTCATTTTTACACCTTTTATCATTACTTCCTCCTACACCTGGAAGTCTTTCTGATCTCATGCACCAAGAGTCTGTTCTCTCTTCCTTCAAATTCTCCTTAAGATCTGCTTCTTCCGAGAATATTTCTACCATCTCCTCCTTCCCAATAAGTATGTGTTTGCATGTACAGAGCCCTAGCTTGTAGGCTTCTCAGAGGAAAGAATGTGCCTTAAAATGTTTGCAGAGCACTAAGCAAATTTATGGTACTACATAATGAATTTAACTATATATATATATATATATAACCCTTTAATTGTTATATATTTTAAAATTCAAATTTGAAAATGTTGATATTTACACTATTAGATGAAAACAAGGAGCTGCGCTTTCACTAAGAACAGTACATTTCTGAGACACAGAGTGTTTCATCAGGATTTGTTCCAAACATAGTCAACAGCAAAAATCTGGACCTGGATTTAGAGCAAAATTAAATAGACGATAGGAACTTTCTCCTCTTAAAAGCAACAAAGGTACTTGTGGATAATAAAACATATCTATAAGGCAGAAAACACCATTGTTTCTTCACAAGAAGAGCATGTCTACATTCTGTTCTAATATATATCGAATGTATTTTGATTATATATATATATTCACAACAATCCTTTAATTAGAGAGAGATATTTTTAAAATGTACACCCACTTTGCGTGTACAAGTTTGAAAATCCAAGCCAAAATTGCAGTGTGGTTATCCTATTGTGGAATACAAAATGGTTTATCATTAAACGTGTAATTAGGTCCACTGGAAATAAAAGTACCTTGGGTGACGGATAACTGGTAAGCCAAAGTCTGAAGAATGGATGGCAGGTGTCACTATTAAATTCTTCACAGATTTTCTCTAGCATCGGCATCCAGGAGACAGCAAGATGACAATTCTGTAAACAAACCCACGTGCCTTCTTCCATTCCTTCTCTAATCATTTTTGCAGCTATAGGTCCTTGTCCCTGTCCCAACGAGATGGCTTGAAACTTATTTCCAACCATGTGTTTGTCATTTGCAAATTTCAGGAGACCTTGGATGAAACATGCAATCTTTTAGCATTTGTTAGTTTAAAAGACTGCTTTATATTTGATATTAAAAAAAGAATTATAATACTATTTTGTTAAAATCTGAAAGTTCAAAATAATTAAAAGAATTTTTTCACAATGCATTAAACTATTTGATTTTAAAATCATATCCCTTTTATTCTGCAAGACAAAATTCTACAAATCTGATTTGGTAGCGTTTTATACCCATTTGGCACAGGTGCAAATGACTCCATAAGGTGCAAAAAGGAGGAGAATCAAGCTCTTAATCTGAAAAACTAGACATTTTGACAGGTCTTTTTATCTGTCACTGATTCAAAGATTTAGTAAGGAAAACATCCCATAGTGAATACTTACTAGACATGGGATCAGCTCCTGGAGACAGCACAAAGATTAGTGGGATTGTTGAATTTGAATCTAAGTAACTTTTTGATAGATCAAATGGTGGTGGCTCTACAAACTTCTTCCCCAGTTTGTCAGTTACAAAGATTGCTATTGCTGGACTAATCTATTTTAAAAAAAGCAAATATACTGGTAAGCACAAATATAACACAAAATCAGATTTGGTTGGATACACTGTATCATCTTTCATATTCATGGTAACCTAAATCATTATACAAACAGTGAGTTGGATACTGATAATGTAGCAAATTAATAGCTATATTTCACAGTCAATGTATAAAGTTCACATTCACTCTTGGGGACCAATCCATGGTTGCCCAGCAGCCCCTTTGTGCCAGCTGTGCCAATATAAAGGGGCCAGAAATATTCACATGGGTCCACTGCAGAATACTCACAGTGCAAGCGGTGGGCAGGAGAGAAAGAAAGTGAAGGGCCAGCAATTCTGCACCGCAGCAAGATGGCCCACTGCAACCAGGGAGCAACTCAAGGCAGCGCTCAGGGTTGCTTCAACCTGCACAAGGGGCCAAACTGGCCACTCAGCAGCCCCAGAATTTAGAAGGTGCAAACTGCCTCCCCTCCGCCCCTGCACTGGATAACTCAGGGCCTTGGGACTCTTAACACTAAATTTGTAGAAGTCTCAGTAGGTTTGGAATTTGAGCTCATTTAACATTCAAAAGCTTGGAAGCTTATTAAATATTTCCATACTACTGAGGCCTTATCCACCCAGCTACACTGCACTAACTTGTCAATCCCCAAATAACTCCTCCAACAGACACCAAACAGGTTGTGTTCTTGGGTTGCAGGCTTCACCTCCAATAGCTTGGTCTCCTCTTCAGAGGACAACTGGGTGTACTCCCCCAGTCTCCTATGCTTTAAATGCCTACTTCCAGTGCCTGGATGATTATTTCCCACCCTATCAACAATAAACCCAGCAACCCCTCACAGAATCAGGGGATGGTAGAATGGAGTGGGGGTGAAACATCATCTCAGTAGGTGAGGCATAATGTCCTCACAAATGTTTTTTGTTAGTTGCAATTTTTTCAGGCTGTAGAGCACAATGCCAGGCCTCAACTAGTTGCCATTCAGTGTGACACAAGCACAACATATATCCATTTTTGCTGACCAAAGTGGCTGTTTTCCCATAAATTCTAGTAAAAGTCTCTTTTTGCCATGAAAAATGTATATAGCATGTATAGTTCTCCTAACTACCAAGACCCCTTATTGCTGTACAGATAGATTCATGAGGAAATATACTTATGAAAAATCCTGCATGTCAATTTTTATTCCAAATATTAATTCTGCAATTTTACGTGCTGTGAAGTACTAAATATAGTCAATACAGATGAAAAATAACAACTTGTGATTGTCCTTACAGTCTTATGACTCAGACAGTAAAAAAAAAATTAAGGGTTCCTGAACATATATTTGAAACAATCAAAAAGTATAAGAATTTAGTATCACTAAGAAGAAGAAAATATTAAGAGATCAGTAGTACTGGTAAAACAATACCTCAATTTTACTTTTAGAGTCAAACTGATCATTATAGATGATGACTGAATATATAACATATAGGCTAAGGATATTTAGGTAAAAGTAGAACACATGTGATCACCTGCACAGCTATGTCACTGGTTTCAGAGTAATAGCCGTGTTAGTCTGTATCAGCAAAAAAAACGAGGAGTGAAATTCTAGCAGTTTGAAGTGTAGGGAGAAAAGAAATCTTAACAGAACTTACTGCATTTAGGTTCCATTTAATCAGTCTTGTAGTTAACAGAAAGAATAGTTACTTGCCTTACAGTAACTGTGATTCTTCAAAATGTGTTGCCTGGTACACATGTATTCACATGTCCACTCCTTGGGCAGTGTGCTGTAGACTACTATTTTTTGGCCAGCATTGTCATGTGTGGTTGTTCAAGTTGCTGTTGTGGAATCTAGTACAAGGTTAGGGTTAGCTGATGCCAGGAATGATTTTTGCCATGTTGATCTTTAGGTCCAATCTGATAAAGAGATGAAGGATCCAGTGAAGGATCTGATACATGGAGCACCCACTTGCTGCAGTGACTTCCCTCAGGTGAACCAATCATCGAGGTATGGGTGTAACTGTATTCCCTAATTTCTCAGGCGGGCTGCTACTACTGCCAATTATTTGGTAAAATCTCTTGGCACTGTCAATAGTCTGAAGAGGAGGATCTTGTATTAACAGTGGGAATCTCCGACTTGGAATTGTAAATATTTTCTGTGTATGGGGTGGATCATGATATGAAAATAAGCATCCTGGAGGTTGAGAGTCATAAACCAGTCCTAGGGATCTAAGAATGGGATCATGGATACCAGAGTTACTATCTTGAAATTGAAGTGGCAGATGACAGCACTGAGTGATCTCAACTCCAGAACTGGGTGTCAGCCCTCCTTTTTCCTTGGGATCAGGAAATAATTTGAGTAAAACCCCTTCCAGAATCACATCTTCCACTGCTCCAAGATTCAGAAGTGAATACACCTCTTGTCATAACAGACTCTTCTGAAGAGGGCCCTTGAAAAGAGATGGGGAAAGGGGAAGAAAGGAGCATGTGGAACTGCAGGGAACAGCCCGCAGAGATGGTCTCCTTAACCCAGTGAGCCAGTGTAATGAGGTTCTGTGATCACTGAAAATAACGACAGCAATCCCCAAAGTCTGTATGTGAGTGGGAAGGGGTAAAGATCTTCCAGGCATTCTGTAACACTGCTCTTCACTAAGGTGTTAAAAATGATTACTTCAAGGAAGTTGCAGGATGTGAGGCAGAGGATGTAGGTCTCTTTCTCAGCGACTCCAAGAAAATAGTAACCCTGTGATGATCCTGGATGATGAAACTAGTATGTTGTAAATCAGAGGTCTGATATGCTTCCTTGTAGGAGATAGTATGTAAAATCCTAGATACCAGAGAGTAGAGTGAGAATCTTTTAACTAATGCAGGGCCTTATCCATCTTGCTTAAAATGCTACAGCCCTTGAAGGGAAGCTCTTCTATTGTTGTATGTACTTCCTTTGGGATGCCTGAGGACTGTAACAAGAAAGCTCTCCACATGGTGATAGATGTGGCCATGGATATTGCAGACATATCTGAAGCATCTAATGCTGCCTGGAAAGACATTCATGCTACCAGCTACCCATCTGAGATTACTGACTTCAGTGCCTTTCTGCTATCCTGAGGAATCTTGTCTGGGAAGTCTAACACCTTATACTAATTTAAATAATCATACCTTACTAGATGTCAGGGACCATAGGTCTTGAACCCTGATCCACAGGGCTCTTACGAGCTAGGCAGTCCCAACCTGCCACCCTTGAACAGCAGCTGAATTCTAACAAAGGATACCAGTCCTGGAATATGATTGGTGGAACCTGGGGGTCCTGACTGGTCCCAAGTTTCTACTTAACCCAGGAACAGGAAGTTGTTCATGCAACTGGGTTCTCCCTGCTCAGGATTGCTTCCCCTGCAATGTCTGCTCCTACAACTTGCTGCAGATCTTCTGGTAACCTGACCCTGCCTGCCTGTGACTGACTCTCTGTCTGACCTCTGGCCAGTCTCAGACCCTGACCTCCTGGTATCTGACCTAGCCTGACTCCTGCTCCGACCAATAGGTCAGACTGCCTACATTCCAGTCATGACACTAACAAGGACTGATAGTTAGCTATTCGTAATTACAGGCTAGCCAAAGAATAGTTTTTCCTGACCACAAGGTCAAACCACCCACGTCCCGGTCATGACACTAACAAGAACTCAGAGTTAGCTATTCATAATTACCGGTTAGTCAAAGAATATTTTTCCTGACAAATAAATCTAGTCACTTTGGGGGTTTTTTGTTTGAGGGTGTCACTTTTTGTTTATTCTGTTGCCTAGTTCTTTTGTGGGCCACTGCTACCACCGGGGAGCCTGGTAGAGGATGAATATAGTAGTACTCAAAAACATCTTATGTCACCTGGAATCATTTATCTGGATTCTTGGAAGTTGCTGCAATAGAAATTGGTGTTTACCAGATGTTCTTCGCTAGCTCCGATAATGCTTTGTTAACTGGCATCACCAGGCAATGAGGCATGGAGGCGTGAAAGATATCTAGGAGTTCTGAGATGTATTCTGTATCACCCTCCATAGCTATCTCAAATTAATTCGCTATTAAGAGAAGCAGGTCTTGAAAACTTTTATAATTGTTAGGTTGACAGGGGGTTGCAGGCACCAGTGCTTCATCCAGAGAAGACAAGGAAACAGCAGTTGGCATCATCTGCCCCTCCATGGTAGGATGCTCTTCTTTAGATACTTCCTCCTGTTTTTCAGCATGCTGGACTGCCACCTGAGTCCCACAAGCTCCCTAGGATGGAGTAGGGAGGTGGTCCTAACTCTGGATTGGTGTGCGAATAAAAGGTATGTAGCAGGCTGCTAGCTCCAGGGAGCCCAGTAGGCCAGGGACTGGATGTTATTAGAGAAAGTGGGGCGGGGGGGGGGGAACTATCAGTAATGCCTATCCCTGGAACCTCTGGACCCATGTGGCACACAGAAGGTTCTTTACTCTATCAGATCCACACATACATAGGTGCAGACTCCGTGGGAGCTCCAGGGCCGGAGCAACCGCGGGAAAAAAAATAGTGGGTGTTCAGCACCCACCAGTTTAATCAGCTGTGGCAGCTGCAAATCAGCTCTTGCACATGCGGGGCCCACCAGATCAGCTGTTTCCAGCAATCAGCTGTAGAGCGCAGCTGCCTATTAGCTGTTTGGTAGGGAGCCAGGATGAGCTCCTTCGCAGCATGTGGCTGCAGTTCCTAGCCTGGCTCCCACTGCAGGTAAAAGTGGTACCTTTCCAGGGCAGAGGGAGCAGGGCACCATTTAGGGAGGGCAGAGGGGGCTTCTGCTCCTCCCTGAGTTTCCTACCACAGCTGAGTGCAAACAGGAAAATGAACTGCTGCTCCACGTTGTCACCGGAGGAACCTGAGGCCTTTAGCTGTGAGCTGAGCAAGAAGTTGCTTTGGTTGATAGGACTGTCCTCCAGGAGCTGGATCAGCAGTTCCTCCCTCACCATTGGCTCGAGGCTGTGGGAAGTGTAAATTCCCCGTTGTGCAGGCTGCTGTTGCTCTGTGGCTGCGAGCGGGAGAGCTGTCTGTATTGCTCTGTCCATCTCCACCCCTTCATACATAGAGGGAGCCTTTAATGAGGTTCCCAAATGCCCCCTCAGGCTGGGCAGCTGAGAGCCTGTGCACCTTAGAAACCCCCCCAGCGCTAGCAGCCCCAGAACCAGAGGGGCAGTGGGCACACAAAGCACTCCATATGGGTAAATATTTCCTTGTCACCCAGCTGATAGGATGAGAGCCAGGAGAGAGCAGTTTCTGGCTAGCCTTGGGAAAGAGAAGGGAACTGATGAGTGCTGATCTCCTTAAGTCTCTCCCACAAAGGTGGTCAGTTTTATTTTCAGTGTAACAGTCAATGCTTCCTTTATACATTTCAGTTGCTCCTGATGGAAACCATAGGAAGTTATTGTACATACCTCTGCTTCTCAATCAGAAAATAAAATCTTTCATGAATTAGTCTATGGACCCTGGGGACTTTTTTTTTTTTTACAATTCCTGGAGAGCTCTTAATTCTACCTGGTGTTACAGCCTTAGAACAGGTCTCTTTAGTAAGCTCCTTAATATTTGAGTACGCTCTTGAAAATGACATTTTTTAGAGAGCAAATTTTCTTAACATTTAAGACATATAGTGTCATATTATATTTTCATTAAGGCATGGTTAAGAATCCTCCAGTTGGGTCACTGTAGATACATACTCAGGATTTCTATATTATATTATAAAACTGAACGGTTTCCAGAGGCTAAAACAGGCTTTTAGATCAGTGATTTGTAAATGCAAGTTCAATTTTTACATTTGTTTTTTTATGTTTTGAATCTTCACACCTTTAGTACCTTAAACTGGAGTGTGTTTTCATTTGTGCAGGAGAAATATCAAATGCATTGTATAAATAGATTTAAGACTTTATTTCTAATTACTGAGTAACTTAATAGGAAAAGAAAACACATTGCCACTGGAAAAAGGTGATAACATTTGTATTTACAAGAAATACACCTTCAGGTGTCTCAGAGCTGATAGAAAACAAACAAAAGGCAGTATTTCTTCACACAACACACAGTCAACCTGTGGAACTCATTGCCAGGGGATGTTGTGAATGCCGAAACCTTGATACCTCCATTGCCCCCATCACCACACAGACATGAATGGATTTAGCCTAGGAGGCAGGGAAGTATCAGCCCCATTTGGAAGGTGGGATCTAGGGCACCCAGAGGTGAAGTGATTTTCCCACGGCTAAGCAGGGAGTCTATGGCAGAGCAGAGAATCAAACCCAGAACATCTGAGCCCCAGGCCTTTGCCCTAACCACTAGGCAACCCTTCCTACATTGAGGAGGGGAAACCTCCTGTGCCTCTTTGAGTGAGTGGGTTGGGGCAGGCGCTAGACAGAGCCACCAGGAGGTGGGGAGCAGGGGCAGGCCTTTGGGGGTGTAGGGGGGTAGGGCCTTGGGAGAGGGGGCAGAGTCAGGGTGGGGCACCCGCCAGCAAAACCAAAGGTCAGCACCTATGCACACACATCATAAGAACAGTCCTTGGAAAGTAAACAAGATACCTCTTTAATATGTTTGGAGACTGATTAAGAATTTCTTAGCGATAATTTCCTTTCTGTTAGCAGTGTCTCCCACAATGCTAGCTGTCTGGTCTGTTTTCCTTTCTCAGCAGTTCACAGAGGCAGATCAGCTTTTTGGTATTGCATGGTCTGGCCATGACTCCTCTGCTCCCATTTTCTAACACATTACTTATTCCCAAGCCGTAAAACTTGCATAACTTTGCTAACACATATTCCAAAGATATTAACTATGTACATTAGATGAAGGAATATTGCCATATGGCAATGATTCCAGTCAATATTTGACACTTGACTCATAAGTAACTCAGGATGACTAGAATTTTGGGAGACACTGCTAGCAGAAAGTAAATTATTGGTAAGAAACTTTCAATTCTGCAGCTCAGCATCTCCTACAATTCTGGATGTCTGGGAAAAGCTGTAGGGAGGATTATGAAACAAAAGTTCAGTAGGAAAGAAGTAGTCCCTTTTTTGTAAGCTTGCTCAAAAGTCTATATTATTTCTGTGACTCCACCTGCGGCACCTTCCTGCCAAAGACAGAAAGTCCACCTTGCAGTACTTAATGAGGCGTTAGCTGTAGACCAAGTGGCTGCTTTGCAAATTTCCAAAATGGATGCACTTGCTTGTTCTGCACATGAGGTTACTAAGGATCTTGTAGAATGTGCCTTGATCCCTTCTAGGACAGGAACCTCTGATGATCTGTAGGCTTTCACAATACATAGTCTAAACCATCTAGTAATGGAGGACTTGGAAGCTCTGAGTCCCTGGCATTTTGGGTGGAAGGGCATGAATAGAGAGCCCAATCTTTTCATGGATTCTGTACATTTGAGACAAATTTTCAATGCTCTTCTGACATCTAAGGTGTGTGATGCCTTTTCAGTTGGATGTTGTGGTTTTGGATAGAATGAAGGAAGCACAACCTCTTGGGAAGTGTGGAAGGAGGAATATTCTTTAGGAAGAAAGGATTCTGTTGTCCTGAGCACCTGATCCTCTTGGATCCTCTTGGAACAAGCAATAAGGCTTCGGTATAGATAAGGCTGCCCGCTCCGACACTCACCTGGTCGATGTGACAGCTACTAGGAAACAAGTCTTAATGGATAAATAAAAGGCTGACACAGAAGTCAAAGGCTCGAGGGGATGGCTTTTCAGGAAGAATGGCATGACTAATGATATGGCTAATTGGACTGCTTGAAGGAATCCGGTTATCTGTGGGATGTCTGCCAGGGACCCCTAGGATCCTGCAAATAGCATGTTACTGAGAGTGGACACCTGACGTATAATGGTACTGGAGAAAGTCCAAAATGGATGAAATTCCTGATTTTCTGAAATTTGCATTGTGTTCTTGGCACCACTTATTGAATCTGGACCAGAAGGAGGAGTCCATTTTTAGTGTCAATACTCTCCTAGACAGAAGCAATGCCTTAATGAAAAGGCAGAAGCAGAATGGAGCAGGGCAGGAACAAGGCAGGAGTAAGGTCTGCCAAAGCAATTGGCTAAGATCTTCCTCATTGCACAGACAACTTCCTGGTGTCCCCTTATGTAGTGTGCCTGGACCAATCAGGATGCCGGGAGCACTGTCAATCAGGCCCTCTGTGGGCAGCATATCCTGTGGTGCTTGGGCCCACAAAGCTCATAATCTGTCAACTGCTGCTTTACCACAGCTGTTCCGTGGTGGTATGAATGTGGTGGTCGCTCAGGGACCAGCAGACCGAGGTTCTAGACCCATGGATCCTCACAAGGCTGATTTTTGAGAAAGGTGGTTGAGAGCAGGAGATTGAGCCAGAGCTCACCACAGCATCCCTGGGCAAAGAGCATTCATGTCCAGCGTGGTCTTGCTTTCCTGGATCCACAGCTGGCCTCACTGAATGGTCAGGAAGAAAAGGCTTGAAGCAAGCGTCCTTAGCCATCTGCACCCTTTTTTAAAAGGACTGACAGATAGAACATTTTTCAGGTATGCACCCCTCCGCAAGGCAAAAAAAAAAAAGCTCATGTAACTGTCTTTAAGCAATATATCTGCTTCACAGGAAGAGCAGTTCTTGAAGCTGGGAAACTTCAGTTCAGTCATGGCTAACTCATGGTACCATGAAAATATTTTCACCAAATGAAGAAAAAATAACTATATTACTATTTGCCAGTAGGCAAAACTATACTATGTACACTAAATCCAACCTAATCCTAAAACTATATGCCTAAAAACTATACATAAAAAGATTTGGTGATTGCACTAGGACATGGACTCTACCAAGGTCTCACAACCACAGGCAGTAAAGAGGAACTGAGGGGCAGTTGGGCCCACTCCATCCTTTATGCCCTGGGTACAGGAGCACAAGAACACTCAGAGTGCATAAGCAGCCCCAAAACATACTGGTAGCCAAAATATCTGGCTTTCAAGGGCATGGGGGTACCAGGAGTGGCATACATATTGGCAAGCACTCAAAGAACATAGTAACATGTAATAATAATTATCAAAGTGTACTACATGCCAAATAACAGTCTACAAACAAATGTTTCCATGTCCTTTTACCTTGTCTGATCTTAGGCACCGAAGAATGATAATCTTTTGTAGTTCATTCAACGATTTATCCCATGGTTTTGGTAAGGGAACATTGTGTGGCTCTTTGCTGTCATAGATTTTACGCCACTCACTTGCATTTTCAGAAATATGACTCCTAGAAGAAAAAGCATAGTCTGTTATTGTAAATGCCTAGAGTTTAGGTTTTCATTAATTCACTTGATTAAATGAAAAACAAAGAAATAGTGTCATATGCAGTACAATTAATAAAATCGATTCGACATGCATTATCCCCCTCTCAACCAGCCAAAAATTGTATATTATACAACTTCTTACCTGACTTCTGCGCTGGGAAGTGGGAGGGACCACCTAAGCTGGTGTGGAGGAGCAAAGCCTCCATCTGTATGGCCTGGGTCTCCCCAAGGTCTGCTTGAATCTCAGGAGATTCATAGGTTCTGGGTATTGTGAACTCCCTATTTCTTCTATATTTGTGCGTGACAAACACCACTACCCAACAGAAGAATTCAAAGGAAATTCTTTGAAGAAGAAATCTTGTGGAATTTTCTTCCCTGGAACACCCTCCCATAGGTTATCCCATGAGTGGGGGAGAGACTGGTTCTTACATTAGTCCAGTTCCCCACCTCTTCCCCACAGTTAAACTTACATTTAAAGGAAGGAGAACGCCAAACAACTCTGGTTGTTTTGTCAGAGAATGGGGTTTGCTCCTCCATGAAATGATCTGTAGTGCCCACTCCCAAACCCCACAGATGCTCTGGGACCCACAGCAGACTCATGTGGAAGGCTTATGCCTTTGCACTGGCTCTAAAATCCTATGGTGAAATCCTGACCCTATTGAAATCAATGGCAAAACTCCCACTGACTTCAGTGGGGCCACGATTTTACCCCGGTGTCTCCTCCCTTACACCTGCAACAGAGTTCTGCTATTAGGGACTCCCCCTGGCCACAGCTGCCTCCTTTTCAAAGTAAGATTCTTCTACCAGGAAGGGACTTCACAGGGAAAAGTAATACAATCCACTCCAGAAAGACAAGTTCTTTATCTGGGAATTGATTGGATTCATTCTGACATTTACTTGAATAAAACATGAAATAACCTTCTAATTAATTAACCTCCTCAGCAACTTCCTTACAATGTGTGACAAAGAAGTACTCACTTCTGAAGCTGAGACACAATTTATGTTGTACAGGTATCAAATCACATTGATATTCAATATCACATTGATAGTCTGAAAAAGTCTCAGAAATATTGCTTAAATGTATGCAACATACTTCAGTCAATGTAGTTTTTTGTAATTTCACAATGGATTTTACTGTACCTCAGTCCTCTAAAAGCTGAGAAATCACTTGCACGACATAGTTCATCCCAGCTTTTATCTTGTAGCCAAGTTGGATCTGGATTCTTGTGTTTGTTCTTGAGACCCACTCCTCCAGTTAATAGGAACATAAATTCCTGTTGTTCTATCTCTTTCCTAGCCCTAAATTCAGAAGAATGCCAAAATAGTTTGTAAGCAATACACAGTTATATTAAAAATGCATTTTGACATAGTATAAAGCAAAAGCGGTTTGTTATGTATAAAGCAAAAGCTGTTATGTTCCATTTTTATTTTACAACATTCATATTGCAGTAGCATCTGAGGTTTCAGGGCCTCACTGTGTTATGCAATTTACAAACATTATAAGGAGAAATGATAATTAAGGGTAAGGGAAGAAGGATACAATCATATGTATACAATTCACTTATTTTTACTTATAAAAAGTCTCAGCTACTGCTATCTGTGTCCAAGCCTACCCATCAATCATTGGCTGATTTCCTGTAAGTGTCATGCCAAAGATGGATCTTGAGGAAGAACGCAGAGGAGGAGATGGTTGTGGCCTTACAAATCAGCTCAAGAAGGGCCTCCCATGCATAAGGCAGAGTGGAAGACAGTGTGGATATGATGCATAAGATGTTAGCATTCACTATAAATTCATATGGTTTACAGTTAAGCAATATAAATTAATATAGCTGGTGAGCCTGGTTATTAAAAAATGTATGCACATAATAACTGATTATGATGTTTCCAAGTAGCCATGTGTGCCTTGCTTTCTTTCTTCAATGCCCACAGACACAAACTACCTTGTGCAAAAGCAGCAGCACAGCCAGTCAGCCAGAGTGGAGAGTCTACATCACATGGTGGAAGGAAAAGCAGAGACAATGGGGAGATGGGAAAAAGAAAGGCTCCTCAAGAAAGGGGGAGTGATATGCTCCACAAAACTGGCGGAAAGACAGACCTCTTACTTGGAGAATTTTTCCTGAAACCTTATATTTAAAATGATGTTCACATTGTATTATTATTAGATAACATCATCCACCCCTTTGAAGGGTACCATAAAAACATAAAAGGAAAAAATTAATGAGACGTTTTGAGGCCTCATCTTCCCACCCAAATCAGTGGCAAAACCACTGATTTCAATGGGAGCAAAAGCACTCACATTTCATGACTAGGCACTAAAGACTAAGTTATCACCATTTGTGCCCAAGTATTCTGTTATTTGTAAATACTTTCAATCTAAGAAAAATGATTGTCTTGCGTTATGAGATGCTAGAAAAAAAAGATGAAACTTACATGAGAAGATTGCAGCACAGTAAAAAGGAAAACAGCAGCTTATCCTTCTCAAACAATGAGCGACATATATTGCAATATAGGTTGTATGTAAAGTGGTCATTTAGGTATCGAAGACGCTTCTCCAAAATTTTGGATTTGTTACTAAAAAAGAACATTTGTACATATATTGAGTCAGCAACTAAATAAGAAATCCAAAGCTCTTTGAAAGGTTTTGGCGGGATACAGATTAGGGCTGAAACTTTCAAAAGCACTTAAAGGAGTTAGGCAACCAACTGCATCCAAAGGAAGTTGGGCAGCTAGCTCCCTTAGGCTCCTTTGAATATCCCAGCCAAAATGATTAACTGAAATCTCAGTTGTACTCAGGTGGTGGCACGCTCACCATGCATTATGGGTTCTATTTCAACACCAGATTTGGAATCCTCAACAAATAACACTGCCGCAGATTAATATAGGGAGTGCTGTCCTTTGTATGACATATTAAGGAGAGTGCTTGTGGTGGGAGAACTGTCCACTTGGAAGCTAAGAATCATATTGCTTCTCTTAATAAGAGATGTTTTGTGTTTGGGGAGTCTGTGTTTAAAAAGGGAAGAGTCAGTGGCTGATGGTTCCTCACCACAACTTGGACCTATCTGATCTGCATATTAGGGGAGCTGAGCCCATCCTAGCTGCACTGTGGGCAATCAGTTCAGAGACTTACTAATACTGGTTTCTATAAAACTACAGGTGCAAAAATACAGATGCTGATATTTGCTGGACCAAATTTGTAACACCAAAATCAGAGATAATTTCTAAAAACTTGGGCCTCAGTGAGACAAAACAGAAGTGGAAAGTCTAATTTAGTGAGGTAAATGCTTTAAATGGAGGGAACTGTTGATCAGAAGAGAAATAAAGAGATATATGGTATTTTGGCTCAGAAATAAGTACTTACCTGTCATGAATAGAGTTGATATAGAGATTAACAAACCAACTGAGAGAGTATTGGTACATGGGGTCAATGTTAGCTAGGTCTGCAATACTAAAGAAGAGCACCGATGAATGCTTTGCAATTGGTCTATAACCTTCTCGTGATTCTGCTATTTTTATTTCTGTTTTCTCAGCAACCTAAACAAAATGACAAATATTGTAAAAGATTTTCTCTTCATATTTTCCTTTCTTCACAAAGAATGTATTAGTATATACTATCATTATTAAAAATAAATGTATATGACACTTTATAAGCATAGAGTAAGACACCTTCCATGCTCCAAAAAACTTACAGTCTCAGGCCCTAACCCTCAAATGAGCCCTGGGTGGGTGGAACCCAGCACTCTCACAAAGACCCCTTGATTTCACGATCTTCCCCCACAGAGCTTATTGCAGTACTGGGGCCTAAGGTAGTCAAGACCAAAACAAAACCAGGCACAACTGGTCAGGCTTGTCCCTCTGCATCAGGTGTGGTAGACTTCACCATTAATGCCCGGAAATATGACTGGATTTCAAATTGCTCATGTATAATCATTCCAGCAGAAGATATTTAACAATATATTTGCCTTTTATCAAATCTATTATATGAAATTAAATAACTTAGAATATAGCTAACATAAAGAGCAAAGGATTGTTTCTTACTTGTAAGTATATATTATAGTATTAATGTAGCTAGGTGTTAACAAATGGAGTATAAGGACAATAACAGATAAAACACAGAATCACTGATATTTTATTGCTGTAAAGTCTTTGACAATTCAGAGATGTCTAGTTACCACCAGTGCATACTTAACTCTCATTGTTATCAAAGAGAATTATGTACACATATGGAAGGGAAGTTATTTTTCATAAATATGTTACCAAAACAAAGTTTACAGCTGTAGTTCTCTGTGGTCTAGGTACCTGTAAGTCTGTCAGCTTTTTGAAAATACCCCATTTCTCTATTATGTATTTCTTAAGCACATCACAAGGATGAATTCCAATGCAGCAAAAAATATTAATGTAACTGAAAAAAGGAGAGTATATTCTAAAGATTGGAATGTTTTTTCCTCCACCTATTTGCTCCCTGCACATATTTGAATAGGTCTGTTCAAGTATAATGGAAAAGTTTAGGTAACTGAGTAAAATATTATAGGAAATTTATTACTAGGTCACCATGCAAGGAAACATACCTTGTGCCTTAAACATAAAATATGGAATTTATTAGGTTCCTTCTGAAAGCAACTGTTACTGAGAAGCCAACCCTTCTCTCCTACATGAGCCTTAGTGAGAATTCTGTCTGAATCTCTTTATAGCTTTGCCACTCTACCTTTCTTTATGAAGTAATTTAGTCAGAGAGCACTACTGGATTTATGTTAACAGGCTGGCCTAGAAGTGCCACACTGTATGCCACTAAAGCAAAGTAACTGCATGATAATTTAGTGCTTACTTGCACTGTATAGATAGATACCAAAAGCTTAACCTGACTCTATAAGCAGACAGTCTTCAGGCCACGGAAAAGGAAATCACTCTCTGATATAAATAGAGCACTTGCCTTAGCAATTTTTACAGACTCCATGTTTTACAAAGAACTGCCAATGTGAAAGGCGAAGACACCAGGAACAGGGGTGGAAACAAGTAATTTCTCAGGACAGGAAGAAATCTTCACTACTGTCACTGGCGTAATGTACTTCCTATTTCTTGCTTAAGAATATGATCCTACACAAGTCCTAAGGAAAATCTACTAATTGTGCAAAACCCTCCTTTCATAAAAAAGATTAAACACATTGAGCCACAAATATCATATCAAAGTGACATTACAGACCTTACAAAAACAAAAGAGCAAGGAAATTCAGACTTGAGGATAAAACATCACCTGTAACCTCACACCCGCATGAAACAAGGGTGCTTCAGAACACAAAGTGTTTTAGAAGATTGTTTTCAGATACATCTAGATTACTTTAGAACAATAGGGCTCTAACAGATGACTGTGAACCAGATTGTTCTCCCCAGTTTCTAATGCATCTTAGGTGCTTAGGGCTTAGCTACATGGGGAAATTGATCCGCAGAATGGTAATGGTATACTTATACTGCTGTAGTTATGCCAGGATAACTCCCCATATGGAGATACTATTCTGAAATAAGAAAAGGACTACTTGTGGCACCTCAGAGACTAACAAATTTATTTGAGCGTAAGCTTTCATGAGCTACAGCTCACTTCATCGGATGTATTCAGTGGAAAATACAGTGAGGAGATTTATATACATAGAGAACATAAAACAATGGGTGTTACCATACACACTGTAACCAGAGTGATCACTTAAGGTGAGCTATTACCAGCAGGAGAGCAGGGGGTGATAATCAAGGTGGGCCATTTCCAGCAGTTGACAAGAATGTCTGAGGAACAGTGGGGAGTGGAGGGGGGGAATAAACATGGGGAAATAATTTTACTTTGTGTAATGACCCATCCACTACCAGTCTCTATTCAAGCCTAAGTTAATTGTATCCAGTTTGCAAATTAATTCCAATTCAGCAGTCGCTCACTGGAGTCTGTTTTTGAAGTTTTTTTGTTGAAGAATTGCAACTTTTAGGTCTGTAATCGAGTAACCAAAGTGATTGAAGTGTTCTCCTACTGGTTTTTGAATGTTATAATTCTTGACTTCTGATTTGTGTCCATTTATGATTTTACATAGAGACTGTCCAGTTTATTCCAGTTTAAATACTCTGCTTTGACATGTTATAACAGGGAGTTCACCAGCATATCTATTCTGGTATGATTATACTGCTATAATTCTTTTGGTCAAATTTTTCATATAGATAAGAGCTAAGCCAGGGGTTGTTGAGGGGAAAACCTTTCTGGCTCCATGGTACTTTTTATCCACTACTCCAAACCTAAACGAGTCCTACTGTGCAGGTTCTGAGGAAATTAGCCTAATTGATTTAGGAGGAGGAGGAGGCCAGGGGCAGGACAGTTGAGACTGGGAGAATATCACTATCTGTTGCTGTCATAAATATAAAGGGAAGGGTAAACACCTTTAAAATCCCTCCTGGCCAGAGGAAAAACCCTTTCACCTGTGAAGGGTTGAGAAGCTAGGATAACCTCACTGGCACCTGACCAAAATGACCAATGAGGAGACAAGATACTTTCAAAGCTGGACGGGGGGAGAAACAAAGGTTCTCTTGGTCTGTGTGTTGCTTTTGCCAGGACCAGAGCAGGAATGCAGGTCAGATCTCCTGTAAAAGGCTAATAAGCAATCTAGTTAGATATGTGTTAGATTCTGTTTTGTTTAAATGGCTGATAAAATAAGTTGTGCTGAATGGAATGTATATTCCTGTTTTTGTGTCTTTTTGTAACTTAAGGTTTTGCCTAAAGGGATTCTCTATGTTTTGAATCTGATGACCCTGTAAGGTATTTACCATCCTGATTTTACAGAGGTGATTCTTTCACTTTTTCTTCAATTAAAATTCTTCTTTTAAGAACCTGATTGCTTTTTCATTGTTCTTAAGATCCAAGGGTTTGGGTCTGTGTTCACCTATGCAAATTGGTGAGGATTTTTATCAAGCCTTCCCCAGGAAAGGGGGTGTAGGGTTTGGGAGGATTTTGGGGGGAAAGACGTTTGGGGGGGAAAGCGGGCTCTTTCCCTGTTATATATTTGTTAGACGCTTGGTGGTGGCAGCTATAAAGTCCAAGGGCAAAAGGTAAAATAGTTTGTACCTTGGGGAAGTTTTAACCTAAGCTGGTAAAAATAAGCTTAGGGGGTTTCTAATGCAGGTCCCCACATCTGTACCCTAGAGTTCACAATGGGGAAGGAACCTTGAGAGTTGCACTTTCCCAATCCCTCCTTAAATGGGGAATCCCTGCATTATATGATGCAGATTATCTTCACAGTGGACCCTCCCAAAAATGCTGTTCAAGAGCCGTGGAAGGTAAGAAGGTATTGCAGCATGTCACTTTCTGCCCAGAAGGCCTTATTTCAGGAGATCTGTAAATGTAGAGGCAAATGTAGGCTACCATTTTCCTAGCATGGTACACCACCCACTAACAAGATAATTCAGCGAAAACTCATATAATTGGCAGTCAAGATGTTTCTTGTCCCATATGCAGGTTTTTCCAATTGCGGGACAATCTGGCCCACTATGCTTACCCATATATAACATTTCCCATCTTCAGTGTACCACACAAATATTAATTAATCCACCCAGCCTCCTCAATGATGTCCTAAAGGTAAGTACTTCTGACACCTTAGACACCTTGTGATAAGCTTATGCTCAAATAAATTGGTTAGTCTCTAAGGTGCCACAAGTCCTACTTTTCTTTTTGTGAATACAGACTAACATGGCTGTTACTCTGAAACCTAAAGGTAAGTATTATTATTCTCATTTTATATGTGGGAAAATTAACACAGAGACAGGTTAACTGACTCACACGAGGCCACGCAGTGAGTCAGAGGCATTTACAATGTTAGAACTTGGAGTTTCTGGCTCCCAGTCCCATATGCAGGTTAGACCATTACTGTCTCCCTTAAAAGACTGGTTTTTGTTCATTTAAAAATTAGACCCTTACAACTACGTTAATATAGGGCCAAATCCTGAAGGCCTTACCTCTTACTCAATCCTTATTCAGGCACAACTGCCTTTGAAGATGGATGTTTTGCCCAAGTAAGGACTGATCTAACCATGAACGAGGATTTCAGCGTTTCCTCAACAGTTTTTCTTTTTCTTATAAATTGATCTTTTTCATTCATAAGCATAGAATTTTGCTTCTAATTCACAGTCTTCCTGGCAGAAAGCAAGCTTTTAGGTTTTGTACACAATAACCACTGAATTTGAAAACAAAATCTAACATTGCTTACCTGTTGTTTCTTGGTGATCTCATTAGACATTATTTTAGCAGAATCCAAGACCATGATAGCACTCTCATCTTCCAAAATGTTCCCTTCGGAAGACTGTAATGTTTCTAAAATTTTCTTCTCAATTTCCTTTAGTTGTTTTTTATTGGCCGCAGACTGAAGGATGAGAGCATTCCTCTCTTCTTCTAATTCTGGTCTAAAAACCAAAACATACACCCAAAGTTTACCTTTTATGCTAGTATTGTTACATATTCAGATACCTGCATGTAGTTAATCCACATTTGAAAAATCAATATTTATATAAAGTAGATCACATTGTTCATGTTATATGATCATGTAATATTAGTGTCACAGAAACCTTACCTCTTGATTTTGGTAGGTTTGTGTCAGGATCTTAGCATTCCATTAATGCAGTTTTTACCACTGAGCTACACAGTTATACTGGAACTACATTAGTGCCAATCCTCTCTATTTTAGCAAGACACTAAGGCCAACACTTTCAAACCTGGGTGCCTAAAGTTAAGCTCTTGGGGGTCAAATTCTATGCTTACACCCAGAGCTTTCCCACTAACATCAATAGGGTTGCACAGGATTTCAGTCACCACAGAATTTGGCCCCTAAAGCCTTGACTCAATTCAGAGCTCAGCTCCTGAAAATCAGGCCACTTATTGAGATGCCTACATATGGACTTAGGCGCAAAACTTTAGGTTAATTTTATGTTTGAAAATGTTTGCCTAAAATTTTATATCCAGACTTCTGAAAATGTCAGTTAATCCGAATTTTTAATTACTATACATGTAATTCTTGTTTTTGAGTAAATATTATACAGCTTATGTACTGCATGAGTTTGTGATGTGGAACTTACATTAAATGTATTAAGATTTTTTTAGCAAGTGAATCTAGTATATTTGAGTGGACAGTTCTGTGTTCATTTGAATGATCAGAAACCCAGGAAATCCAATCTAATCTGTCTCTATTTTGAGTTTAGACAAGAACTAGGAATAGTTTCAGAGCCACCATGTCCTTTCTTCATTGAAAAGTAAAAACGCAGCCTAATAATCCAATATCCACATTTGCATGTGCAAAATCAATGGGCTGGATTGCCAGGAAGCCATATCAGAAAACAAATAATCATGAAAAGAAAAGGAGTACTTTTGTGGCACCTTAGAGACTAACCAATTTATTTGAGCATAAGCTTTCGTGAGCTACAGCTCACTTCATCGGATGCTGAGCTGTAGCTCACGAAAGCTTATGCTCAAATAAATTGGTTAGTCTCTAAGGTGCCACAAGTACTCCTTTTCTTTTTGCGAATACAGACTAACATGGCTGTTACTCTGAAATAATCATGGTTGCTCTGTGATAATGTTAAATAACAAAACACTTTTCCAATATCTCAGATGACTCACATACTATCATGATGGACCCCCTAGAAATATCTTAAATAAGACAGCTAGAATACCAGTATTGTTTATAGTTGTTATGAAAAAACATTTAGAATCACTAACAATTGCCCCATTTTATTACGAATATTTCTCTTAATTGCTTCCAAAGTCTCCTGTTTAGAATATTTCATTTGCCTATTTGCAATAAACAAACACATACCTCTCTTTTGCAACAACAATACCTAGTAGCTGGTCTTCAAGTCCCTCTGGTGTTATCATAAAGTTGAGTAAAGAAACTTTTGTAGCCAGTTCAGGCATATAATGTGGATTTCTTAGTTTTGTTGTAATAAAAAATTTGAAATCACTGGAATACTCAATAATTGTCTCACCAAGCCTGATGCAATCCATGCCCCCTAAAGTTCAGAAGACAAACATTTGTGCATGTGACTCCGTTCTTTGTTAATAAACGTGTATTGGTTTTCACCAAGACAGATTACAGTGCTGTGTTGTTATAAAGGAACTGATCCTGACTCATAACCCTCCCATGCATGTACACTTTCTCCTTGAGGACAGTTTACTTGGTAATTACTGTGAGTATCCAGTGACAGGGGCTGGATGATACAGGGGAAAGTTCTTCAAAGGGGGGTTGGGGTTTGGGGTCACCTATTGTTAACCTGCAAATCAAAATAGGACTGGCAGCGTCCTGAGGAGAATATGAGTAGCTGAAAGGCTGGCAGTGTACAAGGGCTGACACACAGATTCCACAAGACAAACTCCCTCACGCTAGGGGCAGGGTGGTAACAAAGTGACCCACAATCCGGGGCGTCCCAAGAAAACATCACAATGTAAGTTATATATTTGCTTACCTCAATTATTTATGCAAAAAATATTACTTTTGTGATCAAGTAAAAGCAAAAGTCTTGTTAAGAGCAAATCAAGTAACCTCAAATAGTAAGAGCTGGAAATAAGGTGAGTCCTGGCCCCATATAAGTCAATGTTAAAACTACCACTCACTTTAGTGGAGCCAGGATTTCATCCATAGTAGGTAAAAATAATTGAGTGGGTCACACAGTTATGCCCTTCCTTTACTGTGTACATATAAAATTGGAAAAGGTACAGGTTTTATGTGGTTGTTTTCAAATTTCATATTCTTGTTTCACAGTAGCTCAAACCAATTCATGTATTAAAACAAGATAACAAGATCCGTACATAGCATATCAAGCAAGCATATAATCTTATTTGACCTTAACCCAAACTCTCCTATGCTTTTTGCTACCACCTGTCATGATTTATATAATTTTAGACTAAAATTTCCCTGGAAGATCTTTTGTCTGTAAAATGTCACACACACCTGTGGCCCTGTACAAATATTTACAAAATAAATGTGCCACCAGCATCTGTTGCAACAAGCACATATGGGGCAGGTTGTTCGTGGCTCAACCTTTAGAGACTCAGGAGATTGCTACAGCCCTATTCCCCTCTAGTTATTCCCAGTCTGATCAGCTCTCTCTAAAAGAGCAGAATATCTTCAGGGACAGACCATCCATTTCCTATCTTCCACTCAAGTAGAGTGGGGATCTTTAAAGGGTGGCCACACATCCCAGACATCTTCCTCTTATCCATGGGAAGGCTGCTCACAGTCTGACTCCTACACCTCCAAATATTAGAGGATCCTTAAAGGAAGTGTCTTATAGAGTTCCATGCATGAGTTTCCTCCATATGAAGGCTCTGCATTCTTATCTCCAACAGCAGGTATCTTAGGAGAGAAACCAATTCACAGCCACCTGCTCTCTGTAGTAGCAGACTATGTTGAGCCCTGCTGTTGCCTATTCATAGAATCATAGAACCATAGAATATCAGGGTTGGAAGGGACCTCAGGAGGTCATCTAGTCCAACCCCCTGCTCAAAGCAGGACCAATCCCCAAATAAATCATCCCAGCCAGGGCTTTGACAAGCCTGACCTTATTTTGAATACGGTTCCAATAATTAATGCCCACAGCACACTGTGCAGTTCCAAAACCCTAGTGTGTATGAGATTTGAGATTTCCCAGGTCCCGTATAATTAGAACTGGTCAAAAAAATCAGACCTTTTCTACCATGACAAACTTTGACATGAAACAATTTTTTTCATTTAGTTTTGAATGAATGTTTTGTTTCAATTTTCTTTTTGAAAACTAAACATGAAAATTCAGTGTTCAGGTCCCTCTACCGACTCTTTTTCTCTCACTTCTTTACTTTTCGCCCATTTTATCACTTGGAAAAGAAAGGATACATTTTTTGAAAAAGGAGATTCCCACCTTAAACCTGGACCTTTTCTTCATCATCATATGACTTTGAGAAGATAATACTTGCATGAAAAATGTGCAACTTTTGCAAAATACCATGATAACTCTTCTTAACTTAGAATGTAATGCAATAAATAATACATCCTATTAAGTTAAAACATATATTATAAATAAGATATCTAGCCTTACACAGTATAATACTTCAGAAAAAATATATTCAGCGTCAATGGGAGTTTTAATGGGAGTCTTTGCAGGATCAAACCTACTATATTTAAATATCTCACCGCTGCATAGTGAAGTTTTCAAGTAAGAAATCTATAATGTGACATTTGTGAACTTTATTAAAAAGTAAAAATCAGCTTAAGAAGGCTACCTTCCTCTGATCATAAGCAGCAAAAGTAAAGAAAGAAGAAAAATATTAGCTGATATAACAGTTCATTAGATGAGCATTAATGTTGCATACTTCTGGGCTTATAACTAATTTTCTTGTACCTTGTTTAAAGGTTTGTCTAAGCAGCAGGGGTTCCAGTGATGGGTCTAGTTCTTCCCCAACATTTTCTAGCAGAAGTGGAGTCCCAAACTGAATGCAGTTCTCCAAAGTTCTCATGTAGTCTGTATCTGTGAACTTGATAACACTCAATTGGTTTTCTTTCTCTGAGTTCTTTATCCATTTATTGGCTTGACCCTGGGGATCAATCATTAATGGCCTAGAATGTACAATACAAAGAACTTGCTCAGTACACATGACTTTTTGTAAATTTGAAATTATTTCTGCTGTGGACTAGCTGGAAAAAAGTGACACATGATACTTTGTGGCTGTATTATTTTAAGAGATAAACGTCCACTGGCTGAATATTACAGTCACAATTTGATCAGAAATATCAGAATTCTTTTAAAAGCCATGAAGATGATGTTTATGATTTTTTTCAAAAGACACAGATCAGTATTCAGAACTTTGACGACAGCTTCATTGTATTTCTCCTTTCGAATTCTGATTTTTTAGAATTTTTTATTATATGTGAGTTTTGCAATAATTTTTGCTTTTTACAATAACTACCAGCAATTTGAGACTAATAGGGCTGATACCTCGAATGGCATAAGTGGGTGTAATTCCTTTCAATGGAGCTGTACTCACTTGCATTAACTGAAGATATGGGTCTATTTTTTTTTTAATTTTTTTTTGCAAGGAAGCAAAAGTTTTTAGCACAAAAGCTGTCAGACAGGTTTAGTGTATCCCATGGTAGGCTGTTCGAGTTTCAATGGAGGATCACTGAAGGGATAAAAATAGTGTCTTTCTTCCTGTAGCCAACATTCAGGTTCCAGAACAGAATTAATAATGAATGTTATTATTGAAATTTGTAATGTTCTTCTTACTGATTGAAATTCACTCCTGTGCAGAGGGCCATCCCAATGCTTCCACAGCATTTAAGAGGGATTTAAGTCCTCAAAATAAGGCTTCGATTGATCGGACTTTGATAACAAAGCTGGCCCTCTGCACAGAAGTCAATTTCATCCAATACACTCGTCTCTAAAACATGACAAAGAGCAAAGCTGAAGTTGACTGTGGTAGCAATAGGACCTTGAAATGTGTGTATAACCTGACTCACAGTTTTTCTATATTGTGGTTTATATATTTAATGGCTCACACAAGAAAAATAGTTATTAAAACTGTTATCAAAAATGTCCTTCTGCCTTCTATGTTTCTACAACTGCAAAAAAGAATAAATTACCAGACTTATACCAATCTGTGTTCTAAGTCAATAGTTTTCCAATGTGAAGTCATTGTACACAATAGAAACTGTACACACATTGGAAAACAGTGGATAATCCGGAAGTAAGTTTAATCACAATATAAAATTCAACAACTGAATTTAAAGATGAAAAAAATATCTGTAATATTCTGGAAGGAAAAAACTTTCAACCACTGGAAACACTGTGCGGAACAAAGCCTCCTCAAGTTCCATTGAAGGAGGGGAAGGGTATGCAGCACCTTTCTGTTTCTAGTATACAGACTAAATTTGATTTAGTCTGAAATCTCGGTTTGTTTTAGCAAATTATTAGCTTCTTTGTTACCTACCAGCGCCTGGAGTTATCAACAATCACACCATTGTCAACCGAAAAGTTGTCTGTTGGTAATCCAGCAATATTCCAGGCTCTGATTTTTATTGGGTCACCAAGGGTCTTACTCAAAGAGAAGTTGTCAGAACAAGGAATATTTTTGTCCTGCAAGAAAAAATAAATCTTTATTCTTTATTTCTTTAAATTTTGTTAAAATACTGCTTCAGTTAAAAGTATTAATTTATTCACAACTTGCTTTAAAAATTAGCTTTTGTTCAAGGAGAGAAAATCATGGGGGGAAAAATTCACGTTTGCAGAAAATGGAAAGATTTTCCCAATTTTGTGGTGACTTTCCTCAATTTTGGCTGAGATTTTGTGGGATTTTTCTAGAGTTGTTTTTTTTTTGCCCCCAGTTCTGAAGGTATTCTTTTTTACCCTTTTGTAATATGTTGTGTGATGATAACTTACACACTGCGGTGTAGTGGGAAAAACAGAACCATCTGGAAATCTTTAAATTGCAAGAAAATTTTCCCAACTTTTGTTTATTTATTCTGTGTTTACACTTCCAATTAATACAACGCACTTTTCCAATGCCGGTCAGTCACATATTACTTCATCGCTACTTACTTATCTAAATCAAGTCTATGGTGCAACTGTCTCTTTAAAAAAAGCAAAAGCAGATACTGTGCAGCAATAATTTCTTCAGTAAAGCCCCAGCTATATAAATATATGTGCTAGCACAGACCTCTGCACCCATGAGGAACACCACTGACTTCAGTGGAACAATGGGATTCTGTACAGGTACATAGGTCAAAATTAGTGCATCTATTTGCAGGATTGGGACCTAGCAGCAGCTAGGGCTAGCAACATCCAACAACAAAATGGAAGTTGAAAGGCCCTGATCTTGCAAAGGGAACATTCTGGTCCTGTGTTAGCCCTATTGGTCCCTTTGCAGCCTAAGCCTTTATCTTCCACCTTGTCCTCCACCATACTTCAGGTTCCAGTACTGCAAACAGATGCCCCATGGAGTCCGACTGAAATCAGTGGGATGCTGTATGAGAGTAAGGGTCCATCTGAGCAAATCCCTTTGCAGAATCAGGGCCTTACATTGTGACTTGATATTTCGTTCTGCAAGTATGCAAGCCCTTTTCATGCAACCACTTTTAAAATGTTTTAAAGGGAAGAAGCACAGTTTAACAATGCTTAACATGTTTGCATCCACACTACAAACTTAAAAAATGTTTCATATTTATCCATCCAAAACTTAGGTTTGGAAACACAGTAAAGGAGCACCATCTCAAACACGGTAGTATTTAAAATGGTTTATTTAAATGGTTTACTTGAAAGGCTTTAGTTGGGGACAGGGCTAGTATCAGGATAGCTAAATTTGAAAAAATTCTTTTGGTTTGTGCTTGGGTTGGACAGACTAGTTAGCACTGTGCCATCCATCTTTAATGTAGCTGCACTTTAGTTGGTAAAGTGGTTGCTTTATTTATTTAAGGCCAGTTTCTGAAGTCCTCTCAATCATTACTTAGTCCTTACTCACATGAAACTCTCACTGAAGTCAATGGGTCAACATCAGATCATTTCTGGTACACCAGTGTAAACCTTGAGTAAATCCACTGAATTCAGTGAATTACTCCAGATTTACAAAAGTGTAAATCAGCAAAATTTAAACCACTCACTTTAATATGATTTTTTACTAAGTAGACACCAAGTGAAACATCAAAAATTTCAGGATTTGGCCCACAGATTGTAAAGCACTTTGGGATCTACTGGGATGAAAGATATTATTTAAATCTAAGATAAACTTTCTAACCTTGCACAACTTGCTCCAGTCTTTAGTACACTCTTGTCGAAAGGCACTAGTGAAAGCACCCAAATAAGCTATCACTCCAGCTGATATCAGAACATCTCCTGTCAAATTATCATATGTATTTTGAAGATCATTTGCAGCATTACACCATCTATGGATAAGCAAAGATACCATATAAAATTCCTCTATATTGGTAGCATTAACAGAGTACATCATCAACACAAGAAGTGTTTTCCCTTTATGTTAAAGGTGAATTGCAAATAAATAATTTAAACATTGTGTTTGTACCCTTGGATGTTGCTTTGAAGACTGCCTCAAATGTTTTGGTGAGTATTTTTTAGTCACAATATTGGGTCCTTTGACGATCTTTGAAGGACCTGATTGCCCCAGTCCCCAAATGAGGATACAGGGATGCAAAAGTTTAAGGCTCAGAGAACTAAAGCTCAGGTTTTGTCTCTGCTTTTGGATGCATGTTCAAATGAGCATTTGTATTTACATCTGACCTTGATTTTTCTCCACCCAGTCCTCCAATCAGCTTCTCTGCTCTTTCTAGTTTCTTAGCACACAGATCCACCTGGAATTCTAGACGAGCCTTTTCTTCAGTTTTCTCAACAAAGGTTTGTTGCAATTTTGCCAAATGATTCTCCACTGCTGCAAGTTCAGCTCTCTTCTGATTCAGTAATGCCATAGTTTCTGCTAAGGACTGCTGGGCCTCCGCTAGACGGGCTTTTTTGGGAGCAACCACCTGTTCAATTACAATTAATGCAGGGATGCTAAATCCATATGGTTTACTGATATATAAAGTTCTGTATGTAACACTTTGGATCAATATTCCAAGGTAAGGAGGAGCATATTTTATTATATTAATATTTGTGAAAACGAATAGGGAGGTGGGTCCTAATATACTAAATGCACTATGTTTTTTGAGAATGAAGCTTAGGAAGCATAGCCAACTAATAATGTATATTCATTCTAAATTACTTGAATAAAAAATTAAAATTAAACTGGCTCAGAATCTTGTTGTATTAAATTAATAAATTAAGTTGCATTACCGAGGCAGAAAACATACTGTATTGATGCTTGCCATAAATTTGTGTCCAACGTTGGACACCTTATATTGTTATTATAGCAGCAATGCTAGTACCATTGATAAAGAAAATTACCGAAGTGAGATAAACAAGGATTAAAGCAGACGTAATTTTTTCTCTAAGTTAAAACTTAAAACAAAAAAAGACCAATACAAAAATCCTCAAAACAATATCGTTCCAAAGTACCATTAATTGGCTAAAAATAATTACTTGATTTATGATTTGATTTTCAATACCCATTTACAGATGGCAATTTAGGTTATATTGTTTGAAGGAAGAAAAAAAAACATACAAATATTTTTCATGGTTTTCTAGAAGAATGAACATATTTCTGTTCTATTTAGTGGTGTGTGTAGCCTATGGCAGAGATTCCTCAGCTATTTAATTCTTTGGATTTCTCTGTAAGAGAAAGTCTCCTGCATGGACTCTCTCTCTCCATTCAACACCCCCTTTTTTCCTTGCTTGATTCTCAAAATATTTAATTATGTAGACCACCCACTCCCCATGGACCTCCTGGATCACAATTTTAGATATCCTTTTTTATTGTATAAGCAGAAAATAAAAGTATGATTATAGTTTTTGACAGACTTTATAGTACTTTATTTTAATCTGTATGCTGCTTCAGTAAAAACATCTCTTATCTTCATCAAATCTGACAGCTATTTTCATCTTCACAGTAGTCCCAGTCCTCTGTTAAATTTGAAAATATATGTCCTAAATTTATTTTCCAGTGAAGTACCTTTTATTTCAGTTTAACTGCAATCATAATAAGTAGCTTAGTCTTGCAGTCCTCATGTGTGAGTAGCTTCCAATAAAGCCAACGGGATTTTTCAGGACTGGACTCAACACGTACCTTAGCAACTCTGTCATACACTTCCATAGCCATAATCCATTTACACAAACCCTCAGCTGCGGAGGATGCTTTAGCCACCTTAGGCGGATCAAACTCAGGATTAGTCAGATATTCAGAACGAATCTTCTGCATGACAGTCACCTACATGATAAAAACATTACAGCCATAGGAAAACTTTATTTTTCTAAGGCCCAGTTTTGCCACCCTTACCATGCTGAACAGTACCTTAACTCCGCAAGTTGATCAACTGACATCACTAAGGAATTACTCAATATGGGTAACTGTGACAGAGTCCAGCCCTAATTTGTTTCTCTGATTTTCTCACTGTCTGCATTCTTACCAAGCTTCCCTCCTCGTTAGATCGCCATCCTTTGTGTCTTTCTTCAAGTCTTATTTTAAGTTGCCCCTCCTTCTGAAACAAATGCATTCCCTTTCTTCTTTTATATTCTTCCTTCAAATTTACTTATTTCAGCAAAGCTTTTTAATGATGATCCCCAAAGTTATCTCTACTGAATGAAGACTGGATCTTCAACCAGAGTATGTGAATGAATTACATTGCCTGTGCCTACTTCTGGGCCCAATCTTGTGAGATACTAAGCACTCAGCAACTTGTAAGGATCAGGCCCTTAGACAATAAGTTCCCTGCAAGCAGAGGTCATGTCTTTATATTGCGCCCTTGTACATTTCGAGGCATATAATCATACCATGTTATCCACACTGTCAGATTTAATCTATATTTCAGATAAACAGTTTTTTTAAATGAAATAAAAAAACCCACTGATATATTTAGTCCTTTCAAAATTAAATAAAATGTATTATGCCAGACCTGACTTCGTCATAGCTTCTCTGGTAAACATACAGGGACTGATTTAGTAAAGCTGGTACAAGGAGATGTTACTTACATATTTTGAGCTGGGTAAATCTAGGTACAGAACTTGTCACTCAGGCAGCTAGCAGGCAGTGGTACAGACATCCCCTACAGGGTATTTACTGGGGGATAACTCTAAATCCTGCTGGAATGCCATAGGAGGCACCACCAGTAGGAACCACTGAGAGGAGGAGTTGAATCACTGTATTTCCAGTCTGCCCTGGCCGTGCACCCTTCTTGGACAGTGTCATTCACTTCTCAGATGGCACTTGCTCCGAAAAGCCCGCAGAATAACTGAGCTTGCAAGCTGCTGTGTGCTGACACAATTCCCTCTTCCCCATATAGTTTATTTCCATGAAAGCCCAGGGTGAATTTACCCCTTGGTGTAATATCTTCCATACATGTTTTTGGAGCAGATTTCATTACTCAAAAGACATTAATCAAACACTTACTGGAATGTTATCCTTGTCATACTCTCTAAGATCCTTTAAGAAATTCATGTCACCCAGAACTTTCTTGCTAGGCCCCCAGTAATCCAAGACCTACAATGGAAATTAGGGAAGAACTTTAAAAACTTTTAAACCAAAATGAATTCATAAATATCCTCTAATTAACAGACAGGCATGCATGGAAAAGAGGCGACTAAGGGAGGATATGATAGAGGTCTATAAAATCATGAGTGGTATAGAAAAAGTAAATAAGGAAGTGTTATTTTTACTCCTTCTCATAATACAAGAACAAGGGGCCACCAAATGAAATTAATAGGTAGCAGGTTTAAAACAAACACAAGGAAGTATTTTTTCATACAACGCACTGTCAACCTCTGGAACTCCTTGCCAGAGGATGTTGTGAAGTCCAATACTGTAACGAGGTTCAAAACGGAGCTAGCTAGATTCATGGAGGATAGGTCCATCAATGGCTATTAGCCAGGATGGGCAGGAATGGTGTCCCTAGCCTCTGTTTGCCAGAAGCTGGGATTGGGTGATAGGGCATGGATCACTTGATGATAACCTGTCTGTTCATTCCTTTTGGGGCACCTGCCATTGGCCACTGTCAGAGGACAGGATACTGGGCTTAATGGACCTCTGGTCTGGCCAGTATGGCCGTTCTTATGTTTTTATGTTCATGCTTATTACAGAAGGTTGGTAAAAGTCAGATTGCAGCATGTTTAAGGATTTAGCCCAGACTGTTTATATTTTGAAGCTTTAATATACTACTAATCCAAAGCATTTGCCACTAAGGTCGATTTTATAGAAGTCGATCTATAGTAAGCGATTTTATACAGTAGGTCATGCATATTCCCACTAAGGGCATTAGGTCGGCGGAGTGCATCCTCAATACTGTGGCTAGCATCGACTCACGGAGTGGTGCACTGTGGGTAGCTATCCCACAGTCCCTGCTGCCCACTGGAATTCTGGTTTAAACTCACAATGCCTGATGGGGCAAAAACATTGTTGCAGGTGGTTTTGGGTACATGTCGTCAGTCTCCCCTCCCTTCCTCCCTCCCTCCCTCCTTGAAATCAATGGCAAACAATCATTTTGCACCTTTTTTCCTGGGTTATCCATGCAGACGCCATAGCATGGCAAGCATGGAGCCCGCTCAACTGCACACTGCTTTTGTGAGCCTTGTAAACACCTCACGCATTATCCTGCAGTATGTGCAGAGCCTAGCTAAGAATGAGGAAGATTGTGAGCAGGATATGGACACAGACGTTCCTGAAAGCACGGGATGTGGCAACTGGGATATCATGGCGGCACCGGAGCATGTTGATACAGTAGAACACCGATTCTGGGCCCAGCAAACAAGCACAGACTGGTGGGACCGCATAGCGTTGCAGGTATGGGATGATTCCCAGTGGCTGCGAAACTTTCGTATGCGTAAGGCCACTTTCATGGAACTGTATGAGTTGCTTTCCCCTGCCCTGACAGTTGAGAAGCGAGTGGTGATAGCTCTGTGGAAGCTTGCAATGCCTGACTGCTACCTGTCAATTGGGAGTCAATTCAGAGTGGGCAAATCTACTGTGGGGGCTGCTGTGATCCAAGTAGCCAGGGCAATCAATACCCTTCTGCTAAAAAGGGTAGTGACTCTGGGAAATGTGTAAGTCATAGTGGATGTCTTTGCTGTAATGGGGTTCCCTAACTGTGGTGGGGCGATAGACGGAATGCATATCCCTATCTTGGCACCGGACCACCTTGCCAAAGAGTACATAAACCGCAAGGGGTACTTCTCAATGGTGTTGCATGCACTGGTGGATCACAAGGGCCGTTTCACTGACATCAACATGGGATGGTCGGGAAAGGTGCATGACGCTCACATATTTCGGAACTTTGGGCTGTTCGGAAAGCTGCAAGAAGGGACTTTTTTCCTAGACCAGAAAATTACCACTGGGGATGTTGAAATGCCAATAATTATCCTTGGGGACCCAGCCTACCCCTTGCTCCCATGGCTCATGAAGCCGTACACAGGCAGCCTGGACAGTAGTAAGGAGCAGTTCAACTATAGGCTGAGCAAGTGCAGAATGGTGGTAGAATGTACCTTTGGACATTTAAAAGCTCACTGGTGCTGTTGCTGACTAGGTTAGACCTCAGCACAACCAACATTCCTATTGTAATTGCTGCTTGCTGTGTGCTCCATAATATCTGGGAGAGTAAGGGGGAGACGTTTATAGCGGGGTGGGAGCTTGAGGCAAATCGCCTGGTGTCCAATTTTGAACAGCCAGACACCAGGGCAAATAGAAGAGCACACTGAGGTGTGCTGCGAATCAGAGAGTCTTTGAAAAACAGTTTCATGACTGACCAGGGTATGGTATGACAGTTGTGTGTGTTTGTCCTTGATGCAAAGCCTCCTCCTTTGTTGAATGTACTTCCCTGTAAGCCAATCCCCTTCCCTCCCTTCAACCACAGCTGGCACAGGAAATGAAGTCCCTATTGTTCTGAATCCATTCATTCTTTATTTATTAAAAAAAACTTGAGATCACTGACAACGCTGACTAGTAAAAGGTAGCCTGGGTATACAAAGGGTTTGATAACAGGGTGAGGTTGGGGAGGAGGGAAGGACAAGGCCACATTGCTTATTGTAGCCAAACTACAAATCAAAGAGGTTTGAATGACAGCCTTCTGTTGCTTGGGCCATCCCCTGGAGTTGAGTGGCAGGGTGCGCGAAGCCTCCCCACCCCCGTGTTCTTGGGCATCTGTGTGAGGAGGATATGGAACTTGCCGAGGAGGGCAGGCGGTTACACAATGGATGCAGCGGGGGTCTGTACGCCAATTGCCTTTCCTGCAGCTCCACCAGATGCCTCATCATGTCTGTTTGCTCCCCCATTAGCCTCAGTATCTCCTCCTGGGTGTTCCGATCACGCTCACTGTATGCTTTCCTGGCCTCTGCCACCGAATGCCTCCATGCATTCAGCTGTGCCCTATAAGTGCGGGAGGACTGCATGAGATCTGAAAACATGTCATTGCGAGTGTGTTTTTTTCGCCTTCTAATCTGCAATAACCTCAGGGACAGAGTTGATGCGGGGAGCATAGAAGCATTTGCAGCTGCAGAGGGGAAAAAAAAGAAGAGTAGACTTTTAAGAAGATACATTTCTGAGAACAAAAGGGAGATTCTTTCACAGTGAATCAAGCAATTCACTGCAGACAGCACATGTGTTTTAGGTAAAAGGTCGCATTTTGTCTTTTACATTGAGCGCCTGCCGGTATGGTGACACATCACACACAGATGGGAAACAGAATTTGGTTTCCAGGCAGCCATGGTAAACCAAAGGGTACGTTAGGTTGGCTTCTTCCACGTTCATAACATGTGGGAATGGTTTCAAACTGCAGCGCCCTCCTTTCCCAGAGCAACCAGTGCCAGTTGGGTTTGCTGTTTAAAAGGAAGGACTGCAGTTGCCGTTTAAAAGGAGGGGCTGCTGTTTTGGGGTGGATGTGCAGCACACCCCTCTCCCTGCCCCCACATGGCTATTCTCTGGGATGATCCCTTTTAGCCAAGCCCAAACAGCCCAGCATGCCTGGGGTCTAATGTGTGGGGGATCACCAAATAGAGGGGATTACTGTTGCCTTACAAAACTTCCCTCTTTCAACCAGGTGACCATGAATGATATCACCATCCTGAGGCTGACGCAGAAAGATAAAGACTGAATGTTGCATGAATGCAACCAAAACCCAGGACCATTCGCTGCCATGCTTTGTGCTGCAATGATTCCAGATCACTTGCTACTGGCTTGGTGTGGTAAAGTGTCCTACTGTGGAGGATAAAATAAGGCAGCCCTCCTCAGAAACCTTCTGCAAAGGCTTTCAGAGTACCTCCAGAAGAGCTTAATGGAGATGTCCCTGGAGGATTCCCGCTCCATCCCCAGACACATTAACAGACTTTTCCAATAGCTGTACTGGCCGCGAATGCATTCCAATTGTTCAGGGCAAATCAAACATTAAACACAATTGCTTTTAACCCCTATAGTTTCGTTACAAATGTGCACTCACCAGAGGTGCCTTCTCCACCTTCAGGGTCCAAGAACAATACACTCTGGGAGGGTATTGGCTCCAGAGTGAGGAAAAGGTCCTGGTTGCCGGGGAGAATGGATTCTCTGCTTGCCTGATGCGCATTCTCCCCCTCCTCCTCAAAATCCTTATTGTGTCCACGAAGAGCGTTGGGGTACTGGTAGGGTCCCGCCCTAGAATGGCATGCAGCTGATCACAGAAGCAGCATGTCTGGGGCTCTGACCCGGAGCAACCGTTTGCCTCCTTTGTCTTTTGGTAGGCTTGCCTGAGCGCCTTAATTTTCATGTGGCACTGCTGTGTGTCCCTGTTGTAGCCTCTGTCCATCATGCCCTGTGTGATTTTGACATATATATCAGCATTTCTTCTGCAGGAGTTCTGCCTGCAGATTCTTCTCCCCATACAGCAATCAGATCCAGTGTCTCCCATTCCCTCCATGCTGGAGCTCGTTTGCAATTTTGGGGGGACTGCATGGTCACCTGTTCTGCTGAGCTCGCCACGCTGACTAAACAGGAAATGAAATTCAAAAGTTCCCGGTGCTTTTCGTGTGTACCTGGCTAGTGCATCAGAGGTGAAAGTGCTGTCCAGAGAGGTCACATTGGAGCACTCTGGGATACATCCCAGAGGCCAATACCATCAAATTGCACAGCGCTGCATCTACTGTACCCCAAATTCGACCCAGGAAAGTCTATTTTAGCACTACTCCCCTTGTCAGGGAAGAGTACAGGAGTTGATTTTAAGAGCCCTTCAGGTTGGCGGAAGGGGGTTGGTTGTGTAGACACATTCATTCCACAGTATGCATCCGATGAAGTGAGCTGTAGCTCACGAAAGCTTATGCTCAAATAAATTGGTTAGTCTCTAAGGTGCCACAAGTACTCCTTTTCTTTTTGTGAATACAGACAAACACAGCTGTTACTCTGAACCATTCATTATAAAATCCACCTAACCTGGCTAAATTCGACCTAACCTCGTAGTGTAGACCAGGCCTTAGTTTCCTCGTTTATGTTATTAATATAAGGCCCATCTTCCCTAATGTTCTAATGTCAAAGCAATGTTCTTTTCCAAGACAGAAAGGAAAGAAATCCAATGGGGTCACATGGTATGAAGATGAAATCTCCTTGAGGATGGAATCAGCCACAGAGAGAGGAGTCTGTTGGACCAAATATTTCCCTAGTCCAGACTTAAAAATCAAATAGTGACTGTGGGGAAAAAGACCCTTTACTCTGATGATCAGGGGGTACCCCTTGTACAATTAGGGAGTTCTGCCTGATTCACCACCTGTAGAGGCTAAGGCAAGAGTCCACTTAACTGCCCTGTGTCTACAACAGCAGTAGCAACTCTCAGGGAGAATGACAGATACAGGACCAGGAGTCACAGAAAGCAGAAAACAGTGAACTCTCCACTCCTCCACAAGCTATTCTGTAGTTCCACAACAGGTGGATTGGAAGCTGAAGCTGTCTCCTTGCAGATGTACAGCCTGCATCCATGGTTTTCTTGAAGGCTGCAAATGTGTGTCTAGTTTATAGGGCCCTATATTTTTCATTTGAGAAGAACTGCTATTGACGAACAAATATATTAGAAAAATTACATTCTTATTTGAAATTTGCTTTCTGCCATTTTACCTTGCCTCCAGTCCCGGCAGGATCTGTAATTCTTTCAGGTTTTATATCTTTCATAACACAGACGGCAGCCATAACTAGTTTGACACCAGATGGAGGATTCTTCATTGATTTCACAATTGTTATATCAGATGGCTAAAACAAAAGTGACATTTTAAAAATAAAATGTATTGATTTACAGTTTTGTATCTCGTACACAAAATACATTAAGCTCAATATTCATAACAAAAGAAAAAAGGATTATCAATTTCTCATGACCAAGTAGCATATATGTAGTGAATAAAAACAGAAATGAAAGGAATTTTAACACTGCACACAATAAATATAAGAATAATTATAGGGTTTGTTTTTTTACAAGGGATGATTTGAAAACATATAGTTAATATTGCCTGAACACAAGAAAAATCCACCCTACAGCAACTTTTTCTTATACATGGGCGATCAAAATTAGATCAAGTTTAGTAAGTGTAAACAAACCATACAAAAATCCAAGACTAGGTCAAAAGATTTCTTTGGTACTTATCCCGAGGTGGCACACAAGAACTCTCATATGTTTGGCAAGTCCAAATGAACAGTTCCTGCAGGCATTTTCTCTACAATACTGTTCTAAAGTCTGGTAACTGAGTCATAATGGTGACTCTGAAAAATTCAAGATCCAGAAAATTCTTAGCCACATTATAATTTTAAAACAAAAATGTAAGCGCTGGATTCCTTGAATGGACATCCCTAAGCTTAGCTAGGTGGCGAAATTAAACACCAATGTTAATATGTCGATTTTGTGTAGTGCCTAATACAGCTCCAGTCCTGCCAATATGCTTGTGCTTAGCTTTAGGAATGTGGTTAGTCCCATGAAAGAACTGAATCAGACTACATGTGAGAGTTAAGCATGTATAAATGTGTTTGTAAGATCTTAATCAGGATTCCTCTTCTCATCTAAGTTTTTTTGTGTAGTAATGGCCAGGTGGTTTCCTAAAGCAACAGATTTAGGGCCTAATCCTGAGATTAGGGCCTAATGCTGAGCATTTCCTGAGAGACCTCAACTTCCACTGACTTCATCAGGATTTGAGGGTGCTCAACATCTTGCAGGAGGAACACAGCTCCTTGCATGATCAGACCCACTCATTCCAAAAAGATGATAAAACAAAGATATACAGAGTGGTGCTCAAAGAAGTTTGTGACTAAGCAGATAGAGAAAACCTAAAGCTGAGATGGACCAGAAAAAAGAATAAAGGACAGAACCTAGTATCTAGAGAGATGGGAGCCAGGGAAAGAAGGGAGAGTGACATACTGCCTTGGGAAAGTATTTATAAAGAAAGTCTAGGGACCAAAAAAAAAAAAAATCACACAGGCTTTCAACTCTCAAGCAGAGAAGATATCTGAAAACTGTTTTCTCAGAAGTGCTTTCTGTGTCACATGACACAAACAAGTATGTTTTTTAACAGATTTCCTAAATTCAGAAGAAGAATTTGTGATTACCCAGATGTCAAAAACTGAGAATTTTAACCTTTTTCAAACCTTTTCTTCTTTTCTCCTTAATGTGTTCTTTGGCAAATAACCCAAAGTACACAGAAAAATTAAATAATTTTTTGAAGTGCCACTTTTAAAAATTTAGCTCGCCTTAAGGGTGTCAAGGGCAGAAAGTGCAGCCTCTAGCGCTGGAATTGCCTCTGCCAGGTCACTCTCACACTCATTCTTCAGTTCCTGGGCTTCCGCTGCTTTTTCTGTAGCAATCTCTTCATCTATTTTCACAGTTTTACTTTTTGCTTCCACTTCTGCCGATTCCTTCTCTATAATCTAAAGAAAACACTCATGAGCAGAATTCATCGAACTTGCCACTGAATGGTGTTTATTCAATCAACTGTCTGGGGCTATGATGTAGAGCATCTATAAAATAATTTTGGTTTCAGAGGAACAGCCGTGTTAGTCTGTATTCGCAAAAAGAAAAGGAGTACTTGTGGCACCTTAGAGACTAACCAATTTATTTGAGCATGAGCTTTCGTGAGCTACAGCTCACGATGAAGTGAGCTGTAGCTCACGAAAGCTCATGCTCAAATAAATTGGTTAGTCTCTAAGGTGCCACAAGTACTCCTTTTCTTTTTGAAAATAATTTTGGTTTACTTCTTTGTCTTTTTCAGTAGGTTAGTATTAGAATCATTATTAATTTATGTGACACTGACCTGCATAAAAAATTGTTTTCTCAAAATAAACTGAAAAGAAAAGATCTGTAGGTAATGGGAATTTTGTAGGAGTAACATAACATCTCTGTGGACCCACGTCAATAGCTGGCAGAATCAAACAAACATAAGCAGCCTTAGATTTGAAATTGGAACTGAGAGACATATAAAAGGTGTTCTTTGCACTAAATAAGGGCTTTATATCCCTACAATTTTGAAATTCCTACCAAGAAACCCACCACTACGTGCACTAAGATTGCAGTTACTACAAATAGCTGTTTTTACAATACTTTTACAGTGAAAAAGGCCACAAGTTTACCAGGCGATTTTTTTGTGCCTCATGCTGCAACTTAAAAATGGATTTGTAATGTAAAATGATTTTTACAGGCCCCTAGTCTGTAATATAGACTATACCTATTGTGCTTTTTTTTTTTTTTTTTTTTTTGAGTGAAGAGGCCATCACTTGATTCAGGGCAATGACTCCCTCCCATTTCTGTCAATCTGACGACTAGTTTCCCTCAAAGCTTTTGGGTGTTGGGGACTCTGACCTGGAATGCAGATTTGTCAGAGAAGGCGGAATGTACTGGAATGCATTTTTAGAAAGCCATTTTTAAGTAACAGCCAAGTTGACAAAAACGTCAAGAAAGACTTCTGTCTATTTGGTACTACAGTTACTGTAAGAGCATCCACGTACATCTACTAAGAGAGAGTTAAACTACCAAAATCCATGAAATTTTAATGAGAGTTGGGCACCCTACTTCCTTAGGCTCTGTTGAAAACCCCAGCCTATAACCTTAGGCCATGTCTACACTAGTAGGACTTCAGTGGTACAGCTGCACTGGTATACTACACTGGCAAAGTGCTCCGAGCATGGATGCAGTTTATACCAGCAAAACTGAGCTTTTGCCAGTATAGCTTATTCCAGCCCCATTGAGCAAAACAAGCTATACTAGCAAAAGTGCAGTTTTATCTGTAAACTGCAATCACTAGGGGCTTTTGCCAGCATAGTTATATCAGTCAGGGAATCAAACCTCTGACCAGCATAGCTATACTGGCAGATGTTTTTAGTTTAAATAAAGCATCAATGTGTAACCACAGGCGCTTCAAAAACAAGAACAAAGCTTGTATCTTGAACTCATCTCCCTTGTAAGACAGACAGCATACGATAGCATAATTATACTACCCCTTTCAGGAATTCAGTGTAAAGCTCCTCCATGAATAACTGAGATTCTGAGGTATGGACAAATATATTGTACAGTAAGTACTCTTCATTAAAAACTAATTGCTTTGCAAGTGGCATTATGGATCTGTAATATTCACACAAACGCTGTACAACGTGCTTTCACGGGATTACTTAGGCTTTATCTACACTACAGAGGTAGGTCGACATAAGGCAGCTTATGTTGACCTAACTATGTTAGTGTTTACACTACATATCCTGCTGATATACGTGCTTTACTACACTGACATCATAACTCCACCTCCACGAGAGGGCTTACGTCAGTGTAGTTAGGGTGACACGGTGTCTGTGTAGACACTGTGTTTCTTATGTTGGCTGTTGGTTGTCATTCTTTTCCGCTGGAGCCGTGAAATTAAGAAGAAAGCGATCTCCCAAGCCAGGCTGCTACCAGGTTCTCTCCAAGCCAGACTGCCACCCAGGCTCCCGGCTTGGGCTGCCGCCCGGGCTCCCCACTCTCCACTGGGAGCCCTGCTGCCCCTCCTCCCAGGATCCCAGTTCCCCAATCCCCACTGGGAGCATGGCAGCTGACTGGACTCCAGGCGTGGATCTCCCTGCTGGAGGTGACAAGCCCCGGGTGGCTTCTCCTCTGCTCCTGGCTGGAAAAGGGGAGGCAAGAAGCCCAGGTGGTTGCCCTCTGCTCCTGGTTGGGAGTGTGAAGGCAAGAAGCCTGGGTGGCAGCTGGGCTCCCAGCAGGGAGCTGAATGGAGCTGAAAGCCCTGGTACTCAGCTCCCCACACTGCCCCTCTTCAGTTGGTGGAAATGCTCCTAATGAGGATGCACGCCACCAACAGAAGGAAGGTAATGTGGACACCAGCCACTGCAGTAATTACTGTGGTGGCTGTAAGTCGACCTAACAGATCGAGTTAAGACTGTAGCGTAGACATGCCCTCATATTAAGAAGGCAGCACAAAATGTGCATTTATATATTCAGTATTTTGGAGTTATACTACTCATTAATTAGTCTTCAGATCATACATAGGAATGGCCATACCTGACTATTCATGAGTCAAACTCAACAAAGCTGGTGCAAGACATTAAAAAGTATATCCTATGGAATTAGCTATGTCCATTATGCTCCCAAGGGGATTCATTCTTGCAGATTATTTCTGTCTTTTCTCCCCATCAGGATATCATTATGGGAGCCAGCTTTACATTCTGCTGGGCTTTCATAGAGCTTTACCAGCAGGAGCCTCTAATGGGAACCCTACTTCCCCAGATTTCCTGGAAACCCCACCTTAGCAACATGATAGTTTCTAATTAAAATAATAATTTAATCATTACAAATAACTCAAATTATGTATTTCAGCATTAAACAATATATTTGCTTAACTCTACCTTCATCATATTTGCATTATCCACTTTAGCCTCCTCCAGTTTGGGTTGCAGATCAACTAGTTCTTGCTTCATTTCACCAACCTAGATGGACATTTCTTTATAAAATTATCACAGTAGCAGTAAATGCTGATGCTAAAAATATAGCAAATAATAAGTGGAAAGTTTAACATTTAAATACAGTATAAAATCAAATATGGGTACTATATTTAAAAGAACCCCATAAAAACTTGTTATATTCCCTGAAAACAGGCTCAAACATTAGTGACAAGAACCTGTGGTTTAAAAATTAGAGAAACATCAGTACTATAAATACATAAAATTACTACATATAAGAACAGTGGGTGAAATCCCATTGATTTTAAATGGGGCCAGGATTTGATTTAGTGATATTGATTTTAATAATGTAAGCAAGGCTTTTATATCAAAACAAAGAAAACACTACAGAAAGATTAATATTATAGTGCTCAATCCTGCAGCCCTTTGGTTTCATGGAGTCACATCCATGCAAGCACTTACTTAGACTGTAAGTTCTTTGGAGTACAGACCATCCCTTTATTATATATTTGCATAGTGCCTAGTACAGTGGAGCCGCTGTCTCTAGGCACTATCACAATATAAATAAACAAACAATGATGTCTGCAGAAAAATGGAAAAGTCAGTTTATCTTGGTCTTATGTTTTAAGACTGTGTTAAAAGCAGTGACCAGTGAGATACACTTTGCATGAAGGGAATGACATAGGTCACAATTCCTGGGTATAAAAGACAAAAGAACAGGCTGTTCAGGTATGGTCCATGTAGGTATACGTATTTTCTACATACGAAGAAAAATATCCTGGCTCTATTTTTAAGATTGCAGCCTACTTTAAAACATAGTAGTCTTTGGCCTTGCCTACACTATGAAATTACTCCGATTTTACAGAAGTCGATTTTTGGGAACAGATTGTATGAAGTTGAGTGCATGCGTCCACACTAAGCACATTAATTCGGTGGTGTGCGTTCACAGTACCGTGGCAAGCATCGACATTGCGAGAGGTGCACTGTGGGTTCCTATCCCACAGCTCCCGCAGTCCCTGCTGCCCATTGGAATACTGGGCTGAGCTCCCAATGCCTGATAGGGCCAAAAATTTGTTGCGGGTGGTTATGGATAAATGTCATCAGTCAACCCTCCCTCCATGAAAGCAACGGCAGACAATCATTTTGCGCCCTTTTCCCTGGGTTGCCCGAGCAGACGCCATAGCATGGCAAGCATGGAGCCCATTCAGCTCACTGCAGCAGTTATGACCATTATAAACACCTCGCGCATTATCGTGCAGTTTATGCGGAACCAGACCCTGAAAAACCAGGCGAGGAGGCGACAGCAGCGTGGTGACGAGAGTGATGAGGACATGGACAAAGATTTCTCTAAAACCACAGTCCCCAGCAATTTGGAGATCATGGTGTTAATGGGGCAGGCTCATGCCATGGAACGCCGATTCTGGGCTCAGGAAACAAGCACAGACTGGTGGGACCGCATAGTGTTGCAGGTTTGGGATGATTCCCAGTGGCTCCGAAACTTTTGCATGCATAAGGGCACTTTCATGGAACTTTGTGACTTGCTTTCCCCTGCCCTGAAAAGCGCAAGAATACCAAGATGAGAGCAGCCCTCACAGTTGAGAAGAGAGTGGCAATAGCCCTGCGGAAGCTTGCAACGCCATACAGCTACCGGTCGTTGGGAATCAATTTGGAGTGGGCAAATCTACTGTGGGGGCTGCTGTGATGCAAGTAGCCAACACAATCATTGAACTGCTGCTATCAAAGGTAGTGACTCTGGGAAATGTGCAGGTCATAGTGGATGGCTTTGCTGCAATGGGATTCCCTAACTGTAGTGGGACTATAGATGGAACGCATATCCCTGTCTTGGGACCGGACCACCAAGGCAGCCAGTACATAAACCGAAAGGGGTACTTTTCAATGGTGCTGCAAGCACTGGTGGATCACAAGGGATGTTTCACCAACATCAATGTGGGATGGCTGGGAAAGGTTCATGATGCTTGCGTCTGCAGGAACTCTGGTCTGTTTAAACGACTGCAGAAAGGGATTTACTTCCCAGACCAGAAAATAACTGTTGGGGATGTTGAAATGCCTATTGTTATCCTTGGAGATCCAGCCTACCCCTTAATGCCATGGCTCATGAAGCCGTACACAGGCACCCTGGACAGTAGTAAGGAGCTGTTCAACTATAGGCTGAGCAAGTGCAGAATAGTGGTAGAATGTGCATTTGGACGTTTAAAGGGTCACTGGTGCAGTTTACTGACTCACTCAGACCTCAGCGAAACCAATATTCCAATTGTTATTGCTGCTTGCTGCTGTGTGCTCCACAATCTCTGTGAGAGTAAGGGGGAGATGTTTATGGCGGGGTGGGAGGCTGAGGCAAATCACCTGGTCACTGAATACGCACAGCCAGACACCAGGATGATTAGAAGAGCACAGCAGGAAGCGCTGCATATCAGAGAAGCTTTGAAAACCAGGTTCATGACTGGCCAGGGTACCTTGTGACACTTCTGTTTGTTTCTCCTTGATGAAAACCCAACCCCTTGGTTGACTAATTCCCTGTTAGCCACCTGCCCTCCCCACTTTGATCACAGCTTGCTTGCAAAGGAAATAAAGTCACTATCATTTAAAAACCATGTATTCTTTATTAATTGATTATAAAAATAGGGAGATAACTCACAAGGTAGCCCGGGCGGGGTGTGGGAGGAGGGTAGGAGGGAAGAAAAAGGCCACTTCAAAACTTGTTGAATGACAGCCTTCTGTTGCTTGGGCTGTCCACTGGGTGGAGTGGTTGGGTGCCCGGAGCCCCCTCCACCCCCTCCGCGTTCTTGGGTGTCTGGGTGAGGAGGCTATGGAACTTGGGGAGGAGGGAAGGTGGTTAAACAGGGGCTGCAGCAGCAGTCTGTGATTCTGCTGCCGTTCCTGAACCTCCATCAGATGCCAGAGCATGTCCGTTTGATTCTGCAGTAGCTCCAGCGTTGCATCCTGCCTCCTCTCATCTTCCTGCTGCCACCTCTCATCTTGATCATCCCTCCTGTCCTCATATTCATTGGCTTCTTTCCTGTACTGTGCTACTGTGTCCCTCCACACATTCTGCTGAGCTCTGTCAGTGCCGGACGACTGCATGAACTCAGAGAACATTTCATCGCATGTGCGGTTTTTTTGCCGCCTTATCTGAGATAGCCTTTGGGACAGAGGAGGGAGGCTTGAAACATTTGCAGCTGCGGGAGGAAAAAAAGGGAGTGAAGTATTTAAAAAGATACATTTTACAGAACAATGGCTATACTCTTTCACAGTGAACAACACTATTCACTTGACATAGCACATGTGATTTCAGTACAAGGCAGCATTTTGCATCTTATATTGAGTGCCTGCGGCTTTGGTGTTAGAGATAACACACGCAGTGCCAGGCAACAGAATTTGGCTTGCAGGCGGCCATGGTAACTTGGCTAACTGCAGGGAGGATTTCTTTTCAGCCACAGGCAAACAGCCCAGTAGGAACGGCCACCTCTGAATGTCCCCTTAATTAAATTCCCTGTATTTCAACCAGGTTACCATGAACGATATCACAGGATACCTGAGGATAGTACAGAGAGATAAAGAATGGATGTTGCTTGAATGCCAGCAAACACTGGGGACCATACACTGCCAGGCTTTGTCATGTAATGAGATCAGATTACTTGCTACTAGCATGGTGTGGTAAAGTGTCCTACCATGGAGGACGGAATAAGGCTGCTCTCCCCAGAAACCTTCTGCAAAGGCTTTTAGAGTTTCATGGAGCTTTTAGAGCTTCATGGAGATGTCCCTGGAGGATTTCCGCTCCATCCCCAGACACGTTAACAGACTTTTCCCAGTAGCTGTACTGGCCACGAATACATCCCAAGTCCTCAGGACAAATTAATCATTAAAAAACGCTTGCTTTTAAAATATGTATTATATTTAAAAAGGTACACTCACCAGAGGTCCCTTCTCCGGCTTGGTTGAGTTGGGAGGCTATTTTAGTCAGGGTGATAAAAAGATCCTGGCTGTCAGGAAGAATAGTGTACTGTGTGCTCTCTTCAAGCTTGGTCGTCCTCCTCCTCATCTTCCCCGTCCGCAAAATCCTCAGGCATGGCGGAGAGTACCCCGTTATCAGAGTCCACGGACAGGGGTGGGGTAATGGTGGCGGCCCCCCCTAGAATTGCTTGCAGCTCAGCATAGAAGAGGCACGTCTGGGGCTCTGTCCCGGAGCGTCCGTTTGATTCTTTGGTTTTCTGGTATGCTTGTCTGAGCTACATAAGTTTCACGCGGCACCGTGTTGCGTCCCTGCTGTAGCCTCTGTCCATCATGGCCTTGGACATTTTTTGAAATGTTTTGGCATTTCGTCTTTTGGAACATAGTTCTGATAGCACGGATTCGTCTCCCCATACAGCAATCAGATCCAGTACCTCCCGTTTGGTCCATGCTGGAGCTCTTTTTCGATTCTGGGACTGCATGGTCACCTGTGCTGATGAGCTCGCCTGGCCAAACAGGAAATGATATTCAAAAGTTCCCGGAGCTTTTCCTGTACACCTGAACAATGCATCCGAGTTCAGAGTGCTGTCCAGAGCGGTCACAATGGTGCACTGTGGGATAGCTCCGTCGAATTGTGTCCACACTAACCCTAATTTGAAACGGTGATGTCGATTTCAGCGCTAATCCCCTCATCGGGGAGGAGTACAGAAATCTATTTTAAGAGCCCTTTATGTCGACAAAAAAATGGCTTCGTTGTGTGGACAGGTGCAGGGTTAATTTGATTTAACGCTGCTAATTTCAACATAAACTCGTAGTGTAGACCAGGCCTTTGACTGACTGCAAATTTAATGAGGAAGTGAGAGATGAGTTGATGAAGCAGTGTTTGGATCCAGATCAGGTTTATTACATACAGAGTTTGAGATCTGAGTCTGAGGCAAAATCAGGGTTAGGGTTCACATTTGGATTAGTCCATGCCATTATCTCACAAATTGTTCTCTGAGGGCTTGTCTACATGGGTTGTATGTGTGTCTATGTGTTAATCTGCATTAATTTGAATTAATCTGATATGAAAATGACTGAGTACACATGACACAAATCATGACAGCGCATTAACTCCAAATTCATTGCCAACACTGGAATCCTCTTTTAAAGTGCATTAATTTCAATGAGAATTGAATTAATGTGTTGTATTATTCATGTTCATGGACTGCTGCTGTGCACTACTTGGCAGTTCTCCAACTGCTATCCCATGCTGTTTGTGAGTGTCCGTTACTGATCTGTGTACCTGTGTGCCTTTCACTATTCTGGGAAGTTGACCTGATGTACAAAGCTCTGTAAAAACTGGTACAAGGGCCAGAATTTGCCTTTTTGCTCCTGGATTCAAATACATCAGCATTGCTGTGATATAGAGTCATAGAGTTTAAGGTCAGAAGGGACCACCAGATCATCTAGCCTGACCTCCTGTATATTACAGGATGCCATCACCACCACCACCCGTGTACTAAATCCAGCAACTGAAAATTAGACAAAATATTACAGCCCACAAAAGACTGGACTGTGCCACAAGCAGAGAATAGGAGGGACCGAGGTGCACCAGTGCTCAAGCCCTAAAATACCAAGGAAATGATTAATTGTTACATACCCAGATAATCCTGGCAAGTGACCGACACCCACACGCTGCAGAGAAAGGCGAAAAAACCCCAAGGTCACTCCCAATTTGACCTGGGAGAAAATTCCTTCCCACCCCCACACATGGTAATCAGTTAGAGCCTGAAAATGTGAGCAAGAATCAGCCAGCAAAACACATGAGAGAGAGACTGCTCAGTGCCACCTTATAGCCCTGGCTCTTCCCATCCAATGTCCCATCTCCAGCCAGGGCCATTCCTGATGCCTCACAGGAAGAAGATAAAAAACATCTCTCAGAATACATTGAGGGTGGGGGGAATCCCTTCCTGACCCCTGCTGAAACCCTGAAGCATGAACTCTGGGAACAAAAAACATAAACCAGAAATGAGTCCCAGGGCTGTTGAGCCCTGCCCCACCATACAATTGCACTCATAAATTTGTCTAGCTCTCTCTTAAAACTAATTAAGCTATTTGCCCACACAATTCCTATTGGGCTATCACTCCAGAAGCCTTATAATATGCCTCAAGCAGCCACTTGGAGTGTGTTGAGACCCTTGATCTCAATCTGTTAGTACAGCAAACTCTTGTGGACAAACACTGGAATAAAGATATTTTTGTGTACATTGCTGAGCAGATCTCCATGAGAGTTCACAACCAGGATGCGGACTGTCACGGATTGTGGGGGAGTCAGGGCCATGCACGCCCCACTTCCTGTGATTCACCGTGACTCTCAGCCAGCCAGTAAAACAGAAGGTTTATTAGATGACAGGAACACAGTCCAAAATAGAGCTTGTAGGTACAGACAACAGGACCCGTTCAGTCAGATCCATCTTGGGGGGCAGGGAGCCCAGACCCCGGTGCTGGGCCTCCCTCCGTTTCCCCAGCCAGCTCCAAACTGACACTCCCCCCAGCCTCTCCTCTGGCCTTTGTCTCTCTCGTGGGCAAGACGACCATCTGATCTTTTTTCTCCAACACTTTCAGATGGCATCTTGCAGGGGAGGGGCCCAGGCCATCGGCCGTTCTCTGTGCAGACACCTGCACATCCCTTCCCTCTAGGGCTCTACAACAATCACACACCCTTATCCCCCGACCTAGATACTTAAGAAATGCATAGGGGAACTGAGGCACCCACACAGTATTCAGAGAAAACAAGTTTTTTCCTGCAGCTTCCCATCTATTCCACAAACAGCACCACCTTTCTTTCAGACAGCTCAATGTACACTTCACTACCATTCCACAACTACTGACGTAATAGTTAAACAGTTACTTCCTTCTGTCCAAGTGACCTTTGAATGGCTTCTTTAACCAGGGAAATAGAGAATAAACTGGGTCTCTCGCCAGATAGTTGAAGCAATCTCCACACCATTAATATCCATAGTGAGCTTGGATGCAAACTGTCCTTTCTCCATTAAGGTAAACTGAAGTGAATTCTCGAAGATCCTGGTACTGTGGACCCTTCCAGACCACCCTCTATTTACGTTAATAAGCCTGCCACAGTGATCAACCAGTCCTTAAAGCACCAGGCAGAAATACCCCTTTCTGTTTATAAACTCTGAGCTCTGGTACAGGGGGCAAATAATAGGCACACAGGTCCCATCAACTGCTCCAATACAGTATGGAAACCCAGGCGTGCAAAGCCATCAAACTCCTGAGCACTACCAAGCTTTATAACCTGGTGCAATAGTACCTTATGCATGGCATCGCACATCTGCATAACAATGGCATCAGCAGTCAATCTCCCTACACCTAATTGGTTGGTTACAAATCAATAACACTTGTGAGTGGCCAGCTTCCGATGGCATTGGCAACCTGCTTCTCAACAGGTATAGGGGACTCCTCACTGTGGATTAAATCCCTTGTGTAGACAAGCCCTGAGATTTCTGCCCAAAATAAAACCTGAATTGTGAAAATCTTATAAGACCTCCTGTTCTCATGACACTTCTGATATTCTGGCACCAAAGCTTACATGCATAGCTATTCTGATGAGGTTTTTGGCTACATCTGAGCCAAAACTGAAAAATAAATTCTCTGCTATTTTTAGAGAGAGAAGGTGGATGAGGTAATATCTTTTATTGGACCAACTTTTGTTGGTGAGAGAGACAAGCATTCAAGCTACACAGACCACTTCTTAATCCAAAACCAAACCCATAGGGGTTGTTTCAGATGTAGGGATTGGAATCTAACTCCCACCTTGGAAATTTTAAGGTTTTGATTTGAGGTTCTGCTTTTGGCTTGTCTCTATAGAACTGTTTCTGAGTTCAATTTCTGCCTGTTCTAATATGTGTATCTACTCACCTGAGATTCAGCAAAAGCTAGTTTATCTAGTCCATTAGTATAACCCTTTTTGGCTTTCATCACAGTATCCCGTTTTTGAGTTAAAAGTTGCTGGAAGGCAGCAATGAGTTCAAGATAAGAAGTAGGAGTGACATAGTTATGTCGTCTCAGGGTTTCCAAGAATCTATGGAAAAGAAAGATAATCTTTCTAACTACAGTTAATGAAACATGAAAGGGGTGGAAAATAAAAAGTGTGACAACTAACAGGAATGATCCATTTGTTTCAAAAATAAAAAAGTCACACAAACATGTTCTAAACTTGCACAGTTCTTCAAATTTACAAATTCACAGTACAGAAATTATCAGTAATGACGGTGACTAAACTACCTTACTAAGTAATGTGGTCCATCACCTAATTGCCTTAATTGTTAACAAATGTTCTAACCTAGTACTTTATTTTTAATTTTAGATTATTCTTAATTTTACCACTTTTGATAGCATAAAAAGTCTCATCTTATCCTCCTTATACCTTTATTTATATAAAATATCACCCCGTTTTTTAAAAATATACAAAACTAACTTTTCAGAGAGTGACAAAACAGAAGTATGGAAGTGTTTACAGATGGGCACCACTTCTTGACGTTCATTGTCTGTGAGCTGAAGTGTTTCTAAGAATTTATTAGCCACACGTTCAAGGGCATCTTCAGGCCATGGCTGAAAAAAAAGGCAGAGGGAGGAAATAAAATGTAGGTGTTACCACTCATGATTTGTGCAAAGATGTAATTTTTACACTTTGGAACAAGTAATTTCTTTAATGCGTCCAACAAATTATGTCTCAAGAAATGGTTTGCTGGTGGCTAATCAATAGATCTAGCTGCAGTTTAATTGCTGATAACACCATTTGTAAGGACTGTTGCCTTTAGCAATTAAAGGTAATTATCCAGGTTTTAGTTCTGCTAAGGAATCTCTATCTTCAGTTTTTCCCAGCAGCATAGGAAAACACTGTGCAGCATCACAAAGTGAAATCTCCCCCACACTTGTCAGCCATTCCAAATTGCTTACACCTTTGCTTCCAACTTGTTGATCCTGTAAACTGGCAACAGAAATTATGAACGTATTACTTTTTCACCCAACTGATTTTGTTAACAAAAAAAATCTAGGTTAATTATACACTGTTATATTGGAACCAAGATTCAGATGTGAACAACTATTTTAAAATCTTGAATGCCTTGAGACACAGCACATCATATATTATCTGATTAAACAAAACAATCAATAATCAGCAAATGAAGGAATGAAGCATCATTAGAGAGCAAGTTGTTGATGACAGAGTAACACTAGGAACAACCGTGCTGAAACTGGTCAGCCCCTACAATATTCTGCATCTCGACATTCTAATTTTTTTAAATTATTTTTTAGCTTTACCTGTAACAGGGTGAAATATCAAATAGTTTCTCAAAAACATGAGTGAGGATGACTTGTTATACTTTAAATATTTTGAGAGAGGCTGACCCCTGCTAGCCAGAGGGTAGAAGGGAAACATAATGGGGTATGAAAATACAGGTATTATTAGAAAACTGAAACCCTCTGTTGAGGCAGCAACATATTTTTACAAACCTGGAACCAGTCAATAGTACAACAATTGATGAGAGACGGGAATTGTCTCAGACGATTGCGGAAAGCATCTCCGATTGGGCTGAATGCTACCACAACGTGGAGATTTTCTTTGCAGCGGTTCACGAAGTAGGCAAACAAGGCCAGGGGACTGAGTTCATCATGTTTACTGCCAGCTTGAGCTACTGCACGAACTCCCTAGAGAATAATGGATGGGATGGGGAAGCCTGTGATTAATAACCTGTCATTAAATACTGTATTTCAAAATGATTTAAATCATCCTTTTTTGACATCACATGATCTAAAATGTAGTATAGGTAAAATAAGACAAAACCTGCTAATAAACAGAATAAAATTAGAAAAACAGAACAATAAGCAAATAATATTTGGGGGTGCCACACTCGTATTTATCTAAAAGAAAAGGAGTACTCGTGGCACCTTAGAGACTAACAAATTTGTTTGAGCATAAGCTTTTGAGAGCTACAGCTCACTGCCTCCGATGAAGTGGGCTGTAGCTCACGAAAACTTATGCTCAAATAAATTTGTTAGTCTCTAAGGTGCCACAAGTACTCCTTTTCTTTTTGCGAATACAGAATAACACGGCTGCTACTCTGAAACCTGTCGTATTTATCTGTAACTCTGCCACCACTATTCTAGAACTAATTTCCTGCTGGTTTGACCAATCTAGTATTCTAGATTAGGATAAAGATTAAAATGTGACCTTCTCTTTATGGGGAGGTTATAAATCACATTCTGAAAATCAGAATTTGAAATGGAACCTCCTCAGGCAATAAAGTATCTTAGCCTTTTATTAGTAACACAACAATAAGACAATTAAAATCAATCTTCAACCACTTACAAAAACATTTTAAAAGATATAAATTATTAATATAAATTAAAAAGGTGCAAATTATTATCCTCATTTTAAGGAAAGTCACTCATAAAAATCAATGTTCTTCTTCCTCTAATATACATTTTAAGTGCCATATACCACACCAACCTCCTAAACTACATTTCATAAAAATAAACAACTTACTGAAAGCATTTTTGAAAGTGATACTCAAAACAATTCATTAAAAGGATGTGCAGTATTTACCTACAGGTAGAGAAGGATTCAAATGTCCAGATACACAAACATATCACATTTAATCATTTGCAAAAACTTTTCTTAGAAGAAGAAACCTTATATTCTGAATATATGAAGCATCTACACCGTTACTCTGTACTGTTCTTACAATACAATAAATACTGATCTCAATTAACTAACAATCCACAAAAAACAGATCATCCATTTCCCTAAAATTCAAAAGTTTTTTCCACAAAATCTGACTATTTCACATAACCTAGCAATTATTTTTTAGAAATCTATAAAGTGGAAAGATAGATTGGTGACAGAATTATTTTGATTGAACATATTTTTATGAACAATGAATGAGTTTATCTCAACTGACATGCTGCAGAATAACTACCAGATTTAAATGCTACATGGAAAAAAATTATTTGAAATTAAAGAATATGTTCAAAAGAACTATGAAATTGAAACAGAACTATCCGTAGCCAACCATCTTTAATAAATACTTGGTTAAAATGAAAAGATAATACCTTAAAAATCCAATCAATTAAAATCATCATATAATCTAACTTCTTTGCAAATTATATGGAATGCTGCTCTCAATATATTTATCAAACCACAATGAAAGAAATGTTTTTTTTTAAAATGTATCAAGTAACATAACTAATTAAATAAAAACATTTGTGCATGTACGGTGCATCAACTTCTATGAGTTTTGGAAATGTAACACCCTGATGGTTCATTAGTTGACATACCATGGACATGTGAAAAGATTAAGACCTAAATTTTCAAAATACTACTCTAATTTTGAATGTCCAACTTATGAAACCTAAGCCCTGATTTTTGGAAGTGCTAAGCACTCAAAATGTGTGAACAGTATTCTGAAAATGGAAAAGGAGTACTTGTGGCAATTTAGAGACTAACAAATTTACTTGAGCATAAGCTTTCGTGAGCTACAGCTCACTTCATTAAGGTGCCACTAGTACTCCTTTTCTTTTTGCGAATACAGACTAACACGGCTGCTACTCTGTTAATTGTATCCAGTTTGCAAATTAATTCCAATTCAGCAGTGTCTTGTTGGAGTCTGTTTTTGAAGTTTTTTTGTTGAAGAATTGCTACATTTAGGTCTGTAATCGAGTGACCAAAGAGATTGAAGTGTTCTCCGACTGGTTTTTGAATGTTATAATTCTTGACGTCTGATTTGTGTCCATTTATTCTTTTACATAGAGGTTGTCCAGTTTGGCCAATGTACATGGCAGAGGGGCATTGCTGGCACATATCACATTGGTAGATGTGCAGGTGAACGAGCCTCTGATAGTGTGGCTGATGCAATTAGGCCCTATGATGGTGTCCCCTGAATAGATATGTGGACACAGTCGGCAACAGGCTTTGTTGCAAGGATAGGTTCCTGGGTTAGTGGTTCTGTTGTGTGGTGGGTGGTTGCTGGTGAGTATTTGCTTCAGGTTGGGGGGCTGTCTGTAAGCAAGGACTGGCCTGTCTCCCAAGATCTGTGAGAGTGATGGGTCGTCCTTCAGGATAGGTTGTAGATCCTTGATGATGCGTTGGAGAGGTTTTAGTTGGGGGCTGAAGGTGATGGCTAGTGGTGTTCTGTTGTTTTCTTTGTTGGGCCTGTCCTGTAGTAGGTGACTTCTGGGTACTCTTCTGGCTCTGTCAATCTGTTTCTTCACTTCCGCAGGTGGGTATTGTAGTTGTAAGAATGGTTGATAGAGATCTTGTAGGTGTTTTTCTCTGTCTGAGGGGTTGGAGCAAATGCGGTTGTATCATAGAGCTTGGCTGTAGACAATGGATCGTGTGATGTGGTCTGGATGAAAGCTGGAGGCATGTAGGTAGGAATAGTGGTCAGTAGGTTTCCGGTATAGGGTGGTGTTGATGTGACCATCACTTATTAGCACCGTAGCGTCCAGGAAGTGGATCTGTTGTGTGGACTGGTCCAGTCCAAGGTTGATGGTGGGATGGAAATTATTGAAATCATGGTGGAATTCCTCAAGGGCTTCTTTTCCATGGGTCCAGATGATGAAGATGTCATCAATATAGCGCAAGTAGAGTCGGGGCGTTAGGGGACGAGAGCTGAGGAAGTGTTGTTCTAAGTCAGCCATAAAAATGTTGGCATACTGTGGGGCCACGCAGGTACCCACAGCAGTGCCGCTGATTTGAAGGTGTACATTGTCCCCAAATGTGAACCTCAGAAACAACTCTGACATCATAATCAAAAAGGCTGACAAAGGAGGTGCTGTTGTCATCATGAATAGGTCAGAATATGAACAAGAGGCTACTAGGCAGCTCTCCAACACCACTTTCTACAAGCCATTACCCTCTGATCCCACTGAGGGTTACCAAAAGAAACTACAGCACTTGCTCAAGAAACTCCCTGAAAAAGCACAAGAACAAATCCGCACAGACACATCCCTGGAATCCCGACCTGGGGTATTCTATCTGCTATCCAAGATCCATAAACCTGGAAATCCTGGATGCCCCATCATCTCAGGCATTGGCACCCTGACAGCAGGATTGTCTGGCTATGTAGACACCCTCCTCAGGCCCTACGCTACCAGCACTCCCAGCTACCTTCGAGACACCACTGACTTCCTGAGGAAACTACAATCCATCAGTGATCTTCCTGAAAACACCATCCTGGCCACTATGGATGTAGAAGCCCTCTACACCAACATTCAACACAAAGATGGACTACAAGCCGTCAGGAACACTATCCCCGATAATGTCATGGCAAACCTGGTGGCTGAACTTTGTGACTTTGTCCTTACCCATAACTATTTTACATTTGGGGACAATGTATACCTTCAAATCAGTAAAAAGAAAAGGAGTACTTGTGGCACCTTAGAGACTAACCAATTTATTTGAGCATGAGCTTTCGTGAGCCACAGCTCACTTCATCAGATGTGTACCGTGGAAACTGCAGCAGACTTTATATACACACAGTGGCACTGCTGTGGGTACCTGCATGGCCCCACAGTATGCCAACATTTTTATGGCTGACTTAGAACAATGCTTCCTCAGCTCTCGTCCCCTAACACCCCTACTCTACTTGCGCTATATTGATGACATCTTCATCATCTGGACCCATGGAAAAGAAGCCCTTGAGGAATTCCACCATGATTTCAACAATTTCCATCCCACCATCAACCTCAGCCTGGACCAGTCCACATAAGAGATCCACTTTCTGGACACTATGGTGCTAATAAGCGATGGTCACATAAACACCACCCTATCCCGGAAACCTACTGACTGCTATTCCTATCTACATGCCTCCAGCTTTCATCCAGACCACACCACACGATCCATGCTCTACGATACAACCGCATTTGCTCCAACCCCTCAGACAGAGAAAAACACCTACAAGATCTCTATCAACCATTCTTACAACTACAATACCCACCTGCTGAAGTGAACAAACAGATTGACAGAGCCAGAAGAGTACCCAGAAGTCACCTACTTCATGACAGGTCCAACAAAGAAAACAACAGAATGCCACTAGCCATCACCTTCAGCCCCCAATTAAAACCTCTCCAACGCATCATCAAGGATCTACAACCTATCCTGAAGGACGACCCATCACTCTCACAGATCTTGGGAGACAGGCCAGTCCTCGCTTACAGACAGCCCCCCAACCTGAAGCAAATACTCACCAGCAACCACACAACAGAACCACTAACCCAGGAACCTATTCTTGCAACAAAGCCCGTTGCCAACTGTGTCCACATATCTATTCAGGGGACACCATCATAGGGCCTAATCGCATCAGCCACACTATCAGAGGCTCGTTCACCTGCACATCTACCAATGTGATATATGCCATCATGTGCTAGCAATGCCCCTCTGCCATGTACATTGGCCAAACTGGACAACCTCTATGTAAAAGAATAAATGGACACAAATCAGACGTCAAGAATTATAACATTCAAAAACCAGTCGGAGAACACTTCAATCTCTTTGGTCACTCGATTACAGATCTAAAAGTTGCAATTCTTCAACAAAAAGACTTCAAAAACAGACTCCAGCGAGCGACTGCTGAATTGGAATTAATTTGCAAACTGGATACAATTGACTTAGGCTTGAATAAAGACTGGGAGTGGATGGGTCATTACACAAAGTAAAACTATTTCCCCATGTTTATTCCGCCCCCCCCCCCCCCCCGCTCCCACCGTTCCTCAGACGTTCTTGTCAACTGCTGGAAATGGCCCACCTTGATTATCACTACAAAAGGTTTTTTCCCCCCCGCTCTCCTGCTGGTAATAGCTCACCTTAAGTGATCACTCTGGTTACAGTGTGTATGGTAACACCCATTGTTTCATGTTATCTATGTATATAAATCTCCCCACTGTATTTTCCACTGAATGCATCCGATGAAGTGAGCTGTAGCTCACAAAAGCTTACGCTCAAATAAATTTGTTAGTCTCTAAGGTGCCACAAGTACTCCTTTTCTTTTTGTGAATACAGACTAACACAGCTGCTACTCTGTATTCTGAAAATGTAGGTCTAACCCTATTCTGGGAAGATATAATTGATGACATACACTTTCTGCCCATTTCTGGCCTTGGTTATACTAGTGCACTTGCCACTGATTTCCATGTAAACTGCAGGGGTGCAGTGAAAAAGTGATTTGTGCTTTTATTATGGCATTCCACAAACAAAACAACCCTCCCCAACCACACACACCAACAATACACATACACCATCAAACAACGTCCTCCTACCTTTGTTTAAAAGGGATTGAAGTATGTTAAATGTGACATGCCACCAAAAGAAAAACAAGGAATTGCCTAGTTATGGGACATTTAACCATGCCCTAATGCCCACACAAGAAGCTTCTACTGACAGAGACAGACTACATAGTCCCAGAGAACTTATTTCTTCCTCCAAGTAATAAGAAAAAGTTCAAATCCATCATTACAAGCTCAGCAACATTAGCAAATATTGAGGGTTGGCATATAAGCAGAAGTTACGTGTATAGTGTGTTATGTATGTGTGAGGAAAGCATGAGCTCAGAATTAAGGTTTGTACCAGAGGCAGGATGTATCAACCATCCCATTTTATAAACAAGTTAACACAATTTACAAGAAGATCTTGTGAAAACAAGCTTTCATGAGATCCAGTAAAAGTCATTAAATGAACTGTACATATCCAAATGGGCACTTTAAAAAAGGTATATATTGTTAAATTCTTGATGCAAAAATTTTGCAGTTTTGTTTTAAAATTGTGTTGCTGGGGCAAGTTAACTTATGGTTCCCCTTTTAAATTTACTGTTTATTGTCAAACCACAATGAAAATAAGAGATTACATTTTAAGAGAAATATAGCCATTTTTTAAGGATACCTCCATAATGTCTTGTTTTTCATCTGCTGCAAAAAGATTAGGTACTTCTCCAGTATTGAGAACACTGTCAATATCTTCCAAGAAAGCTTCTTCTTTAATCTGTGTGTCTGTGATTATAAACACAGTTTTCAAGCCCTTCATGCCTGCACTCTTCAGAAGGTTCTATAAGGTTCAAAAAATTAACTTTAAGTCGATTTGAAAGTATGGCACACTCTGGAACACACTTCTTGAAAATTAAAACCAGAACACATGCCTGTTAATCATGGGCGGTGGGTGAAACGTCCCATGGGGAGGCAAGCTCCTTGTCCTGCCTCTTCCGTCCACAGCCCCGCCCACACTCCACCCCTGCTCTGCCCCAGATCCCGCCCCCACCCACCACTGACTCGCCACTCACCTCTTCACCCTTCCAAGATCCCCCCCTCTGCTCACCTCCTCCCCACCCGCTGCTCGCCTCCTCCCCCTCCCCCCGCGCCAGACCCTTTCCCTGCCCGCTATGAGACCCCCACCACCACCTGCTGTGCAGCTGGCTTGCCACTCGCCTCCTCACCCTGCAGCTGCCCCCCACCCCGTGACTACCTCCCCCCTTTTCACCTTAAAACACTAATAACATTCCCCAAGGGAGCTGAACAGGCAACAAGTATAGCTCAATTGCCAGATAGATTCTCCTCTGGGTGGCAGGGAGTTCGGGGTATGCTATATAGAGAGAGATGAAAAGCCAGGCTACCTGCACCAACCTGAAGCCTAATCTCTCCTTTTGAAAAAGTGCTTGTCATTGACAGCCTGCATTAAGGCAGTAGTTTAATCACTTTTCTTACACAAAATTCCCTGCCAGACTCGTTTACTTAAACTGGGTTTGAATAAAATGCCTAGATCAAGAAATAAACTCACTAGCTATGTCAGCTCCTCCTTGAGCCAGGTTAACACTTACTTCTTCTGGGTACAGAGAATAACTGAAGGGTTGTCATTTGGAAACTGTTTTTAATCCCAATAATACATTTTCCTACAATATAAAAGCCAGCTGAATGTGGCCAAAGGCTTCCTGGGCATTGGCAAATACCTGTTAAATGGCTTCATTACTACTTTAATGGCTCTTTAACAGTTGCAGTGATCTCTGCTACTAGGTCTCTGGAAGGCTTTTTCACTGTGTAAAGTTACTCAGGGATCCCCTCCGCTCACCTTCTCACTCCTTCCATCCACGTCTGCCACTGACTCCCTGCTGGCATTCTCACACATACACACACGCCCCGCAGGAAGGAGGGGGTGAGGAGAGATGTGGCTGGCAGCTGTGGGGACCTCCAAAGGGAAAGAGGATGGGGTAGAGGAGGAAGATTCACCCCAGGCAGCAGCAGCAAGCCATGGGAGCTTCAGGGAAGGGTCAGAGCAGGGAGGGGAAGAGGCGATAGGGTGGGGGCACCAGAGCCTAGGTGTCGGGTAGCAGGGATGGCTGTGCTAGTGGAGGCAATGCCTCCCCTTGCCTATTATACCTGCCACCCATTATGTTAACACTCACCTTCAGATCTTCTCTCCATTCATTCATACCATAGCTCTTAGAGATCTCTGGCTGAAAAATATACATTTTTGCCATGGCTGTAGCCAAACGGGTCAAAGACTGACGTCCACTCCCTCCCATTCCAACCAGTAAGACATTGCCACCTGACTGCTTTAGAATACGACTTATCCGAGACAAATGTTCCAACACGTACCTGACAATGAAATAGATTAAACATCATGATGAAAAGAGACAAAGTACATTTATAAATGTTTTACATTTTTCTAAGCTAATATTTTTATGTTCTGTCAATAAGTCTGGGAGATGAGAACAGAAAGTCATGTTTGCCCAACTTCCTGCCCAGAAGAGTACCTCCAAAGCTGGATATGTAGCCATTAAACCAATCTTTCATAACTGTTGTGACAACTATATACACATCACCCGATCACTAAATATAAGCTTTAGGAATTAGTGGGCTTGGACTGATGGAGATGTCAATCTAAAAGAAGAAATCAACAGATAAGGAAATTTCCAAGTCTAAAGCACAGTTGCTCTGTTAGTCCTAACTTTTGGGAAATATCAATAGTATGAACAGAATAGGGAAGAATACATGGGAAAGAATATGGGATAGGTCAATGTTTTCCCCCTTCAAAATGCATTTTGTTGCTGATTTTGGGAAACACAGAATTGAGCAATTTCTTTAAAAGGTGGCATCTGGAGATGACTGAATGAAAGTTAGTGCACTGGAACAGCGAAAAAGCTATTTTCCCATCCTCATATTTGAACAGTGTGTCAGAAAGGAGATGAAGAGGAAGACCACCAAAAGTAAGAGTCTTGCTTTCAACCTTGGCTGGGAGAGGGGTAAGAATTCCTTCCTAAGGAAGCACAAAACTCATTTAAGAAGATGAAGGGGGACACCATTTAAATTGGTTTCAAAAAAGTTCAATCATCTCAAAGAAAGCAAATTCTGACTTATCCTGAAAAGCCAGTTCAGGATATTTTTTTATGTGCTTGGTCACTAGGAGACCAGTGGCTTGGTCTGATCAGCCTAGAACCTCACAGGAGGAACTGCAGCTGTGATTAGTAGGGCATGGCTGTGCATCCCCTCTCAGACTTGGAATTCCTTTCCCTGGTGAAATGAGGGTCCAGAAGCCACAAGCAAAAGTGGTGGAATTCTCCCCTAACAGATAGTTAGAGAGTCACTTCACAGCTAAAAGAAAAAGAGTATTTGTGGCACCTTAGAGACTAACCAATTTATTTGAGCATAAGAAAAGTACTCCTTTTCTTTTTGCGAATACAGACTAACATGGCTGCTATTCTGAAACTTCACAGCTATAGTATCATCTGGATCTAGTGCAGCACTTCTAAATTACAAACATGAGTGCTCCTGCAAAGGGTCCCTGGGGAGAAAAATGTTACTTCAAACATCAGTTAACTGAAGAAATAAGCAGAGACATGAAAGGAAAAGATCACTGCTTACCCACCTACTCCCTTTCCCCACCAAAAAAGGAAAAATAAAGTCAGTTGAAAATAACAAAGCAGGATTGCTCGTCTCCCATCAGAACAGAACTTCTGGTGCAAAGTGTAGTGCATTTGCTTCCCAGTAAAATCATTTGAATTGCCCCCAGCATCCGCCAAGAGGTAATGTAATCAGCGACAGTTTGGTGGAGACATGTAAAGGGTAAGAGAGAGGTAAAAAGTGTACTTCTCAAAAATGAATATTATTACAAAGTTGTTTATTGCCTAAAGCTGTTAATAATGCCAAGTATGTGCACCTGAAAATTACAAGGTTCATTCTTGTCTTGTGAGTTTGGTTATATTCTTCCAAACACTGCTCTACAACATCACTGAACTGTTGAACACTTGGAATTTCAACATAAAGTCTTTCATCTCCTTCAAGGTCAGGGTTCATGTAATCACCAAATACCAGACTTCTCATGTCTTCTTCAGTAACCTATGGTATAAAATCAGTAAATTGCAAAGTGAAACTTAATTGTCATTTTCCTACATGGACTAATTAATGAGCAATACATTAGCACACTTTAGAGATCACACTTCCTAGTCACAATACTGATCCAAGTAGACAAGCCCTTTGATACAAGTAACCATTTTTGTTGTTTACTGGATAAACTTTTTTTTTTGTATTGGGGTGTTTTATCAGTGTTTATTGATTAAAACAAAAAATCAAAATCCCTACTAATAGGTCATGTCCAACTCTAGTAAATATTTATTTATTTATTCATTGAACACAATTAATTAAAATGCTGTTCATAGTCTCATGCACAAACATAATCAAAACTTTCAGGATATAACACAGAGGTATGGGTAGCACCCTTCTTCCTCATCTTAGGAAGTAATAACTTGAGCCATAAGGTAAGTTCCTTGTCTACACAGCCATTAAATGGCAAAAGAGAGTGGGAAAAACATATTAAAAAACAAAAATCATCCAAAAAACTAGAATGTGATCACAACAAAAAACAGATTGTTCACCTTTATCGGTCCCTTAGAATTTGTATTTACTATGCTAAACAATCTATTCCACCTTGTATTTAGCTATGACACTCCAAGTGCCTTTCACAGGCCTGAAGAAGAACTCTGTGTAACTTGAAAGCTTGTCTCCTTCACTAATGGAAGTTAGCAATGTTTTAATGCAGAAGTTCATCCATCCTAGCTTCTGTGTAACTGGACTTTTTCTTTCTATTTTTAGACTCCTGAATATCTCAAATAAAGAATCTGCCTAAAAGGGCAAGTCCTAAGCAAAAAAAAAAAACGGTTAGGTTCAAATAATACTTAAATTATGCCAAAATATCCTTTAAGGGACTTTGAATATGGACAAAACTTGGGAGGGAAATATGAAATGCGGAGCCAGGCTTGGGGGTGAATCCTGGGACTAATATGTGGGACAGCTGTGCCTTTATGAAAAATAAGGAATAGTTCTTTATGACAGAAAGCAGTGAGATCCCCAACATGTCTGATCAAAGTAATAGCTGCTGAGGCTGCACAGAAAGGAACCAGTGGAGAGCACTGACTGAGTTTTGTCTCCAGTGATCCAGTTATATGAGGCACAAGAGGGAGCTGATCTGCTGAGAGAGAAACCTGGAGCAAGAGCTCCCATCTGGGCCACAAGGAAGGTAGGCTGCAGTACCATAGGCCTTATGCCCTATCAAGAGAGGCAGGACTGGAGCTCAGGACAACCCTCAGTCACACTGTGGGCAGAACAAGAGACCTCATTACAATTTCTGCAACAGGGCCTTGAGGAATATTTGGTGTGTATCATGAGGAGCTGGAGCGTTTGTCTTGGATGAAGTAGAAGGAAAACTAAAGAGCTTCAATAAGTTGCAAGAGGAAGCTCTGCAGAGAAGAAAATGACCTGGTAATTGGTCTGCCTATCAGCATGAAACCTAAAGAAGGAAGACCACTGATGCAGACTTGAGAATAGAAAAGAACAGAATTATATATATATATACACACTATCAATAAATCAACTACACAGACATTATTATGAATTAATCTCAGTGTGCAAGACCTCTAACACATAATATACAAAGTCACATAAACTAAAGGTGTATCAGTCAAGCCTTTAAAAGTGACATACTAATCTGGTTATTCAAACTAGTCCAGAAATTTTCACAAGTCACATCACAGTTTTCTTAAATTTTCAAAAAGATGAAAAATAATTAATTTCCTAGAGTGCTGAAATGCCAGGTATCCTCTTCCCACCCCCCTGACAAGCATGCTATATTCATTTGTTTTATTCTGATTTCCAACAAATATTTTCCTAGCAAAACACAAAAAATTAAATAATTCAATACTATGAATGCCTTGGAAGTGAAATAAACATAACTTTTTTTTTTTTAAAAGTAATGCAGGTAACAAAAAGTACAAACCTTAAGCCTACCTCTTGCCAGCAGGAAAGAAGAGCAAAACCTTTGTTGTAGGTTTGGGGGTTGTTTTGGGGTTTTTTTTTTTTAAATCATGCAACATGCTCCAACAGAGAAGGGCACCAAGACAGATGAGATAGAACCGAGATAAAATAGCCACTGCTAAAATTCAGACATTATGATACAGAAAATAATAAAAATTAATTGTTTTGTAATGGAAAATGTGATTACTTACAGGTGCGTTCCCTTGCCTTAGATGTGCAAAAACAATGTCAAACGCTTCTTTGAAATGGTCTTTCACTATGTCTCTCATTATTTTGAACAACCAGGCTCTATCAGAGTCATCCACAAGTCGGTCATAAAATACTCGAAATACTTCATGCACAAACAGACGAATCATTGTATGCTTGGTTTCAACTGATTCTTTTTTAATGAGTAAGCAGCCTTGGACAACACGTGAAAAGTCACGCAGGTTGAATGTGTAATGTGATTTGGCTGGTGTTGGGAGCAGGTTTTTCATGGCTTTCTTATATACCTTAAATATGAAAAATGAACAAAAACATTTATTATACTATCAACATGCATCATCACAATATCAGATAATATATGGTATACTCCCTACAGTTGTCTGGAACATTTCATCTGTCTTTAGTTCATGCTGTGTGATGAAATGGAGACGTTTGTTAAGAATATTACATTCAGTGTAATGAACACTGTTAGCAGGCATTTTTCCCATCTGCTCTAAGATAGAGGCTACATGCCCTGTGTAGGGTCAAAATATTAACCCAATTAACAGACAAATTAACAATAAAACAATAAAATTTAGTCCAAATCTTCTCCCCAGGCCTGGTCCTAGGTTCTTAGTTTAGGGTTGCTCAGTTCTTCTGCTATAACCTCTCCATCTCAGACCAAAAGCTGTCAAGGTAGCCCAACTCCAATGCTTCCTGTCTTTAATTTTACTTAACCCAGACTTTCTGTTTTGACAAGTGTTGTGCAGCAGGGGGCTATTCAGTCCCTGCTTCCAGAATGGGATATTACCCCTTTTTGTCCCAAGTGGGATTTTTGTCCATCCCATCACATGCACTGTTGGAACCCAAACAAATTATTCTTTAAAAAAGGAACAAATAAATTATCCTGTCACACTGGTGTAACAGAAGAGAATATACCAAAAGCCCTTTGAAAAAAAAGAAAGAAAGAAAAAATGAAAATTAAAAGTTAATTCTTGTTCTCTGAAGCTATATGTCATAACACATTACCATTCTCTTAGAGTCCAGGCTCCAGAGTAAGACTGGCAGGTTCTTATATTGGTGCCCATAGTTCATAATCCTAAAACTGCTGGCTTCAGCAGGGGATGGCTCTTGCAGTGGACCATCTTGAGGGTGAGACAGTGCAATTAGCATTCCGAAAGGGGCTCAAAAAAGAGGATCCAAGAGGTTTAGGAGGACAATATTAGGGCCCCATGCTGGAGTCGATTCTCTAGCCTTGGCTAAGTATGTAATGGGCCTTGAGAAACTTCGATACCATTGGGTGAGAAAAGACCATGCATAACTGTACTAGGGGATGACAAGTTGAAACTGTTGCAAGGTGAACCACGATGGACCTGAAGGAAAGGCCAGAATGTTTTTAATGCAATATGCAGCCAAGGATTTTCAATATCAAAACATATAGTTATTCTAGATTGTGCTGGACTGGTCATATTGAAAATCTCTTCAATTTCAAGGAGTAATGATTTTTTCCAAATGGCATTCTACTTTGTATAAGTATTTCTTGCAATGAGCAGTTTCTGTCATGGTTACTCAACCAGCTAACATCCAGGCCATCAGATGCAGTGACTTTTGGTCTGGATGATCATCTAACCATGATTCTGAAACATCATGTTTGGACAGTAAGAGAGTGGAATACGAGGTTGAAAAGACACATCTGTAACAGATCTGTCAGCTAAAGCTACCATGGCCAAAAAGAAGCTATAAAGATAAGTGTGCTTCTGTCCTATCTGATCTTGGCTATCACCCTGGGAATCAGGAGAATTGGTGGAAAAAGCATACAGGAGGTCTCAATTCCATGAGACAAGGACGGCATCAGGTAATGATCCCAGGCTCACGCCCCCTATTGAGCAAAAGTTGCCCTCGGTGGTGAACAGGTCTGTCATAAATATAAAGGGAAGGGTAAACCCCTTTGAAATCCCTCCTGGCCAGGGGAAAGCTCCTCTCACCTGTAAAGGGTTAAGAAGCTAAAGGTAACCTCGCTGGCACCTGACCAAAATGACCAATGAGGAGACAAGATACTTTCAAAAGCTGGGAGGAGGGAGAGAAACAAAGGGTCTGTGTGTCTGTCTGTATGCTGGTTTTCTGCCGGGGATAGACCAGGAATGGAGTCTTAGAACTTTTAGTAAGTAATCTAGCTAGGTATGTGTTAGATTATGATTTCTTTAAATGGCTGAGAAAAGAATTGTGCTGAACAGAATAACTATTTCTGTCTGTGTATCTTTTTTGTAACTTAAGGTTTTGCCTAGAGGGGTTCTCTATGTTTTTGAATCTAATTACCCTGTAAGATATCTACCATTCTGATTTTACAGGGGGGATTTCTTTATTTCTATTTACTCCTATTTTTATTAAAAGTCTTCTTGGAAGAAAACTGAATGCTATTTCATTGTTCTCAGATCCAAGGGTTTGGGTCTGTGGTCACCTATGCAAATTGGTGAGGCTTTTTATCCAACATTTCCCAGGAAAGGGGGGGGTGCAAGTGTTGGGAGGATTGTTCATTGTTCTTAAGATCCAAGGTCTGGGTCTGTAGTCACCTAGGCAAATTGGTGAGGCTTTTTACCAAACCTTGTCCAGGAAGTGAGGTGCAAGGTTTTGGGAAGTATTTTGGGGGGAAGGACGCGTCCAAACAGCTCTTCCCCAGTAACCAGTATTAGTTTGGTGGTGGTAGCGGCCAGTCCAAGGACAACAGGTGGAATATTTTGTACCTTGGGGGAAGTTTTGACCTAAGCTGGTAAAGATAAGCTTAGGAGGTTTTTCATGCAGGTCCCCACATCTGTACCCTAGAGTTCAGAGTGGGGGAGGAACCTTGACAAGGTCCATTGTGGGAACTTTCCATTGGTTGAATATGAGCTCTATGATGGGCCTCTGCAGAAACCATTCTGCTTGTGATGAATTGTTTGCTTAAGTTGCCTGCTTCATTGTTGCTGACTCCAGAGAAGCGAAGAGCTGTCAGGTTATCCTGGGCTCAAGGGTGCCAGAACCTTTGTAGAAGTGGGGGAACCACTGGTGCTGAAACCTGGGGGAGGAGGGGGGCATACCATCCACTTTTTTTTAGCCTGGGTGTAGTCGGGGGGCAGAAGACCGCAATGCCCGCCCAAATTGCAAGCCTCGGGCAGGCACGGAGCGGGGTCAGCGGCAGCATTTCCCCCACAAAGTACGCCCATGTTTAAAAGTTGGGGCATGACCCTCCAGCTTTTAAAAGTGGGGAGACCATGGCCTCCCATCCTGCCCCCTGGTTCCAGGGCTGTTGCCTGGGCTGATGACAACATGTCCGTAACTTGACATCTTCTTGACAGAGGGATGATGTGCAGGTGCCTTCTTGTTTGTATAGGTAGTACACTATAGAGGTGCTGTCTATCAAGATTTGCACTGTGGAATTTTGAGGAAGAGGTAGGAATGTCATGCAGGAAACCATTATGATCTGTGAGCTTCAGGACATCTCATGTCATCCTGGAAGCAGGTCCCCTACATCTGGAGATTGTCTAGATAACCCCCAACCTCCTCTTGATACGTGTATGACTATGTCATGGTCAGGGGCGGGGGGGCGTGAGAAAGGTACCCCTCTACATATGGTCTTGGGGCTAGCCACCAACTCAGCTCTGAGATGATGTGAAGTGGAACCACAACTTCCTTGTTTATCTAGTGTCCCAACAGGGAATGCACTGATCTTAGATTTGTAGAGGCCACAGATGAAGTCTGGCAAGCAGTGTCACACATATGCATGCAGACATGTGACCTAGCAGACCAGAAAAGTCCATAGTATCATGGCCAGATTTTATCTTACTCCATTCAGTACTGATTGCAGGGACAAGAACCTGTTCTCGAGGAGAGATGGTTTTGCCATCTAGGCCTGGGGCGAGAGATGATTTTTCATAGTTCACCAGGAGGTGTAGTTGGGCAAACAAGGAGAGGACTAGCTGTTACCATCTTTTGCTAGGATCCTTCACTTATCAGCCAGTTGTCTCAATATGAGTAGACATCCAGGCCTTTCATCTTTATGTGTGCCCCCTACCATTTCTAGGAGTTTTGTGAAGACTGCTGGGGCCATGGAGAGTCCCAATGGCAGTACTCTGTGGATTGATAATGGTTGAGTCTTACTGTGAACGGTTGGGCCTTACTTCCTGGGGACCAAATGAATAGAGGTGTGGAAATACCTGGCCTGTAAGTTGACAGCCATGAACCAGCCTTGAGCATGAAGAGAGGGAATGATGGGGGCAAGTGTTACCATCCTGAATCAGAGACAGCGCATAAAGACTCATTAGGGCCAGGATAGGAAGAAAATCCCTTTTCTTCCTCACAATAAAGAATTATCAGGAATAGAACCCTCTTCTCCAGTACATCTGCAGTACCGTCTCTATGGCTCCTAGAAGACGCAGTGAGGCCACATCTGTTTATAGTAAGCTCTCTTGAGAAAATTTCCTGAAGAAGGATGGGGAAAAGGAATGGATAGAGGGCAGGGATTGGAAATGGATTGGGTAAACATGGGTGATGATCTCTAGCACTCATGTGTTGGATGCGTGGCAGATCAAACTCAGTTGTAGAGAGCAATGCAGCTTCCAAAGATTGCCTTCTACTCTGGACTGGTTCTGGTGTGGCTCCTGACAGTCCTCACAAATCCGCTGTCCTGAAGCAGATGCATAGTGTGTTATGAGGAGGTGATGCATGGCTTCTTGCTGAGTAGATAGCAGGGTTGGCTTGGCTGGTACAACATAGTTCCCTGCCTCGTCTGAGGTGAATATTGGTAAGGTTTATGATAAGAGGCCGGTGTGTACCTCCCCAAGGAGCACAGAGTGGCTCTCAGATCATTCAGGAAATGTAAAGCACTATCCATGTATTCACTAAATAGCTCCATCGACTGAAGAGCAGGTCTTCTTTTGTGACTTCCATCTCCTTGGGTATGTCTGAAGCCTGTAACCATAAGGCTTTTTGTATCATTATGGCTGTAGCCATGGATCTGCCCTTCATGTCCAAGGTGAAAGTGGCTGCCTGGAGAGTAGGCTTAGGCACTTATTAGCCACCCCTGTCTGTGACCTTAAGCTCTTTCTTACTATCTTGTGAAAGCATGGCTAAGAATGGTGACACTGTCCCACTTTAAAAAGTTGTACTCAGCCAAGAGAGCTTGATAATTAGAAATACAAAGTTTCAGGGAGGCAGAGGAGTGATCTTTCCTTCCAAAAAGGTCCCATTTTTTAGACCTTTCTCCTTTGTGGACTAGATTTTACCTGGACCACAGAGACAACTAATTATCTAATGGGGTGACAGAAAAATATTCAACCTTTTCTGTGGGACTTGGTACAGTTTCTCAACCCTTTTTGTTGTGTCAGGAATGGTGGTAGCTTTCTTCCATAGATCTTCAGTTGGGTTGTGTATTTATCATTTATCAGGAGGGCAATTCTAGCAGAGTCTAATGCAGTCAGGATGTTGAACAATTTATGGGGCTTCTCCTGTATCACCAAAATCTTGATGTCCAACATATCTGCTATCCTCAACAACAGCTCTTGGAAAGCTTTGCAATCAGCCAGGGTCGGTATGAGAACAATCACTTTGTCTGGTGATGATGACAAGAAAAGTCTTTTGGAAGTAAGGGAGCATAGTGTCATTCTCCTGGTCCCATCTGACTGCACCAGATACTCCGTTCTGCCTGGTGTCAGTGGTCTGGCCAGGAATGTTATCTGAGAATTTGATCTCCTCCATTTCCTGGAGTGAAATGGTGACCATCTTCTGGAAGCTTGAGACAATGGTCCCCAGTATGCCTAAAAGGGCTATGGTGGCATGCCATAAGGGCATGACTGGCTCACATGGTGTCCACTGCTAGTCATAGTGAGGCTGTGACTCAGCTCTAAAAGAAAAGCTGCCCAGACTCTCCAGTGAGTTACCTGCTGACCTCTGATGCAATTTCCTACTAGGAAAGGAAGATGATTGTCCAGTAAAGCAGAATGAGTAGAAGAATTAGCCAATATTAAGGAGTAGCAGATTGGACATTGCTAGATTCCATCATGCCTCCATAGGCAATACAAGGAAACTGAGGGACAGCTGCGGACACTCCGCCCTTACGCCCTTGCACGGGAGCACAAGCAGGCACTAGGTGGAGGTGCAGCCCCAAAGGACACTGCTATTGGAAAGACTCCAATCTTGCAGACATGAAGTGTGATGTGTACCGATAGTGGTACCCACACTGACACATAAGTTTCCAGCAAAATAAAGCTTTACCCATAAAAATAAGTTAACTTAATATAAATAGATGCCGTTGAATTGTCTATACTTTGAAAATAGTAATGGGGACTAGACTTCCCAAACTCTAATATCATCAGTTAAATCAATCTGGAACCCATAGAACTTTACCAAGTAATAGAAAATAGAACTTTCAGGAAAGTATTTGTTTCTTACCTCCATTGTGCCACTGACAATTTGGTTTCCAATTGTGAAGAATTCAGGAGCAAATTCGTTATTCCTAAGGTAGAAAGCTACTATGGTAGAGAAGATACGGACCATAGTTTCATCACTAAAGGAGTTAATGGTGCAAATGTTGAAGTGTCGCAGAAAACGAGACGTAACAGGATTCCTCCCACCTCCTGGAGGTCCCATAGCAGCTATCAGTTGTATGTCAACCAGTGTAATTTTATTTGTGTCCTTTAAGTCGTACCTTCAAAACAAATTACAATATATTTAGACAATTACAGATACAACAAATCAGTCCTAATGCAAGTAGTCTGATACATCTGCACTACAGAATTTTTTAGATATGATACCTTAGGCCTCAATTCTACAAAGACAGCAATGCACATGAACCCTTGAGTTGACTTCAGTGGAGCTTCACGTGGGGTCAAGGACCCACATGTTTTGCTTTGAAGCATTGAGGCCCAAATCATTAGTTTTAATCTGGGATTCACAATTCCATCCCATCCCACAGTTTTGTGTGACAACAACTAATAGATAGATTGTAAGCTCTCAGGGACAGGGATAATTTTTTTTGTTCTGTGTTTATACAGACCTAGCACAATAGAGTCCTGGTCCATGATTAGGGCTTCTAGAAGCTCTGATAACACAAATAAATAATAGCTAATGACAATGTCAACTGGAGTGTTATACTTCCTGTATTCAAGAGCAACAGATACCTGCAGGGATGAAAATGCTGGGGGATTTAGGTTCTTCCTTTTGCTATATTCCCTAAAATGTAAGGGTTTTTTTAATTTAAAAACACATATTTCTAGGCCTCCTGGTTGGAAAGTTAGTCTTCATATCATAAAAGGGCACTTTTATTTACACAATCAGGTAGACTGAAATAATACATCAGCGTAGAAGTGTGAACTTTGCCTACATCTGTTGTTATTTATACAATGCCAGTTATAGCATAGACCAATAGAGTTGATGGGTACCTGCCTCAATGAGTTTACACTTTTATTTTATCTTGAAAGAACATTAACTTCAAAGCTTATGTTGGAGCATTTAAATACTTACAAATTTGAAACAATTTGACCAATATGCAGTAGTTTAACCACGTGAATTTAAATACATTGTTTTGCACTATACATGATGACATATTTAACCAACAAATTAGTATAGAAACATAAACAATTATTTATGAATTCATGGTCCTTAAAGATCTACTAATTTTCTTTATTTACTTTCTTCAAAATTTATGATCCAAATCAGTTATAAGTGGATTCTTTAAACAGTTAAAATTAATGCTCTGAAAAAGAAACAAAAAAGTATCTCTGAACTTTCTTTCTGAAGTTCCAAAATTTTCCATGCCTTATATTTGTACAGAATTAAAAGAACTGGAGGAGATTAATTTGCAGAGAAAGTCCAGAAACACTATGAGTGTACTCGCTGGAAATGAGACAGCTAAGGAAGATAGTAATAGAAGTCTTCAAAACACTAAAATTAGATATTGTGGGTAGAGCTGGATAACCTTTTTTTGAATTAATTTATAAAACCCAGGACTCATGGACAGGCTAAAAAAGGGAAATTGAAGGCAAAATTATTCTGGCAAAAAAGTTTTCACTAGAACTGAGCAAGTAGTATATAACAATTTCTGTTTGTAGAATATTCATGAGCAGATGACTTCTAATTTATTCATTGATAGTTTTAAAAGTATTTTCATCTTTGTGGATATATTGCAGACAGTATGCTGTAAGTATTCAATACTTGATATTTGCCATCCAAGTTGTGTTGCTTCATTAAGATTAGTCAGATGAGTCACAACACACATCGTTTTTAACAAACATTTGTGTGACATGGGCAGTCATTATCAAATATCAGAGGGGTAGCTGTGTTAGTCTGTATCCGCAAAAACAATGAGGATTATGCCCAAATAAATCTGTTCATCTTTAAGGTGCCACCAGACTCCTTGTAGTAATTATCAAAGTTTGATGCATAGGTATTCACCAAAACTGAATTTTAATTTCAAGCACTAAGTTTGCATTTATTCTTTTGGGAATAAAAACAATCATAAAGGGATCGTGTACATGCTGGAGCAAATTCATTAAAATTTTTAGCAAATCTTTAAAGATTTTTTACAATATTTGCCCACCAATAGCTTTCAAAACACCTCTGATAAGTACACTAATAAGAGAGTTGTACAGATTGCTAATTTTTAAAATTGCTGGCAGGTCTGAAAAAATTGTTTTGCTCTACCAAAAACGAAATATTTTGTACAGATATCAAGATATTTTAAAATAAAATTAAAGAAAATTTCTAAGTGAGAAGTCATTTTGAATTAAAAAAAAATCAAAACATTTAATTTTGAAACCATTCAGCAAAATTTACACAAATTAATTAAATGTTTTGGTTGTTCTGAATCTGCATTTGCTTAGTGGTTTGAGCACTGGCCTACTAAACCCAGGGTTGTGAGTTCAAACCTTGAGGGGGCCATTTAGGGATCTGGGGCAAAAATTGGGGATTGGTCCTGCTTTGAGCAGGGGGTTGGACTAGATGACCTCCTGAGGTCCCTTCCAACTCTGATATTCTATTTCTATTTCCAATTTTTCGCCAAGAAAAGTTTCATCCAAAACATTTTGCACTGCTCTAGTCACTAGGAGCGACTAACATGGCCATATTTTAAAAAATTGAGCAAGTCCTTAACAGGAAAGATTAATGGCTATTAGGAGTACAGTCACTAGATCTGTAGCAAGGTTGGACTCAACGTTCAGGCCCTCTTTTCAGGCCACATGTTCCAACTATTTTACACTATCTATAAATTTAAGAGAATCCTGGAAGCCATGATTAACTGGCAGATGAAATTTAAGATTAACTGATTCAACAACTGGATTTCAGACAACAGCACAAATCACTGATTTCATTTGCTGAATTGATTAAATGCCATTGCAACTTCAATGGTCACAACCCTGTTAGGTCTGGAAGGTCACTCTGAGAGAAGGAATGGTGGGGAAAATAAATACAAAAGTGGGACTAAAACTGGAGAGAAAAAAAAACAAAACTTATGAGTGTATGACTAAAAAGCAAAATAAGGATTATTTAAAATGTAAATAATTTTAAAATGACAATGTTATAAAAGAATAAAAATAGCATTTATTTTTAAGAGAACAATTCTGAAAATTAAATTGAAGTTAATAAATAATGATAATGGCAAAATTATCCACTAATTTTCTGTAAGCTTTAGATCTGTCTTGAATAGTTACCAAATTCCATGGTCAAAAAACTGTCTTAAAAGTTCAATAGGCGGCTGAGCTCCATATTTCTCCAATGCAGGCATATTCATATCATCTACAAAGATGACACACTTTTTTCCCATAGGAGGGCCAAATACTCCTTTGCGTCTTTTGTCCAGTCTCGCCATAATAATGTTCTAAAAAACAAAATGGGACTATTTAAAGCATTGATTTAATATGCAGCCCAACTATATTACATAATGGAATATAAATAGTGTACTGAAACAGTTCATGGCTTTAATAATTAAGAAAATGCAGAATTGGAAAATACAGATATGAATATTAACTTTTTGTATTCCTCTTTGTCTTGTTATTTGGTGAGCTTACTAAAATGAAAAAAATTATAATGTGTTTTAATTTATTTCTGATTTCAAGTTTGCTTCCTCCTGATTTTAGTGGTCCTACTTATCTGCTGAAAGTTGAGCATATGCTTAAATGCTCCACTATGTCAGGGCTCAGCACCTCAGAAGATTGAGCCCTAAAACTTTCCTGGCCTTAATCTTACAATTTGCTCTTTGTGGGTGACCATACTGCTACACCCACACAGAATCACAATGGTATGTCTACTCATATTTAATTACAAGATCAGGTCCTTAATTTGATGGTGTCAAGGAAACCACTCACAGCAGAGATATAGTACTATCTCGGTGAACAACAAAGGGAAATTTGGACTGTGGGAAAAATTTCTTTAACAGGAAAAAGAAGAACTATCCACGAACAGGAAAATTACTCCAGATTTATGTAGGATTTCAACACACTGCAATTACAAAAAACATTTAATATATTAAACAACAGAGAAAACATATGGTACAAATTTCTACAAAACTGGTCACCCACCTTTGTAATCGTACTTACAATTTTCAAACCAAAGAACCCTGATGAGACCCATTTGCACTGGCATCAGGCAGAAAAGTTTGCACAAGCAAATCCCTTTGTGGGATCAAAACCAAAGCATCTGCATAACCAAAAACTGTGTAGCATTTGGGTATATAAATCAAGTACTACAGTTAGATGATTACAGTAACCATTCATTTTGTCTGGTCAAATGTAGATTGCACACATCCTCCTGAGTTTTTGTGCTTACAAAATGCTTATTTTGAGAAACTATATACATAAAAACTTAGCTATGAAAGCCAGTGAGCAGGTAACATCTTAGTGTATGCTTTGATACTAGAGCAGTAAATGTTGAAACTTCCAGGTGTTTATTACAATTTTTGGAGTGTGATATCAAAAAAAGCAAAGCAAATTTAAACATCAGGTTGTTTTAAAAATTAAAAAAAAAAAAACAACCAAAACCCCCAATTTCACTAATATGCCATTTAGCCACATTCTCATTCTTAATGATAAGGGTTAGCTTTGTTGAATCATAATAAATCATTTCTGGAACTTTTTTATTACTTTATATTCTTTTCCAAAGCAGAGAATTTTTATTTATTTATCTTAGATTTCTAAAATCAAGTCCAGCTTACGTCTCTGAACACATATACACAAATGAAATAAAACCACAAAGATTTGGTGACAAATATCAAATAAACATTAGGAGGCTTAACCCCAATTAAACCAAGCTATATGCTTATCCACTAAGGGTTTGTCTACACTGGCAATTTACAGCGCTGCAACTTTCTCGCTCAGTGTTGTGAAAAAAAAACACACCCCTGAGCGCAGTAAGTTTCAGCGCTGTAAAGTGTCAGTGTAGACAGTGCCCCAGCGCTGGAAGCCGTACTCCCAGCGCTGGTAGCTACACCCCTCCTGGAGGTGGGTTTTTTAGAGCGCTGGGAGACCTCTCTCCCAGCGCTCTGCTGCGATCACACAAACCACGTTAATGAAGTTAACGTTATGACGTGGTCTCCATTAACGCTTTAGCGTTGCCAGTGTAGACTAGCCCTAAGGCAACAACCTCAGTGAGCAGATGGGCTCTACACTATGCCCTGAAGATCAGCAAACACAGGCTCTATGAGACTAAAAGGAGATGTGAATTCGAGGGCCAGAGTAAAGTAAATTGAGTCTATGCTGATATTTTGTTTTTAAACAACATTTCATTGACATTCCAGGAACCATACTATAAAAATATCACAATAAAAGTATCTTGAAATGACAGAGCCAAATCTTATCCAGTGAACAAATTCCAAGTACATTTACATCTCTGTCTATATAATCTCATTTTAATTAATGTAAACCAGCTGTTCCTACCAACCTGGATCTGATTGGCACTGGTCCGTGCTGAAAAATTAATGAAGAATGGAAAGTATCTTTCCTTTTCCAAGTTGTTCATTAACTTATCCTTCACATATACAGACTTCCCAGTACCTGTTGGTCCCACAAAAAGCAATGGTCTTTGCAAAAAAGAATAAAAATTTACATTAGTCAATCAAAAGCAAAATAGTAAATAAAACATACACCCAATTAAACTAAAAATGAAATACTGAACAAATCTGCTCTACTTGTAAATACATGTAAACCACTAAAAACACAAAAATGTTCAAAATGCGTGTTAAATTTTATTCTTAGTTAGACACTCCTACAACCCCACTGAAATAAAGATGCACTTAAAATTAATGGGGTTGCAGAGGTGTAACTAAAAGTAGAATCAGGCTTGCAAAGTAGAGGGACCTTACTGACGAAGAAATGCATAGTCTGAAATACACTTCATTGTGTCTACACTGTAATCATAATTCTGCTCTGTTAAAGTTTTTAAGATCAGGAGTAAATAGTTCAGAGGGCCTTGTGCATGATTTTGACACTAGTGTGAATTTTACCCACCAGAAATAGGAAGTTTAGAAATGCCAGCTGGGATTTTTCAGTGACTTAGGTGCTCAACTCCCTTTGAAAGTCAATAGGATTTAGACACTTAACTCTCTTATGCCCCTTTGAAAATTCCAGCTGTCACTATCAAAACTCCAGAAATTGTTGATATAAGAAGATAATTCACCTTCCATCTCAGGGGAGGGGAGGAAGTTTGATTAGACCTGCAGGGTACAGACAACCCCAGAGTTCCTGAGGGGAAGAGAGAGAAGGAAAGGGAGGGGTAAGCCTTTGCTCCACCCCCACCTCACCTAGAACACATATGGAAATTGTCCACAGAGGGATAAGGGAGGGGGTGGAGAGATTTCTCTGCCTCTCCCTGCTGCCATAAACTGGGAGAGTGGGAAAGAGAGCTGATAATCTCTCATGACCTCTCCCCTTCCTGCATGTGAAATCGTCAGGGTTTGCGGCAGCCATCTTGCTGCAGTTGCTGCCCCACTATCCCCGCCCTGTAATGGAGGTATAATTTCAACTGTTTCCAAGATGCTGTGGGTCTGACTGATGGTCAGTTTATGGGATCAGGAAGGAATTTGTCCCATGAGACCAGATTGACAAGAAGGCCTAGTTTTAAGTAAATAAGGAGTAAGGGCAGGAATTTAAAAACTGTATGTTTACAGGTGGAGTTTGTAATTCCATTGCAATTTATGACTCATGTTCACTGTGGGTGAGCAACTCAAACGGGTCACCTCCCAGAGGCAATCATGAGTGGGAGACCCTATTAGCCTGGAAGAAGAAGGGGAGACCTTAAGACCTCATAGACTGAGAGATCTTTCAAACCTACCATCATTCCCCTTCATGGGGGGAAGGGTGAGAGGACTCAGAGAAGGGCTGAATCCTAGGGGTTAGGCAGAAGAGGGCTAACCTTAATGTTTAGTTTTTTGGTATGGAGGCCATTTAACCCTGAACAGGACCCAAATGTATACCTAGTGTTTGAGAAAGGAGTGTATGGTATGTTAAGAGAAGGTTACTCACCCTGTGCAGTAACAGGTTGTTCGAGATGTGTGTCCCTATGGGTGCTCCACTGTAGGTGCGGCAGCACCTCCTGAGCCTGGGATGGGAGATCTTCATCAGCAGTGCTCGTTGGACTGCACATGCTCACCTTCCCCATCTCACACCATGAGCAGGATGTATATATAGCACTGGTTGAACCGCCTCCCAGTTCCTTCTTTGTTGCAGAATTTATGTTTCAGCTCCAAGGCAGAGGGGAGGAGGGTGGGTAGTGGAGCACCCATAGGGACACACACCTTGAACAACCACAGTTACTGCACAGGGTGAGTAACCTTCTCTTCTTCTTTGAGTGATGTCCCTATGGGTGCTCCACTGCAGGTGACTAGAAAGCAGTGCCCGTAATTGGAAGGCTGGGGCTTTGGAGCGGCATTTACTGCAGATGATAGGACAGTGCATCCTAGTAGAGTATCTGCTGATGCATCCTGAGTAATGGCATAGTGACAGACAAAAGTGTCTGCTGATGCCCATGTGGCCACTTTGCAAATGTAAATTATTGGAACATTATTGAGGAAAGCAATAGAGGAGGAGAGCGAGCGGTTGGAATGTGGTCTAGTTCCAGGAGGAAGCTGTCATTTGTGTAGTTGGTAGGACAGATGTAAACATTGAGAGATACACTTTGAAAGGCATTGCTTAGAGATGGCTGGACCTTTGGATCTTTTGGCTGTTGTGTGGAATAAGCATGGTGATTTTTGGAAAGGTTTAGTTCTGTCCAAGTAGAAAGCTAATGCTCATCTGACATACAGGATAAGCAATGCTGTCTCCTGTTGGTTGCTGTGAGGCTTTGCGAAGAAGCAAGGAAGGTAGATAGATTGATTGAGACGGAAAGAGGATCGTACCGTAGGTAAAAATTTTGGACATGGACATAGCTTAACCTTGTCTTTATGAAACACTGTACACGGGGGGGTATGCCATAAGGGCTCCAATTTCACCAACATGTTGGGCAGAGATGATAGCGACAAGAAATGCTATCATAGATAAGTGAATGTAGGAACATGTTGCTATTGGTTTGAATGGAGGTCTTGTAAGACAGCATGGAAAGAGGCCAGGGTCCCAAGCAGGGGTTGCATCCAGTATGTGAGGGTAAAGATTTTGGAGGCCCTGTAGGAAATGTTTTGTGAGTGGGTGGTTGAAAATGGAGCGGCCATCTATGTGGCAGTGAAAGGTTGTGATAGCTGCCAAATACACATGGATGGAGCTGGTGGATAATCCCAACTATTTAAGATGTAAAATATATTCCAGGATAAGTGGTAATGGAGCATTCATTGTGTCAGCCTGATAGGAGGCACACCAGCATTGGAATCTATGTGCTTCTAGTCACGTTACGTCACGTCTCCTCTTCACGAATACTTGTTTAACTGCTTCTGAACAGGTTATTTCTGAATCTTGGAACTATGGAGGAGTCATGCTTTCAGGTGGAGCAGCTGTGCATTGGGAAGGATGATGCGACCTGCATCCTGAGAAAGGATGCACGGAGGTAGGTGAAGAGAGATCGGAGAGTATACTGTCATGCAAAGGAACTAAGTATACCAGACTTCTTGTGGCCAGGTCAGAGCTATACGGCTGTTTGGGCCCTGGAGTACACGAGACAGAGGGGAAAAGGGAGGAAAGGCATAGATTAGCAGAGCATACCATACCATGAGGAATGCATCTCCCAGGGATCCGTGCCCCAGTCCCATTCTCAAGCAGAATTGAAGACAGTGGGCATTTTCTGATGTGTCAAAGAGGTCTATAGTGGGGAATCCCCAGCGGTTGAAGATGTGCTGAAGGGCTCATGCATCCAGTTCCCACTCGTGATCATGGGAGAATCACCTGCTCAGTGAGTCCCCAGTGGTGTTCTGGCATCCAGGGAGATATGAGGCTCAGATGGTGATGCCATGTTGGATACACCAGTTCTAAAATTTTAGTGCCTCTGAGCATAAAGAGGGGCTCTCACTCTGCCTTGCTTGTTGATGTAAAACATGCAGGTGATATTGTCAGTCATGACTCTAATGGTGCAATGTGCGATCAATGGGAGAAAGTGTTGTCAGGCATTGCGGACTGCCTGTAGCTATAGGAGGTTGATGTGCGGGGTGGATTCAGTGAAAGACCATCTGCCCTCGATTGTGTGATTGAGAAGGTGCGCTCCCCAATCGAACAAGGATGACTCATGGATGGTGCTGGATGAAGGAAAGGAATACTGACACAAACATTTTTGAGCTGAGTCCACCAGAGTAGTGAGTCCTTGACCATTATAGACATGGAAAGGAGTTCATGCAGGCAGTGTCTGTGATGGACATAGACTGTATGCAGCCACAGCTGAAGGCAATACATGTGTAAACCTGTGTGTTTTACCATGAAGGTGGCTACCACAATGTGGCAGAGTAGCTGGGGACATGTCCTGGCTGAGATCTGGGGGCAGGTTCTGACCTTGGATACAAGATCGACTGTAGTCAAGAATCTGTGAGCTGGGAGGAAGGCTGAAGCTTGTATGATATCCAGTTGTTCCCCGATAAACTCTAGATATTGTACTGCTGTCAGTGTAGATTTCTCCAAGTTTACATAAAGGCTGAGGCTCAAAAAAAGGTCCATTGTAATACGGATGGTGCGAAGATGGTCGGCTTTTGATGGGGCCTTGAGGACACAGTCATCCAAGTATGGAAAGGTGACAACACCCTCTTTGTGTAGGCAGGCAGTGATGACTGCAAGGACGTTGGGGAACACATGAGATGCTGCTGACAGTCAGAAGGGCAATACCTTGTACTGACAGTGATTGGTCCTCATGATGAACTGGAGTAACTGTCTGTGGGCAGGGTGTATTGTGATATGAAAATACGTGTCTTGGAGGTCGAGGACTGAGAACCAATACTCCTGCTCCAGTGCTGGGATAATGGTGTAGAGGGTAACAATCTTGAAGCATTGCAGTTTGACAAACTTATTTAGGTTTTGAAGGTCTAGGATTGGCTTCCCTTGTTGGATTTCTTTTGGACCAGAAAGTAATGAGATTAAAAACCCTTCACTCTGTGCTGGGACAGGACTGGTTCTATAGCTCCTAGTCACAGAAGATGATTTATTTTGTCTTGTAGGACGAGTGTCAGAAGTGTCCCTGAAGAGAGACAGGGAGGGAATGTGTTGGGGTGGGATAGCTAGGAAGGGGATGGAGTATCCTTCCCTAATGATCTCCAGAACCCACTTGTCTGAGGTAACGAGCCGCCATGATGGAAAGAAAGGGGTTAGGTATTCACCAAACTGGTGGGATATGAAAGACGGTTGATGTGACTGAAACAGGGGATGGCTTCTCAGGGGATGGCCTTGACCACAACTTCAAAATTGTTGTTTGATTGGAGGTGCATGAAAAGTAGCCCCCTGTGGAGTCGCATGTTTGCGTTTGGTAAGGGGCTTCTGCCAATGTTGCTGGGTATCATATTGTCACTGGGGAGCATATTGCAGTGTTGGGGATCATAGAGGAAGTTGATACTTCCCGGGGCGTTTCTTTGGCGCTGGAGTGTAAATGCCCAGAGAACGAACAGTTGCTTGGGAGTCCTTAAGGGACTGTAGAGAGTTATCTGTACAGACCATGAATAATTTGGAGCCCTCAAAGGGTAGGTCTTCAATGGTGGTTTGTATCTCCTTTGGAAAGCCTGAGAGTGCAGCCATGATGCCCATCTCATGACAATGGCAGTTGTGATGGAACAGGCAGAGGTATCCACAGAGTCCAAAGAGACTTGCAAAGCTGTATGGACCAAGATGTGCCCTTCACATTTCTGTGCCTGGAGTTGTTCTTTTTTGTCATCAAGAAGGTCTTGACAGAATTCCTGTATTTTAGAGTAGTTGGTGTAATTATACTTGGCCATGACAACATTGTAATTGGATAAATGGAACAGGAGAGTAGCAGGTGAATAAGCTTTGCATCCAAACAGGTCCATCGTTTCCAACCTCTATCATGGTGGGCATGTCGAGGTTGGTATTGGTGTCCCTTTTCTTGCACGACATTGACAACCAAGGAATTTGGGGTGGAGTGAGAAAACAGAAATTCAAAGTCCTTTGTGGGAACACAATATTTTTTGTCCATCTGCTTGCAAGTCGGTGGGATGGATGCTGGGGTCTGCCAGAGCACCTTGGAAGGATCGAGAAGGGCCTCATTGATAGGGAGGACTATTTTTGAGGAGGATGTAAGCAGGATGTCAAGCAGCTTATTTTATTAGTCCTTCACCTCCTCCAAAGGAATGTGGAGGGAGTCTGCAACCCTGCAAAACAACTCCTGGAAATTTTTGAAGTCGTCAGCTGTAGCGGGTGGAGGAATGATCTCCTCTTCTTCTCCTGATGAGGCTAAATGGAGTGGTGGTGGAATTTTCTCCTCTTGTTCTTCCTCCTCATCCACCATAGGGAAAGGCTCAGGCTCTGGTGGTCAAGAGATCAATGGAGAAGGCAAAGGTGAAGGCCTCTGATTTTCGTCCGTGGGAGGCTTCCCAAACTGTGCTCTGTACATGGCCCAAGGACCTCAGCATGGCCAATGCTGAGGGAGTTGCACGTGGGGCTGCATCCACTGTGGTCCATACCAGGGCCCTTGTCCAATGGTGGGTTGTGAGTAGTGTGTAGAGAGGAGGACTTTGAGCCTGTCTCAAGTGTGAGGGTGGGATGGAGTACTCCTCTTCCTCCTCTGCGTCACTAGGGAAGGGAAGTCTCATCCTTGGAGGGGAAAGGGTAGAGTGGTGTGATTTCTGGCAAAGAGGATGGAAGTGGAGGGACGTCATGTCTGAGAAGTGGTGACTCAGGTACATCAGAGACAGATAGGTCTTTGGGGTATCTAAACTCTTGGGAAGGAGGGAAGAGCATCATTCTCACTGGCACATGCATCACTGCTGAGGGAGAGTACATTCTCCTGAGCAGCCAGCAGAAGGAGTTGAAGACTTGCTTGGTACCGAGGGCTTGCTCAGTGCAGCAGACTTGCTCGGAGCCAAGGGCTTGCTCAGTGCGGCAGACTTGCTCGGTGCCAAGGGCTTGCTCAGTACAGAAAAGGACATCGGCACCAGCAGGCAGATCTGATTGGCACAGTTGGCACCAGTTTCAAAGGTCTTATGTCTCTGTCTCTAACACCAAGAGATGGCACTAAGGGCTGGAGATCTGCCCCGTTAGGGTCTTTAGATGTTTCGTGAGCACTGGTACCGGAGGTACTCAGATGGGCCCTGGAGCTATGTCCCATACCCGAGGATGTCGAGGCAACCAACTTTGCAGGGGATGGCGTTCTGGCAGGCGGTGTCTCAGCAGGTGATGAGGGAGCCTGTTTTTTTCCCCATCAGAGCGAGGAAGAGAAGACTTCCTTTTAGAAGGATGAGGCAAATGAAGGTCAGTAGATGACCCAGTGGAGCGTGAGGGCCATAGAGGGGTAGTGTCTGGGCCAGGGTCCAATGGTGGATGTAGTGATTTCTCCAGGAGGAGAAGTCGCAACCGAATGTCCTGGTCTTTTCTGGCCCTGGTATTGCGGTCGTGGAAATAAGCACACTTGCGGGATGTGTCCCTCTCCCAGGCAGTGAATGCACTGTGGGTGACTGTCCATTACCAGGAAGGCAATCTGGCAAGTTACACACCTCTTAAACCTAGGAGAGCCAGGCATAAGGGTGAGGAAAAAGCTCCGTGGTGGGGAAAGGCAGGAAGCAAGAAAAAAAAAAACCGACTAACTAATGGGGAGGTTAGAAGACATAAAAGCAAAAAAGCAAATATATATATACATATAGGGAGAGATCAAAAAGAAAGAACTATTGAAACTACACTAAAACTAACAGACAAGGCACTATCTAACAGGTCAAAAAGGACAAGTAGGCTTTGCTGTGGATTCCATCTCAGAACGAAGGTTGTAGAAAAGGAACTGGGGGGCGGTCAGATTGCACAGTGGTATATATACATCCCTCTCACGGTGCGAGATGGGGAAGGTGGGCATGTGCAGTCCAAAGGGCACATCTGATGAGGATCTCTGATCTCAGGCACACGGGGCACTGCCGCACCTACAGTGGAGCACCCATAGGGACATCACTCAAAGAAGAACCTCCCTTTTAAATTTAAAAGCTATTAAAATTGAAGCTTTCTGCTTTAAAATCCATCCCTGGATCCATCCATCCATCCATATCTTTGTTTCATTTTTCTGCATGTCTTAATCACTTAATTCATGACTAACTCATCTTTAACTCATGACTAATTTAAGAAAAATTAAGAGAAATTTAATTCTAAAAGAAAAAGAAAGGAGGCACCAAATCTCAGCAGCCATCCTAACAATATCAGTGGAACAGTGTGGGATGGATATACTGAATGCTGGATTATAAATCAAAGACTTTGAAACTAAAAAGTTTATAGAAATAATGTAATCAGATGCTTGAAAGTCTGTTTTTGTTTATTTTCTAATGAGCCAAGAACAGTATATTTTAATATTGATACATTCTGGTGGCCTGATACAGAAGTATTAAAGTCAATAGAAAGACTCCATGGATTTCAGTGGTCTTTGGATAAGGTTCTATATGAACAACAATGAAATCATTCAACGTTTTGCATGAAATAGACGTACTTACTTTCCATGGGTAACGCATAAATCCATCAAATAGGTATATCTGACTGTATCCATTGTTGGGACTATGAGGTCTTGAATCTTAACATTTTTATCATCACTATATTTAATGCTTTTAATGACTTCATTCCAATGCACCCAGCGTCCTTTGCCTTTCAACTAAGAAGAAACACAGATTTCAATTACAGTGGAAAATATAGTACTGACATTCAAAAGGTTTTCTTAAGCACTTTATTCTTTAACAAGTTAATGTAATATTAAGTATTTCAGGTGCTTATGTATTTATTTTCCTCATTGCACTAGTGATGAGCAAACATTAAAAGGAATGGAGGGTCATTTTAGAAATGGATGTTCAGACCCCCTTCTTTCCCCTATCTCTCTAGGACCCTGTTATCCAGGAAAATACGTACACATGCTTAACTTTAAGCATATGCATAGTCCCATTGAAGACAACAGGTTTATAAACATGCTTAAATTTTAAGCATGTGCTTCCCTCTATATGAAACTCAAAATCTCCAAGGGCCTCAACTGCAGCTGAACTGAAACGCAGCAGTCTAGACACGCCTTAGGTAGACTGGGTAGACATTTACTAAAAAGCTCTGTTTAGAAAGTCAGTGCATTAATTCTTTTTAAAAGAATAAATAAACTGATTATTAAATAAAATAAATTTTTGTCAACCAACAGTTGTTCATTTACTGCACTAAGGACCCAATCCTGTTCCCATTAAAGCCAGTCAATCTTGCCCCCAAAGGATACTAAGAAGCTAACATTTCCACCTAGCTGCTTTCTTCTCTCACTTAGATTTTGAGGATCTATTTAAACTACTCTAAAAATGAGCAATCAGTAAATCTCATACCTCATACATATAGTCATAGACCAAGCCTTTCTCATCAAAGGGACAGTCCCATTTACCCACAGCTGTTGGCACTGGATGAGCCTCAGACCTTCCTGCTAGAATATCCCTCATAAAGATATCAAAAAGGACTTGGCTGTCACTGTCACAAGTTCCACCAATGGACCAAACCATGGAGAAAGCAAAGCAAGCCTGTGAGTACAAGGAGGCAAACAATTACCATTCAGAAATGATAACTACTGTATGGTATGATCAACATATAAAATTACAAGGAATACTATTATGCTGAAAAGTGCTCATGGCAGCCATCATGTGGGTCTTTGAGCTAAGACAATCACAAACCTCATTAAGGATAAGCCCCCTTCTTTCAGGTTCAGCAGAAGAAGCAATTAAGCCCTTTTGTGTAGTGAGACAGCTGGAAGCAATTGAGGATACCACACAAGGCACTGAGCCATGTGGATTGAGGGATTCTTTGATTGCAAACACTAGAACTAGGAGTTTTGTTTTTGCACGGGGTATGTGTCTGTTTTAGAGGAGAAGGTCAGAGAAGCAACCATACTTATCACTGTAGTATCTAAGTACCTGAATGTGACCTTGAAAAGAAGCAGAGACAGAGCTTCTTCGACACAGAATTCACTACATCCTACTGCACAAATAAAACATGATATCAAATCCCTGATGACTTCAAATGAATATGTGATGCTGTAAATAGCCTCCAGGAGTGAAATTCACTCCCCCTACATAAAGCTTGAGTATTCAGACTCTACATAAGTGAAGTGCAGGGATTTGAAATGTACTCCTTTATCAAGCCAGGGCCAGGGCTCAGTGCTGTCCCACAGGAACAATGGACACAACCCTTCATGTTAATTGCGTGGGGCACAACATAGATGTGGATCCATGACCCTGCCCACAGCCCACTCACAGACCAACTCCATAGTGAGCTTCTGAACTAGCCCTGCATTGGCCAGTCTTGAGGCTACTTCCACAGCATGGCTACTCATCCAGCAGAGCCCTTATATGGGCTTAGTCTATAAGGACTTTGGGGTGCTCCTTGCACCAGGGATTAATTTCATGCATGGATTCTACTAAGACCATAAAACAAGTAAGTAAAGCATAAGCAGTTTGTAAATAGCTGCAGATCCCACACATCATTTCAGTCTGATATTCATTTTGGAGCTCTCTATTCATGTCAATCTCTAAAGAACATTTTAAGATTAATGTATGCCTCAGAAATTGCTTTTCTCATACCATGAAACTTCTGCACAACCTGACAAATGCATTGCTATAATATGCACATCATTCTTTCCACAATATCATTCTTTAGCTAGCTGCTTGGTCTAATTAAAACATGAATGAGTTAAAACAAAATGTTCTAAACTAATTGACAACAGATAGGAAAAGGGTTGAAATATATCTGTCTAGGTACTTATAAATCCCTTATCATGGTAGTGTTTGAGCACCTCCCAAGTTTTAGAAAAGTAGCAACAGTTTCTCAGCTCTCTCTTCTTTCACCTACCGAGTTAAAGTGAACTTGAATAGTTAGCAGAATGTGTGTGTGTGTGCGTATACACGAAGTGTATGTATGTGTATGCTTGCTCATGTGGTGTGATGCACTTATTGCAGGAAAGCCAAGATGAAAAGATTAATTTTGCAAGAGTCCTGTTACCAATTAATTGTTTTTTTTTCTTTTTAAAATACATCCAGTAAAAGACCAACCATAATCCATGTGCGGATGTTTTTGTTGGTAGGATCCTGTTGAACAGTTTGACAAAGTAACATTTCAAAAAGTCGAGTGAGAGACACTACAGCATTGCTGTTGCTTGTGGGAACCAGCTCCTACAAGACACAAAGAATGGAAAATGCTTGATATCACAGTACCAAATACTTCTCACAAATCTTAGTATATCTTTTGGAAACACAGTTAAATTATATTTTGGCTCTAAACAAAAGATTTAGGGGCAAGTGTTTTTCTTTTAGTTTCAAAATCCTTTTCCCTTGTCTTGTCCCTGAAAAGCTACCCTCTTAATCTGTAATTATGACAATCATGCATCTTTTAAAAAATTAGACACAATGTATGTAATCCTATAGGTGCAGCATGGGGAGCACCACTTATTGTATGGCATGTGAGCATTACATAAAATGCTTCCCCTAACATAAAACAATCCTTTTCCCTCCCCTCAAACTTCAGGTGAGATTACTTTTCACTCATTATGATATTGGTTAGCTTTGAAATATCTTTTACCTACAAATTTCACCTAATATTCTTGGGGTATGTCTACACTACGGAATAAGGTCGAATTTATAGAAGTCGTTTTTTTAGAAATCGGTTTTATATATTCGAGTGTGTGTGTCCCCACAGAAAATGCTCTAAGTGCATTAAGTGCATTAACTCGGCGGAGCGCTTCCACAGTACCGAGGCAAGCGTCGACTTCCGGAGCGTTGCACTGTGGGTAGCTATCCCACAGTTCCCGCAGTCTCCGCTGCCCATTGGAATTCTGGGTTGAGATCCCAATGCCTGATGGGGCTAAAACATTGTCGCGGGTGGTTCTGGGTACATATCGTCAGCCCCCCGTTCCCTCCCTCCCCCCGTGAAAGCAAGGGCAGACAATCATTTCGCGCCTTTTTTCCTGAGTTACCTGTGCAGACGCCATACCATGGCAAACATGGAGCCCGCTCAGGTAACCGTCACCCTATGTCTCCTGGGTGCTGGCAGACGCGGTACGGCATTGCTACACAGTAGCAGCAACCCCTTGCCTTGTGGCAGCAGACGGTACAGTACGACTGGTAGCCGTCATCGTCATGTCTGAGGTGCTCCTGGTCGCCTCTGTGAGGTCGATCAGGAGCGCCTGGGCAGACATGGGCACAGGGACTAAATTTGGAGTGACTTGACCAGGTCATTCTCTTTAGTCCTGCAGTCAGTCCTATTGAACCGTCTTATGGTGAGCGGGCAGGCGATACGGACTGCTTGCAGTCGTACTGTACCATCTTCTGCCGAGCAGCCATGAGATGTGGATGGCATGCAGTCCTTCTGCACCATCTGCTGCCAGCCAAAGATGTAAAAGATAGATGGAGTGGATCAAAACAAGAAATAGACCAGATTTGTTTTGTACTCATTTGCTTCCCCCCCTCCCCTGTCTAGGGGACTCATTCTTCTAGATCACACTGCAGTCACTTACAGAGAAGGTGCAGCGAGGTAAATCTAGCCATGTATCAATCAGAGGCCAGGCTAACCTTCTTGCTCCAATAAGGACAATAACTTAGGTGCACCATTTCTTATTGGAACCCTCCGTGAAGTCCTGCCTGAAATACTCCTTGATGTAAAGCCACCCCCTTTGTTGATTTTAGCTCCCTGAAGCCAACCCTGTAAGCGCCCCTCCCAGCGTCAGAGCAATGGCAAACAATCGGGCATCTGAGAGTGCTGTCCAGAGCAGTCACAATGGAGCACTCTGATGGGGCTAAAACATTGTCGCGGGTGGTTCTGGGTACGTGTCATCAGGCCCCCGTTCCCTCCCTCCCTCCGTGAAAGCAAGGGCAGACAATCATTTCGCGCCTTTTTTCCTGAGTTACCTGTGCAGACGCCATACCACAGCAAGCATGGAGCCCGCTCAGGTAACCGTCACCCTATGTCTCCTGGGTGCTGGCAGACGCGGTACGGCTTTGCTGCACAGTAGCAGCAACCCATTGCCTTCTGGCAGCAGACGGTGCAATACGATTGGTAGTCGTCCTCGTCGTGTCCGAGGTGCTCCTGGCCGCGTCGGCTGGGAGCGCCTGGGCAGACATGGTCGCAGGGACTAAATTTGGAGTGACTTGACCAGGTCATTCTCTTTAGTCCTGCAGTCAGTCCTATTGAACCGTCTTATGGTGAGCGGGCAGGCGATACGGACTGCTAGCAGTCGTACTGTACCATCTTCTGCCAGGCAGGCAAGAGATGAGGATTGCTAGCAGTCGTATTGCACCATCTTCTGCCAGGCAGGCAAGAGATGGGGATGGCTAGCAGTCGTACTGTACCATCTTCTGCCGAGCAGCCATGAGATGTGGATGGCATGCAGTCCTTCTGCACCGTCTGCTGCCAGCCAAAGATGTAAAAGATAGATGGAGTGGGTCAAAACAAGAAATAGACCAGATTTGTTTTGTACTCATTTGCCTCCTCCCCTGTCTAGGGGACTCATTCCTCTAGGTCACATTGCAGTCACTCACAGAGAAGGTGCAGCGAGGTAAATCTAGCCATGTATCAATCAGAGGCCAGGCTAACCTCCTTGTTCCAATAACAACGATAACTTAGGTGCACCATTTCTTATTGGAACCCTCCGTGCAGTCCTGCCTGAAATACTCCTTGATGTACAGGCACCCCCTTTGTTGATTTTAGCTCCCTGAAGCCAACCCTGTAAGCCGTGTCGTCAGTCGCCCCTCCCTCCGTCAGAGCAACGGCAGACAATCGTTCCGCGCCTTTTTTCTGTGCGGACGCCATACCACGGCAAGCATGGAGCCAGCTCAGCTCACTTTGGCAATTAGGAGCACATTAACCACCACACGCATTATTCAGCAGTATATGCAGCACCAGAACATGGCAACGCGATACCGGGCGAGGAGGCGACGTCAGCACGGACCCGTGAGTGATCAGGACATGGACACAGATTTCTCTGAAAGCATGGGCCCTGACAATGCATGCATCATGGTGCTAATGGGGCAGGTTCATGCTGTGGAACGCCGATTCTGGGCTCTGGAAACAAGCACAGACTGGTGGGACCGCATAGTGTTGCAGGTCTGGGACGATTCCCAGTGGCTGCGAAACTTTCGCATGCGTAGGGGCACTTTCATGGAACTTTGTGACTTGCTTTCCCCTGCCCTGAAGCGCATGAATACCAAGATGAGAGCAGCCCTCACAGTTGAGAAGAGAGTGGCAATAGCCCTGTGGAAGCTTGCAACGCCAGACAGCTACCGGTCAGTTGGGAATCAATTTGGAGTGGGCAAATCTACTGTGGGGGCTGCTGTGATGCAAGTAGCCCACGCAATCAAAGATCTGCTGATATCAAGGGTAGTGACCCTGGGAAATGTGCAGGTCATAGTGGATGGCTTTGCTGCAATGGGATTCCCTAACTGTGGTGGGGCTATAGACGGAACCCATATCCCTATATTGGCACCGGAGCACCAAGCCGCCGAGTACATAAACCGCAAGGGGTACTTTTCGATAGTGCTGCAAGCTCTGGTGGATCACAAGGGACGTTTCACCAACATCAACGTGGGATGGCCGGGAAAGGTGCATGATGCTCGCATCTTCAAGAACTCTGGTCTGTTTCAAAAGCTGCAGGAAGGGACTTTATTCCCAGACCAGAAAATAACTGTTGGGGATGTTGAAATGCCTATATGTATCCTTGGGGACCCAGCCTACCCCTTAATGCCATGGCTCATGAAGCCATACACAGGCAGCCTGGACAGTGGTCAGGAGCTGTTCAACTACAGGCTGAGCAAGTGCAGAATGGTGGTAGAATGTGCATTTGGACGTTTAAAGGCGCGCTGGCGCAGTTTACTGACTCGCTTAGACCTCAGCGAAACCAATATTCCCACTGTTATTACTGCTTGCTGTGTGCTCCACAATATCTGTGAGAGTAAGGGGGAGACGTTTATGGCGGGGTGGGAGGTTGAGGCAAATCGCCTAGCTGCTGGTTACGCGCAGCCAGACACCAGGGCGGTTAGAAGAGCACAGGAGGGCGCGGTACGCATCAGAGAAGCTTTGAAAACCAGTTTCGTGACTGGCCAGGCTACGGTGTGAAAGTTCTGTTTGTTTCTCCTTGATGAACCCCCCCCCGCCCCTTGGTTCACTCTACTTCCCTGTAAGCTAACCACCCTCCCCTCCTCCCTTTAATCATTGCTTGCAGAGCCAATAAAGTCATTGCTGCTTCACAGTCATGCATTCGTTATTCATTCATCACACAAATAGGGGGATGACTACCAAGGTATCCCAGGAGGGGTGGTGGAGGAGGGAAGGAAAATGCCACACAGCACTTTAAGCACAGTACTTTAAAAGTTTACAACTTTAAAATTTATTGAATGACAGCCTTCTTTTTTTTGGGCAATCCTCTGTGGTGGAGTGGCTGGTTGGCCGGAGGCCCCCCCACCGCGTTCTTGGGCGTCTGGGTGTGGAGGCTATGGAACTTGGGGAGGAGGGCGGTTGGTTACAGAGGGGCTGCAGTGGCAGTCTGTGCTCCAGCTGCCTTTGCTGCAGCTCAACCATACACTGGAGCATACTGGTTTGGTCCTGCAGCAGCCTCAGCATTGAATCCTGCCTCCTCTCATCACGCTGCCGCCACCTTTGAGCTTCAGCCCTGTCTTCAGCCCGCCACTTACTCTCTTCAGCCCGCCACTTACTCTCTTCAGCCCTCCACCTCTCCTCCCGGTCATTTTGTGCTTTCCTGCACTCTGACATTATTTGCCTCCACGCATTCGTCTGTGCTCTGTCAGTGTGGGAGGACAGCATGAGCTCGGAGAACATTTCATCGCGAGTGCGTTTTTTTTTCTTTCTAAGCTTCACTAGCCTCTGGGAAGGAGAAGATCCTGTGATCATTGAAACACATGCAGCTGGTGGAGAAAAAAAAAGGGACAGCGGTATTTAAAAAGACACATTTTATAAAACAGTCGCTACACTCTTTCAGGGTAAACCTTGCTGTTAACATTACATACATAGCACATGTGCTTTCGTTACAAGGTCGCATTTTGCCTCCTCCCACCGCGTGAACGGATTTTGGTTGAATGCCAGCAAACATACACTGCAATGCTTTGTTCTACAGTGATTCCCGAGTACGTGTTACTGGCCTGGAGTGGTAAAGTGTCCTACCATGAAGGACGAAATAAGGCTGCCCTCCCCAGAAACCTTTTGCAAAGGCAGAACCGCAAATGCCAGGGCAAAGTAATCCTTTCACATGCTTGCTTTTAAACCATGTATAGCATTTTAAAAGGTACACTCACCAGAGGTCCCTTCTCCGCCTGCTGAGTCCAGGAGGCAGCCTTGGGTGGGTTCGGGGGGTACTGGCTCCAGGTCTAGGGTGAGAAACAGTTCCTGGCTGTTGGGAAAACCGGTTTCTCCGCTTGCTTGCTGTGAGCTATCTACAACCTCCTCCTCATCATCATCTTCGTCCCCAAAACCTACTTCCGTATTGCCTCCATCTCCATTGAAGGAGTCAAACAACACGGCTGGGGTAGTGGTGGCTGAACCCCCTAAAATGGCATGCAGCTCATCATAGAAGCGGCATGTTTGGGGCTCTGACCCGGAGCGGCTGTTCGCCTCTCTGGTTTTCTGGTAGGCTTGCCTCAGCTCCTTCAGTTTCACGCGGCACTGCTTCGGGTCCCTGTTATGGCCTCTGTTCTTCATGCCCTGGGAGATTTTCAGAAAGGTTTTGGCATTTCGAAAACTGGAACAGAGTTCTGATAGCACGGATTCCTCTCCCCAAACAGCGATCAGATCCCGTACCTCCCGTTCGGTCCATGCTGGAGCTCTTTTGCGATTCTGGGACTCCATCATGGTCACCTGTGCTGATGAGCTCTGCATGGTCACCTGCAGCTTGCCACGCTGGCCAAACAGGAAATGAGATTCAAAAGTTCGCGGTTCTTTTCCTGTCTACCTGGCCAGTGCATCTGAGTTGAGAGTGCTGTCCAGAGCGGTCATAATGGAGCACTCTGGGATAACTCCCGGAGGCCAATACCATCGAATTGTGTCCACAGTACCCCAAATTCGAGCCGGCAACGTCGATTTAAGCGCTAATCCACTTGTCAGGGGTGGAGTAAGGAAATCGATTTTAAGAGCCCTTTAAGTCGAAATAAAGGGCTTCATTGTGTGGACGGGTGCAGGTTTAAATCGATTTAACACTGCTAAATTCGACCTAAAGTCCTAGTGTAGACCAGGGCTTGGTCAAGTTTTCCAAGTTGGGCAAAGTAGTTGCGCTCTCAAAATCAGGTGCATCTGCTGCATATGCAAAAATCTGCCACAACCATCGCTGAGTGTTTTGTCACAGGACACAGAGAGTGAAATGGAAACATCAACATAATTATTGTGGTGAAAATAAAAACAAAAAAATACCTTGCACTGTTGTTTACGAAATCTTAAGGCTGGTGGTATTAACCAGTTCAAAAGTTCTTGCAGTAGATCTTGCTGTTCCTTTTGTCTCAGGGGTTCAGGTAAGCTGTTCAACCAAGAGGTTACAAGCGGCATCCAGCCTAGCTGTGATGGCTCCAAATAAATCATTCCACAACGACTGACTGTAGCCGGCTAAAGAAGAATAGTAAATTCACTTTTAAGACCAAGTCCACGCATCATTATATATTGTATAATTGTGCAATTATGGATTACATTTTAACTGACTACTAAACTTACTGAAGCCTGGGAAAGGTCCATTGTTTCAAAGATCAGACTCATCTGAGCAGACATTTGGATGATTTCCCCACTCATCAAACAAAGCTAAATATGAAGAAGAGTTAATTTAACAACCATGGTTATGAATATTAGCAAAACCTTATGTAACAACAATCTTTTTCACTTGTAAATTAATGTGTTTATATCTTTGGATGATCTCCATTTCGAAATGAGTGAAGCTAACAACAGTAAATGGGAAAGACATGTCATTACCCATCGCACCATACAACAATCATTTGAAATAGTAACCAATTTCTATTCTCTTTGGGCCAAATTCTGTACTTTTGCCACTCACTTCATTTGTCTATTAATTGCGGAAATAGAAATTGTAACTGTGTTACAGGACTCAAATGATCTTTCAGTCCCTGCTAGAAGAGGAAATCACAGGTAAAGGACAAATATCGGACCTGATTTTTCTCACTTATACCAGCTTTACACGAATTAATATATTGACTTCAGTGGAGTTACTTCTTATTTACACTGGTGTGAGAAGTGAATCAGACCCATTGCCCTTTCTATAAGCTTCACAAAACTACTGAAGTTTTACACAATTATTTTTCAACAACAAAAATATTAATGAAAATGTTTAACAAACTAGGAGAAACTCATGCTTCAAACTGCAAAGTTTCAAGTTTTTCCAGGAAAACCCCATGACAACTATTTTCATGACCATTGAAGTTGTCTAGGCACTGGTTCTGGACTGCTCACAGAAATTAAAATGTTCAGTTCCTGAGACTCAGCACAACTATAGCACCAGCACCAGCCACAGTTCCCAGCACTGCCACCTGCAAGGTCTACCCACCACTTAAAGTTGGTATCTTCCTGCACTGGATGGGAACAGGAAAGGATGGCAAGGGTCTAACTTGCACAAGGTCGGACAGAAGTCTGCTGCAGCCTGTGCTGCAGAACATACGAACATAGCACAGGATAGCCTAGTGTAGATACCATGAGACACCACACCAAAATGTTTTTCCAGAGGTTTTTCCAGAGTTTTTCCAGAGGTGCTGTGCATCTAAACTCTAACTGAAGTCAGTGAGAGTTGTGAGTACAACTTTGAAAATCAGGCCCCGTGTGTCTGAGGTTGTGCATACAAAAATATAGACACCCACAACTGGAGACCATTTTTGATATTTTGGTTGTAAGGTTTTCCAGAGAAGAAATATCATTAAACTTCTAGTATCTTTTTCTTTTAAATCCCATTTATAAATTTTGCATTTTTGTGACAAGATTAGAACATATGTTTGATTAGGAAATGTGGTCAAATTAAATACCTTATTCTATGATATAAAACAACTAACCAACCAACCGAAAAACCCCCACAAACAACTCTCCTGACATATCTCTCTCTCTCATAAAAACACAAGTTAATCACAAGCCTACTCAACTGGTTCCATTGTACCTCAGGTGAAGGTATAGCTACAAGTGCTGTTTTCTTTTATATGCAGAATTTTGTTTCTTAAGTGGCACAGCATTTTCTTTAGACATTTATAACGCCTATGTTTTACCTTTTTGTTGTCATCCAGCACTGTGTTCATACTTTCTATCCACAGAGTATCAATAGGACCATCAAAAACAACCCATTTGCGTTCAGATGTCTCAGCTAAAGCAAATTCTCGGAAAGTATTGGCAACAATACCATCTGTCCACTAGATCAGGAAAAAATGGAAACAGGCATATTTAAAAATTCTAAATCTAAAGTCAATGGGAGTACTTACATGCTTACGAATTTTGCTGGATCAGGGCTCTATGTAGCTCATGTTAATGAACAAAACAGAGAAGAACAAAGTAAAAACATGAAGAAGTGTTAAAAACTATTAAAAAACTTTATTGACCCTTTGCCAAGCAGTAACAGAATTCAGGGCTTTGCAAGTCTCAAGGCTTGTTTACAGTACTAGAGTAAGTCGACCTAAGACACACTACTTCAGTTACATGAATAAAGTAAGTGAAGTTGACATAGCTTAGGTCGACTTACCACAGTGTCTACACCCTGCTGTGTTGACGGGAGATGCTCTCCCGCTGACTTACCTTACTTTTCTCAGGGAGCTGGAATACTGGAGTCAACAGGAGAGCGCTCTGCCATCGACTTAGCGGGTCTTCCCCAGACCCACTAAATCGACACTGCTGCATCTATCGCAGCAGTGCTAATCTACCGGTAAGTGTAGACATGGCCTCAGTTTCCCATTTGGAACAGAAACTGGTGACAAAAAAATCTGGTATTGTCTTAGTGTAATTTGTTTACAAAATATACACAAGTCTTGTTTCCTCAAACAAGGGACGGTAATGAAGAGCACACAGGCAACTCCTTCTTGCAGAAAGTTGAAATAAGGCACCTCTTCCCAGTCTCCAAAAGAAGCCACACTAATTGCTGGTGCCTCTTTATGGCAGGTGTCCAGTGTAGGTACTTGTTACAAAAAGGATACAATTCCCTGATAAACAGGAGTTGGAAGAAGATTTAGGGGAAGGCATCCTACGAAAAGAGGGGTTGGGACTCCTAATGTCTGGTACAGTGGAGAAAACATCCCATTTTTCCAGAACCCTTTGCCTTCTCACGAGGGGAAGGCAGCAATGTCCCAACAATGGACAGGGACCAGGCTGGTAAGTGGGAGGGCTGATGGGAGCCCTTCCAAACAGGTAGAACTGATTAAGGAATGAACGATGACCTGCACTGTATGATTTATTGCCTGGTATTCCCAGACATGTTAAGTGAATAAAGTTGTGGCCTAATTAAACCACATCCATTGCATCTTGTTTTTCTTCCTGTGTGGCCATGAAAAAGCAGCTATCTTGTACCTCCCTCCTCCTCCAAGGCCTCATACAAATTTCATTACTTCACAGTCTCCTCTTCCTGTGTCACCCTCTGAGTTTTACATATTGGAAAACTCTAGACCAGATGTTTGTCCACACAGTTTTTGTATTACTTTCATTATATTAGTTTAGAAAGTGATATAGTTAAACTGGTATAACTCCCTAGTGTAGATGCAGTTACCTCTGTATAAATGAACTTATATCACTGTAGCTCAATCCCATACTTCTATAGAAATAGGCTATACTAGTATAAGTATACTTTATACTGGTATAACTGCTTCCACACTAGGGGCTGTGCTGAGTTAACTACAGTGGAATAAAAATCATACCCCTAACCAAAAACATTAAAGCAGTACAAAAACTGTGTGTAGACTATGCCCAAGGCTGCACATGGAGACCACATGGCCCTGAAAGATGAGCCTGGGGGTCTACCCTGCTTCAGTGCAGCTGCTCTGCAGGAACCTCAGCACCTCTATTGCCATACATAGAAGAGCACTTTAACCCACACAATACCTTCTGTGTGTGGTTACAGAACAGCATCATTAGCTCTTTTTGTAGGGAGTTTCATCCTGAGGATTTATACATCAATGACCCCTAACATGCAAGCCATTAGCACCTTTTGCCATAACAATGTATATTTGCCTTTGGTCCAGTTATTCATAAATTTAAAAAAATTCTGCTCTCAGGGTATATCTTCACAGCAGTTAACTCGAGTGATCAACACCAGGGTCTAAGCACCCAAGTCAGGCTAGCCTGAATGTGAGCAGCCACACTGCAAAGCCATACCCGTGTTACTGTGTCCTCACTAGTACTGCTATGCTCCCTCAGTGTATGCTGGTCAGTTTTCTGGGGGCAACTCCCATGGTTCTTTGTGCTGCAGTAAGCTGAGCTGCTCTATGATTCTTTCTCAATGAATTGTGGGAGAACCTGCCTGTCTTTCTGAGTACACTGGGGAAATCATGGGAAAAGTACTGAGTCCTCACTGCAGAGTGGGTGGATTACCAGCGTAAGCAACAGCGGTATCCAGGCTCTAGCCTATACCCCTAGCCAGGCCAGCTAGCCCAGATTTAAAGCACTACCAACTTAGTTGAGGGAATTGTGTGTTGTGGATAGAAGGGAGTTAGGGGCAATACCCGAATAAGAGCACCTTGCAGTGAAGGCATGGATGTACCCATGCAAACCTATCAAAGCCATCGGGCTTGCACAAGCATAACCAATGGAGGAATATGGCCAATTGCTATACAATATTTTTAAAAACAATCATATAAAACACAATACCTCATGAGATACCATATCGAATTGTCCAAAAAGTTGACCCATGGTAATGGATTTTGGATTCACAGTTCTAAAAATTACTTTTTCTTCTTCACCATATCCACGTTCATTCATAAGGGTTAGTGCATCTGCCAACACCTGTAGAACTTTGGTCTTCCCAGAAAAAGGCTCTCCAACAAGCATAAAGCTATGGATAAAAGAAAATTATTATTAAAAATCTTAACTTCATCAAATATATACTTTATGGCACTGATCCAGCCAATTGGCCTCAATGGGAACTACTCGTGCTTAATATTAAGCACATGCTTAAGTGGATCTGACTCTGTATGTAGCAAAAATTATAGTGTGAAATGTATTACATCATTGATTCAATGGTTAGGAACCATGTTTCTAGGAAGTCAATAGAAAAATATATGTGCTTGCATTGTGTGAGCTATTACCACAGTTACCCATACCAATCAAGTATTTGATAAGTCCAAAATAACCAGTTAGGAGTCTAAATGGTAATTTGTGTATGCAAATACTTGATTTGCTCATGCAACTGCATATATTTGATCGCACAATTAAAATACATAAATGGACCCAACTGGACTCAGTGCAGCAGCAGGGATTCACACTAGTGCATTTATTTGCAGAATTGGGGCTATACTTATTCTCTAATTTTCTTTGCTGTCTAGGAAAGATTATCATAAAAGAAAAGATAGATGAGGAACCTGCACTAAAACAAAAATCTTTAGTCATAACTCAAAATAAGTTTGTTAATTTCATCCCATTTCAGAGTATTTTAGAGGACTAACTAGTCAATGTTTGCAAAGAGTTTTGAATATGCAAAGCCATACATTAGAGCTAAGTATATGTTTTTATTTCTTGAGGTACTGTACAAATATGACGACCACATACTTGCTGCTCAAAAAAAGGCAAAGACGAAAATGGCAGAGATCTGGTGGGCTAATATTTTAATACAGGCAAGCTCTTACAGCAGCAACTCCTCTCCACAACATGGGCCCAAACTGCAAACATTAAACAGGCAAAATTGCTACCGAACTCAAAGGGAGCATTGGGACTGCAGAATCAAATATGTCTGGTTTCAGAGATTCCACTTTCTTGGGCACCAAATTTGCATTAAAAATTAGGATATCCAAATGTACCAATATAAAAATTCTGCAGCATACAGTGACCATTGGGATTTTCTATATTTGATTTAAATAATCACTGTTTGTCTTTTTTAAAAGTGGAAATAATTTCTTAGTCTATTTACATAAATATTCTTTATTGGTTATTACAAAAAACATAACTATAACCTGTAGTACTTGTGAAACAGGCACTGGTAATCTTACCCATGTCTAACAATCATCATTTCATAGGTCTGTATCATTTTTTCAATGAAAACTTTAACAGGCTGGATATTATTTATAACACAGCATTCGTTGGCACATTCCAGAAAATCCTAAAATCAAAACAAAATAAAACCTTTTAGTATCATAACAGTCTTTTTTAAAGGGTATTTTCATGGTTATATATTACATAGTTTACAACAATCCTTTATAAAGCCATATAATTTTCTTCATGAACAAAAGGAACCTGTATCATACATCATTCCATATTCAGATTATTGCCTAGAACAACTTCCACCCCACTCTCAGTATGTTTTATTACATTTGTGGATAACAGAATCAAATTAGTTAATTACTGACTCCTCTGGGATTAGGCTAAAGAAAACTAAGACCACGTTACTTCTGAATGAGAGTGTCCACACAGGGGTTTAACTAAAATGTTTTAGCTTCACATTTTAACATTCATCTTAACTTTTCTGAAAGTTCCTAAGTAGATATGCCCTGACTAAAGTACTATTTACTAACGTGCAGAATTTAAGATGCTGTAACTTAAACTAAATATTGTTACTTTAGGCAAAGATAAGGCTAAGTTTTCAAATTCTCTATTGAGATATTGATGGCCTTTGGTGATGTTTATATGTCTCATGTTGTTTATAACAGTGACATGGCTTATCCAGTACAAAGAAATCCTTTCTATCTCAGAGCCTAATACTGAGGGCTGCACTAGAAAATTAGATTGACCCATCTATGTTGTTCAGGAATGCAAAAAATCCACACGCACTCTGAGCGACGTAGTTAAGGGGAAATAAGTTGCCGTGTAAACAGTGCTTGGTTGATGGAAGAATTTTCCGTTGAAGTAGCTTCCGCCTCTTGAGGAGGTGGATTTACAACAACAAGAGAACCCCTCCCGTCGCTGGAGTAAATGTCTACACTGAAGTGCTGCAGCTGTGCTGCTGTACTGTTTAAACTGTAGACTCCCTACAAAAAGAGCTAATGATGCTGTGCTGTAACTGCACACAGAAGGTATTTTGTGGGTAAGGAAAACAAAATCTTCACCTTCTTTACTGAACATCTGCCTCTGCTTACACCCTACTCACTCCAATTACTGTATTATGGAAGGTAATAGAAGACAAGTATTTCCCCTTCTGCCAAGGTTGTGCTGGTGTATTAAAACATCCCACATGGTTTACATTATCATAATAGAAGCATGTGCATTTCATGAACCTACAATAAGTTGGATCTGTAGCAGTACAACCTTCCAGGTTCACTAGGAATTTCAGGTTTCCACAAAATTTAGAACTTCAAAGTGAACTTGTGTGAAGTCTTTTGGGAACAGACATCTGGTTAACTCCCACCTGCATTTTTTTTCCCCTTTGGTGGGAAGGAAGGGGATTGGGAGACCAGCTACCTCACCCAGTCCCTGAAAGAGGAAGAGGGCAGCCTGGCCGTCTCTGTTCTCACCATTCCACTGTAGAAGAACAGGAAGAATTAAGTAATCATGGCAAGTTTCACCATGCCTAATAACTTGGAAAACCCCAAAGGCTAGGGAGGGGACCAGCAAGTTACTCACAAAAGACGCTAAAATCCAGGGAAAGTGGGGTGGCTTTCATACTGGTATACATCCAAAAAGGCTGTTTAAGGTAAGAGGGGTCCTCGGATTTGTTAGGGGCTAAGGTATAAATGGGCCAAAACTTCAAAGACAAATACAGATCTGCAAATGATGAGAGACTCAAGGCTGGTTTTGGGTTCAAAAGAAAACCACAGGGCCTCATTTTGCAATTAGAAATAGAATACTGCATTAATTACAAATGATGCAATGCCATGAGTATTAGTGAAAAAAGTTACCTTACAAATGAACTTACATTGTAATCTGCTTCAGGAAGCTTAACACCAGGAAACAAATCACTAGTTATACCCATGAACAGAGGTATATCATGTGACAAAAATTTAGGCTCATTAACATCCTTAATTGATCTAAGAAGCTAAAGAAAAGAAATACATAAGTTTACAGAAAATGAGTGTTCTGATTTACATGCTGACTATAGAAATACAAATCAAATCAGTCTGCACAATGTGAATCATAGAATCATAGGGTTGGAAGGGATCGCAAGGGTCATCTAGTGACCCAGTCAAGATGCAGGATTTGTTGTGTCTCAACGATCCAAGAGAGAGGGCTATCCTGCCTCCTTTTGAAAACCTCCAGTGAAGAAGCTTCCACAACCCTGCTGAGAGAGTCTGTTTCATTGACCTACTATTCTTACAGTTAGGAAGTTTTTCCTGAGATTTACTCTAAAATTGAACTCTATGCTAATGTGTAAGGTTAAGATTTTGTCACAATTATTTTTAGTAAAAGTCATGAACAGGTTGTGGACAATGTGAAAGTAGAATGAATTATACTGAAATTATAATTCATTAAAGAAATGATGTTTGAAGGGTTTGTTGAAATATAGTTGTCAGGAAGAGAAACATGTGAGACAATGGGTCCTCAAACTAATTAACTTAGAGCTCCTACTGAGCTAGGACCCTAGCTCAGTAGGACCCATTGTCTCACACTCCTTAATGTTTCTCTTCCTGACAACTATATTTCAACAAACCCTTCAAGCAGCATTTGTTTAATGAATTATAATTTCAGTATAATTCATTCTACTTTCACAATCCCTCCTTTTGGTCAAGCTACACAATGACCAACAATTACTGGGTTCCACATATCAATCGTTCTTTATCTCTTTGTTCATCAGTGATATTTAAAATCATCAAATTAGCACTCTGGTTTGGGGCAGCTATCTGTGTAGCATGCCTGACACAATTTTGGATACAACAGGAAAGTAACTGAAAACATACAAAAATTATTAGGATTCCAAACAGGAGAATTAGGGCTTCCTGAAACAACCAGTTTCCTATGCCAGAGAAATTGAAAAGGTTACTTAGCCACTTCCATAAAGAACTTGGCTCTTTGTGGGGAAGATATGCGATTTGTTCTAAGTGGCTAGCATGATCTATTACCTCATTGGTGTTGTCTGGTATATACACACAGCAGTTTCTGCTTCCTTTTGTCTCTTATGTTAAATTGGCTTTCCCTTATCTGTTTAAATAAGTTAGCTTGAACTTTTGCAGAAGTCTCACATATCTGGGTGCACTGGCAAAGCGCTTTGCTAATAAACAGAGTGGTCTGACAAATTTTGTGAGTCTTGAATCTGACTTTGACAATTTGGAGGTCCTACCGAGATGGCAACCGTCTTCACTGGGGCCGTGTGACTCCTGACTGTTCTTAGGATGGCCGTGACACGCCGGCACCTGGGCATTTGGCCCGAGCGGTCCTCCGCCAGAACGGAAGGGTGCATGACCACAGTGAAGTCTACGCCATCAAACCTGTTAGTTCCCACTCTGTTCTGGTAGGGATCCTGGGATCTGACATCAGGAATCTGGTCAGGTAATTATTTCTGTGTTTTGTCCGGACTGAGGACTGTCTTGTCTCTGTGTCTATCCATCCTCCCTGTGGTGTGTTTGAGTCTGGGCGCAGTCTCCGTCCAGGGATCGGCTGACCAAAGGGTTCATGTCCCCACGGTCTGAGTGAGTGAAATCTGCACAATCACAGCCGCACCGCGCCTTGGGTAAAACCCTTGGTGTGAAAGCAAGGGCAATTGAGGCAGTAGCCTGTGGGCTCCTTTTGTGTGTTGCACCAGGCATCGCTCTGACAAACCCGACTTTCCTTCTTGTGTGATTGGTGTGTAAAGTCCTCCTGTATGGATAACCAGACGTCTAAGTCGGGACAGTTCCCTAAAGGAACACCGGCTCATTTTATGTATTTTAGAAAGGGTCCGGACTCCTGTAAATTTCTGGAAAAATGGTCTAGGCTAACTCAGGAGAATCCCAAAATTCAGTGGCCACTGTTAGGATCTTGGGACAAAGACCGAGTAGACGTCTTAAAGGACAAACTCAGCCAACCTAAAACTAAATTGGCAAAAGGAGAGGTTGATTGTTTCATGCAGTGGTGGGAAGAGGCAAATCATAGGTGGACAGAATCAAAACTTGCCTCTCTCAAAGATTCAAATGATAAGTTAAAAGCTTTATTAGAAGCCTCCTCTCCCGCTGCCAGACCGAGCGCTCCCCTTTATCCCGTTCTCCAAGAAGACCAGGATCGATCCCATCCCCCTTCATACTCCCATCTCATTGTGGGAAAGGACGAAGAAAACCCCTTGTTAAATTCTGGGGATGACGATGAGGAAGATGCATTAATAGGCCTGGCATCCTTGCATCGGATCAATAGGGGGTCACAACAACTCCCAGGGGTCTCCAGTTCAGACCAGTCCGGATCGTCCAATACCGCCCAGGCCCATTCCTCCGGTACCACTCAGACCCATAAAGAAAAAACCCCCGTTCCCCCGAAATCCTCCAGTCTGTCTGACTCCTCTGTTTTTCCCCATACATATGAAGATCGCCTGGACATTGATTGGGCCCAACACTTATGCTCTGGCTCTTAACCTATCCAGGCTCCCCTCCGAATCCTGCATACTGGGGACCAACAAGAGGGTCCCACTTGGAGCTATAAACCTTGAACTCATACAGAGCTCCTCTCAATTGTAAAAAGCTTTCCAAAGCCCCTGGAAAATCCTACCACATTTGCAGAGGAATTCTTGTTAGTGTGCGACACCTATGAACCCTCTGAGACAGACCTCCTGCAGCTGTGCAAGCTACTTGTAACCCCTAGCGAGCATGAAAAATGGCTCACAGCAGCCAACCGGCCCATCAGTGAGCGCCATTCAACTTTACCAGACACCGGTCCTGTTGCTGAATACCGGAAAAAGTGTAAAGACCGAGCTAAAAACCTACATGAGGCCATCCCTCAAGTATGGACTCCAAAAACAAACTGGACAGCCATACATTGCTGTAAACAGCGACAGGGAGAAAGTCCGGGTGACTATCACACCTGACTGACTGATGTTTTTCTGCAACATTCTGGTATACAGCAACCGGGTGAAAATGGGAAGGGCGCCCTGGCTCATGCGTTTGTTAATGGCCTCCTACCTGCTATTGGCAGTGTGCTAAAGCGAATAAGTGTTGGGTGGGAAACTGAAACCATGGATAAATTGCAATCAGTGGCAGAACACTGCCATCGCACTCTAAAGGGAAAGGAGGAACCATCTTCCCAAAAGTTAATGGCCCTGCAAATACAGCATTATTCAGGGCAAGGTAAACAGTACCGGGGAGGGGGATGTGGTCATGGAAGGGGCCGTGGAACTGGATTTTCGGGTTTTGGGGGTGTTTGTAATTACTGTAAACAACCCGGACATTGGAAAAACAAGTGTCCGCGCCGGCCTAATAGCTCTGTAAGCAACCAGCTGGACCCCCTGTCGGCACAGCCCGACAGTCCCCAGACTTACTTTGTCCCACAGCAATGACAGAACACCAGGGAACCTCAGGAAATTTTAGCTCCTTTACTACCTCTCACTCCCACGGGTGAATGTGTTTTGACTATTAATGATCTTTCTCTCCCTTTCCTTGTTGATACGGGAGCTTCGCTCTCTGCAGTTCGTACTGCCGACCTGCCTGAGGTTCCCCGCTCCGAAAAAACCATATCCGCTGTGGGCATTACGGGAGTCCCAACCCCTTATCTCCTTTCAAAACCTCTACCAGTCCAGGTTGGTCCCCTTTCCACGGACCATGCATTCCTCCTCTCGGATTCCACTCCGGTGAACCTTTTGGGTCAGGACCTGTTATGTAAACTTGGCTGTACCATCTACTGTTCCCCTGATGGTGTCTACTTACAAATCCCCCAGTCCTCTCTGAGTGATTCTGTAGCCTCCCTGCTGTCTGAAACTCCCCTTTCCACTCCGGTCCCCTGCTGCCCATTGGTCCCATCCCTTGAACACCTAATTTCACAGGTCCCATCCTCTCTGTGGCCAACCCACCCGTCTGAAGTAGGCCGTTTACATACTGACCCCGTCTGCATTATTGTTGATTCCTCCAAACCTCTGCCTCGCCTGTCTCAATACCCTTTAAACCCCGAAGCAGAGGCTGGAACTGCTCCAGTCATGACCGCCCTGCGGGAACAAGGCATTATTATCCCCTGCTCCAGCCCCTGTAACACCCCTATCCTCCCAGTTCGAAAAGCTGATGGTAAATCGTGGTGGTTTGTTCAGGATCTTCGGGCCATTAACCGCATTGTCATACCTGGTTTTCCTGTTGTCCCTAACCCAGAGACGATTCTGGCTTCTATCCCACCAGATGCAACTCATTTTACTGTTGTTGATTTGTGCTCTGCTTTCTTTTCTGTCCCGGTTCACCGTGACTCCCAGTTCCTGTTTGCCTTTTCTTACAAAGGGCAACAGTACACATGGACCACACTGCCCCAGGGGTATACTGAAAGCCCGTCATATTTTTCCCAGGCATTAGCCCGAGACCTTGCTGACCTTGTTTTCCCGTCCAGGTCCACACTAGTCCAATATGTAGATGATCTACTCCTCTGTTCCCCTTCATTGTCTGCCTCTGAAACTGACTCTTAGTGCTCCTTACTGCCCTAGCAAATAAGGGTCACAAAGCTTTTCGCTCTAAACTACAACTCTGTCAGGCTTCTGTCACATACCTTGGCTTTCTCCTCTCCCAGGGTTCCTGTGCACTTTCTCCCACCCGCGTCCAAGCTATCCTTAGCTTTCCCCGACCCTGCTCCCCACGCCAGGTCCGGAAGTTTTTAGGCATGGCTGGATTTTGCAGACAATGGATTCCCCAATATGCCTCCCTTGCAAAACCTCTCCAGGAACTCACTCGATTCTCTGTGCCTGATCCCATGCCGTGGCCCCCTGAGGCCAATTCTGCCTTTGTTTCCCTCAGAGTTTGGCTTCTGCCCCTGCCTTAGGGCTGCCTGACTATTCTAAGACTTTTACCCTTTTCTGCCACGAACAATCTGGGTGTGCACTTGGAGTTCTCACTCAGATGCATGGAGAAAAGAACCGCCCAGTGGCTTATTTCTCTGCCACTTCAGACC